CCATTGACAACTCGGAAGACCTATGGAGGATATATCTGCAGCCCAGAGACGGTTGCCATGGGGGAGGATCCTGATGATCCAATTGAGGAGTTTAGCGAGTAGATCTAGGGTAGAATCTGAAAAGAATACAATTAGCGAGGGTGTTCTTTGATGGCTTGACAGGTGTTGAACTGATTCAGTAAGTCATGTTATGCAAATACCCAGAGATACTCTTAGCAGAACCATTGGATCTGCTGAAATATGTCTGGGCATCTGCATATTGTGAAGCGGGAACTCTGGAGACAGTATCCTGGATGGGGATACATCTCCAATCCTGCAGAGAAACTGATCACGGCATCAACGGATGGTTGCTGAGGGCAACCAGTTCTCTCTAGTGGTTGCCAGATCATGCAGAGGTGAGATCTCCAGAACGCCATCATAGTAGTCGCAATCAGAACTCAGAGTAAGAGATACCTATATACACTGAAAGGTCAGCGATTCACATTTTCCCTCTTGCCCGATCCCTCTACCACTTACTACTCTGAGACCTTTAAGATCGCCGGGACAAGCTGGTTTGATTCAAAATGCCAATAAGCCTAGTGAGTAGCACATTTGCGGCCTGTCAATTCCAATTGCTTATAGAATGTTGATTTATTTTACCAGTGATCAGTCGACTTGGTGTCCAAGCATTCGCGTTCAGTTGCAAGCTGCACGACGCTCGTCGACTTTGAGGAAGCTTTGGGATTGAATGCTATCCCCGGATATCCGGCAGCCGGCAGTCCGTTGGTCTGCAAGGAAGGTGGGTTGCCAAGTTAATTGGCAGGTATTGTGCATCGTCTGCTTCTTTTCGTTGACAGCTCCGTTCGATTTGCAGATTCCCCTCTTTCCTTCCTTCCACTACCTGCGCTTTGCTTTTCTCCCGTCGACGACTCCCCTTCCTCACATTTTTATGATCATTGCTCACCTCTCCCGCCCTGTTTGCTCTTGGATTCGTATTCTCGACACTCTTGCGGATCAAATGACACCCATTTTGTGGGGGTTCGTTTTGTCGGTTGTAGATGCCATGCAATACTGTCTTCAACACTATCGTATTTGCGACTTGTCACGATTCTGAGGCTTTCCACCTGTACTCATCGCATCTCCCGTCAAATCTGACCACGGCATCGAACTCTCGAGAACTCTACGAGTCCAACGATACCGGTTGTTCCGCGTAAGGCTCAAACCCAACCATGCCAGCACGCGTTTTCTTCTGTGGTGCACATTTCATTCGTATGTCTTCTACTGCTCTTTTCATTTTTGTCGAATTCGCCATCCTGAATCCTTTCCCATCCGTTATCATCTGCTAGTTGCAATGTCTGGGTCCGTGCGGTTTCATTGATACCAAGCATGCCGTTGCAGGCACAGCGGGCGCAGTGTGATGGTTCAAAAGTCAAAGGTTTGTCTGTCTTCAGGTGTTTGTCGAGTCCCTGTGATTTACTGATGTTATTGATTGTTCAGGCTTTAAGATCAGCAGAGGGGATTGCCTACATCTACCGTTTGTCTCTATTCGAGCACCGACTTCTTCTTGGATGCTGGAATCATCACTTTGCGTGAAAGGTTCACCGTAATATAGATTATTTGGTAAGTTAAATTTATTACATTTCTTTCGCTCATCTGACTGACCGGAAAACCCGCAGTCGAAGGTTGACCACTTCGTGTAGTTGTGCACGTCTTTGTTCATCTCATGGTGAGTATATCGCGCTCGTATCTGATACGATTCAGCATGTTCCTAATTTCTGTTCTACCTGTCGCCAAATGTCCCGTCTGAATTATTACAATGTCGCTTAGCTAGCCACTCAAATCTGTGAGTCGTGTATCTTCGTTATTATCATTTTCATCATACTGATATTAATCTCGCAGCTTCTCTATCGAAAGTCGTGTTTCCGGAAAATGGCGGATACTCACAAGGTTGTCTAGATATTCGAGTGGATGAGTTGTGGTAGAGGCAGGATGAGGTTGAAAGGTGTTATAGAGGATCTCACTGTTCGGGTGCGTCATCTGTATCTCTGTGTTCAAGTTACTCGTTGACTCATCCTCTCGTTTCCATAGATGTCATCAGTATTGTACCGAAGGTTCCACCTCATTTATCAGAGAGTGTATAGATTGTCACCGCTTTGTATAAGCAAATGTTGACCTTTCGACGTCTCGTTGATCGGTCGTTTATCAGATCAACCAATCCCCTGCTTTCCTGTTCCCAATGTTGTGCCGTTTCAATTGTCTGTATACGGCAAACATCCCAGATATTTGCACTTTCTATGCTGTGGACTGTCGCTCTCCTGCCGCTCTCAAACAATAAAGCCTGTTCATCGCAAATGTCACCTACCTCCGAGTCTACCACATCTATTTTCCCTTCCTTCCAATTCCACGCTGTCTATTTGAACTTATCTTGAATGCTTGATTGTCATCCGCCCCAAGTTTCTGTTAGTATATTCGTTTGGTGCGTCTTGCTATCTTTCATCTCTGTTTCCCTCTCCATAGTTCATCCCACGGGTGAGAGGAGATTCGCAACTCGATCACTCCTCAACACTTCATGTAGTGGATGACTTTAGATGTGACAAAAGATGAAAGCTACACGGTGAGTACATCGGGTTGATGTTTTCATATTCGAGAAGCTGAATGTCTACTTTATTTTCAAGATTCGCCATAACTTCGATCCCAGTTGCCATAAGCACAGCGTCATTGCAAACACTCTTTCCGGTGAGTCCTTAAGTTCCTTGTTTGTCAAATTTTCTCGTTTACTAAATCTCTTATTCACTTAGCTATTTGACTATCGTTGTTGGCCGAGCTTAGACATCAAGGATTGGAAAGGCAAAGGCGGGCTTACTGGCATGTCGCGAGGTGTTGAGGAAGGTTCGTTCGGGTACATCTTCAACATCCCTGCGCATCGCTGATTTACTAATCCTTTCTTGTTTACAGTCGTCGTTCGCAACTCGTCATTTGTTTTCGCCCGTTGTCCGTGACGACTCGTTGCCGCCCTGCATTAGCTAGGATCAACCTTTCTGCCTCATGTAGGCCTCGTCATTCAGGTACTGATATCCGGCTCCATTAACGCGTCTCTTGTTGTGCATCTCCCCTGCCATCCCAATTAAATTTCTGTGGTATCTCCCCGAATTCTCCGGCTGTTGTCTTCGGTGCGTTGCATTATTTCACTTTTATTTACCTCCCAATCATCCTGACGTATTCGTCTATAGACTGATTACTGGTTCTTTCGTCAAGCAGCTAATGTCTGCAAATGACGGCTTGCCGTCATCAATACTTTACTCTCCCACCGTTCTGGATCTCACAGCATTCCTTGTCGTCGTCACCCTCTCCAGAACATTTCGTGCCCCTGGATGAGGTCTCATGCTATGCTCGTATCGATAATCTTCCCCTTGTTTCGAAGTGGCTGCATTAAGATCGACTACACAATCAGGAATCGTGGTGCGTCTTTTTAAATATATTCTCTCACCTTCAACTCATCGTCTTCAGGTCTGCTCAGTGTGAGGACGTTGCAGCATGCCGTCTGAACACGATGGCTTGCTATCGGTTTCCTCTTCCCTTTCTTGTCGACACGCTGGGTTCACGCTCTCTGGTCATTCTCCAGCAATACTTTAGATTCATTTTGCTCTCCCATCCCTCTCGCTCTCACATGTCGACATCTCCACGCCCCACTTTGCGACAGGCTTTTCATATCCTAGAGCCACATCTATTGCTACGGCGTCGTTGCGCCTGACGTAGCCCTCGATTCGGAGTGGCTATCGGAATGCCTTCATTCCTCGGCTAATCACCCTGTTTCAAGATATCCTTTCGTCTCGAACTTGTTGCCTACAGGGTCTCTTCGAAGCAGAGACATCGAAGGCGTCGTCCGTAGACGACGACCCTTGCCATTCTTTCCCATCAGTCTCATGTTGTTGCGTTGCTCCCTTCGCCGCGACACGTCCATAGACAACAAGTTGTGAGTCTCGGATTGGCGTCTGGGCAAGTGACTGAGTCACTCGACTCACCCTCACAACGAGCAACGTCTTCCGTGTTTCGGTAGCAACACTGCCTCGAGTGAGACGATCGGTAGACGTCTCTGTATCCACAGATGTCCACAGATATTGCGGGTACTTGGTGAGTCATTTTTTTTTGTTTCGTTTATTGAAATGTCGCTTATCCGTGTCTACAGACATTGATTGAAGGGCTGCTCCATATTGGAACCTCAATGCGGAGGGTGCATCTTTAGACGGAGAGTACAGCCTTTGCCGTGGATCGTGTCGGTTTACCTTATGCGAGGATCGTTGGAGGATCCTTGCTCGTCTATGGACGAGCTGCTCGAATGCCTTTGCGAGTAGTAGGCCGACCGATGTCGAGTGTAAACGTCCATCTTCGACTGGCGTTAACACTCGTCACAACACCCATAGACGAGCGAAGCAAATATCTTTGCGCGTGCGGTAGTTTGGGATGAGACGAGTACAGAGGTGGACCTGTGGCTTGCATTCAAGACCGTGTCGCTGCTGATATGTCTTTTCCGCACTTGTACGGCAGCAGGCGTACGTCTTAAACCGGCGTGTAGTACACTCAACATTTCTGGCAAGTTTGCTCTCGTCTCGTGCAAATGTTCACTAATTTATCAGCTTCAACAGTGTCGCGGGAAGCTCTTTCTTGCATTTGTGGATGAGGAGAGGTGGCAGCGGAGAGGATTTTCGAGCACTACCTTACTATTAATCCGATGTAGCATGCTCTGTGTTTGAGCAATTGACCAATGACCATTTTACTTGCAAACTCGAGTGTTCTCCCTGTCTCATTTCCCTGCCCTTCTCTCAGTGTATCGGGATATTTCATTGTGCTCCCAGTGTTCTACATCACCCTGTGTTCTCTGCGTCCCAGAGAGCTCCTTGTTCCCTCTGCACCCTATAATACTCCCCGTGTTCCTGGTGTCCTACAATACTCCCCATGTCCCTTGTATCCTACAATACTCCCAGACTCTCGATTTTATCAGAAGACTATCGCAAACAACTCGTAGCAAGCCAAACAAATATATTCGCACGAACACCGCTACGTACATGTTCACAATGCCGCCCACCGGTTGACCCGCAAATGGCAACCAACGAGAGCAAAGCGAAGACAAAAGGAGAAACGAGGGATTCAAGAAACTCACCTTAGGCTCCTCCAAACAAGCATCCACGCCGGGCTTCAAGTTGCGCAAATCGCTGAACACGCCCTCTTCGAATTTCTTCATGTTCCGTACCGGTCGGCCAAACGCTTCAAATCGGAATACCAGCGCGCGTACAATGTCCGTTCCTACAATGAACAGCGAACAAATCAACAAGCGAATCAAGTGAGAGTGCAAGGGAATTACATACCGGTGATATGGTATAACCCGCCCCAGAGTACGCATGAGACGTACTCGTTATTGGGAAGGAGGAAGCGGTTGAGTGCGGGGTGAGTCGAGGATGGATGACCCAGTGGGAGCGAGTCTGTGGCAGAGAGAAATGGATCAGCGGTTCAATTCATGTACGCCGTCCGAATTCAGAAATACTAACCACCGCCAACCACACCTCCAACATCCGTACTCCATCGACTCGGCGCAGTAGCCAAGAAGAACTTCAGTCGATCCAAGTGCGTGAGCAGTTCGCGTTCCTGATGGTTCAAAGGTCGACTTAGACCCGTAAACGATGCGCTGATGCTATCAGCCGAGGACAGTTGAGCGCTGAACGAATCTGGGGCGTCGAGGGCGAGAGAAGAGGAAGGATGCGAAGGCATGGACATGGGAAGGGAGTTTGACATGGACATGGTGTCGAGCATGGAAGACATGGATGAATCCTGCATTTGAGACATCCCATTCATCTGACTCTGACTGAGAGATGAGAGCGAAGGAGGAGGGATTCTCGATGGATGAGCAGTCTCTTCCTCTGGCTCATGGTGCACGCCATTGGCGTTCGTCTGGATCTGCAACGCCGATCCGCCTTGCTGCGTGAAGGGAGAGGGCGAGAAGCGATGATCCTGCTCCTGGTTCACTTGGTGGGATGGATAGGACGAGTAGAGTCGGTTGGCGTTGCGCATATGTGAATGCGAATGCAAAGACGAGGACGATGGAGTAGACGTGGATGCAGAGTATGAAGGGATGGAAGCCATGGCGTAGTGATGAGAATGGGCTACTAGCGTGTCCATGGAGGCGATAGCGGTATTATACTTGTAAGGGTAAGTATGAATGTTGATGAGGCGATTTGGCGAGGGAACGTCAGAGAGATGATAACTGGCAAGCTCGTAAAGTATAACTGCGAGAACGAAGAGGATATTAGAGTGATTAGGGTGTAGGGAGAAGGGACCCAGACGCAGACGGGGGAAGGAGAGAAAGATGGAAACGATTAGCGAGATGGTGGAAGAAGAGGACAAAAAGGTAAACGCACGTTATGCAGATGGGGGGGGGCCGGTGATGGGAAAGCACAGAGCTGAAGATAGGATCAACACGAGACCCAACCAGCCAGCAAGCACGAAAGAGCAGGCGTGTTCACAGCACGGTGGATTAGGACAGGAGGGACTTATATCGGAGGACGGGTTTATAATATACGAGGCAAACGTCCTCGGTCTTTGGAGGACGACCCACAGGCCAGGATTAGAAATAAACAACTGAAATAGGAGCAAGCAACTGCAATCGAGGACGGACGCAGCTTCAGCGCCTGCTACTTGGGGCCGTTATATGCCTCCCGAGGCCCCTGGCTGTCGGCACGTCCCCAGCGTCAATCCAGGCACGTATCTCAATCCTCTCCGCCGGTTCAGTTCACTCGCCCCCTCTCCGCCGTGGTTCGCGATCCCCGGCAGACTCGACGCAGTGGACAAGTCGTCAGAAACAACAGAACACCAGTGCGGGTACAGTCCACGTCCAACAAGTCACTCTCAGGCAGATCCCCCATGCTTCTTTCTGTTCCCAACTCGCACCTCCCGCATATCCCCTCGTACCTTTTCTGACGCTCTCCTTTTCGCTTCACTGACACCAGCGCCGCCTGCGAGTCCTTCTTCTCTGGCACTTTCCGAGTTTCGAATCCCATCCATGCATGACGACCCTTCCTCGCTCCTGTCAGTCCTTGGACATATAGCTCGCTCATAGATGCGTCGATGAATCTTCTCGTCATCTCCTCGCTCTCCCACCCTCACATCCGCACCGCCATCCCACCATCTCACCACACAATGCATCGCCTCCAATAATCTGCAATTATCTTGCACTTTCAACGCACTGCCTTTCGGCGTTCAATCCAGCTTACCAGCGCCTTCATGCACCATTCCAAGCTTGAGTTGCACTGACTTCAAAGTCCCAACCTTTGCAACGTTCTCTTTGTTCTCTCTCGCCCCCCCGTCCTCTCTCTCTCTTTGTGATCCGGCGGCCGATGAATATCCCTAGATCAGGCATTAAGCACTTTCAATCATAGTTATATCCGAATCCATTTACTTCTCCGAGTTCTTTCGGTGTCTCACTGGCAATCGCAACGACCTTGGCAATCGAATAAATTATCCCCTTTCATCTGATTCGAACGATAGACATTTCAACTCAACCATGTGTGTTCTTCATCGCACTACATACCCGTATAGCAAACATCTCCAGAATACTAGAGGTCGAAAGATGTATTAATTATGGCCGCCGGGCGAATGAGTCTCTAATGCTTCAAGCTTCATTGATCATGGACATCCGGCGACCGGTCGTTCGTGGTGAACAAGTACTGCTACGAGGGCAGAGTTCATTCATCGTGTTTGTACATACAACCTGGTGATTGAATAATCTCACATCTCAATGTATCATTTTGTCTCGAGTCCCCCCCAATCTTGTGCACTCTGGTCAATGAATCTACTAGACCGAAGACGTCGCCCAGACACTCTGACTTTCCAACACTTCATTCCTGGCACGAAAGCATTCCGGAAGATCTGATTGCGTAGGAATTGACACCGGGGCCCTTGATATTGTTTTGGCCTTCGGAATGACTGAATGCTTGCAATGATGTCGAACCGCGGTGTTACGACCAGACTTACTCGTCTCTTCATTCCTTCTGATCCTGTGTTTTTTAAATCCATTGTAGTGTAGACCATGTTAGATAGTAGCAAGTAGGAATATGCTACGACGAGAGTAATGATCGATGGTTGCCTACATCAAGGTGGAGAGAGTGGAATGCGAGCGTAAAGTCTGGGTGTAAAGGAAGACGGAATCTCATAAAAAATAAAAGCTGCGTGAGTAAGAGTGCGGTAGCGGTATTCTATAGGAGAAGATGAAGGAAGGAAGGAGACTTGGACGGTGGGGTCATTTGTGGTGGAGTCGCGTGAAGACGTTCTGTAATCAGTTGATGTGTGTAGGAAGTCCCTGGGCCTGTCGAGCAGTTCAGTTGAGAGAATGGTGTAGGCGACGAAGGCTCTTTTCAGGGAACTCTTGACGCAGAGTGATCATTTCCTGGAGGCGAGCTCGGCACTGTGGTCTCCCCGTCAGTCTTGACTATATCGTGAGTTTACTGGTTGCTCGAAAAGTGCGCATTTATTCACTCTCGAAAGAAAATCTAGTCATCAGGACTGTTAACGAAGCCGTGAATTTAACCATTTACACATACGTATATAACTTCGCCTACCAACCCGAATCGAAGGTCCGTGCTTTTCTCAAGTTTAGTAAAAAGCTCAGAGGGAATCCACCCAAAAGAAACAAGATCGTAACAAATTACAAGTGACAGCCTAGCAACGTCGGGTGTGTCTCGCTACTGCCAGCCGACTTGCGGGGAGCGTGCGAAGAACGAAGAGCCAATAGGACGTACTATTGTCGAGAGTTACAAGCTGTACGCGAAGCAGCCGAGGTGAACAAGAAAAGCTGGTGAGAGGTCCATCGTTATGCCTTTAGCTGTAACGAAGTCACGAGTTAAACCATTCACTCATGTATAAGTTCACCTACGTATCAATCCCAGCGAAACTCTACGGTCTTCTGAGATTTAGCATTAAGCTCGAAGGGAAACTCCGCCCCCTCACCTATCCACAAACCCCCATCCAAAGGGAACAAAGGAAAAAAAAATTAGTAAATTGAGACACAGTACGCCCAACTTGAAAGAACGTCGCAATTGACTTATCACAACACGATCGACCACCACATGGAATTTACAACTCTTCGATCGCAGACACGGGGGACCGGCGGAGCGAGGACAGGCAGGAAGGGGTAGACATATGTTCGATCATCCAGTAATCAGATTTGCAACCGACTTCGTCTCCGTCGGGGCTGGTGGTAGTCACGCGCACGACTTCACTACTAGAAAAGGTTTACAGTTGAACCTTCAACAAGGGATGGGTCAAATAATTAAGGCCGAGGAGCTGGAAGGCTTAGTGTAAGAATACTGATTCTGATTATGAATAGCGGGAGGGATGAGGTGACGGGAAGCGGAACTGGAGTTGGGCATATCTCGTGCAGCGTGGATGAGTCAGTACGTACTGATATCCATAATGGGCGAGCAGAACTTTATAATATGAAGTTGAATCATGCAATCAGGACATACTGTGAATTATAAGATCAAAAGTTTACGGTACGTACCCACTTCGTGCGACGACGGCATTAGCAGAACCCCTGCTGCGGTTGCTACTGCTCATTGCCGTCCTTTCCCGTGGATATGGCGACGTAGCTCGACGACTCGGGTCCACATGCGTAAGACGACGCGATGAGTCCGAGGAAAGACTCGGCTTAGTGACCCCATGAGTTGCGAGCTTACAAAGTCAAATACCAATACACACCTCCGTTCCTGATCGAACGAGGTATCGACTCAGAACGAGTCAACCCATCCACAACTTCGGGACGTATTCAAAGCCCCTTTGCTGACATTCACCAAACCCTCGAGCAAATGAGCACACGTGTGCATATACCTCTGAGTCGAATAATTGTCAGTAATGTACAAGTCCCTTTGTCGGAAATTGACAAACCTTCCAAGCCAATGCTTAAGCAAAGTAACCGCGAGATTTGAGATTCAGGCTTTCATATTGAGTAGATGAGTGACCGCACTCAGGGGCTAATCCTGAAACGTTTCCCCGCAAGCTCGATTACCGATTGTGGACTGACTGCAACCTTCCAGCCAATCACATCGCTCCCTTTGTTCTTCACCCAAATCTGTTGCAATCGACGACGCCCAGATAGGTAGTTAATGGGCAAGAGAAACCAGAAGGCGCTGAAGCAGTGAACACCTCGCGTGGGTTTGCCTCCGATCGTGTTCGCACTTTACGATCGGGGAAGTTTCCTTTCGGAAAAGGCACTAGATCATAGGCCTTTGTAGAGTTATGAGCGGGAAGTGTGAAGAGTTCTGGAAGGGGAATCGGATCCTGGGGGCGGGAAGGGCGTGGGGATGTTCCGATTTGGGGTCGGAAAGTAGGGGGAGATAAACCCAAGGGGTAACGAGAGTGATCAATGGACGACGAATTTGAAAGGCACAATGCTGAGCGGGATCGTCAGATAGAACACCCACGACGAAGGTAGACAGTAACTCATACCTAACTGACTGACTGATCGACTCGCCAAAGAGGAAGTCCAGGAAGATATAATCTACTGAGTATGTTTTTGTTAATATTGCTTCGGCTAAGAGCTTGACTAAAATCAGAAAGCTTACCATCTTCAACTGATCAAAGAATCCAGGTAGTGCCTTCAACCCCGAAGAACGATTCGACTTGGCTGTAAACCTTCGACTGACATGCCCATCTTTGGATAGCTGAGTCGGATCGAAACCGGGGCCTTCGAAGACGTACACACTCAAATCTTGACTTGATGCTGATCACAATGCTTCCCTCAGAAGCTCGCATAACGGACGGCATGTCGAGACGTCTGATACGATGAATACAACACCAAACTTGTACCTGTTGGTGTAAACGATCAGCTCGAACTGACTCCATTTGGAACTGGTCGGAAGGGGAGACAATAGAAATGGCAGTAGATTGAACATCCCGGCGGTATCCCCCAGTTTCCCCGCCGGCACTCCTATCTCTGAACCTCAAGCAGTGCACACTGCCAGTGCCGGGTCACCAATATTATCCATAGCTCGTGGCAAGAGTGCAGCGCATTCGACAATTGGCCATTCCACTCAGAACGGCAATCCTTGAAATTCGCCGTCACGGCAGATCAGTTCATCTGCTGAAATTGTCCAAATGACAAAGAGTGCGGCTCGAGCCACAGATGTGGAACCCCCTTTCACACGTGCTTGTGGCGAGTCTGAAATGGAGGACGCACACCGTCGGGTTAGGCGGTAAGAACGTTGAGGGTCTTTGAAGTCATGAGTTGAGTTTACGGAGCTGGGATTGCGGGATGGATGTTAAATGTCTTTAGGAGTTTCGGAAATGCGATAAGGACCCCTGGACAATTATCCAGTCCTGCGCCGTCTCGAGAATGGAGTTCGGAAGGGCGAAAGGGATACGCCCTCCGTGTATCTCAAGACTAAAATTGAGTGTGCGGCAAAGGAGACTATTCGATTCTACGCACGCGTTTCGATCACTTTGCCATGTGTCGTTCACGCACACACACTCTTAGCATAATCTCTCTCCTATGACATATCTTGCGCAGCTCTCATCGAGATTGGGTCACCGGCCACGCGAGCAAGGCCGGATGAAGTTGCGGTTTCAGCTCGTTGGAAGCTGACTCTTCACACTGGACAGCTGCATAAGGATAGGGGCAGGTACTGCCGTCGGTTGAGGTGGCTGTAGTCTTGATAGTGTTTCCGCGTGCAAGCCACGAGACGGCACAGGGTTCAAGTTCATGGGAAAAGTAGATGCCGCCGGTGTAGCCCTATTGCCACAGACGTTGACCGAGAGGCCACCAGGTTCAGGCACCCACAGCGATCGCTCGACGTTCAATCGTTGCTTTGACATGGCACGTCCGGCAGACTCACAGTGCTCTGTTTCCATTCTCAACTTCCTTGCTATGCCTATGGGCACTTCCCGGACCAGCCGTTCGTATGCACAGGCGATTGAGTTGTCGCTCGCGGCAGACTGTAAGCCTTGAGAGAATCAGCGAGAATTCGAGGTTCATTAATGACGGTGATGGGCAGTTTCATACCTTCTACGTAGCACCAGCAGTTACGAGGGTCCATAGAGTACAGTACCCTTGATTTTATAAGGGGACGCGAATGATGAGTATCGCACGTACTACGGACTCTACAAATGCAAGGTTCAGCACAAATCTATCAACTCAACAGTGATTTCGAAAGCCGCTTACCGGAGTTATATATTGAACATTTATTGAATAGGTGACATCAGTGATGCCTCTAAAATGCGTAAGTGTAATGTTTATCCGAGTCGTTGGAGTCACATACCTTCCGCGAATCCAATTGCGTTTCCCGCCCGCTTTCTTTCGTTCAAACGGGCAGTCCACGAATAGGGCATCGATCAGCTCTATAGTGCAAATAAAGGTTACATGAGCACAGCTCTATAGTGCAAATAAAGGTTACATGAGCAGGTACAAGCAGATTGCAAAGTCAACGCTCACCGGCGGGAACAAGATGACCAGTCGCCAGTGAAGCGCATGCCAGCGAGACGGTCGGGACAGACAGCGAGACAGACAGTTGAACACGACGGTCACAATGAATAGAATGAACGGATAGTCGTAGGCAAAAACCAAAACATGTCGATGAGGGGGGAAAAGTGAGGAGGGAAGGATGAAAGGCGAAGAAATGCCCTTGGTCTTTCAATGCTTCAACCATGGTCCTACTTATACACCCAGTGGAAGGCCCCAAATTTCGCATCGGCCAGCAACGCCCGGTATCGAGGTAACGCGTTGCGATGTGCGTATGTACGAGGCACGAGAGGACAAGGGTTGTTTGACATTCGAGAATTGAGGTAATGAGAGTGGGAGGACGAACTCATCGGATGGGTGGTAGTCGAAGCGAGAGTGTTTCAGAACATCCACAAACGAGAGGCAACCTCGTCTGCGGTTTTCGGGATATCGATCTTCGGATAGCCGGCATTCTTGCCTTGACAACCTTGCATGTCGTCAGAGTACGAAGCGGATATTGGGCGAATTTCAGCGCGGTGCAAGAATGATGACTCTATCAAAACACTCACCTTTGAGAGAAAGACATCCAGATGCGAAAGTTGTCACGCCATATTTGCACCTCTGCCTCACGATACAAAGGAAAATGAGCGTCTTGCATCGTGAAGCAAAGGTCGGGCTTGTCACGGCACTGCAACGAATTCGAGACGATGGCTTCCTAGCGCGTCACTTGTGTAGTACTCAAACCGTTCAAACTCACAATGACTACCGCAAATTGGTACAGTTACATACCAAGTCGCGAACTTCCCCAAGCGTTGGTATTCACGGGAGAATGCAAGTCGTTCGACGACTGCTGTTCCTGAAATCGGCTCATTGATGCCATCGAATTGAATCTTGAGTGTAAAGCGACGGTTTCAGTTGCTTGAGGATTGAGATACGTGGAGAAGAAGATAAGTGTATCGGCGGTGATGGCTGGAAGCGAGTCTGTTCCAGAAGATCAATAGAGATGAGAGGAAACCTCGTCTGCGATTTGCGGGATATCATCGTATCGATGGCGGGTAGACTTGGTAACCTCATATGTTGTCTGCGGAAGAGATGGATACTGGGGGAATATTAGGCCCATGCTAGAATGATGAGCCGTCAAGACACTCACATTTGAGAGAAAGACGTCTGCAGAGGAAGCACCTTTGCTCCACCTTGCAAACAAAACTGAAAGCTTCGTATCATAAAGCAAAGCTTGGGCTCATTGCAACACTGCAATGGATCTAGGACGATGATGTGTCGTACCGTCACTGGCGTGACATGCAAACCATTCAAACTAACGATATCGGCTTCGGATTTGCAATATATTTTCTGACAGCATGCCGGGTGACGTCTCTGGAGAGCTTTTAGTCAAGCTGTCGCGTCGGCGGGTGAATGGAAGTCGTCAAATGAATGTTATTTTTTGACGTAATCTTGCCGGTGTTATGGAACGAAAACTTGAGTGTCGAAGTGAGGGCAAATGTCAGGAATGATTGTTTTCAGAACAAGGAACAAGGATGGTCTCTGCATCTTCATCCATCCGAACCATTATCCTGGCAAACAAGACCTGAGGTCCGGCAGAAGATTAACGAGCGTGTTGACCTAACATCGAGCGAAAGCGCCACGCCCAGTGTGTAATCTAGAAAGTGTTGTCAACCTGTAAGCATCAGTGTAGCGAAGATGATGCATACAACAGAATAACATACATGCCGATTCTCCGTGACCGAAACACAGGCTGAGACTACAACGCACGATCCGGACATCAGCTTCTCATTTCTCGTTTCTCATTCAGAGTGCGTGCCGAATGACGACAACGTCAGTGAAGCTGTGTGAAAAAAATACAAGTACAAGGGGTCCTCGACAGAGATGACAAACGTCGCAGATGGATTATCAAATTGTCGCGGTGCGAGTACGCCGGTCATCATCGAAAATGAGTGACACTGAATGAAAAAGAACTACGTCCTGGAATGAAGTGCGTGGCATTAACGAATATCGTTAGCAACATCCAGCGAGGTTATATGAGATACCTTGGTGCATACAAGATTTCCAATGTACATAAACAACCTAGTGCAGCCGAGCCGTTATAGTGAGCTGGGAAGAACTGGGAGAAAAAGCGGGTGGAGGTCGTACCATTCGATTTACATGTTTCCCCCGGCTGAGCATGTACATTCCATAACTTGGTATATGCGGCTTTCAATGACTATGAGCTAGTGTGTGCAGAGCTGGAGGTTGATGTAGATCTCGGATAGAATCAAGTCGGATAGTGGAGCGAGAGCAGGTCTCAGGAGTCCGCGTACATGACCCTTCAACCGCTGAGTCAGACTTATGGGTTCCTGACGAACATATTAAATGACGACTTACGTGTAGAACACTGGCTTAAATATCAATGGACATTTCAACTCACTTTATAGGATGCTTGCTCGCCTGCGAGTCCCATCTTTCGTCGACTTCTATGAAGCTCTTGATGAGTATACTTCGTAAAGCTAGGAACGCATTCAGCGCGACGAGATTAAAATATCAAACAAGTGGTATATAATACCACGAAAGGCGACAACCCGATTTGACATACCAACCATTCCAGGATGTCCTATGTTGAAGACGAAAGTAGGATTCGTCTCATATTAAACGAGAGCTGTAAGATAAGAGGTGGCAATGAGATACAGGAGGAACAAGGATGGTCTCTGCATCTTTACTGAAGATGAGGACTTGACACTTGTGTCATCGGAAACCCGGCGAAGAACCTGTATGAGCGATCTTAGAGGATCTGAATTAGAAGCATGGTATATTACCACTATATTAAAGGGCCACTGTAGTTGGCCTTTCGAGATTCGTTCACATGTAACAAGTGAACAACATAATGAGACCTTTTCGCCGAGTCTCTCGATACAGTAGCATACAAAGAAGGATGGCCAGCTATCATTAGGGAAAAGAACTCGTGTGAATCTCACCGTAACGTTAAATAATACGATGGCGTTATCATTCATCGAATCATCGCGATGCCTTGAATACGCCTGTTGTATCTGAGTTGGGTTTCATAGTCAATCACAACTTGAATATTATAAATAGAGAGTGTTTAGGTTAAAGGAATGAGAGGTCGATACTCACCTAAGCCTACGTCGCATATAACCGGACAGAATAGTCATACGCGAGTATAAATGGTCTCAGCGTCGGTTGCGCGAGCATCTCTAAAAATGAGTATTGTCAAAGTGCAAGAGACGGGGCATGTAGCGATGATGTGAGCCAGTCGCTGTTGTGCAACTGGTTCGTACTAGTGTCGTAGGACAGCCTAGAGTCGAGTACCAGTCTACAGGTAAGATTCAGTTCAAACGTTAATTCTGTACATAGAACTTACAGGAAACGGGTGGTTCACCTGCATGACAATCACTACCCACTCACTCAAGCCATTTTGGCGTAGTCGAAGATTCAAAGGATCACTGAGCTTGGATTATGTTGCGTCTGAACACGCCGAGCACGCAATGGAGACCAAGATATTTCCAAGCAGATATTTGTTCAATAGCCAGTTGAGAGCAAATGACGAAGCTCTGGAGTTGAAGTAACAGAGAACTGAGCGAGCTTGAAGTTGAATGTTCGATTTGAATGATCGAAGAATGATCAAGGCCCCGATATGGCAATCCTGCTTGCATGACGCAACTTCAACTTTGACACTCGTCCACGTCCCTCTTTCTGACACTTCGATGGCACTTAAGCCTATCTCAACTTTTTGTCTTGTCGGTATGTAGTTTTCCTATTCCGCTGATCTATTGCTAGCTTCCTAAAGTACAGATTCGTTCTACAGGCAGCTCTTAGATATTGTAACAAACTCAGAAATCATACCGGCTGTTCCTCCTGAAATCTCATCCTCAACTCCTCTCATTCGATCGCATTTAGCTGGAGCTTTCTAGCACGCTTCAATGACCTCTTTCTGCGCAGTTCATTCATCTCTGCGAGTTTCCGCAACTCGCACAAGTTGTTGTATCGCAAGTCAATCGGACGTTCTCCTTCACATCGAATACATATCTTCTGATATATTCCGGAGCCTCCTCGGAATGCTTCCAAGTGCTGGAAAATACATATCCAGATATGGGGTTGCAGGTGTGATGTCATCCCTAGGTTCCTTAGATCTCTCGCCCAATTAATCCTTCAATTCGATCCTCGCTCACATGATACCACCGATCTGGCACAGGTAGACAACGGCAATCTTGGCGAGATCGCTGCTGCCAGTAACAGAATGGAGAGCATTTATTCGGCCATCTGGTGGAATGACTTTGAACGGGACTGAAGGTAGGTACGATAAACCTTAATTCACTTTTTGCTTCGTCCAGCATGTCCGGGTCATTCCCTTGAGATCCCGCAGGTTTATTCAACGTTGTTTTCACTGCAGATTCATCCCAGTGGCTAGCAGTCTCGATTTCATCACTGGCCGTCTCAAAACTCTATATCATCCATCGCACCTTGCTTTTCCGATTCTGTGTGGTGCCGCTAGCCAAAACTGATGAGATAAATGTGCTTTCAGCGTCTGAACGGCACAGTGCTATCTGGAGGCCATCCACGTAAAGTACCTGAGATATTCCGGAAGGAGAAGTCCAAGGCTGATAGCATCGAGCCGACACCAGAAGAAGAGGCCGAGAGCCGTATTATCATCGGCGAAGTCTAAGAAGAACTTCATTCCTTGGCAGATGCCTGTGACAACAACACGATTATGGCTGCAAAGTGTGACACCGTCGACACCATTCGGATTGACGAGAACGACCTGGCGCCGTTGGCGGCCCCGCTGACTCTAGTCCTGCCCTCAATGTCGCCGTCTTCCATGCCGACCATTACTGTCAACTCCAAGATGCCATCCACACCGCTTCCATCCCTGCTTCTTTGTCCTCGAAGAACTTTCCTCGCTTGTCTCATTCTTGCTTCAAAATTCATGCAAGATCGAGCCTATTCCAATCGTGCTTGGGTGAAACTCGCTGGGCTTCCCTCTCGTGAAATTGATCATTGCAACGAGCTTGCGGTGAAGCACTCTAATGGCATCTTTGGGTTGGCAAATTCCCTGCCAATGCGACTGCATCTGTGAGTGGGCTTCATCCTGTTACGAGGTGCCGAAGCGAGAACGATCTCTCCTTCAGTGTCAGTGATCCTGCCGTCATGCCGGTATTGCTGCCATCTGTGTCAAGTATTAGCAAGGTTTCTGGGCTTCGACAACATGCTACCGTGCGGACTTTGGGTTCGAACTCGGCTCCTGTCCAGGATCGGTTTGTGCAACATTCGATGTTCTTGAACTCAAGGCCAGTGGAAGAACCGGAACGGATGCCTGCAGCTACGTGCCAAGTCGAATCCCCGTCGGCGATGTTTGTTTCACCTCCCACAATGTTCGTCACGCCGCCTCTGGCATCTTCGCCAGGATGTATACCTCCATGCCTTCACTCAATCTCGCATTTCTTCACAGACGTATTTTTGCTCTTGCTGTTGACACCAGGACTGTCTTATTTCCCCATGTCGACTGCCTCTACGTCTTCATCCGAAAAAATTCCAGCTCATCCATATGCATAGGCACGTATGTAGTAAGTCTATTCTATTGGCTTATCGAATAGGATGATCGTAACGCTGTACTATATTGGGGTGAACTGTGACAAGTCGAAATTCAATTCGCGCTGTGAATGCTGTACACCGCGCCGAATGCCATTCAAGTTTGTCATTCTCACATAGGTCCACTGATGTCTTCACTGTCGCTTCTCACCTTTTGCTATGCACCCTGAGACAGTGATGAAAAATACTAGACCGATGTTCGGATTACGCAGTGGACTCATCCTGTCTCTTGGTCTCAAAAAATTGGTACGTGGATGTTTCACTTATATCTACTGTCTTCGCTACGTTGGTGCTTACACGTTGGTGATACTTCCTAGGTTACGGTTGGGCGTGCCACCTCCGCCTAATTTTAGGTCACGACCTGATCAATCTTCTGCCTAATCTTGAATCTAGGCATCCTAGGGAGACAGCAGCAGCGGTACGCCAGCCGTACGTTCAAACCGTTCAAACCTAGCGTGGGTACATCCGGTGTGTGAACCTCTGATTGAGACCACCTTCTGCCGGTCCTCGAGTTTTCAAGTCTTGTTTCTGAGTGTCGTTATTCTGCGAAATAAAGATGCAGAGACCATCCTTGTTCCTCCTTCAAGCTTAGCAAGCAGTTTCCATCACAAGTCCTTCACAGATCCTTCTCATTTTCAGTTTTTTTTTCGGCCCTGTTTCACTGTGCCATATCAGCGGCGCTGACACTCATACATTATAGTTTGAAGATTCAGATTCAGGCTTCAAGCTTAGCTGGCCGCCTCATGCCCCGAATTCACCTTCACCTTTTAGATTGAATAGGAAGGCAGATTCTCAAGGTGTCAAGCTCGGCTCTTCCGGCGCGTGAAAGTGAAGGTCTCGTTGCTGTCTTCTTGAGCAGTCAGCTGGTCGGCTCACGGCACCCGTGCCCATTTCCAGGTCATCGAAGCAATGGCTGTCAAGTTTTATTTATTTTAATTTATCCGTGATGACAGTCCGGCATATACACACATGTCTCGCCTGGTCTAAGCACCTTGGTTGTCATTGTTTCAGCCAATATCGTCAGGGACCGCTGACTACCGCTAACTCGCCTGACCTCAGACTGGCAAAACATTGTCGAATGGACATCGTGCTACTATCCCGGCTGTCATTTGTAATACATTCAGCCCTAATACCGACGATCGATGATTTGCATTGGATGACATGTAGTGAGCGTGGAATGTGTGAAGTTGACAATGTATGTACATACAATTTCTGCGCTCATCGTGAACGTAGCACTGAAACAGACGACTCTAGGCGAATTGCGATTCTGTCAGAGATGCCTGCATCGGATGTTGCCTTTGTTTCCTTGCTGCGCTCCGTGCGAATCGCTATGTCGTAAGTGCTCACTATCACCATTTTGAATGCAACAGAGTTGTATTTGCTGACATCCGAAAACTCTTACTCTTGTAGCTGTACTAATCTGTTCTTAGAAATTGCTTCAAGTCATTGATGCGAGGGCTACTTTAATACTGACGCATCCGGAACAGTCTTCAAACTGACGGTGATTTGTTCTTATGTGCAGTGCAGTTGAGAATCCGACCTTGAGGCATCATGCCGAAATTTGAGTTGCCTTCGCTTCGCTAACGATGACGTTCCTTAGTAACTTGCCCCCTTAAGCACGAAAATCTCGTTAGATTTCAGGTTTCAGATTCACGACATTTGAAAATTTCCTGATTTGGCAGACTTGCATAACTGAGTGTGTGGAAATATTGTGAACGGAGTGTTGCACCTTGAGGTTTGCTGACTGAGGTCTATATGTGTAGATGTTATAAAGGACAAGCTAAGAGATGTAACAAGTATGCTTTCACCGCAATCATGCAGGACCCAGTTGAAAATTTAGCCTTAAGCCTTATCAAGGGTCACTCCGGTAAGTCTCTTTGCATTCGCACTGTGAGATATCACCTAACTTCAATTGTCACAGCTGTCGAAGGTGTGCTCAACCTGAAGGAGGGTCCACCTGGAGTCCGTCGTGAAGACCGTCAGGGTCAGCGGAAATACATTCGGGATAACATCAATCCCAAATTCCGTAAGTATCTTGATTTACCTCATCATTTCCATTTTTGTTGGCTTACTATGACTTTGTTCCAGGCCGTGCAGTGGGAGTCCCCGAAGATAGTCCCATTCGAGTTCCATGGGGATCACCAGTGAAGCTCATCACCAAGTATTTTGTCCGGCCCATTGGATACCCTCTCAAGAGACCCCTCACTGATCCCAGTAAGCTCACGATGGAGGAACTCTGGATAGTAGTCTGTGCTGTCTATCAGGATATTTTCAAATTCCGTAGACTTACTTATGCTGAGCTTCGACTGCTTGATGCCAAATTGGAGGAGAGCGTGAGAATGGGGTTGTATGAGCCAGAGCGGAATCGGCAAGAGCGGGCTGACAAAGGAAATGCACGCGGCCGTCATAGAAACCCATTGACAACTCGGAAGACCTATGGAGGATATATCTGCAGCCCAGAGATGGTTGCCATGGGGGAGGATCCTGATGATCCAATTGAGGAGTTTAGCGAGTAGATCTAGGGTAGAATCTGAAAATAATACAATTAGCGAGAGTGTTCTTTGACGGCTTGACAGGTGTTGAACTGATTCAGTAAGTCATGTTATGCAAATACCCAGAGATACTCTTAGCAGAACCATTGGATCTGTCAAAATATGTCTGGGCATCTGCATGTTGTGAAGCGGGAACTCTGGAGACAGTATCCTGGATGGGGATACATCTCCGATCCCGCAGAGAAACTGATCACGGCATCAACGGATGGTTGCTGAGGGCAACCAGTTCTCTCTAGCGGTTGCCAGATCATGCAGAGGTGAGATCTCCAGAACGCCATCATAGTAGTCGCAATCAGAACTCAGAGTGAGAGATACCTATATACACTGAAAGGTCAGTGATTCACATTTTCCCTCTTGCCCGATCCCTCTACCACTTACTACTCTGAGACCTTTAAGATCACCGGGACAAGCTGGTTTGATTCAAATGCCAATAAGCCTAGTGAGTAGCACATTTGTGGCCAGTCAATTCCAATCGCTTATAGAATGTTGATCTATTTTACCAGTGATCAGTCGACTTGGTGTCCAAGCATTCCCGTTCAATTGCAAACTGCACGACGCTCGTCGACTTTGAGGAAGCTTTGGGATTGAATGCTATCCCCGGATATCCGGCAGCCGGTGGTCCGTTGGTCTGCAAGGAAGGTGGGTTGCCAAGTTTGGCAGGTATTGTGCATCGTCTGCTTCTTTTCGTTGACAGCTCCGTTCGATTTGCAGATTCCCCTCTTTCCTTCCTTCCACTACTGCGCTTTGCTTTTCTCCCGTCGACGACTCCCCCTCCTCACATTTTTCTGATCATTGCTCACCTCTCCCGCCCTGTTTGCTCTTGGATACGTATTCTCGACACTCTTGCGGATCGAATGACACCCATTTTGTGGGGGTTTGTTTTGTGGGTTGTAGATGCCATGCAATAGTGTCTTCAACACTATCGTATTTGCGACTTGTTACAATTCTGAGGCTTTCCACCTGTACCCATCGCATCTCCCGTCAAATCTGACCACGGCATCGAATTCTCGAGAACTCTACGAGTCCAACGATACCGGTTGTTCCGCGTAAGGCTCAAACCCAACCATGCCAGCACGCGTTTTCTTCTGTGGTGCACATTTCATTCGTATGTCTTCTACTGCTCTTTTCATTTTTGTCGAATTCGCCATCCTGAATCCTTTCCCATCCGTTATCATCTGCTAGTTGCAATGTCTGGGTCCGTGCGGTTTCATTGATACCAAGCATGCCGTTGCAGGCACAGCGGGCGCAGTGTGATGGTTCAAAAGTCAAAGGTTTGTCTGTCTTCAGGTGTTTGTCGAGTCCCTGTGATTTACTGATGTTATTGATTGTTCAGGCTTTAAGATCAGCAGAGGGGATTGCCTACATCTACCGTTTGTCTCTATTCGAGCACCGACTTCTTCTTGGATGCTGGAATCATCACTTTGCGTGAAAGGTTCACCGTAATATAGATTATTTGGTAAGTTAAATTTATTACATTTCTTTCGCTCATCTGACTGACCGGAAAACCCGCAGTCGAAGGTTGACCACTTCGTGTAGTTGTGCACGTCTTTGTTCATCTCATGGTGAGTATATCGCGCTCGTATCTGATACGATTCAGCATGTTCCTAATTTCTGTTCTACCTGTCGCCAAATGTCCCGTCTGAATTATTACAATGTCGCTTAGCTAGCCACTCAAATCTGTGAGTCGTGTATCTTCGTTATTATCATTTTCATCATACTGATATTAATCTCGCAGCTTCTCTATCGAAAGTCGTGTTTCCGGAAAATGGCGGATACTCACAGGGTCGTCTAGATATTCGAGTGAATGAGTTGTGGTAGAGGCAGGATGAGGTTGAAAGGTGTTATAGAGGATTTCACTTCGGGTGCGTCATCTGTATCTCTGTGTTCAAGTTACTCGTTGACTCATCCTCTCATTTCCAGAGATGTCATTAGTATTGTACCGAAGGTTCCACCTCATTTCCCAGAAAGTGTATAGATTGTCACCGCTTTGTATAAGCAAATGTCGACCTTTCGACGTCTCGTTGATCGGTCGTTTATCAGATCAACCAATCCCCTGCTTTCCTGTTCTCAATGTTGTGCCGTCTCAATTGTCTGTAGACGGCAAACATCCCAGACATTTGCACGATCTCTGCTGTGGTCTCGCGCACTCCTGCCGCTCTCGAACCCAAAGCCCGTTCATTGCAAATGTCGCCTATCTCCAAGTCTACCACATGTATTTTCCCTTGCTTCGAATTCCACACCATCTATTCGAAATTATCTTGCATGCTCAATTGTCACCTGCCCCTACTTTCTATTGGTTTATTCGTTTGGTACGCCTTGCTATGTTTCATTTCTATTTCCTTCTCTATATTTCATCCTGCGGGCGAGAGATTCGCAATTCGAAGTCCTCAACGCTTTACGTAGTAGATAGCTTTAGACGTGACGAAACGTACACAGTAAGTACATCGGGTTTATGTTTTTTTAATTTACCTCCCAATCATGTTGACGTATTCGTCTATAGACCGGATACTGGTTCTTTGGTGAAGCAGCTCATGTCTGCAAATGACGGCTTGCCGTCATCAATACTTTACTATCCCACCGTTCTCGATCTCACAGCATTCCCTCTTGAAATGTCGTCTTCACCCTCTCCAAAACATTTCGTGCCCCTGGATGAGGTCTCATGCTATGCTCGTATCGATAGTCTTCCCCTTGTTCCGAAGTGGCTGCATTAAGATCGACTACACAATCAGGAATCGTGGTGCGTCTTTTTAAATATATTCTCTCACCTTCAACTCATCGTCTTCAGGTCTGCTCAGTGTGAGGACGTTGCAGCATGCCGTCTGAACACGATGGCTTGCTATCGGTTTCCTCTTCCCTTTCCTGTCGACACGCTGGGTTCACGCTCTCTGGTCATTCTCCAGCAATACTTTAGATTCATTTTGCTCTCCCATCCCTCTCGCTCTCACATGTCGACATCTCCACGCCCCACTTTGCGACAGGCTTTTCATATCCTAGAGCCACATCTATTGCTACGGCGTCGTTGCGCCTGACGTAGCCCTCGATTCGGAGTGGCTATCGGAATGCCTTCATTCCTCGGCTAATCACCCTGTTTCAAGATATCCTTTCGTCTCGAACTTGTTGCCTACAGGGTCTCTTCGAAGCAGAGACATCGAAGGCGTCGTCCGTAGACGACGACCCTTGCCATTCTTTCCCATCAGTCTCATGTTGTTGCGTTGCTCCCTTCGCCGCGACACGTCCATAGACAACAAGTTGTGAGTCTCGGATTGGCGTCTGGGCAAGTGACTGAGTCACTCGACTCACCCTCACAACGAGCAACGTCTTCCGTGTTTCGCTAGCAACACTGCCTCGAGTGAGACGATCGGTAGACGTCTCTGTATCCACAGATGTCCACAGATATTGCGGGTACTTGGTGAGTCATTTTTTTTTGTTTCGTTTATTGAAATGTCGCTTATCCGTGTCTACAGACATTGATTGAAGGGCTGCTCCATATTGGAACCTCAATGCGGAGGGTGCATCTTTAGACGGAGAGTACAGCCTTTGCCGTGGATCGTGTCGGTTTACCTTATGCGAGGATCGTTGGAGGATCCTTGCTCGTCTATGGACGAGCTGCTCGAATGCCTTTGCGAGTAGTAGGCCGGCCGATGTCGAGTGTAAACGTCCATCTTCGACTGGCGTTAACACTCGTCACAACACCCATAGACGAGCGAAGCAAATATCTTTGCGCGTGCGGTAGTTTGGGATGAGACGAGTACAGAGGTGGACCTGTGGCTTGCATTCAAGACCGTGTCGCTGCTGATATGTCTTTTTCGCACTTGTACGGCAGCAGGCGTACGTCTTAAACCGGCGTGTAGTACACTCAACATTTCTGGCAAGTTTGCTCTCGTCTCGTGCAAATGTTCACTAATTTATCAGCTTCAACAGTGTCGCGGGAAGCTCTTTCTTGCATTTGAGGATGAGGAGAGGTGGCAGCGGAGAGGATTTTCGAGCACTACCTTACTATTAATCCGATGTAGCATGCTCTGTGCTTGAGCAATTGACCAATGACCATTTTACTTGCAAACTCGAGTGTTCTCTCTGTCTCATTTCCCTGCCCTTCTCTCAGCGTATCAGGATAGTTCATTGTGCTCCCAGTGTTCTGCATCACCCTGTGTTCTCTGCGTCCCAGAGAGCTCCTTATTCCCTCTGTACCCAGTAATACTCCCCGTGTTCCTGGTGTCCTACAATACTCCCCATGTCCCTTGTATCCTACAATACTCCCAGACTCTCCATTTTATCAAAAGACTATCGCAAACAACTCGTAGCAAGCCAAACAAATATATTCGCACGAACACCGCTACGTACATGTTCACCATGCCGCCCACCGGTTGACCCGCAAATGGCAACCAACGAGAGCAAAGCGAAGACAAAAGGAGAAACGAGGGATTTCGGGAAACTCACCTTAGGCTCCTCCAAACAAGCATCCACGCCGGGCTTCAAGTTGCGCAAATCGCTGAACACGCCCTCTTCGAATTTCTTCATGTTCCGCACCGGTCGGCCAAACGCTTCAAATCGGAATACCAGCGCGCGTACAATGTCCGTTCCTACAACGAACAGCGAACAAATCAACAAGCCAATCAAGTGAGAGTGCAAGGGAATTACATACCGGTGATATGATATAACCCGCCCCAGAGTACGCATGATACGTACTCGTTATTGGGAAGGAGGAAGCGGTTTAGTGCGGGATGAGTCGAGGATGGATGACCCAGTGGGAGCGAGTCTGTGGCAGAGAGAAATGGATCAGCGGTTCAATTCATGTACGCCGTCCAGATTCACAAATACCCACCACCACCAACCACACCTCCAACATCCGTACTCCATCGACTCGGCGCGGTAGCCAAGAAGAACTTCAGCCGATCCAAGTGCGTGAGCAGTTCGCGTTCCTGATGGTTCAAAGGTCGACTCAGACCCGTAAACGATGCGCTGATGCTATCAGCCGAGGACAGTTGAGCGCTGAAGGAATCTGGGGCGTCGAGGGCGAGAGAAGAGGAAGTATGGGAAGGCATGGACATGGGAAGGGAATTTGACATGGACATGGTGTCGAGCATGGAAGACATGGACGAATCCTGCATTTGAGACATCCCATTCATCTGACTCTGACTGAGAGATGAGAGCGAAGGAGGAGGGATTCTCGATGGATGAGCAGTCTCTTCCTCTGGCTCATGGTGCACGCCATTGGCGTTCGTCTGGATCTGCAACGCCGATCCGCCTTGCTGCGTGAAGGGAGAGGGCGAGAAGCGATGATCCTGCTCCTGGTTCACTTGGTGGGATGGATAGGACGAGTAGAGTCGGTTGGCGTTGCGCATATGTGAATGCGAATGCAAAGACGAGGACGATGGAGTAGACGTGGATGCAGAGTATGAAGGGATGGAAGCCATGGCGTAGTGATGAGAATGGGCTACTAGCGTGTCCATGGAGGCGATAGCGATATTATACTTGTAAGGGTAAGTATGAATGTTGATCAGGCAATTTGGCGAGGGAACGTCAGAGAGATGATAACTGGCAAGCTCGTAAAGTATAACTGCGAGAACGAAGAGGATATTAGGGAGATTAGGGTGTAGGGAGAGGGGACCCAGACGCAGACGGGGGAAGGAGAGAAAGATGGAAACGATTAGCGAGATGGTGGAAGAAGAGGACAAAAAGGTAAACGCACGTTATGCAGATGGGGGGGCCGGTGATGGGAAAGCACAGAGCTGAAGATAGGATCAACACGAGATCCAACCAGCCAGCAAGCACGAAAGGGCAGGCGTGTTCACAGCACGGTGGGTTAGGACAGGAGGGACTTATATCGGAGGACGGGTTTATAATATACGAAGCAAACGTCCTCGGTCTTTGGAGGACGACCCACAGGCCAGGATTAGAAATAAACAACTGAAATAGGAGCAAGCAACTGCAATCGAGGACGGACGCAGCTTCGGCGCCTGCTGCATGGGGCCGTTATATGCCTCCCGAGGCCCCTGGCTGTCGGCACGTCCCCAGCGCCAATCCAGGCACGTATCTCAATCCTCTCCGCCGGTCCAGTTCACTCGCCCACTCTCCGCCGTGGTTCGCGATCCCCGGCAGCTGGACGCAGTGGACAAGTCGTCAGAAACAACAGAACACCAGTGCGGGTACAGTCCACGTCCAACAAGTCACTCTCAGGCAGATCTCCCATGCTTCTTTCTGTTCCCAACTCGCACCTCCCGCATATACTTCGTACCTTTTCTGACGCTCTCCTTTTCGCTTCACTGACACCAGCGCCGCCTGCGAGTCCTTCTTCTCTGGCACTTTCCGAGTTTCGAATCGCATTCATCCATGACGACCCTTCCTCGCTCCTGTCAACGCTTAGACATATAGCTCGCTCATAGATGCATCGATGAATCTTCTCGTCATCTCCTCGCTCTCCCACCCTCACATCCGCACCGCCATCCCACCATCTCACCACACAATGCATCGCCTTCAATAATCTCCAATAATCTTGCACTTTCAACGCACTGCCTTTCGGCGTTCAATCCAGCTTACCAGCGCCTCCATGCACCATTCCAGGCTTGAGTTGCACTGACTTCAAAGTCCCAACCTTTGCAACGTTCTCTTTGTTCTCTCTCGGCCCCCCGTCCTCTCTCTCTTTGTGATCCGGCGGCCGATGAATATCCCTAGATCAGGCATTAAGCACTTTCAATCATAGTTATATCCGAATCCATTTACTTCTCCGAGTTCTTTCGGTGTCTCACTGACAATCGCAACGACCTTGGCAATCGAATAACTTATCCCCTTTCATCTGATTCGAACAATAGACATTTCAACTCGTACATGTGGAATCCACATGCCTTCTCTCCATGGCACTACATACCCGTATAGCAAACATCTCCAGAATACTAGACGTCGAAAGATACATTAATTATGGCGGCCGAGTGAACGAGTCTTTAATGCTTCAAGCTTCATTGATCGTGGACATCCGGCGACCGGTCGTTCGTGGTGAACAAGTACTGCTACAGAGGCCGAATTCATCGTGCACGTACATACAGCCTGGCCGTTGAATGATTGCTCATCGTAATGAATCATTTTGTCTCGAGTCCTCAACCGCGTTTCGGTGAAATCAGCGTACAGACCGAACAAATCACCCACAGACACTCTAACATTCCAACACTTTATTCCTGATACGAAAGCGTTCTGGAGGGTCTGATTATGTAGGAATAGACACCGGGGCCCTTGCAATTATTGTTTTGGCCTTCGGAACGACTGAATGCTTGCAACGGTCTCCCGCCGCATGGTGTTACGACCAGACTTCCCCGTCTCTTATTTTCTCCTCATTTTGAACTCGGTTTTTTTTTTCGGTTGTAGTGTGATATACAATGTTAGATAGTAGCAAGCAGGAATATGCTACGACGAGAGAAATGATTGGTGGCTACCTGCACTAAGATAGAGAGAGCGGAACGCGAGCTCGAGCCCTGGATTGGAACTAAATCGAGTGACCTGTTGCGTTATTTCATAGTGTGGTGTACCTTGTAAGTAATAAGCAGCGGGGTTAAATGCAGGCAAGGGAGTCAGAATATCAAAAAAGATAATCGGTACAAGAATAACAGCGCAAGAATGACGGCGCGATATTCAATAGGAAGAGAAAAAAGAGGAAGGACGGTGGGCCCACTTGTGATCAAGCCCCATGAAGATCTATAAATGCTTGGACATGTAGAGGTAAGCAAAAGGAGCTGCTCGGCAGTCCCTGGACCTCACGAGCAATTCAGTCCCAAGCATGGGGTAGGCGACGAAAGCTCTTTCAGGGACGCATTGACGCAGAGTGATCATTTCCTGGAAGCAAGCTCGGCGTTGTGATCTCCCGTCAGTCTTAACTATGTCGTCGGTTCGCTGGTTGCTCGGAAGTGCAAGCTCATTGACTCTCGAAAGAAAATCTAGTCATCAGAACTATTAACGAAGCCGCGAGATTAACCATTTACACACATATATACAGTAAGTTCACCTACCACCCCGAATCGAAGAGGCTTTACGATCATCTCAAATCTAGTACAAATCTCGAAGGGAAACCCGCCTGAAAGAAACAAACCTGAATTGAATTGAATTGAATTGAAGGAACGAAACACACTAGGGTCAGAGGACATCGCAATAATTGGCTTATCACAACACGATCGAACACCACATGCTTTTACAGCTTTCAATCGCACGATACGGGTGACCGGCGGAAGGAGAACTGACGGGAAGGGCCCTTAAGCCAAGGGCCCTTAAGCCAAGGGGTGGACGTGTTCGATCATCCAGTAATCAGATTTGCAATCGACCTCTTCCCCGTCGGCACTGGTCGTAGTCACGCGTACGACTTCGCCATTAGAAAGGTGCACGGTTCAACGTTCAACGTGAGTATTAAGGCCGAGGAGCTGGAAGAGTTGGAGAAGGGGAATACTAATTCTAATTATGAATAGGCGGGAGGGATGAGTGGATTGGGGGTAACGGGGAGCGGAACTGGAGTTGAGCCTATCTCGTGCAGCGTAGATGAGTCAGTACGTACCAATATCCATAATGGACAAGCAAAAATTTGAGTATCAAGTTGAATCGAATCACTAGGACATGTTGTGAGTAATAAAATTCAAATGTCCCTGCACGTATGCACTTCAGGCGACGACGGTATTAGCAGGATCCTGCTGCGGTTGTTACTGCTTATTGCCGTCCTTTCCCGTGAAGATAGCAACATAGCTCGATGACTTGGGTCCACATGCGTTAGACGACGCAATGAGTCCGAGGAAAGACTCGGCTTAGTGACCCCATGAGTTGCGAGCTTACAAAGTCAAATACCAATAGACACCTCCGTTCCTGATCGAGCGAAGGTACCGACTCAGAACGAGTCAACTCACCCACAACTTCGGGACATATTCAGAGCCCCTTTGCTGACATTCACCAAACCCTCGAGCGAATGAGCACACGTGTCCATATACCTCCGAGTTGAATAATTGTCAGTAATTGTAAAGCACAAGTCCCTTCATCGGAAATTGACAAACCTCCCAAGCCAATGCTTAAGCAAAGTAACCGCGAGATTGGAGATTCAGGCTTTCATATTGAGTAGATGAGTGACCGCACTCAGGGGTTAAACCTGAAACGTTTCCCCGCAAGCTCGATTACCGATTGCGGACTGACCGTCACCTTCCAGCCAATCACATTACTCCCTTCAGTATTCACCCAAATCTGTTCCAATCGACTCCCAGACTGAGATAGGTAGTCGACGGGCAAGAGAAACCAGGAGGCGCTGAAGCAGTGAACACCTCGCGTGGCTTTGCCTCCGATCGTGTTCGCACTTTACGATCGGGGAAGTTTCCTTTCGGAAAAGGCACTAGATCATAGGCCTTTGTAGAGTTATGAGCGGGAAGAGTGAAGAGTTCTGGAAGGGGAATCGGATCCTGGAGGCGGGAAGGGCGTGGGGATGTTCCGATTTGGGGTCGGAAAGTAGGGGGAGATAAACCCAAGGGGTAATGAGAGTGATCAATGGACGACGAATTTGAAAGGCATAATGGTGGGCGGGATTGTTAGATAGAACACCCACGACGAAGATAGATAGTAACTCATACCTAATTGACTGACTGATCGACTCGCCAAAGAGGAAGTCCAGGAAGATATAATCTACTGAGTATGTTTTTGTTAATATTGCTTCGGCTAAGAGCTTGACTAAAATCAGAAAGCTTACCATCTTCGACTGATCAAAGAATCCAGGTGGTGCCTTCAAGTCCGAAGAACGATTCGACTTGACTGTAAACCTTCGACTGACATGCCCATCTTTGGATAGCTGAGTCGGATCGAAACCGGGGCCTTCGAAGACGTACACACTCAAATCTTGACTTGATGCTGATCACAACGCTTCCCTCAGAAGCTCGCATAACGGATGGCATGTCGAGACGTCTGATACGATGAATACAACACCAAACTTGTACCTGTTGGTGTAAATGATCAGCTCGAACTGACTCCATTTGGAACTGGTCGGAAGGGAGACGATAGAAATGGCAGTAGATTGAACATCCCGGCGGTATCCCCAGTTTCCCCGCCGGCACTCCTATCTCTGAACTTCAAGCAGTGCATACTGCCAGTGGGGTCAACGAGATTATCTATCACTCGCGGCAAGGGTGTACAGCGCATTCGACAATTGGCCATTCCACCTAGAACGGCAATCCTTGACCTCCGCCGTCACGGCAGACCAGTTCACAAAGAGTGTGGCTTGAGCCATAGACATGGAACCTCCTTTCGCACGTGCTATGGCGAGTCCGGAATGCAGGACGTAGACCGTCGGGTTGGACGGCAAGAACGTTGAGGGTCTTTGAAGTCATGAGTTGAGTTTACGGAGCTGGGATTGCGGGATGAACGTTAAATGTCTTTAGGAGTTTCGGAAATGCGATAAGGACCCTGGACGATTACCCAGTCCTGCGCCGTCTCGAGAATGGAGTTCGGAAGGGCGAAAGGGTCATGCCCTCCGTGTACCTCAAGACTAAAATTGAGTGTGCGGCAAAGGGGACTATTCGATTCTACGCACGCATTTCGATCACTTTGCCATGTGTCGTTCACGCACACACACTCTTAGCATAATCTCTCTCCTATGACATATCTTGCGCAGCTCTCATCGAGATTGGGTCACCGGCCACGCGAGCAAGGCCGGAAGAAGTTGCGGTTTCAGCTCGTTGGAAGCTGACTCTTCACACTGGACAGCTGCATAAGGATAGGGGCAGGTACTGCCGTCGGTTGAGGTGGCTGTAGTCTCTATAGTGTTTCCGCGTGCAAGCCACGAGACGGCACAGGGTTCAAGTTCATGCAAAAAGTAGATGCCGCCGGTGTAGCCCTATTGCCACTGACGTTGACCGAGAGGCCACCAGGTTCAGGCACCCACAGCGATCGCTCGACGTTCAGTCGTTGCTTTGACATGGCACACGTCCGGCAGACTCACAGTGGTCTGTTTCCATTCTCAACTTCCTTGCTATGCCTATGGGCACTTCCCGGACCAGCCGTTCGTACGCACAGGCGATTGAGTTGTCGCTCGCGGCAGACTGTAAGCCTTGAGAGAATCAGTGAGAATACGAGGTTCATTAATGACGGTGATGGGCAGTTTCATACCTTCTACGTAGCACCAGCAGTTACGAGGGTCCATAGAGTACAGTACCCTTGATTTTATAAGGGGACGCGAATGATGAGTATCGCACGTACTACGGACTCTACAAATGCAAGGTTCAGCACAAATCTATCAACTCAACAGTGATTTCGAAAGCCGCTTACCGGAGTTATATATTGAACATTTATTGAATAGGTGAAATTAGTGATGCCTCTAAAATGTGTAAGTGTAACCGTTTATCCGAGTCGTTGGAGTCACATACCTTCCGCGAATCCAATTGCGTTTCCCGCCCGCTTTCTTTCGTTCAAACGGGCAGTCCACGAATAGGGCATCGACCAGCTCTATAGTGCAAATAAAGGTTACATGAGCAGGTACAAGCAGATTGCGAAGTCAACGCTCACCAGCGGGAACAAGATGACCAGTCGCCAGTGAAGCGCATGCCAGCGAGTCGGTCGAGACAGACAGCGAGACGGACAGTTGAACACGACGGTCACAATGAATAGAATGAATGAATAGTCGTAGGCAAAAACCAAAACATGTCGACGAGGGGGGGAAAGAAGGATGAAAGGTGAAGAAATGCCCTTGGTCTTTCAATGCTTCAACCATGGTCCTACTTATACACCCAGTGGAAGAAGACCCCAAATTTCGCATCGGCCAGCGACGCCCGGTATCTAGGTAACACGTTGCGAGGTGCGTATGTACGAGGCATGAGAGAACAAGGGTTGTTTGACAATCGAGGATTGAGGTAATGAGAGTGGGAGGACGAACTCATCGGATGGACGGTAGTTGAAGCGAGAGTGTTTCAGAACATCCACAGACGAGAGACAACCTCGTCTGCGGTTTTCGGGATATCGATGTTCAGATAGCCGGCGTTCCTGACTTGACAAACTTGCATGTCATCGGGGTACGAAGCGGATATTGGGGGAATTTCAGCGTGATGCAAGAATGATGAGCCCGTCAGAACACTCGCCTTTGAGAGAAAGACATCTGAATGCGAAGCTCGTCATGCCATATTTACACCTTTGCTTCACCGTACAAACAAAAACGAGAGTCCTGCATCGAGAAGCAAAGGCTGGGCTTGTCACGGCACTGCAATGAATCCGAGACGACGGCTTCCTAGCGCGTCACTTGTGTAGTACTCAAATCGTTCAAACTCACGATGTCAACAGCAGATTGGCATAGTTACATGCCGAATCGCAAACCATTGGGAACATCTCGCCAAGCTCGCCCAATGAGTGCTGTATTTTAAATCAGCTCCTTGACGTCATTGAATTGAATCTTGAGTGTAAAGGTGATGGTTGAGCTGCTTGGGGGTTGAGGTAACTAGAGCAGGAGATAAGTGTATCGGCGGTGATGGCTGGAAGCGAGTCTGTTCCAGAGGATCGACAGACGAGAGGAAACCTCGTCTGCGATCTTCGGGATATCAATGTATGGACGGCGGGTAGACTTGGCAACCTCATATGTTGTCTGAGGAACGGATGGATACTGCGGGGGATATTAGGCTCATGCTAGAATGATGAGTAGTCGAAATAGTCACCGAGAAAAAGAGATCTGCAGAGGAAGCACCTGTGCTTCACCGTACAAACAAAAAGAGAGCTTTGTGTCGTCAAGCAAAGAGTGGGCTCGTCGCGACACTGCAATAGATCTAGGATGGTGATGTGTTGTACCGTCACTGGCGTGATATGCAGACCATTCAAACTCACAATATCGGCTTCAGATTTGAAATCTATTTTCTGACAGCATGCCGGATGACGTCTCCAGAGAGTTTTTAGTCAAGCTGTCGCATCGGCGGGTGAATGCAACAAACTCTATCTTGAAAATTAGCTCATTAGTATTATCGACTGAAATCTTGAGTATTGAAATGAGGGTAAATGCGTCAGAAATACTTGTTCCTGGAAGAAGGAACAAGGATGGTCTCTGCATCTTCATCCGTCCGAACCATTATCCTGACAAACGAGACTTCAGGTCCGGCAGAAGATTGACAAGCATGTGACTTAAACTCGAGCGAAAGCGTCACGCCCAACCTGTAACCTAGCAAGTATTGTCAACGTGTAAGCATCAGTGTAGCGAAGACGACACATATGATAAACAACATACATGCCGACTCTCCGTGACCGAAGGACAGGCTGGAACTGCATCGCACGATCTGGACGTTGGCTTCTCATTTCTCGTTTCCGTTTCAGAGTGCGCGCCGAATGACGAGAACTAACAGCCATGACGTCAGTAGAGCTGTGTGAAAAAAACATCAATACAAGGGGTTCTCGAAAGAGATGACAAACGTCGCAGATGGATTATTGAATTGTTGGGGTGCGAGTACGCCGGTCATCTATCGAAAACGAGTGACACTGAATGAAAAAGAACTACGTCCTGGAATGAAGTGCGTGGCATTAACGAATATCGTTAGCAACATCCAGCGAGGTTATATGAGATACCTTTATAGATACAAGATTTCCAATGTACATAAACAACCTAGTGCAGCCGAGCCGTTATAGTGAGCTGGGAAGAACTGGGAGAAAAAGCGGGTGGAGGTCGTACCATTCGATTTACATGTTTCCCCCGGCTGAGCATGTACATTCCATAACTTGGTATATGCGGCTTTCAACGACTATGAGCTAGTGTGTGCAGAGCTGGAGGTTGATGTGAATCTCGGATGGAATCAAGTCGGAGAATGGAGCGAGAGCAGGGAACCTCGTGTTCCTTGTCTCAGGAGTCCGCGTACATGACCCTTCAACCGCTGAGTCAGACTTATGGTTTCCTGACGAACATATTAAATGACGACTTACGTGTAGAACACTGGCTTAAATATCAATGGACATTTCAACTCACTTTATAGGATGCTTGCTCGCCTGCGAGTCCCGTCTTTCGTCGACTTCTATGAAGCTCTTGATGAGTATACTTCGTAAAGCTAGGAACGCATTCAGCGCGACGAGATAAAAATATCAAACAAGTGGTATATAATACCACGAAAGGCGACAACCCGATTTGACATACCGACCATTCCAGGATGTCCTATGTTGAAGACGAAAGTAGGATTCGTCTCATATTAAACGAGAGCTGTAAGACAAGAGGTGGCAATGAGATACAGGAGGAACAAGGATGGTCTCTGCATCTTTACTGAAGATGAGGATTTGACACTTGTGTCATCGGAAACCCGGCGAAGAATCTGTATGAGCGATCTTAGAGGATCTGAATTAGAAGCATGATATGGGTATATTACCACTATATTACAGGGCCACTGTAGTTGGCCTTTCGAGATTTGTTCACATGTAACAAGTGAACAATATAATGAGACCTTTTCGCCGAGTCTCTCGATACAGTAGCATACAAAGAAGGATGGCCAGCTATCATTAGGGAAAAGAACTCGTGTGAATCTCACCATAACGTTAAATAATACGATGGCGTTATCATTCATCGAATCATCGCGATGCCTTGAATACGCCTGTTGTATCTGAGTTGGGTTTCATAGTCAATCACAACTTGAATATTATAAATAGAGAGTGTTTAGGTTAAAGGAATGAGAGGTCGATACTCACCTAAGCCTACGTCGCATATAACCGGACAGAATAGTCATACGCGAGTATAAATGGTCTCAGCGTCGGTTGCGCGAGCATCTCTAAAAATGAGTATTGTCAAAGTGCAAGAGACGGGGCATGTAGCGATGAAGTGAGCCAGTCGCTGTTGTGCAACTGGTTCGTACTAGTGTCATAGGACAGCCTAGAGTCGAGTACCAGTCTACAGGTAAGATTCAGTTCAAACGTTAATTCTGTACATAGAACTTACGGGAAACGGGTGGTTCACCTGCATGACAATCACTACCCACTCACTCAAGCCATGTTGGCGTAGTCGAAGATTCAAAGGATCACTGAGCTTGGATTATGTTGCGTCCGAACGCGCCGAGCACGCAATGGAGACCAAGATATTTCCAAGCAGATATTTGTTCAATAGCCAGTTGAGAGCAAATGACGAAGCTCTGGAATTGAAGTAACAGAGAACTGAGCGAGCTTGAAGTTGAATGTTCGATTTGAATGATCGAAGAATGATCAAGGCCCCGATATGGCAATCCTGCTTGCATGACGCAACTTCAACTTCGACACTCGTCCACGTCCCTCTTTCTGACACTTCGATGGCACTTAAGCCTATCTCAACTTTTTGTCTTGTCGGTATGTAGTTTTCCTATTCCGCTGATCTATTGCTAGCTTCCTAAAGTACAGATTCGTTCTACAGGCAGCTCTTAGATATTGTAACAAACTCAGAAATCATACCGGCTGTTCCTCCTGAAATCTCATCCTCAACTCCTCTCATTCGATCGCATTTAGCTGGAGCTTTCTAGCACGCTTCAATGACCTTTTTCTGCGCAGTTCATTCATCTCTGCGAGTTTCCGCAACTCGCACAAGTTGCTGTATCGCAAGTCAATCGGACGTTCTCCTTCACATCGAATACATATCTTCTGATATATTCCGGAGCCTCCTCGGAATGCTTCCAAGTGCTGGGAAATACATATCCAGATATGGGGTTGCAGGTGTGATGTCATCCCTAGGTTCCTTAGATCTCTCGCCCAATTAATCCTTCAATTCGATCCTCGCTCACATGATACCACCGATCTGGCACAGGTAGACAACGGCAATCTTGGCGAGATCGCTGCTGCCAGTAACAGAACGGAGAGCATTTATTCGGCCATCTGGTGGAATGACTTTGAACGGGACTGAAGGTAGGTACGATAAACCTTAATTCACTTTTTGCTTCGTCCGGCATGTCCGGGTCATTCCCTTGAGATCCCGCGGGTTTATTCAACGTTGTTTTCACTGCAGATTCATCCCAGTCGCTAGCAGTCTCGATTTCACTGCTGGCCGTCTCAAAACTCTATATTATCCATCGCACCTTGCTTTTCCGATTCTGTGTGGTGCCGCTAGCCAAAACTGATGAGATAAATGTGCTTTCAGCGTCTGAACAGCACAGTGCTATCTGGAGGCCATCCACGTAAAGTACCTGAGATATTCCGGAAGGAGAAGTCCAAGGCTGATAGCCTCGAGCCGACACCAGAAGAAGGGGCCGAGAGCCGTATTATCATTGGCGAAGTCTAAGAAGAACTCCATTCCTTGGCAGATGCCTGTGACAGCAACACGATTATGGCTGCAAAGTGTGACATCGTCGACACCATTCGGATTGACGAGAACGACCTGGCGCCGTTGGTGGCCCTGCTGACTCTAGTCCTGCCGTCTTCCATGCCGACCATTACTGTCAACTCCAAGATGCCATCCACACCGCTTCCATCCCTGCTTCTTTATGCTCGAAGAACTTTCCTCGCTTGTCTCATTCTTGCTTCAAAATTCATGCAAGATCGAGCCTATTCCAATCGTGTTTGGGCGAAACTCGCTGGGCTTCCCTCTCGTGAAATTGATCATTGCAACGAGCTTGCGGTGAAGCACTCCAATGACATCGTTGGGTTAGCAAATTCCCTGCCAACGTGACTGCATCTGCGAGTGGACTTCATCCTGTTACGAGGTGCCGAAGCGAGAACGATCTCTCCTTCAGTGTCAGTGATCCTGCCATCATGCCGGTATTGCTGCCATTTGCGTCAAGTATTAGCAAGGTTTCTGGGCTTCGACAACATGCTACCGTGCGGACTTTGGGTTCGAACTCGGCTCCTGTCCAGGATCGGTTTGTGCAACATTCGATGTTCTTGAACTCAAGGCCAGTGGAAGAACCGGAACGGATGCCTGCAGCTACGTGCCAAGTCGAATCCCCGTCGGCGATGTTTGTTTCACCTCCCACAATGTTCGTCACGCCGCCTCTGGCATCTTCGCCAGGATGTATACCTCCACGCCTTCACTCAATCTCGCATGTCTTCACAGACGTATTTTTGCCCTTGCTGTTGACGCCAGGACTGTCTTATTTCCCCATGTCGACTGCCTCTACGTCTTCATCCGAAAAAATTCCAGCTCATCCATATGCATAGGCACGTATGTAGTAAGTCTATTCTATTGGCTTATCGAATGGGATGATCGTAACGCTGTACTATATTGGGGTGAACTGTGACAAGTCGAAATTCAATTCGCGCTGTGAATGCTGTACACCACGCCGAATGCCATTCAAGTTTGTCATTCTCACATAGGTCCACTGATGTCTTCACTGTCGCTTCTCATCTTTTGCTATGCACCCTGAGACAGTGATGAAAAATACTAGACCGATGTTCGGATTACGCAGTGGACTCATCCTGTCTCTTGGTCTCAAAAAATTGGTACGTGGATGTTTCACTTATATCTACTGTCTTCGCTACGTTGGTGCTTACACGTTGGTGATACTTCCTAGGTTACGGTTGGGCGTGCCACCTCCGCCTAATTTTAGGTCACGACCTGATCAATCTTCTGCCTAATCTTGAATCTAGGCATCCTAGGGAGACAGCAGCAGCCGTACGCCAGCCGTACGTTCAAACCGTTCAAACCTAGCGTGGGTACATCCGGTGTGTGAACCTCTGATTGAGACCACCTTCTGCCGGTCCTCGAGTTTTCAAGTCTTGTTTCTGAGTGTCGTTATTCTGCGAAATAAAGATGCAGAGACCATCCTTGTTCCTCCTTCAAGCTTAGCAAGCAGTTTCCATCACAAGTCCTTCACAGATCCTTCTCATTTTCAGTTTTTTTTTCGGCCCTGTTTCACTGTGCCATATCAGCGGCGCTGACACTCATAGATTATAGTTTGAAGATTCAGATTCAGGCTTCAAGCTTAGGTGGCCGGCTCATGCCCCGAATTCACCTTCGCCTTTCAGATTGAATAGGAAGACAGATTCTCAAGGTGTCAAGCTCGGCTCTTCCGGCGCGTGAAAGTGAAGGTCTCGTTGCTGTCTTCTTGAGCAGTCAGCTGGTCGGCTCACGGCACCCGTGCCCATTTCCAGGTCATCGAAGCAATGGCTGTCAAGTTATTTATTTTAATTTATCCGTGATGACAGTCCGGCATATACACACATGTCTCGCCTGGTCTAAGCACCTTGGTTGTCATTGTTTCAGCCAATATCGTCAGGGACCGCTGACTACCGCTAACTCGCCTGACCTCAGACTGGCAAAACATTGTCGAATGGACATCGTGCTACTATCCCGGCTGTCATTTGTAATACATTCAGCCCTAATACCGACGATCGATGATTTGCATTGGATGACATGTAGTGAGCGTGGAATGTGTGAAGTTGACAATGTATGTACATACAATTTCTGCGCTCATCGTGAACGTAGCACTGAAACAGACGACTCTAGGCGAATTGCGATTCTGTCAGAGATGCCTGCATCGGATGTTGCCTTTGTTTCCTTGCCGCACTCCATGCGAATCGCTATGTCGTAAGTGTTCACTATCACTGTTTCGAATGCAACAGAGTCATATTTGCTGATATCGGAAAACTCTTACTCTTGTAGCTGTACTAATCTGTTATTAGAAATTGCTTCAAGTCATTGATGCGAGGGCTACTTTAATACTGACACATCCGGAACAGTCTTCAAACTGACGGTGATTTGTTCTTATGTGCAGTGCAGTTGAGAATCCGACCTTGAGGCATCATGCCGAAATTTGAGTTGCCTTCGCTTCGCTAACGATGACGTTCCTTAGTAACTTGCCCCCTTAAGCACGAAAATCTCGTTAGATTTCAGATTTCAGATTCACGACATTTGAAAATTTCCTGATTTGGCAGACTTGCATAACTGAGTGTGCGGAAATATTGTGAATGGAGCGTTGCACCTTGAGGTTTGCCGACTGAGGTCTATATGTGTAGATGTTATAAAGGACAAGCTAAGAGATGTAACAAATATGCTTTCGCCACAATCATGCAGGACCCAGTTGAAAATTTAGCCTTAAGCCTTATCAAGGGTCACTCCGGTAAGTCTCTTTGCATTCGCACTGTGAGATATCACCTGACTTCAATTGTCACAGCTGTCAAAGGTGTGCTCAACCTGAAGGAGGGTCCACCTGGAGTCCGTCGTGAAGACCGTCAGGGTCAGCGGAAATACATTCGGGATAATATCAATCCCAAATTCCGTAAGTATTCTGATTTACCTCATCATTTCCATTTTTGTCGGCTTACTATGACTTTGTTCCAGGCCATGCAGTTGGAGTCCCCGAAGATAGTCGCATTCGACTTCCATGGGGATCACCAGTGAAGCTCATCACCAAGTATTTTGTTCGGCCTATTGGATACCCTCTCAAGTGTCCTCTTACTGATCCCAGTAAGCTCACGATGGAGGAACTCTGGATAGTGGTCTGTGCTGTCTATCAGGATATTTTCAAATTCCGTAGACTTACTTATGCCGAGCTTCAACTGCTTGATGCCAAATTGGAGGAGAGCGTGAGAATGGGGTTGTATGAGCCAGAGCGGAATCGGCAAGAGCGGGCTGACAAAGGAAATGCACGCGGCCGTCATAGAAACCCTTTGACAACTCGGAAGACCTATGGAGGATATATCTGCAGCCCAGAGATGGTTGCCATGGGGGAGGATCCTGATGATCCAATTGAGGAGTTTAGCGAGTAGCTCTAGGGTAGAATCTGAAAATAATACAATTAGCGAGAGTGTTCTTTGACGGCTTGACAGGTGTTGAACTGATTCAGTAAGTCATGTTATGCAAATACCCAGAGATACTCTTAGCAGAACCATTGGATCTGCTGAAATATGTCTGGGCATCTGCATGTTGTGAAGCGGGAACTCTGGAGACAGTATCCTGGATGGGGATACATCTCCGATCCTGCAGAGAAACTGATCACGGCATCAACGGATGGTTGCTGAGGGCAACCAGTTCTCTCTAGCGGTTGCCAGATCATGCAGAGGTGAGATCTCCAGAACGCCATCATAGTAGTCGCAATCAGAACTCAGAGTGAGAGATACCTATATACACTGAAAGGTCAGTGATTCACATTTTCCCTCTTGCCCGATCCCTCTACCACTTACTACTCTGAGACCTTTAAGATCACCGGGACAAGCTGGTTTGATTCAAATGCCAATAAGCCTAGTGAGTAGCACATTTGTGGCCAGTCAATTCCAATCGCTTATAGAATGTTGATCTATTTTACCAGTGATCAGTCGACTTGGTGTCCAAGCATTCGCGTTCAATTGCAAACTGCACGACGCTCGTCGACTTTGAGGAAGCTTTGGGATTGAATGCTATCCCCGGATATCCGGCAGCCGGTGGTCCGTTGGTCTGCAAGGAAGGTGGGTTGCCAAGTTTGGCAGGTATTGTGCATCGTCTGCTTCTTTTCGTTGACAGCTCCGTTCGATTTGCAGATTCCCCTCTTTCCTTCCTTCCACTACTGCGCTTTGCTTTTCTCCCGTCGACGACTCCCCCTCCTCACATTTTTCTGATCATTGCTCACCTCTCCCGCCCTGTTTGCTCTTGGATACGTATTCTCGACACTCTTGCGGATCGAATGACACCCATTTTGTGGGGGTTTGTTTTGTGGGTTGTAGATGCCATGCAATAGTGTCTTCAACACTATCGTATTTGCGACTTGTCACGATTCTGAGGCTTTCCACCTGTACCCATCGCATCTCCCGTCAAATCTGACCACGGCATCGAATTCTCGAGAACTCTACGAGTCCAACGATACCGGTTGCTCCGCGTAAGGCTCAAACCCAACCATGCCAGCACGCGTTTTCTTCTGTGGTGCACATTTCATTCGTATGTCTTCTACTGCTCTTTTCATTTTTGTCGAATTCGCCATCCTGAATCCTTTCCCATCCGTTATCATCTGCTAGTTGCAATGTCTGGGTCCGTGCGGTTTCATTGATACCAAGCATGCCGTTGCAGGCACACCGGGCGCAGTGTGATGGTTCAAAAGTCAAAGGTTTGTCTGTCTTCAGGTGTTTGTCGAGTCCCTGTGATTTACTGACGTTATTGATTGTTCAGGCTTTAAGATCAGCAGAGGGGATTGCCTACATCTACCGTTTGTCTCTATTCGAGCACCGACTTCTTCTTGGATGCTGGAATCATCACTTTGCGTGAAAGGTTCACCGTAATATAGATTATTTGGTAAGTTAAATTTATTACATTTCTTTCGCTCATCTGACTGACCGGAAAACCCGCAGTCGAAGGTTGACCACTTCGTGTAGTTGTGCACGTCTTTGTTCATCTCATGGTGAGTATATCGCGCTCGTATCTGATACGATTCAGCATGTTCCTAATTTCTGTTCTACCTGTCGCCAAATGTCCCGTCTGAATTATTACAATGTCGCTTAGCTAGCCACTCAAATCTGTGAGTCGTGTATCTTCGTTATTATCATTTTCATCATACTGATATTAATCTCGCAGCTTCTCTATCGAAAGTCGTGTTTCCGGAAAATGGCGGATACTCACAGGGTCGTCTAGATATTCGAGTGAATGAGTTGTGGTAGAGGCAGGATGAGGTTGAAAGGTGTTATAGAGGATCTCACTTCGGGTGCGTCATCTGTATCTCTGTGTTCAAGTTACTCGTTGACTCATCCTCTCGTTTCCATAGATGTCATTATTGTACCGAAGGTTCCATTCATTTCCCAGAGAGTGTATAGATTGTCACCGCGTTGTATAAGCAAATGTCGACCTTTCGACGTCTCGTTGATCGGTCGTTTATCAGATCAACCAATCCCCTGCTTTCCTGTTCTCAATGTTGTGCCGTTTCAATTGTCTGTATACGGCAAACATCCCAGATATTTGCACTTTCTATGCTGTGGACTGTCGCTCTCCTGCCGCTCTCAAACAATAAAGCCTGTTCATCGCAAATGTCACCTACCTCCGAGTCTACCACATCTATTTTCCCTTCCTTCCAATTCCACGCTGTCTATTTGAACTTATCTTGAATGCTTGATTGTCATCCGCCCCAAGTTTCTGTTAGTATATTCGTTTGGTGCGTCTTGCTATCTTTCATCTCTGTTTCCCTCTCCATAGTTCATCCCACGGGTGAGAGGAGATTCGCAACTCGATCACTCCTCAACACTTCATGTAGTGGATGACTTTAGATGTGACAAAAGATGAAAGCTACACGGTGAGTACATCGGGTTGATGTTTTCATATTCGAGAAGCTGAATGTCTACTTTATTTTCAAGATTCGCCATAACTTCGATCCCAGTTGCCATAAGCACAGCGTCATTGCAAACACTCTTTCCGGTGAGTCCTTAAGTTCCTTGTTTGTCAAATTTTCTCGTTTACTAAATCTCTTATTCACTTAGCTATTTGACTATCGTTGTTGGCCGAGCTTAGACATCAAGGATTGGAAAGGCAAAGGCGGGCTTACTGGCATGTCGCGAGGTGTTGAGGAAGGTTCGTTCGGGTACATCTTCAACATCCCTGCGCATCGCTGATTTACTAATCCTTTCTTGTTTACAGTCGTCGTTCGCAACTCGTCATTTGTTTTCGCCCGTTGTCCGTGACGACTCGTTGCCGCCCTGCATTAGCTAGGATCAACCTTTCTGCCTCATGTAGGCCTCGTCATTCAGGTACTCATATCCGGCTCCATTAACGCGTCTCTTGTTGTGCATCTCCTCTGCCATCCCAATTAAATTTCAGTGGTATCTCCCCGACTTCTCCGGTTGCTGCCTTTGGTGCGTTGCATTATTTCACTTTTATTCACCTCCCAATCATCCTGACGTATTCGTCTATAGACTGATTACTGGTTCTTTCGTCAAGCAGCTAATGTCTGCAAATGACGGCTTGCCGTCATCAATACTTTACTCTCCCACCGTTCTGGATCTCACAGCATTCCTTGTCGTCGTCACCCTCTCCAGAACATTTCGTGCCCCTGGATGAGGTCTCATGCTATGCTCGTATCGATAATCTTCCCCTTGTTTCGAAGTGGCTGCATTAAGATCGACTACACAATCAGGAATCGTGGTGCGTCTTTTTAAATATATTCTCTCACCTTCAACTCATCGTCTTCAGGTCTGCTCAGTGTGAGGACGTTGCAGCATGCCGTCTGAACACGATGGCTTGCTATCGGTTTCGTCTTCCCTTTCTTGTCGACACGCTGGGTTCACGCTCTCTGGTCATTCTCCAGCAATACTTTAGATTCATTTTGCTCTCCCATCCCTCTCGTTCTCACATGTCGACATCTGCATGCCCCAGTTTGCAACAGGCTTTTCATATCGCAAAGCCACGTCTGTTGCTACAGCGTCGTTGCGCCTGACGTAGCCCTCGATTCGGAGTGGCTATCGGAATGCCTTCATTCCTCGGCTAATCACCCTGTTTCAAGATATCCTTTCGTCTCGAACTTGTTGCCTACAGGGTCTCTTCGAAGCAGAGACATCGAAGGCGTCGTCCGTAGACGACGACCCTTGCCATTCTTTCCCATCAGTCTCATGTTGTTGCGTTGCTCCCTTCGCCGCGACACGTCCATAGACAACAAGTTGTGAGTCTCAGACTGGCGTCTGGGCAAGTGACTGAGTCACTCGACTCACCCTCACAACGAGCAACGTCTTCCGTGTTTCGCTAGCAACACTGCCTCGAGTGAGACGATCGGTAGACGTCTCTGTATCCACAGATGTCCACAGATATTGCGGGTACTTGGTGAGTCATTTTTTTTTGTTTCGTTTATTGAAATGTCGCTTATCCGTGTCTACAGACATTGATTGAAGGGCTGCTCCATATTGGAACCTCAATGTGGAGGGTGCACCTGTCGTCGGGAGTACAGTCTTTGCCGCGGATCATGTCTGTTTGCCTCATGCAGGAATCGTTGGAGGATCCTTGCTCGTCTATGGACGAGCTGTTCGAATGTGTTTGCGAGTAGTAGGCCGAACGATGTCGAGTGTAAACGTCCATCTTCGACTGGCGTTAATACTCATCATAACACCCATAGACGAGCGAAGCAAATATCTTTGCGCGTGCGGTAGTTTGGGATGAGACGAGTACAGAGGTGGACCTGTGGCTTGCATTCAAGACCGTGTCGCTGCTGATATGTCTTTTCCGCACTTGTACGGCAGCAGGCGTACGTCTTAAACCGGCGTGTAGTACACTCAACATTTCTGGCAAGTTTGCTCTCGTCTCGTGCAAATGTTCACTAATTTATCAGCTTCAACAGTGTCGCGGGAAGCTCTTTCTTGCATTTGAGGATGAGGAGAGGTGGCAGCGGAGAGGATTTTCGAGGACTGCCTTAATATTAGTACAATGTAACGTGCTCTGTGCTTGAGCAATTGACCAATGACCGTTTTACTTGCAAACTCGAGTGTTCTCTCTGTCTCATTTCCCTGCCCTTCTCTCAGTGTATCGGGATATTTCATTGTGCTCCCAGTATTCTACATCACCCTGTGTTCTCTGCGTCCCAGAGAGCTCCTTATTCCCTCTGTACCCAGTAATACTCCCCGTGTTCCTGGTGTCCTACAATACTCCCCATGTCCCTTGTATCCTAGAATACTCCCCATGTCCCTTGTGTCCTACAATACTCCCAGACTCTCCATTTTATCAAAAGACTATCACAAACAACTCGTAGCAAGCCAAACAAATATATTCGCACGAACACCGCTACGTACATGTTCACCATGCCGCCCACCGGTTGACCCGCAAATGGCAACCAACGAGAGCAAAGCGAAGACAAAAGGAGAAACGAGGGATTTCGGGAAACTCACCTTAGGCTCCTCCAAACAAGCATCCACCCCGGGCTTCAAGTTTCGCAAATCGCTGAACACGCCCTCTTCGAATTTCTTCATGTTCCGTACCGGTCGGCCAAACGCTTCGAATCGGAATACGAGAGCGCGTACAATGTCCGTTCCTACAACGAACAGCGAACAAATCAACAAGCCAATCAAGTGAGAGTGCAAGGGAATTACATACCGGTGATATGGTATAACCCGCCCCAGAGTACGCATGAGACGTACTCGTTATTGGGAAGGAGGAACCGGTTGAGTGCGGGATGAGTCGAGGATGGATGACCCAGTGGGAGCGAGTCTGTGGCAGAGAGAAATGGATCAGCGGTTCAATTCATGTACGCCGTCCGAATTCAGAAATACTAACCACCGCCAACCACACCTCCAACATCGGTACTCCATCGACTCGGCGCGGTAGCCAAGAAGAACTTCAGCCGATCCAAGTGCGTGAGCAGTTCGCGTTCCTGATGGTTCAGAGGTCGACTTAGACCCGTAAACGATGCGCTGATGCTATCAGCCGAGGACAGTTGAGCGCTGAACGAATCTGGGGCGTCGAGGGCGAGAGAAGAGGAAGTATGGGAAGGCATGGACATGGGAAGCGAATTTGACATGGACATGGTGTCGAGCATGGAAGACATGGACGAATCCTGCATTTGAGACATCCCATTCATCTGACTCTGACTGAGAGATGAGAGCGAAGGAGGAGGGATTCTCGATGGATGAGCAGTCTCTTCCTCTGGCTCATGGTGCACGCCATTGGCGTTCGTCTGGATCTGCAACGCCGATCCGCCTTGCTGCGTGAAGGGGGAGGGAGAGAAGCGATGATCCTGCTCCTGGTTCACTTGGTGGGATGGATAGGACGAGTAAAGTGAATTGGCGTTGCGCATATGTGAATGCGAATGTAAAGACGAGGATGATGGAGTAGAGGTAGATGCAGAGTATGAAGGGATGGAAGCCATGGCGTAGTGATGAGAGTGGGCTACTAGCGTGTCCATGGAGGCGATAGCGGTATTATACTTGTAAGGGTAAGTATGAATGTTGATGAGGCGATTTGGCGAGGGAACGTCAGAGAGATGATAACTGGCAAGCTCGTAAAGTATAACTGCGAGAACGAAGAGGATATTAGGGAGATTAGGGTGTAGGGAGAGGGGACCCAGACGCAGACGGGGGAAGGAGAGAAAGATGGAAACGATTAGCGAGATGGTGGAAGAAGAGGACAAAAAGGTAAACGCACGTTATGCAGATGTGGGCCGGTGATGGGAAAGCACAGAGCTGAAGATAGGATCAACACGAGATCCAACCAGCCAGCAAGCATGAAAGGGCAGGCGTGTTCACAGCACGGTGGGTTAGGACAGGAGGGACTTATATCGGTGGACGGGTTTATAATATACGAGGCAAACGTCCTCGGGCTTTGGAGGACGACCCACAGGCCAGGATTAGAAATAAACAACTGAAATAGGAGCAAGCAATTGCAATCGAGGACGGACGCAGCTTCGGCGCCTGCTGCATGGGGCCGTTATATGCCTCCCGAGGCCCCTGGCTGTCGGCACGTCCCCAGCGCCAATCCAGGCACGTATCTGAATCCTCTCCGCCGGTTCAGTTCACTCGCCCCCTCTCCGCCGTGGTTCGCGATCCCCGGCAGGCTCGACGCAGTGGACAAGTCGTCAGAAACAACAGAACACCAGTGCGGGTACAGTCCACGTCCAACAAGTCACTCTCAGGCAGATCTCCCATGCTTCTTTCTGTTCCCAACTCGCACCTCCCGCATATCCCCTCGTACCTTTTCTGACGCTCTCTTTTCGCTTCACCAGCGCTGCCCCCAAGTCCTTCTTCTCTGGCACTTTCCGAGTTTAGAATCCCATGCATGCATGACGACCCTTCCTCGCTCCTGTCAGTCGTTGGACATATAGCTCGCTCATAGACGCATCGATGAATCTTCTCGTCATCTCCTCGCTCTCCCACCCTCACATCCGCACCGCCATCCCACCATCTCACCACACAATGCATCGCCTTCAATAATCACCAATTATCTTGCACTTTCAACGCACTGCCTTTCGGCGTTCAAACCAGCTTACCAGCGCCTCCGAACGCAATTCCAAGCTTGAGTTGCACTGACTTCAAAGTCCCAACCTTCGCAACGTTCTCTTTCTTCTCTCTCGGCCCCCCGTCCTCTCTCTCTTTGTGATCCGGCGGCCGATGAATATCCCTAGATCAGGCATTAAGCACTTTCAATCATAGTTATATCCGAATCCATTTACTTCTCCGAGTTCTTTCGGTGTCTCAGTGGCAATCGCAACGACCTTGGCAATCGAAATAATTATCCCCTTTCATCTGATTCGAACAATAAGCATTTCAACTCTACCATATGGAATCCACGTGTATTCCTTCCATGGCACTACATACCCGTATCGCAAAAGATCCTCGAGTTTGGCGGTCATGTCTAAAGTTACAACTCGAGAGATACATTAATTATGGCGGCCGAGTGAACGAGTCTTTAATGCTTCAAGCTTCATTGATCATGGACATCCGGCGACCGGTCATTCGTGGTGAACAAGCACTACTACGAAGGCTGAGTTCATCGTGCACGTACAGTATTTCTCATCTCAAGTGTATCATCTTGTCTCGAGTTCAATCTCGTGCGCTCTGGTCAGTGAATCAACCTAGACCGAAGAAATCGCCCTGGCAGTTTTGATTGCGTAGGAATTGACACCGGGGCCCTTGCCATTATTGTTAAGGCCTTCGGACCGACTGAATGCTTGCAACGGTTGTCCTGCCATGGTGTTACGAACAAATTTCCCGTCTCTTCTTTTCTCCTCATTTTGAACTCGGTGTTTTTTTTTTCTATTGTAGTGTAATATACAATGTTGGATAGTAGCAAGCAGGAATATGCTACGAGGGTGATGATCGGTGACTGCTTAAATTAAGATGGAAAGAGCGGAACGCGAGCCCGAGCCAGGACTGGAACTCAAACAAGTGACCTGTTGCGTTATTTCGTAGTGTGGCGCGTGTACCTTGCAAGTAATAAGCAGCGGGTCTGGACGCAAGCAAGGGAGTCAAAATATTGATGAAGATAATAGCTACGTGAATAAGAGTGCGATATTCAATAGGAAAAGGGGGACAAGGATGGGAAAAGAGGGAAAGAGTCTTGGACGGCGGTGTCACTTGTGGTCAAGCCCCACTGGCATGAAGATGTTCTGCAAACAGTCGGACGTGTGGAGGTAAGCAAAAACAGCCGCTCGGCAGTCCCTGGACCTCTTGAGCACTTGAGTTGAAATAATGGCATAGGGGGCGAAGGCTCTTCGAGGGAAGTATTCACGCAGAGTGATCATTTCCTGGAGGCGAGCTCGGCGCTGTGATCTGCCTGTCAGTCTCCACTATACTGCAGGTTCACTGATTGCTCGAAAAGTGCAAGTTTATCGACTCTCGAAGAAAGTCGAGTCGTCAGAACTATTAACGAAGCCGTGAGTTTAACCATTTACACATACATAGAACTTTGCCTACCAACCCGAATCGAACGTCCGTGATTTTCTCAACTTTACTAGAAAGCTCCAGAGGGAAACCCACCCGAAAGAAACAAGATCGTAACAAACTACAAGTGACAGCCTAACGACGTCGGGTATGTCTCGCTACTTCCAGCCGACTTGCGGGGAGTGTGCGGAGAACGAAGAGACAATAGGACGTACTATTGGCGAGAGTTAGAAGCTATACGCGAAGCAGCCGAGGTGAACAAGAGATGTTGGTGAAAATGTCTACCGTTATGCCTTTAGCTGTAATGAACTCATGAGTTGAACCATTCAGACATATGTAAGTTCACCTACATACCAACCGAATCGAAACTCTACAATTTTCTGAGATTTAACATAAAGCTCGGAGGGAAACCCTGCCTCCGCACTATCCAAAAATCCACATCCGAAGAAAACTAAGGAAAAACAATCAGTAGATTGAGACACAGTAAGTAAGCCCAAAGGACATCGCAAGTGGCTTATCACAACACGATGAACCGCCACATGCTTTACAGCTCTTGGATCGCAGACACGGGGGACCGGCGGAGCGAGGACTAGCGGGAAGATGTAGACATGTTCGATCATCCAGTAATCAGATTGGCAATCGACTTCGTCCCCGTTGGCGATGGTGGTAGTCACGCGTACAACTTCACCGTAAGGAAAGGTCCACGGTTGAACCTTTAACGTAGGATGGGTCAAATGGTTAAGGCCGAGGAGCTGGAAAAGTTGGTGTTGAGGAGTACGAGTCTAATTACGAATAGGCGGGAGGGATGAGTGGATTTGGGGTGACGGGAAGCGGAACTGGAGTTGAGCGTATCTCGCGCAGCGTGGATGAGTCAGTACGTACTGCTATCCATAATGGGCAAGCAAAACTTTGAAGTTGGAAGTTGAACCGAATCATCAGGATGTATTGTGAATAATCACGACGGCATTAGCAAAACTCTGCTGCGGTTGCTACTGCTTATCGCCGTCCTTTCCCGTGAATATGACGACGTAGCTCGACGACTTGAGTCTACATGTGTAAGACGACGCAATGAGTCCAAGGAAAGACTCAGCTTAGTGGCCCCATGAGTTGCGAGCTGACAAAGTCAGGTCAAAGTCAAATACCAATAAACAGCTCGTTCCTGATCGAGTGAGTATCGACTCAGAACGAGTCAACCCATCCACAACTTCGGGAAGGACACAGAGGAGCCCCTTTGCTGACATTCAGCAAACCCTCGAGCGAATGAGGACACGTGTCCATATACCTCCGAGTCGAATAATTGTCAGTAATTGTAAAGCACAAGTCCCTTCATCGGAAATTGACAAACCTCCCAAGCCAATGCTTAAGCAAAATAACCGCGAGATTGGAGATGCAGGCTTTCATATTGAGTAGATGAGTGACCGCACTCAGGGGCTAATCCTGAAACATTTCCCCGCAGGCTCGATTACCGATTGTGGACTGACCGCCACCTTCCAGCCAATCACATCGCTCCCTTTGTTTCTTCACCCAAATTCGTTCCAATCGACGCCCAGATAGGTAGTCGACGGGCAAGAGAAACCAGGAGGCGCTGAAGCAGTGAACACCTCGCGTGGCTTTGCCTCCGATCGTGTTCGCACTTTACGATCGGGGAAGTTTCCTTTCGGAAAAGGCACTAGATCATAGGCCTTTGTAGAGTTATGAACGGGAAGAGTGAAGCGTTCTGGAAGGGGAATCGGATCCTGGAGGCGGGAAGGGCGTGGGGCGGTTCCGATCTGGGGTCGGAAAGTAGGGGGAGATAAACCCAAGGGGTAACAAGAGTGATCAATGGACGACGAATTTGAAAGGCACAAATGCTGAACGGGATCGTCAGATAGAACACCGCATAAGAAGGTAGAAAGTGGTTCATGTCCAGACACTCGAGCGACCGTAAATTTGACCAGACCTTACAGATCGACACCAGTCGGTGGTCCAAAAAGACATCATCTGTCCAGGATGCCCTTCAGTCAACAGCTCAGCCAGATCAGAGAAACTCGCTGTCTTCGAGTGATCGATGGATTCCGGTGATGCGTCTGAACTCCAGGAACCGCCTGTGTTGAACTGTAACCTTCGACTGACGTACGGATCTTTGAACACTAGAGTCGGATCCAAGTCGGGGCCTTCTTAACTTCGAAAACATTGATTCGCGGTGTCGTTCTCGTGCTCATGCTCGGCCTCACCCTCTACCTCATTCTGATTTGGTGGAATTTCTAGCTGGAAATTATTTAGTCATTGGAGGAGAAACTCACTCCCGCTCACGGTAGGCCGCACGGAGGGTGTCTTCGAACTTTCCGTGCAACGCGGGGAGACACGTTAACCCAGTTTGTTGCAAAGACTCCCAAATCGTCATACAAGAAACTCACCTACAGTCGTTCAGAATTGATAGTCCAAAAGAGGCCCCAAGTACCCGGTTGATGTGTCGGAGGAACCGTCCTGAAAATCGAATCCAGACGCTGCATTCTTGCGAGACGACCGCTGCTGCATGTTACAACGCTGTTGCCCAGGAGCTCCAATAACAGACAGTACATCCAGGTGATCGATATGAATAAAACACCACCTTTCCCTGCCGGTACAAACAATTTTCTCCACCCTCGAAAATAACGACAATGAAGGCGGCAAGAGGCCAAACATAACGTCACGTTGAAGTCCATTGTTGCACTGATCGAAAAAGGAGACAGCCTGAGCGGCAAGGGCTTAAACATCCCGGCGGTATCCCCAGCTTCCCCGCCGGCACTCCTATCTCTATACCTCGAGCAGTGCCGACCGGGGCCAATGAGATTATCTATAACTTGCGGTAAAGGCGTACGGGGTATTCCACGATCAGCCATTCTGCTTGGAAAGGCATTCCTCGACCTTCGCCGTTACGGCAGACGAGTTCATCTTACCGGTACTGTCCAATTGGTGAAGAATGCGGCTCGAGCCAGAGACATGGAACCTCCTTTCATGAATGCTTACCGCGGGTCCGAAATGGAGGATGCAGACCGTCGGGTTCGACGGGAGGGACGATGAGGGTCTTTGAAGTCATGAGTTGAGTGTACGGAGCTTGGATTGCGGGATGGATGTTGGATGTCTTTAGGAGCTTCGGAAATGTGATAACGGCCATGGAGGAGTGTCCAGCGCTGCGCCGTCTCCAAATGGAGTTCGGAAAGGCGAAAAGGACTGGCTCTCCGTGGCTCTCTAGCATGGCATTGAAGGGAAGTGATCTAGAGCTAGAGTAGGGAATGCCGCAAAGGGAACTCGACTAATCGATGCAAACCAGAATCGACTTGGCCTCTGAGCAACGCATTCGAACACCAGATGTGGCCAGGATGCCATTGATACTCAAAGCAGTTGAACTCACTCGTCCGATCACTCTGCCATGTGCTATCCAACCTATCCAAGCCGTTCAGTTTCGTCCCCATACAATCTTAGCACGATCTCCTGTGACAACGTATCTTGCGCAGCTCTCATTGAGATCGGGTTACCGGCCACGCGAGCAACACCGAATACGCTTGTTGTTTCAGCTCGTCAGAAGCTGACAATTCAAACTGAACAGCTGCATGAGGATAGGGGCAGGCATTGGTGTAGTTCGTGGTGGCTGTTTGGTGGCTGTAGTCTTGATAGTGTTCCCGCGTGCGAGCCACGAGACAGCACAGGTTAATGGTAAGCAGATACCGCGGCTGGAACCTTACCGCCACTGACGTCAACTGAAGGCTAGTCAGAGCGCGCCACAGGAACGCGCAACATTTGGCTCGGCAGTCCTGGCTTTGGAGTTGAAGTTACGATTTTTTCTAATCCGTGTTGTCAACCCATGAGGCCAGAAGGAGGGAGGGAGGGACATGGTGTTACTTAGCTTCTGCGTGGGGGAACTGACCGCTATGAGACCTCGGATGCAGATGCCTAGAGGGCAGAGAGATGATGTGTTTATTGAATATCGCGCAGGATCGGATTCAAGTCGCGACGGATAGATAGCGAGCGATCAGGGTAGGGTGTTGAGAGCGCGAGATGGTATGATTATTTGTGCTTGTGGCTTCGTAGACAGCGAGCCATACTGAACTCGATCAACTTGAATATTAGTATGAATGGCTTGCCAAGGAAGGGACAAGCGCTGCTGTTCATGACCTTCATGAGCATCGGGCGATCTGCAGTGGCTGGCCTAGAGAGAAATCCGCCATCACAGGATGAATGATTTGCGAGTACGGTCATAAAGCTGTGAGGTGGCGGAGTGGCCATGAAGAAAGCATCACTCACACAGCGCCCGTTCGAGAACGAGCATGCAGTTCAGTAATAGTCCTGTAGTCGAGAGATACGGCTCATCTGGGATTCGATAACAGGAGCTTCGTCATCGAGGCCTTACGACCGAAAGAGGCGTCCAAGCTAATGCATTTTCGTCGTTCCTGCTTGTGATCATTTTCTCCGAGTGACAGCAATGCAGCTTTGGGCTTTCTACAATGCGTTCGTGCAACACCAGCACTCGATACCGAAAGTCTACGAGACGCTCCTCACCTTGATGATAAGTTAATTCGGCCAAAAATGATATTGAATAAGACGAAGATTGTACTCTGACTCGAGCCTCTTGGATAACAGTGTCCATTTGAAGGCACACCGACAGCATGCGACGAGTACGCTCACGATTTAGCGGGTCCCCGATGATCTCGCTTGAGTGAGTTTTCAGTTGTCATGATCTTCATTTCAGCGCTGACGAGAAAGATACATCCCTGCGAGAACCGTTCATCCTACCCCATCTGTCAACAACGCCGACGTCACCACGCGACTAAGTATGACCAACCTTCACAGTTGACCGCTTCTGCTGATCTGTCTGCTTATCCTCCACAATATGGTCCCGAGCTCCAAGGATCAACACTCTCCAAAGCAACCATCAACCAAGGAAAGAGAACATTGGGTCTAGTGGAGCCGTGGCACCCGAATGCAAAACAATTGCATACTTCATCAACTCCGACGATTCCAGAGCAGCCGCTGTCGGTATTATTATCCAATATCTGGCCAGTGCGCGCCGAATTCTACGCAGAATTGCCGTGTCAGAGACAGTATCCGCCGCCAGCAGAACCTTGATGATAGGTGTTCATAAGCAGCTTCCCAGTGTCTCTTGACTGACAGGCCTGGGTTGTCGAAACGCCCGATAGCGCTACAGTATAGAGATTGGTGAATTGTCTGTATTTTCGGCAGATACCGTGACGTGGCTACAATACTTTGGTTCCGACGTAGGAAAGAAGAGAACGAAGTTCATGCTTTCAATTGCCAATCTCGTCGGTATTTGTCGTGCGGGATAGTCGAAAGCGAGGGAGACATTGAATAGAATTAGCAGAGTCCTAGGACCACATCAACATGGAGTCGGACGTCGCCTTGGACCTGTTGCCCATTAGATCTAGAGGACGCGATTACCGTGAAGTCAGCTTTGACAGAAACGACGGGATTCCACGGCTACGGCTCTGTTGTCATCCAAGACGTCCTTGAGTCGTACTCGAATTGACGACCTCAGAGACGAGTCCTGTTCCACGCAAATCGAGTTGTTTGGCTACAGCCGGGATCTCGGCGTGTGGCATTGGGCGATCGAATAGCAGTGGTTGCATAGCGGTGGTCGCATGGGTACGATGCGCCTCGGTGCATGTCAATCCCGCAATCAACAATAGTGGATCTACCGAACATGATGAATGAAGACCGGTAAGGTAGCGAAACAGGTCCTCGTAGTGAGTGATCCTCCTAGCCCCTTGACACTTGAGAGAGAGGATGGTATGTGGGAGGAGGACTTACCACATGAACCAAGACAAAACCATTGAAATGTCGATGAGGAGTTACGACTGCATCAGAAAGCTGGACGGCGTCAGTCCTCCTGTCAGTATGGCATAATCAGAAGAATTGGACAGATCCTCGCCATCAGACATTCCGGTAACTTTGTGGGATAATTCAAGGAAGGGCTTGGTGTAAATCTGAACGGACCCGTGACATATCATCACAGCATCATATATACAGTATATGCGATCCTTCCGTTCCGGAAGAGTAACTTACATACTGCAAGATGATCGTCGATCCGGCGACATCGATCCTTAGTGGAGTGTGAAGTTTGAGGGAACAGAGGAACGGCGGAGAATAGTGATGCGAATGTCCCTGTACACTCGCGGTTGTCATATGTCATGCAACCTATTCGAGTAGATGCCGTCAACAGTCGGCGGTGTATACAATAGTCTCTAAACAATCATCAGACGAAGGGAAAGGTGAGTGAAATCTGTCTGAACGTGACAGACAGCACGCTCACTAGTGGAATGGCCTCCGCTCGAGACATAACCTGTGCCTGTACTCTCGGGACTGTGAAAAGACGCTCGGAGTCTGACCAGAGCGTCTGCGACTCCGCACGCTTAGATCCTCGACAGGTACTTCCGCGACAGGTTCACTTCCTGCGCAACGAAGACGACTGGGACGTGATGATATCCGAGTAGGGCGCCGGGTATAACAAGTCCATGAGATCGTTCATAACACTGCTTGCAAAAGACAGTATAATGTCCGGTCCAGTTAGATGGACATTCCGGGATCGTGTGCAGGGTCGAATGGATCTTCGAAATATAGGTCTGAGCCATTTCCATAGAATACAGCCAAGACAAATGTCTTCCAGAAGAAAAGTAATTGTTGGGGCTGGAAATACAATGTTGAACCTTCACATCAGACTGCCATCTATGAATGACACTGACCTTCCACGTCACCGACGGAAGAATCGAGCACGTCAACGGCTCGACTGACCGTATGACTTCCAGAGCCACAAGAAAAGCAGGACGCACGAGACCGTAAAACGTATGCTTCTCAAGAAATAGTTAAAGTCATTGCACTTGTATGAGTCGAAGAGCAAGCGGAAGAAAGAAACCACCCGCGTGAATACACTGGCGCTCGACGGCGATCACGATCGGCTCTTGCGCAGCAACTCATAAGGCAACTCCTCAAGTTGACTCGAAGGAACTTAGTACTAGTGCTTCAATCTGGTGTTTACACTTCCAAGGGTTTTATGAGATGCCATCACTCATCGAGAACACATCTTCGCAGTATATCGAGGCAAAAGTATCAACCATTCCTAAGTCACTCCTCTTCTGCCAAATGTTATCCCATAGTAAATTTCCGTCGAGCCTCAGGCTATCAAGGGGAAGGCTATAGAAAACTAGATTAAATATCATCCTGGAACAAACCAATCGAATTTCAATGGGCAAGAAAACATACCCCTAGCCTAGCCAAAGAAGCTTGATCCTGGTTGATATGATCCTGGGTTTCCGTTACCGCCATACCCGCTACAATTACATATTACATATCTCAGTATCATATCCCAAATTTGAATGCAAACAATGAAACATGCTTACCGTAAGTAGTCGATGATAGCTCCAGGGCCGTCTGAAAAGCTAATGAAAATATTTCGTTAGTAAATATGTATGACCCTCAACAAAGCCTTACTCAGGGTGGGCGAATGTGGGCGCAGCGATGACCGATGAAGCGAATACGGTCGAAATGAGCAGGAACATTGATGAAGCTTGTGCCAACATGTGAGCAAGACTGGAAAGAACCGACGTAGACTGATGAGTGAGATGAATGCAAGAGGAAAACGTGGAGTCGAAGAGTGTAAAGATAGTGGTGAGGTTGATTGGACTCCGTTGTACACAGTACTATGGAGCCTGGCAGGTAATTGTGAGTGCTGCTAAGGGGCAAAACGCTCACGTCCAAGCTTAAGTACTGTTCTCCTTGGAATGTTTTGATCACAACCGGTGTCCTGATCCTGCAAGGACGGGTAATACAATTGGAGACCATCCAGATAAACTGATCCTGCTGAAACTGTAGTGACTAATCAGACGAGTGCGAGAATACATCATAGAACTGACCACCAGGAATTGACAATGCGTCACCGATTGCCACCCTTGTAAGGGTAATATTATGGGCGCATCGGATGAATGGACAAATATAGCCAGGTGAAATTGTGTTCTCGTCAACTGTTTCATCAACTTGGCTGCTAACGACAGCGCGGCATTTTTATACATTGGAATGGGTATGAAATACACGGCGCGCGCGATATGAAGGTTCTCATTGAGCTAACACTCAGTGAATTGCAATACTCGACATGAATATACGCCGTGCCATTATCATCATTGCGTCACCATCGTGTCACTAGATGGACCCGATCAACTTGGGTTTGGTGACCTCACTTTACCGTCGTCAGCGCTCATATGAATATTCTAGTGTACAGCCAAAGTTGCATTAGGCGTACTCACTTCAGCCGATACTGCCCACACCAGGTTGGTATGAACCAACGAAGCTCCAATCGTCTTGTCCACCACTAATGATGCCAATAGACGTTCCTGAGGCGCGTCGATGTGATAAATCACTCGATACTCACTTGAGGAAAGCCATGATGGCTCCTGGATCGTCACTAAAGCTATCACGAAGGTTTACTTGAACATTAAATAATGAAGAGTCTGGTGGTACTCACAGGTTGGGAGTATGCCCAAATTCCGCGCGCCATGATGCGGTGCGGACATAGCGGATAAAACCAAAGCAAAAAGAAGGAGACTTAACGTTGGGACCCTTGTCATAATGTGGGAGCAATCCGGCAAGAAGTTATATCCAGGATAACAGACAGTGAGAAATTGGTGAGCGCTGCTAAGGATTAGCATGGTTAATCTGTCCTTATATATCTTCTACCAATTGCCGTTCCCAATCCCTCACTGCCAGGGCTTCTGACACCGCCGTAATCAACGGCCATCCAATTGCACATTCCTTCCTCTTGGATGCAGGAAAGCGGTGCATCTATATCTGCTGATAGAGACCACCATGATGTCGTCAAAATGGCCGTACATATCACATTCCTGGCTTCGTGGAAACAACTGCCTATGAAGTGAGAGATATGAAAGTATCTCCGAATAAGTTGGGATGGAAGAGACGTCGTCATAGAGTTGAGACCGGCCCCTCGATGCAATGACCTGCAAAGGGTCGTTCTCGAAAACTTCAATCGACAAATAGCGCCTTTTAGAATACACGACTTTTGACGATGAGATTGAACTGTCAAGAAAAGCAAATTCATGACAGCACACTGTTCGGCGAGCACTGGAATCGCACCTCAAATGTTACCATCTTGATGAAGACCTGTTGTTCTAACACAGGAACAACAGGGTGAGCTTACGGCGAGTAATCATGTTCATCGCGAAACAAGATCCCCGCAGCCAGCCCTTTCCCTCAACAAAGATTCTCATCTCCCAGGGACCCGCCGACATCAACTTGATGAGTGCTATCAGCAGATGATGACATCTTTGTCTATCACGGCGTCGAAGTAGGCATTTCGAACTAGACATGTATTAAGTCGCCAGCCCGGAAGATTCAGCAGATTCATTATTAGCATACTAAAATTCCAGTTCTCGCTGGGAGAAATTGACCAATGTCTCTAGACTCATGTGCGCAATTGTTGAAGCTCTTCGCTTGTCAACCGAAGTACACTTCGTGGAATGCATACGACGCGGCTAGATAAGCAACCTGAGGGAAACTCGTCCATTCGATTGTTTATCTCTAACTTACCTTGATCCTGAGCGAGTGCCATCTTGTAATCTTCGCAGAATTGGGGTGTGTCCACCAAATTGCGTTTCTTCAAGGGCCCACACTGTGGAGGCGTTGACACTGAGGGACTCGTCAGAATATCTGCAAACATGATTAGAGAAGCGGCTATACGCACGTGCCATTACGGCTGACACCCATGTCCAAGAGAGATGGGGGCCCATCCAAGAAACGAGGTTTCCTGGAACTTACGCGACTTGTCATTATAGGCCCAACCCGAAAAATGACGATACTAACACCGGTTCGACAGCGTTACCTTGGCTGCAATGTTGCAAGCTCACTGAGTCCGATGACGATGTCGGACAATGAGACAACACGTACTTGATAGGAATAGAAAGTGATAGCGAAGGGAGAAAGAAGGCAGCAACCAGGCCAAAGACGGTCATTAACCCGGTCATCATCATGGCCGAATGTGTAGGTTGCACTCGAATGCTAAACTGCAAGCGAGGGGAAACATATGTCAGCGCAAACGACTTTAGGGGAGAGGAGTGACGAGGACGCACTATGCTGATACTCTGAATTCCAGATTCACGTGAGCGGGGCCAGTGACATCATGTTTGCAAGCCCAAACTTATATACGTCTTGAAACATCATGGCGAAAAAGGGGATACAGATGGAAGCAGATCCCAAAGCAACGATAACTCCGCATCCTAAAACATGACGGCGGCGCCCTCTGATGAAGTACCGTATTGCATACGGTCATTTCAAGGATGAAGAGAACGCCACGGGCTGAGGATCAGCATCGTGATAAGATCCCCGTACTGAACCTTGTAACCTGGACTACCCTGAGTGGAGGCAGTGCGAAGGACCTTGGTAACGTAGTTCGTGGATCAGTCCTGAGCATTCTGTACAGATATCTGAACGAACCGTGATATTCAGCGGAAGCCTGAGGCCATGACTCAATTTGGGACAGCCCATGATTATCGCCATTCAACAGCATCATAGTAGAATAGACCTCGATGATACCATTGCAATGTGGAGCGACTACTCATATGTCATCTATCGTGATGGGTTTCGACAAGCGCGATGTTGTCGCAGGGTCTGTCTGGTGGGCAGTGGCTGAATCGACTTCATGAAGAGAGTAAAGCAACAAATTTAGTATCAACGAAATGTTACAATTCAGGGTGCCGGCAGAGGGAGATCGTCATCGTTCATGTTTGAGAAACGTTCTTCAGCCGTATTTGCTTGGATATATGGTCTCCTTGAAGCATCTAGCCCGAGTGGACGCAGTACATCTCCATCTGACCTAGTAAAACGTCGGAGCGCGGAATACCTATCGCCACAAACACCATGATAGAGAAAATACGAGGTTTGACAAAAAGTCACAAAAGACGGATTAACTTTATCCGCTAAAGGTGTTTTCTCAGCACGTGTATCCGTCGCGTCTCTCCGGAGGGCTAGACTCAGATTCGGAGCGTCTAACGTACTTTTCCCCCGTCAAATACCACATAGAAATATGGAGGCAATATCCAATTGCATTCTGTTGCATTATAGATGGTCACCCTCAGTATACGCTGAGTATACGCATTGAGTCAAATGTGCTTCAACAACAAATGAATCAAAGTGATTAGGGAGTGCACTACCGCTTTGTGGTCGTGGATGTTCAGTTGCGGGGCTCAGAATTATTGTAAGTACTGTCATGAAGCCTATTCGCCACCCACAAAATAGTCGGCTGTGGACGTCTCTCAGGTGTGATGATCCACGACCAAAAGTCTACAGTATGAAACAACTGTCTTCTTCTATTATGTTGGATTGAGCATTCGACATGCACGTTCAGCGGAGAAGACCAGACCATGGGTCGAAACACTAGTACACCAGCGACGTTTCTTGTTAAGATTTAGTTTGGAAGCTGTCATGAAAATCACTGCAACAGAGGAATATTGGTTCAGCCCTCTGCGGAGGCGAGGCTGATGGTTCTATATGCTTCGTTTTAGGCTCCAATGCGTCCATGGTCATTACGCTGCCAGGCTCAAGGAACTCGAACGACTTCAACCATTTCGAAAAGTCCATAAAGAACCGCCTGAAAGTTTGAGAGGTGAATACACCAGCGTTCTGCCGCCAAAATAAGACCTACTTGTCAATGTCAACTTGTGGCTGCAAGATCGACCGTTCATGAGTATCGACGGCCCTCTTCTCAAGCCCGTTACATGAGCCGCTGATGCATGTCGATTCTCGAATGAAAACACGCGGTAACGCGAAACAAAATCACGCACATGGGCAACGCTAGCGATGATGTAAATATCAAGAGCACTGATGAAAACTTGCTCAAGGAGTGCATTTTCATTGAAGGATCGGCCGACAAGGTGAGATTCTTCCCGAGACTGGCAAACACAATTAGGATGTTAGCAAAGGGATTAATTTGAACGAGAACAATGTGCTCACCGTGTAATATGCAATATACAGTACCCGACTGACTCGTACTTACGAGTCCAGCTCGTGGAGGGTCTCATTCTGGATGTAGGGTATTTATACCCGACCGAGTCTTGAGGGACATGGGTTTCACTTATGCCGCATCTACATGATTATCATTCAGTGACGTTTCGCTTGAAAATGATCTACGGCGTGGTGAAAAAGCATTGGAACAGGATGAAGAAGTACAGATACATCAAAGTCTCCCTGGTGCACGCACCGGCATAACGGAAGGCCTGAGATCATGTCAATTGGCAAGCATTGTGCCCACCGTTTGACGGTGAGAGAAACGGGCCTTCATAATTTGACATCTACAATGCTGTGAGCATCTGTCATGCACAATCGTGGTACAACATATCATAGCAATCACAGATAGACAGAAAACTGAGGAGCCAATTAAAAACTGACACTCATCTTACTCAAGGTCTTGAGACTGCTTTCAGCAAAGAAGCCCGTACAGCTGAGGGAACTTTGATCTCACCTGTGAAACTATCGTAGTTAGCACTGATAATTGCAGGTGGTCGACGGGATGCCATCTTTCAGCTGTCACAAGGGTCGTTACTAAAGCAATCGAAGTATATTTCGAGGCAAGGCAAAGCCAATAGTTCAGGACCCTTTACGTATGGCCAAAGACAAGAAGACTGATGGGAAGATGATACAGCCATGAAAAAGAATCCAAATTGATCAGTGACCGGCATGCGAGCACAGTATTCCTTCCATTCGCACTCGAGGTTCTGCCAATCGAAAATCTTGGTCAGATGCCGTTGGGAAAATTGTGGACCGCGTAGAGGACTGTTACGTTTTGATCCAGAAGGCTTGAAAGCATGACTCGGGGCCTAAGACGGACTAGATGGAAGTCTCGTTAAAAGTGAAAATAAGGCTGCATGCGTGACCAGGTTTCATCTGACGAGTAACGCCGTCTGCAGTATAATCAGCACCTATGAACGTGGAGGCGCTTTCGAGAGCAATGCTACGCTTACTTAGAAGAATCCAGGTATTCATGATTGAACGATCCCCTCTGCTGCTCAACGGAGTCGTTGAATGATTCCGGATAAGATCTGTAAATATATCTATGACGTTCTTTCTCGAGGCAATGGATGAAGTGTCACTTACCGCAGTGGATAACAAGACGACAACATGAAAGTGCGAAGCATCATCACGAAGAGCATTCATGGCGCTGCATTCAAAAAGCGCATCTCAGAGGCTGATGGGGACAAAAACGTCAAATTTAATACTTTCTTGGGGGGGCTGTAATGAGCTCACAATGTACGTGATATTCAATAGAGGAGTCCAGCTCACTGGCGAGGTTAGTGCGTGCTGGAAGTGTTTATGCTTATCGGTAACCGTACCTTCTGCCGACGAAACCTGCAGAATGCCGCGAAGAACTGTTCCAAAGACCTCAACCTTGAAGATTGACGAGGAGTTGCTTTCGATGCTCGAACTTGATCAACACAGGAAGATCAATAGTGCCTATCCAGGGTGGTCGTTGTGTCGATGTATAGGGAGAGACCAATATCAGACGGGTTCTTTGTTGAGGCTATACGGATAACCTTGATATGGTGTATGCTGTCCTCACATCCCAAACAGACCTGCACGTTGGCCAGATGAACATTGTTAATCTTGCAGACGCTGGGTGTGGCAACGGGATGTCCACAGCCCACTGTTCTTCCGTTCATGATCATCCAGAAAGTTAGATATGATTATCTGAGCCCGACGTTCGAAGATCATGAAGGATATGGCGTGACATTCCTGTTCCTGGGATATGGTCCAGAACAACAATTGAATGCCACCAGACCTAATGCCCGGTCAGCGCAGTCATCACGATCACGATTGAGCGTTGAACTCTCACCTCGTCCGCGCACGAAAGGAAGATGGACTCAATTACACACTGTGCCGCTTCGTGTGCCGTTCACATTATACTATGATATCTCCTCATGAATACCCTACATTAATAACCGAACAAGCCGCATCCAGTTGCGGCAGCGATAAGGAATATATTGAAGGTCGAGTTCCAAAATACACGTCCTAGATATACATGGTCATATTTGCACAATCCATTTGATATCTTGTAACACTTTTAACGAGCAGCTCTTTACTCCAGTTTGCTGCCCTCAATGTTCTGCAATTTAAACATCAGTTCGCGGTCCAAACAAACCACGGGAAGGAACTTACCCAGCATTCCTGAGCGTAATCTTGGATGGCACGATCGGAACTGAACTTGCCCATCTGTAAGGGATGTTTAGATCTCCATGCTCTCATGCAATAGGCTTGGCTCTCCTCTCACCTTTGCAGTAGTGCGGATACTCTTCTTGATCCACTCAGTACGATCCTGGTAAGCCTCGTCGACGAGCTTCAAGGCCTGGAGGTCTGCAAAAGGCAAATCAGTGAAAATGACCTTGTAGTCACAAAAAGGTCATACAAGAGTCGAAATCCTCAGTCAGCAGGTAGTAGTCATTTTTGCGGACGGTGTTAAGCAAGCTGCATCGACAATATTAGTTGTAGTCCCGAGGCAAAGGCAAGATATGACATACGGCTCGTAAGCGTTGCCATCGCCGAAACGACCCGCGGCAACCTCGTTGACAACCCGGGCCAGGCCAGGACACTTCTTTTCGAGCGGAACAGGGTGATACATGTGTTGGTAACGAAGATCTTCTACCGCAGGCGTCAAGTGTCCGAAGAAAACTGTGGAAAACATCAGTGCCCAACGAACGCAACGGGAAGATGTACTGATTTTACTCACAGACGTTTTGTTCCCCGACTTCCTCGGCGATTTCAATGTTCGCGCCGTCTGCGAAAGATAGGTCAGAAGCCTCTTCATGAAAGAGTGTTGGAGTCACATACCAACAGTTCCCAAGAGCAAGCCACCATTCAAGCAGAACTTCATGTTTGATGTGCCCGAAGCCTCAGTACCAGCTGTTGAGATATGCTGACTGATATCAGAAGCAGGAATAAGGATCTCCGCAAGTGAAACGGAGTAGTCAGGCAAGAAGAACAAGCTGAGAATGTCCTTCGTTTCAGGATCGGCATTGACAATACGAGCAACGTTAACGACAAGCTTGATGGTCAGCTTGGCGATGTAGTCTGTAGAGCGACATTATTGAGGGCATGGTTAAGTAGAAAATATGAATGAATTTACAGCCAGGTGCAGCCTTTCCGCCGAAGAAGACAACCTTGGGGTTGACCTTCTTGCGCTGTGCGGAAGTCATGGCTTTCAAAGCAAGGTAACGCTACAAGTCTCCTGGATTAGCTTTCAGGATAGCATAAGCCTTTCGTGAATACTCACGTGAATGACACCGAAGATGTTCAGCGTTTGACGCTACACAATTTCATCAGTCTAAAAGTACACGGTTGACTTCACATGAATGCGTACCTTATATTCGTGAATTCGCTAGGAAATCCAGAGCCTATTAACACGAGTTATAACGGCAACTTGCAACAACATACCTTGATTTGAATATCGAACATAGCCTTTGTATTGATTCTATGACCAGTCGTAACCTCGACGTAGTGTGCAAGTCGCTCTTTGTTAGTCTGCTTGACTGCAGCCCACATCGTTTGGAATTTCGGATCATCTATGTGCTTAAGGAGTCCCTAGCGTCGAATAAATATCAGTACGGTAGTCCGATATGATGGAAGGACATAAGCACACCTCGAGTTGATATAGATCCTTGAGGAATGCAGCCTTGGGAAGTTTAAGGGTCTCAGAGATGAGTCTACTCAAACCGGGGTTGCACTAAGAGGAGTCATCAGAACATGATCTTGATTTGCACTTGACCACAACTTGCCTGGTCCAGCCAGCGACGAGGAGTGATTCCGTTGGTAACATTGAAGAACCTGAGAGGAACGTTCGTCAGATTTGGCGCCGCATGTTTACATGTAAAGGAACGACATACTTGCTAACACCGTAGAAGTCGACGAAGTCTTTCATGATCGTCGCACGAACGAGCTCACTATGAAGCTATATCATGATATAAGATTTCAAGCTCGGTTAATCGTAGAAAACGCAGCATACCTCAGCGACGCCGTTCACCTTGTGGCTACCTACCCACGGAACGACTGATGAGTGGACATAGACTATGAAAGGACCGGATAACGCACCAATACAGGCAAGGTTAGCCATGCGAACCTGTTGCGGGTATCCCTCTGTATCGGTGAGAGTCAGTGACGTGTCTGACTGTCAAGCACGGATACACATACCCTCAATGAGAGACATTCTAGCGAGTTTATCTCTATCGCCGGGGAACTTCTTCTCAACGGCTATAGATGTGGTCTGGTAAGTCAAGTGACGAGCAGGTCAATAGGATTAGCATACCTTGCAAGAAGATTCTAAATGAAAACAAATAGATTATCAAGAAACGTAATAGAGAAGACAGGTAGATGCTTACAAGTTCTATAAACGAAGATATAGTGAGCGAACGGTCCGTTGAGAGTGAGCAATTCGATAACATACGATGTCGAAGATGATTTGCATATGTCTTGGCAACAGGTGTTGCATCAGAGGGACGGACCACTTCTCAAGAGCTTCCTAATGGCGACGAATGGTCTTTCAATAACAAAAAGTACACAAATTCGAGAGAGACGTACGGGAAGAACTGTATGGTTCGTGAAGAAGAACGTCCTAGTGATGATATCCCATGCTTGATCCCAAGGAACCTCTTCCTCATCAACGAGGATCCTCATAAGTTCCGGAATCGCGAGTGTCGGGTGAGTCTACACGCAGATAAAAGGTCAGCGTCTCGTCATAAAGCAGGGCGGGGGGACTCATTACGTCGTTCAACTGGATGGAAACGTCTAAGAGCAGGTATGCAATCAGCTTGGTCGTATTCAATTATAGTTCGCGAAAAGAGCACGTACAGTCAGGGAATTCCAGAATCGACTTTTCCATGTTCTTGAAACGCCTCATGATATCGGCCAAACTCGCCGCAGTCCAGAAATACTGTTGCTTCAATCGGAGCTCTTTTCCAACTACGCGATTCGGTGAGCCTACTCAAGGTCTAAAATGAGCGGAAGGAGGAGGACATACAAGTGGTATGATCGTTCGGGTAGAGCACTGAAGTGATTGCAGCGGCGCTGTTAGAAGCTTCAACAGCACGTTCATAGTCACCAGCTACAATGTTCACGTCGTAAGCAGAACGGTCAGTGAATAGGACCATATTAAGCACACACCGTTGAAACTGTTCAAGTCAAAACCACGCTTGGGCTTACTCTCCCAGAGTCGCAAGTTGTTTGTGTTCTTGGTGTCATACCCGGGAATCATGACGTCGTAGGCTACGGCAACAACCTCCTGGCCACCGCTCCATAGGGCCTTCATCCCTTCAATACGCTCAGAATGCCCATAGAAGCGAACCTCGTACTTGACATCTGCGCGAGGCAGTTCCCACGGGTTATCATTCTGCAACCACGGATCGGGTGCTTCCAATTGACTGAGGGACAAAAGTTCGTCAGTGTTGTAATCGCAACGCATTCAGTCAAACTGTTATACCTTCCATCGGGCCCGATCAACTGCTGGAAGATACCGTATTGATATCTTAGTCCGTAGCCCCACACTGGCAACTCCATCGATGCGCTAGAATCCAAATAGCAAGCAGCCAAACGTCCAAGACCGCCGTTACCAAGACCGGCATCTCGTTCTTGATCGATTAAGTCCTCGAGATTGAAACCGAGCAACGACATGCCGTCGTCGTATTGAGGTTTGAGATCCAAATTGAGGAGGGCGTTATCGAAAGTACGACCCATGAGGAATTCGAGTGAAAGATAGTAAGCTCGCTTGTTTCCCTTGCGGTTGTGGTGAAGCTGGGTATTGTTCCAGTTGACCTGAAGCGACACTGTTAAGGATGGGCATATGAAAAAATCGTGACAGACACGTACAATAAGATTATCTCGGACGGAGAGAGCGGCAGCCTGGTAGGCTCCAAAGTCATCTATGTTGTACGGTTGACGAGCTAGCGAAGTCTGCACATGATGCACAACAGACTTTGTGATTGCTGGTACATCTGCGCGAAGTTACATGAATCAGCTAAGCGCTTTGCAACTATATGGTCAACTCTTGCGATTAAAAGCACGAAGGTAGAGCCTGCGACGCATATAATCAGTGAATAGCAGTCAATGAAACGTACCTCGATGGACCCCGCGAAGCCCCGCCTTCCAAACCTTCTCATCACCTCTGGGCCATTTTTCTTGACCCTTCTCATCGATCTCAGGGAAATAGCCAGTGACCGACCTGACGTGCCTGCGAGCACGGGCAGGTTTCCCAATAGTGCTGGGGTCGATCGTTGAGGTCATGGTGATGGTATCCGGCGATGAGGATCTCGCCAATGGTGGTTGAGAAACAACTCAGGAGGCCCGTTATAAAGCGGCCCATATCCCGGTCGCTGTTCAGCCTGGATTGCGGCGCCTAGGGCGGTCGGTCACAGGTTGTCCTAAGACTTTCTCTTCGAATGATGTTCTCCACCAAACCATTGAATGCGAATTGACAGCGATTTGTTAACAACGTCCAACTGTGAGAGTTCGGGGGCAGCTTTACGTATTGGAGACTAATAGCAGGATTCGGTGCGGAGTAAGCTTCGGGGAATAGGACTCGTGAAGTAATCTGGTGAGTCAATTCGTTCGATGGGGGAAAGCTGATACTGACAGAGATAGTGCAGAAGGCACCCTTCAACTTTGTTCATTGGAAGATGGAATTTCTTCAGGAAGATGCAGACCCTCGGCGTGCGGTCCTTTAGCGTCGCACCCTGTAGAACCTAGATGGGGGCGGCGACGATCTTAGGTGCGGAATCGTCGGCGGTTCCAACCTGGTCAAGTTTGCCGTGTTTGCCAGCCAAGCGTATTCATGGTAACCGCGTTCTTGGGAATTGCATTCTAATACGCTTGTTCTTCACCAGCCTGCATTCGAGTAGAGATGTTGATATCGACGAAGTACCACGATTACAAATCATCTCAATCAGCATTCGTATGTAGGATGGCGACCGGGTTTGAGTTGTCTGACCTAAGTCGGGAATCGAGATACAGATGCGACTATGTATCTGCGGGTAGGCAGGTACATTCCGTACCTCTTCACGCACCTTTGCAGTTGTCACAAGTGAAGATTTGGGTCTCATTTGTCCCGAATATTCCTTCTTCGCGACAATTCGACAATGGTCAATCACTTCACGGTGTCACCAGAAACTCTCGACCATTCTCAAGGAGTATGATGCACTATAAAAGATATCGTACCCGCACAATAATATTCTTTGAACGAGCTGCGCGGTCTTTCATCCTGGTCTTCAGCAAGTCTGTTCTCCTAAAATGCTTCCGAGTTCCACTTTACTTCCTAGTAGCATCTACTTCGGTGAGTCGTTTCGTGCAACATGTACGATCTACCGACGTCGGTACGGACTGTTTGCTGATATACGGACATGATGATAAAAGGGTCCATGGACAAAACATGTAAGCATAAAACATTGTCGAGACTCAATGGACTGGCTTCGTCGGAGAGCTGGTCTCCTTACGATCGAAATACCATATAGTAAGGTTCCAGATATTTCAAACTGATAAACTGTATCCTTGCAGGTTTCCGAGATACAAAGTTACCACACGGATCTCCTCATAGTGGTATTTTGTGCTTTGCGCTCATCTTGTTATCCACTGCGGTATGTACTTCCCTCTACCATTTTCGCAGTACAAATCATGGCATATGGGCGTTGCAGGTTTGCTATGGAATCAGTCAACAACTCGCCCAAATAACGGAGTAGCTCGCTCGATTACGAATATCCGAGTACTCGTATGACGTTGATATATGGTTGGGTGTTGACACTGCTCTTGGAAAAGCTGCCCATTTCTTAAATACTTTCGTGCTGCAGACGATATTGGACTTGGTCAGATACGAATGTAGCTTGGCAGCAATTGCGACCATTGATCAGTTTTTTGTTGATTAAGCCTCGAACTTTATCGCACCAGGCTCTAGTATATGTCGAGGATGGTACGGCACTCCTGGAAAAAATCAAGTTCCCTTCAGCTTTCCCTATCGCTGTAAGTAGAGTCAAGAGACTCAAGACCTCGAGGTGAAGATATATCTGAAGCCATAAGATGAAATAGAGGTCAGGAAAATAACTGTGTTGGGGAAACCAAAATGCTGTCATCAAAGGGATCGAACTTAGATTTTCCTACTCGGTTGCGAAAGGAAAACCACCCTAAATCTAAGCTATGCTAGACTTCGTAAAAATAAAAAAACAATATGAATTATTTTCATATGAAATTAATTTCATCCGAGTTATGGTTCGAGGCATCGACTCTGGACCCCGAAGGTTGATGCTTGCCTAGCTTGGCTTTAACCGCACACTGTCGCACTCATCTTTGGACAGAGTCCCTATAATTTTCAGTATGTAGCTCAAATACGAATGCACAAACCGGTGCTGATGTTTTCGACATGATTGTATAGCGGTTACTGCGGTGGTTCACGTTGTCAGCCAGCCACGCCATGCCCTCATTTCTGTCGAAGGTCTTTGGACGTAAGAAGGACGAACATGCCTCCTCCAAACGTCATTCTGCAACCTCGCTGCTGGAAGGCAAGTTTGAAGCAGTGTCTCCTAATGTCTCACCATCCGCCACTCACTTTACGGACTCCCTTCCACGAGTGAATCAGAAGGAGAAAGAGAAAGACAAGGATACTGCGTTTTCGTTGTTTCGGCCCAAGTCTCGTCAACCCCCTGCTCCTAGCCTCGACACTGCAAGACCTTCATCTCCCAGCCCTATTCTTACGCTCAACCTCTCAGAACCGAAAGAGGACAAGCGTCGCACACTCGGTGTGGTGTTTGAAGCAGACCCTGACAATCAACGCGTTCTGCCTGAATCCGTTATTGGTGAAAGGCGTCTGAACTCTGCAGAGACCCTTTCATTAGTGAAGGCATGCTCGGCCGCAATTGTCAGTCGTGGTGGTCTCGAAAGCCTCGGTGTGATGCACCCGCACTGGTACTCCGCCTCGCCGGACGTACAGCGCAAGCTTATTTCGCTCTTTATCCTTTCCTTGGCCCCTCAAAGTCAAGCCCCCACGCTCCCTGTTTCTCCCTCCTCTTCTTCCCTCTTATTTGAATCGGAGCTATCCTACACTCGCTCGCCGCATGATATTGCAGCCATCCTCCGGTGGGCTTTGCGTCACCTTCAGCTGGACGGCAATTCATTCGGAACCAGTTCCTCTGCTGAGCCTGGAAGCGAGGAAGCATGGCGTTGGTACACCGCGTTTGCAGAGGCCGAACGGGCTTTGTCGTACCCTTCAAATGCGTTCTCACAATCGCTTACCCCCGAATTGCCAACAGCTCATCATCGACTACTAACAGCTACATTGGATATCATCTCTTCGCTTGCTGCTCACGCCGAGACCAACGGAAGCTCTGGAAGCAAACTCTCCAAGTTCCTGGGTCTGTGGCTCCTGACTGCTCAACGTTCCCAAGAATCCGACGATTGGAATGCCTTCTACGCGCGCTGGGAGCGCGCCGGTCGTATTTTAGAACACATTTATCTGTCCTACATCCGGTTCGTCGCACTGTTTTTTTCCTCTTTCATTCGGTTGTTTATGCGTATGCTGTTGCAGGGATGAAGCCTCTCACGAAAAGATGCCTCTACGTCTAGTTGAGTTGGTGAAACATTACCCGTACGGCAAGACTTCTTCTGAGGATGCCCTCCTTCCCCGCCCGCGCTTCTCGACACGTCAATATGACACTCTGTTTGTTCGGGTGGAAGCGCAACTTCCTGATAAACGGTCTACGAAGCCGAAACTCCATCCCGTGCAGCTCGTCCAGGAAGCACTCAAGGCCGAAGTTGATTCAAATGCTGGCGAGCATGTTCAGTTGTGGGAACGTATCAGGCAGGTTTCCCCTGAAGAAGAGGACACATCGGCTGCATTCCAGTTATCACGCATCTTTGATGAGGACACTCTGAACCTCCTTTCACTTATACCGTTAGAAGGGACATCGCCTACCATAAGTATCACCATTCCGCCATCGAATGTTCGCCCAGTTCGCAGACGTTCAACTTCTCTCGGAGGGCCTACTGCTGCCAATGGCAATCGCAAGGGACCAAGTAATGGCGAAAGTGCTGGCACCAATGGTAGCCTAACGGCTTCACCGACCATCCCCTCATCTCCTACGGATTGGGCGGATTTTTCCTCTGCCGGATTCGGTGACATCACCTTGGGCAAGGACTTCGCTGCTACTCTCTTGGATACTGACGTCGAGAAGACCAGTCCTCCGGATGTTTCTTCTCAAGGAGGCAAGAAGCGTCGAGCTACTTCTCCCACTATTCCCGTATCCGCTAACCGGCGGTCATCGGCTGACAATCCCCAGGCTATAGCCAATAGGATTGCAGCTCAGATGGACGCTGCGAAAGAGACTTTGGAGGTCAAACGGAAGGCTTCCGCTGTCAAAATGATCCAGATTGACGAGGCGTTTATTGACTTCTGGAGTGATGCTTTCACAGATCCCATCGCTGCCTCTTGGCCGGCTTTCGTCGTATGTCAGCTGAAGCCTAGCTTAGGGCTTAGCGTTGACGGGAAGGCAGTCAACTGGCTCGTGATCGAGCATGTCTTCACGTATCCAGCACCTCCCCCTTCGCCAGTCTCACCTTCCTCTCCAGTGAAACGAGCTGCATCACCCAAACCGTCCCTGCGTTCGAACATTTCCACTCGTAAGAGCGGCACATTTAACGCGGCAAGGAAACGATTCACCTTCTTCAGCGGTTCGGAGTCGGCGAAGGGATCGAATGTGAAGGCTTCTGGTTTGACCAGCCCCGGCTTAGGAGGAAGGAAGCGTGGCGGAAAGTCTCCTCGTATTGGCGAAATGGGCGAAATCCTGCCTGATGTGGAGGAAGGTTCTTCAGAGCCAACGTCTGCCCAACCCACATCGTCACCTTCTGGCCTGGGTCTTCTTGATGATGCGCCAGCGGTCCCTGCCAAGGCTGAGACGCCTAGGGCGGAATTGTCTCCCGTACCTGTTGTCGATGCACCTCCTGCTGCAGAGACGGTGCCTGTCGCTACTGAACCCGTGAATGTAGATGAAGACAGAACGAAACTTACTGCAATCCATCCGCCCCAACCCACACCAACGTCTCATGTTTCGAATGGACCAAGTGATGTTGCTGAAGCTGCCGCTGCAACGGTGCCTGTTCCTGAGAAGACGTTGCCTTCTGCTCCCGAGCTTGTCGTTCAGACTGGAGCAACCCTCGGGCCTGAGGTTGCCTTGAGCTCCGGTGGGCCCGTAGTACAAGCTGAGGCTACCACTACCGCTGCATCGGAGATAAATCAAGGGCTTGTTGAGAGAGTGGTCGCTCCTGAAGAACCCACTGAGCCAGCTCCGGGCTTCCAACAATCTGAAGCGAAGGTTGATGAGGATGTTGACGAGACTCCACTGGCGTCGCCGGCGACTACAAAGGTTTTTGAGGGTATCCCTTCCCAAGATAATGTCAGCAGCCCTGGTGAAGAAACTGTCGTGCAGACGGGAGGTTTAGGCAAACCGCTCCCAACGGAAAAGGCTGCAGAAGATCTTACTGAGCCGGATGTGATAACAGAAGACAAACCGGCTGTGTCTGAACCCTTTTTTGAGCCGTCAACCACCAATGCCAGTCTTCAACCAGTTGGGACCGTAGAAGCACCCAATCAACACCCGGTCTCCAATGAAAAGGAGCCTTTGGCACAAACGGAGGTCATCTCACAGATCCCCAAGTCAGCTACCGAAGATACCGAAGAGATTCCGGAGCAAACGAAGACACGAAGTCATACTGCGGACGCTGAGACCAAGAAGGGGGAAGGCCTGCAAGGAGATAGCCCAGATGTATCTGTCTATTCAAAGGGTGCGGAAGGCGGTACGCTAGCGCAAGGTTTGTATGATCCATAGTGCCTGGGTCGAATTATCTTCTCACGTCTCTTTTTGCATCAGATGCTGTTCCAGGCTTTGCGGCTCCCAGCCAAACGACGTCGCAAGAAACAGATGGTGGCGAAGATAAATCCACCCTTCCTGATCATATTCAAGGAAATGGCTCAAGTCAACCTAGTGAAAGTGGCGTTGTGCCGGTTGAGCACGCTTTACAGGAACACGATGTTGTCGGTTCGTATCTGCAAACGTCTCCTTCAACGCCTCTGCTAACTACTACCTTGTCAGGTGGCAAACCGACACCGACTGTCTCCGAGGAAGAAACACCTAGTGCTGGAGAGACGCCTTCTACAACTCAGTCGTGATACCCCTGAGCTCTTATACCCCCTAATACCCCGTCCTCCATCCGTAATGATGTTGTTGTCTAGTCTTGTTGTTTATGATCCGTCTGTTCCTATGGTTTCATGCTGTTGGATTACTCTATGCTCAGTTCGCGCGAGATATTCATCCTATATCTTCTGCCCTTGGACTATCATTCACTTCTCCTACATTGGACGCAGTCTTGATGATCAGTAGCTCATGTTTCAATAGATCATTCAACTTGGTGTCGTCGTACGAATCTCTTGTACATCTGGGTGAACCACGAACATGAGATTACAAATGTCGTTCAGTAAGACTGCGTACAACGGTCAGTGATCAGCTAGCTTCAAGGTATGGCCAAGGTTGGAAGGACATACCTGACTTGCTGTGGCTACCAGAATTCACCTAAAGACTTCTACCATCTCGCCCCGGCTGTCGTGAGTTTCCCCGTCTACTTGATTGTCTAGCTCATCCTCACAAGTGTCGCCAGTTGTCCACGTTGAGTTGTCAAGAGGAGCTCCGATGTTTCCGGCAACTCTACTTGCAAAGTGAATAGTGCTGAAAGCTTCCGAGCCCAAGTCATCAAACGCGTCTTCCCCGTACGCCGTCCGCAGATCCAGAAAGAAACGAGAGATTAGGACAGATGACATCCTAGAGAAGGTGCAAGCGCTGAAAGGATTGTTGAGAGTAGCCAGGAACGGACGACGTACGAATAGTTGACGTAGATAAAGTATGTTCCTAGAGCACTTTCCTGCAAATGCTGGCGTGATTAGATAAAGGACTAAACGAGATTCTGCTTACCGCGTTCGCCACATTGAGGTAGTTCAGCACCATCGTCGTTACGTTCATAACAAGCAACGCCCTAGTCAACGCATTAGTGCAAGATATTCAACAAATTGCATCGCGATCAAAGGAGACAACTTACAAGAAATGTACCGCACCTGTACAGCGCATGTAATGAACTATGAAATCAGGTAAAGTGCAGAAAAAACTTGCCATTTCTGAATAGTAGGGTAGACATCTGAGACTTGACGTGCAGTTGTCTACTGGTGCTGGACAACACATGACCAGTATTTACACAGGTAAACACAAGCACCACTAGGTCTGCTGTGACCGCGACGGCACGAGTCATGATGGGCCCTTCAGAAATGAGATTTGATGAGGTGTTGATGGGACTCAAAAACAGACTGGAGTGTGCTTACAACTGCAAGAGAAGGATCAGCATTTGAACACTGAGATATGACAATCGGAACGCGTACTAAGTCCATTTGGGAGGATCCAGTGGCTCAAAAGTACAACCTGCGAAGGGCCCTGATGAAATAACGCTCACTGTGAATCGAGCCGAGAAGTTGTACTGCAATATTAGTTAATTGCACAAGACCAAGTTGGAGCATGATCCAGACTTACGATGTTAATACATGGGATAAACAGGCTCGGAATAAGAACCACAAGCAACGGAAACCACTTTCGGCCACATATCGCCCATATGCGTAAACTTGCAAAGGCTTCAGATGACTATCATGAGCCTCCGTCAGATATATTACTAAAACGTTGTCATTTACCCGCAAAAGTGAATGCTCCAAGAACGTCAAATACGTTTGCTGAATATTTTATCGCGTTGCATCTGTCGTCAATAAGAACATCTAGATGTTATCAACTGTTTGGTGAGAGTACAACGTACGACTCCATGTAGTCAATCAGTATGGTTCGAGGAGTTTAATATCAGGGAGTTGACACGAACGATGGTAGATTTGGGCACGTACATGCCTGCGATAACCTGAAGGGACATGCTAGCCAAGGTAGCATACCGATTGATTGCAAAAAGCGCCGTCACAGCAGTGAATCTTCGTCTCCAAATGCAATCCACTTCACGAGAGGAAGTTAAGCATATGTCGTAGAGGAGAACCGCTGTGTGCACGGAATGAGATAGCAGAACCTTCAACACAAGGACAAATACTAACCAAACGCTGCTAGAACGCAGTACCCGACTCTCGTGCTGTTCAATCTGAAATGATCGATTAGAACACAGGAAGACGTTGAAAGCCAAGCATAGAAAATCACACAACAGATAAAAGCTTAGAATCTTGTTCTTCTGTATCTGACATTTTTGCAGGCTAAGGCAGACTTCGGAGTGTTGAGAGCCTGGCAACGTCGATGAAGACACCCACAAAGTGATAGTCTAGACGAGAACTTATACGTTCTGCAACAACACCACAAGAGAGCGGCAGGATAAGATTACAATGGGAATCCCGGGATACAGGTATGATAATCACCGTGTGATGCAACGTTTATCAGCGATATTATCCTCCAACAAGACTGTACTAACGTAAGTTCAGAGGCGTCTGCCAGGAACGAAGTGCCGGTCAGTGAAACAACCAATCAAGAGCCTTACCTTGGCTTTACATACGCAATGATATCGCTGGCAAGAAGCCGGGTTCGTAGTGTCTTGGCATGGTCAGAAGTCGCCTAAGCAGATCTTCCACAGTTCCAATAGCGCATTCCAATTCTGTGGAATTTCAGGGTTCAGACGATCATCGTTTCGTTCTGAGATATGGGCTGCGAATCAAATATTAATTGTGATAGAATTCTGAACTGTCCCGAACAGAGCGCATCTTCGCCGCTGTGTACCATGCTTGTTTAGGAACGTCACTGTGTCAACATTTAGCCGGTATTTCATTATTAGAAGTACCTCTGCAGTATATCAAAGGGATACTGACCGCTTTGTTGAGATGTGACCTAAACAGTAAAGTTTCAAGAATGTAACAATCAGAGCGCTATCCTGTCACAAGAGCGTGCTACCTGTTGATCAACGGAGTAGTGAGCAAAATCACCAAGCAAATCAAGACCCGACCTCCGGTATGACTTCTCCGGTCTCATTCCGAGCGACTCTCGACCATACAGACATATTTGTGTCTAGTTCTTCCCATACACGTCCAGCAGACTCGCCGCTGGAACGAAGAGTTCACGCAAGTGTTCAAAGGTAACATCAATGACCAGTTTGGATCATCAGTATATGTCGAGATAACTATTCCAAAACAGGGATGTCTCGAAAGGATGTGGGACTGCGATGTATCCTGAATCAACGAGGACTGTAGAGCACCTTCTGACCTGCCTCCTGCAATGAACCATGGCGAGATACACCTACAGCCTTCGCGACGGATCAAGACGATGTATAGAAGCATGATAAGCTTGCTTCATCACCATTTTGTCGCATTATGGCGGCCTATGTGGTGCATAAGGTCGCTCAAGCTGTCTTCAATCAACTTGAACCACAGCAGTATTACGTCGATATAGCGCAGTCCGGCTGGTGAGCACAACCTGGAAACCGTTGTTAACACTGCATTCATAATATTTTCTCCGAAGCCATTGGCTCCTTCTACCGTCACATTATGCTTCTTGCCCCTTTCGCCATCGCCTCTCCAACCACCGCATCGTGGCAGCACGAGATCCCATTATTCAAGCTGGTCAAGCAGAGGTCACCAGCGCAACCGTCGTGGCAGGTCGGTATTAGGATCCTAAGTCAGACAGAGATATCCTGAACCTCTGTCTACACTGCCTGTGGGAGACTAGATCCTAACAGAGATGACTTATTAGAATGTCCAAATAGAAACAGGATTGATTCTAAAGAAGAGTCAGCCTGTGACGTTCAAACGATGACATTACAATTTCATAGGCTAAAATACAGTACTGTAACTGTCGTTATCAACAGCGCCGCTATACTGACGGAATACTATAGGTCCGAGCTGAAGATGTGGAAGCCTTGAGTATTCATGAATATTCAAGTTGCGTGCTTTCTGCTATATGATGTGGAGTGTCACGGTTTGAGGAAAGTGGTATTTCTCCGGCGCTTTCTGAAAGTTATCCGTTGAAGAGTTTACCGACGTTCCTGAAGGTTCCTGATCATCGATCAGGCTCGCGTAAAGCTTGTCTCTTCCTAATACTGTACTAGCTATGCCGTCGACTTTTCAGCAAGGATGCAAGAGTTTTGCTTCCCAACTATGTAAAAAATCTGACGCCTTGTCTTCTATGTGCAAATGATCTGGTTCAGATTGTCTAATGTTCCTTGGTCCCTCAGATCTGAGTCGGACCCTGTTCGTGACGGTGGAGCTAGGGGGTTGAGAGATTGTACTAGGCTCGCTTCCAGCATCTAGTGTGTGCTCGGAAGACAATCGTTCCTTCATACAGTATATAAAGGATTGTATTGTCAGGTACAGTATTGTATGCGCATTATTCCTTGTCATCTCTTCATTGAAGTCCGCTGGTCTCAAGCGTCTTACGCCGTGCTCTCCGAGTTATAAGGATTGGTTCATCACCCCATATCACGCATGACGAACTCATGTTGCTGCACTGTTGAGCCAACAAACGGGTCGCCTATCCTCCTACCACAAAAAGACCGTCTCTACGCTCGTCAAACAGCCTATGATAATGTGTACCTGGGGTGGCTGACCTACCGATTCAGGTATCGAGCGGTTGCTATTATCGTCTCCTTGCTGCGCCTGACTGGCTTTCGGGAATCCAGGCATCGTTATTCCCGATTTCCCAAGTTATTCCTTCCAAGAGATGTCGCTGATCGACCTGTCAACTCTGATCATTGGCTTGATGGGAAGCTTTCTGCGCTCCCATGCCACCTCATGCTTATCAATGTTCACTCCATAAAGTCGAGCATATTGACCACGTCAAAGACAGCCCCTCTTCCACCTACCTGCCATCGTTGAGATCATGACTCAAGGTCGAACTGCGCCATACGGTAGCTGGAAGTCGCCAGTGGGCGCCGAAGTAGTAGCCGCTCAGGTAACGTAGCGTTTTGCCCTTAATCTGGTCTTCAGCTCACTCATATGATACAGAGTTTCGCTGCAGGCGTAGAAGACATTTTCCTTGATCCTGTCACATCCAAGGTATATTTCGCACAGAAACGTCCCGAAGAAGGTCAGTCGCCCGAAGTTATCATATCTGACCTTGAACCTTCGTACTGACATGTCTGTTGCAGATGGTCGATCAGCAATCGTCGATGCATCAGATCGGAAGGACGTTTTCGGGAGGGAATGGGATGCACGTACCAAAGTGCATGAATATGGAGGCGCAGCAGCTACAGTTTTTGGCGATATCGTGTACTTCTCGCATTTCCCCGACGATCGTGTCTACAAGACCACCAAAGGCTCGACGCCAGTGCCAGTTACTCCGTGTACGTGGCCAGTTTTGTTCACTCGTGTAGTCTAGTGGCTTGGAGGCAAGCTGATATATTCTATGTCACAGTCGACCCCGTGCAACGATTTGCTGACTTCACGGTCCACCCTGATCACCCCAATCTGATTGTGGCTACAGTTGAAGATCATACAGACTCACATCCTGCTCGTGTTGCTACTTATCTAGCATTCATTGACGCCAATACGTCGACTGTCACCAAGCTATTGACGGATGCGGATTTCTATGTGTGTGCTAGGTTCAGCCCTGATGGAAAGTTTTTGTCTTGGCAACAGTGGTACGTCTTTTCATGTCGTTAGATGGTGTGTTTATACTAAGGCAAGACTTCGGAAGGAATTTCCCCGATTTGCCATGGCAAAGTTCTGAGATCTTTGTTGCTCCGGTATCTGTCACTGAGAGCGGTAGTAGGCTCGAGATCGGAGCAGCCGTTCATGTTGCTGGGAAGCATGAACAAATCGTCGCTCAAGACCCAAGCTGGACTGGTAATAACAGCCTGCATCTCATTTGTGACATTAGTGGATATCTTAATCCATGGAAGTTTACTTTCGACCCTTCCGATCTCGCTTCTACTGGAAAAGCTGCACCTATCACGGCTGAACCCATCGAAGAAGAATTCGGATTCCCTCAGTGGTGGTTGAGCCGACATGGGTCAGGCGCTTTAAGCAACCACAAGATCGCCTTCTTGTCATTCAAAAATGCATTGTCGAAACTCTACATCGCTGATCTGAATGACGGAACATTGACCGAGGTCCCTACACCTTATGCTCATATCCAATATATGCACGGGGACGGAAAAGGTCATGTCGTGGCCTTGGGCTCACCTGCGGGCGCACTTGAAGAGCTGATGGAGCTTACCCTCGACCCATCAGGAAAGCCTCTGATCAAGTCGCTTTCACCTCCTGCTCAGGAACACCCTCGGCTTCCTTCCTCTCATATCTCTCTCCCTCAGTATTACGCACTCAAACTCGCGCCTGACAATCGTGTTTGCCATGTCACTTATTACGGCCCGAAGAACCCCGATTATGATGGTGGACTACCAGGAGAGAAACCACCCATAGTGGTTCTCATCCATGGAGGTCCATTCTATATGGAGCCAGCAGCTTTAGATTGGACGAAGCAGTTCTGGACTTCTCGTGGTTGGGCTCAGTGAGTAACGTCTTCTAGTTTGTTGGTGAAAAGATACATATTCTCATATATTTGCAGTATCGACGTTAACTATGGAGGATCCAGTGGTTTTGGCCGCGCATACAGGTGGGTTAAGCTTTCGGTATTATGAACGCTATCGCTCAGGCTAGTGCATGATAAGTGAAAGTCTGCATGGGCAATGGGGAGTCCTCGATATCAACGATGCTCATCAATCTGTCATTGAGCTCGACAAGCTCGGTCTCGTTGACAAAAACCGTGCAGTCATTCATGGGGGATCCGCAGGTGGTTACGCCGTACTGCAGATTGCTACTTCACTTCCTACAGCCTTCGCTGCTGGTTCTCCTCAATATGGTATATCAGATATGAAGAAGCTCGACGAGATCCTCCACAAATTCGAGTATTATCTCTGTGACCGACTCATGGGTGGCACATACGAGGAAATTCCAGAAATTTGGAAGGAACGGTCGCCGATCTACCATGTTCATAAGATCAAGATGCCTATGCTTGTAAGTTTGTTTGTTTGTTTGAACCATCATTTGCTTCCTGGTACTAACGTCTTACATGGAACAGTTTTTGCAAGGAAAAGCGGATACCATTATCCCAGCACCTCAAATGATAGAGATAGTCGACACCATACAAACAAGAGGTCAGACCACGGAACTGGTTCTTTTCGATGGTGAAGGTCATGGGTGGAGACAAGCGTCGACTGTCCAGACTGTCCTCGCGAAAGAACTTAAGTTCTTTAACGAAGTTTTAGGTTTGGAGAACTCACCGTGAACATCAATCGTAGAGCTTGCTGGCTAGCCTTCCGGGAAATTGTAAGAAGATGATTCTGTATCGCCTCGTATGTGCTCTTGTGAGATATTTGACCCATCCTGAGCGGCACCTTAGATGGGCTAGGCATGTAACATTTAGGTATAGTCCAATTTCGTTCTCAGCTTGCATGATTGGAACTCACGTCGGTGGAATAATCCGTGTTCCTGATGATAGCATCATATATCAGTTTATCCAGGGCGGTCTGCTAGCCGCATAAGTTTAGTGAAAGCCCCCGACGGCGTCTTACATGTGATGATGAACGCTTATTCGTTTTTCAGAATTACGTCGGATGGGTCAAAGACCCGTCTGCGTAAATATTGTCTATGATCGCGCATCGATGTATTTATCCTTCAGGATATAATCGAGTCACTTCTCCCCTCTTCCAAGACTGTTGTTCTGCAACCTGTATTCACCGTATCGCCGTGTGCAGTCTTATATCCCTGGTAAGGAAACACGGGAAATTTATGAACCATGTCTACGGAACTTGGCTTGACACCAGAACAAGTGATTTCAGTAATGTAGGGCGATCCACTACTTCTTCGATGCATGGAATTGAAAAATGCTCTTACAGCACGAGCACTCGAGTTATCGCATGTTGCGATGTAGCGGCATTGGGTGAGCTTACAATTCACGTCCATTCTAAGCAGCTCGACTGAAGCAACTAGTGGTGCTGCTTTATGACATCGTTCTGACGTTTCCACAGGAGGTGGCTAGCATATGGAGAAGGAAGCTCACCGGCGTGACTGTTCTATTCGCCATTAATCGTTATGCTGTACTTGCGAATTTGTTTCTCCAAACATTGACCGGGTTCTGGATGCCACGTACAATAATCGTAGGTTCATTCTTTTCGCGCATAAATAGCGATCTAATACTTATTCTTTAGGGGTATGTCACTGTTTCCATCCTGCCTGACCGATGGCAGTGCTCACGCGAAGGGACAGCTGCAAAGCCCTGATGTATACCACGTATGTGGTCGACATAATCAGCCTCCTTGGCCTAGCGGGTAAAGTTCTTTACCATCATATTCGAATGCAATGGTTGACACAGTGCATTTACTGAAGCCTTTGCAACCCTCCGTGTGTGGGCGATATGTGGCCGTAGATGGTTCCCTACTATCAGCGTGTTCCTCTTTAGTATGTTCGTACCATGCGTAAACATCGTAAGCACCAGAACATGCATTGGATTATGAAGGCCTACTCACTCTCAGACGCATAGTATGGCTTTAGCATCCCTGCGGACATGATGCTTATTGAGTCGGGTCCACTGACTGGCTGTTTCATCGATGTATTGAATCCTCCTTATCGATAGTAAGTCATTCCTAGTCACTGCGTCTTTGTCGTACGTCCCATTCACATTATTGCAGTCGTAGGCTTAGGATTATCTTCTGCTCCTCTAAATATACGGACTGACCTAGAACTAACAGTACCAGTGGTCACACGATGCATTGCAATAGTATCTGACGCGCTCGTTCTCTTGTTCACTTGGCTGCAAACAGCCGAAATCCTGCGAGAGAGTCGTCGTCTGAATATGAAGACTGAACTGTCATCCCTTCTTCTTCGAAATGGTACGTCCTCATCCCTCTCACGAACCCAGTGTAACTGTCTCTCTGCTCACTTCTGCGGATCTTTACCAGGCAGTGTACAATTTTCGTAGGTATTTTGTACATTCCGTTCTTGTGTGCCAAAACTGATATTCTTATACAGGGTCTTGCTCACCTTGAATCTCATGACGGTGATCTTCGACATCCTTTCCATCGCTACGACCAGTAATGTGTGTTCAGGTTCTGTCATAGCGATTTCTCTTTTCAGCTAATTGCGCTAAACCCAATAGACGGATGAAGCGTCCGCCTTTGTGTATATCAGCGAGGCGTATGTACACTCGGTCAACTGAGCAAGAAGTACATTTCAAACTAAAATTCAAATTTCCACAGTTTATCGTCTATCCTCATCAGTCGATTCTTGTTGGACTTGCGTGCAGTATATCTGCCCAGCACGAACAAAACCCTTTCATTATCTAACATCTCAAGCGTCCACTTCGCCAGCGCTGTCGCAGGAAATATCGGGGCTTCCCTCGACCTGTCTTGGACAGCAGCTCCAGAAGATGCATTGACCGAAGGTGAAGGCGAAAAGGCTCAGTTTTCATCTACCCCTTTAGCAATTGGACTGTTGCCGTCGGAACCTTCTGTGAGTTGGTCGGGTCATGAAGGTGATGGGAATGGCGGCGGGCAGTGAGTCCTTCGTGTAAGAATAATGGTCTTTTGCTAATTAAATTGTGCAGTTGCTCTATGATCGTAAACTCGCCTGTAGGATCCCCTATCGGTAATGACAGGCCCGACACTCAGCCAGTGGCTGACCTTTCGATGCATTATGGCGAATCCATTGAGCTTAAACCAAGGGCTTGAATCATTAATTCATGTCCTGTTCTGACTTGTTAAATGTGTATTTCGTATCGAACATCAGATTGGTTGCGAATTTCGTACTTATCATTATATCGGGGAAGCTGGTGATCCAATATGCAATTTATCGTGAAAGAGTTAACCTGTTCATCTGAAATTACGGAAAATGTGGTACTTGGGAGAATCATTGGCGTCTTAGGCCTACTAGAAGCATGTAGCCGATTGCATCTTAGTCGAATTGTCGCGCATATGAGTCTGACTACTACGTACTGTATGTAACCACTAGTAATTACGTCGTGAGACCTTAGACCTTAAACTTAGACCTTAGTGGGTCTCAAGTCCTCGGAGATCAATCGATCACGCGACGCGTCGTGATACACGCATCCTCCTGCTCTGCTCTTGCTCTTGCTCCTGTTCCGTCCCATGCAACCATATGTCTACTTCACAGCCATATACTCAGCGAATCATGGAATACACTGCTCTGCTCTGGCAACTCACAGGTCGCTATGCGTCGACCATCACATCAAGAAGGTACGGTTAATCTGGAACTGACGGAACAAGTACACCACATTCGGACCTCGATGTAAGTTGTAAGTACAAGCTTAAGGGCAGCACTAACCTTCTTAGGAACATTATCCTTACTGGGGACATCTTTGCTAAGCCGCGATGATAGCCATCAATGTAGAAATTATCGGAGTCGGGACCAACCATATCCACGCGTCTGAGCATTTTTGTTCCTCTGCCCTAGACCGTCAGACTCTCCCCAATGTCTGAGAACCCGGAATTAGTTGTGGCGGTGTAAGGGTGCTTGTCGCTTTCTGATGTGTACTACTGATGCATTCTTTACAGGTGGAGTGTTCACATCGCTGGTTCTTGCATATTCGCTGCAACCAGTACGTGTAGCACTTACCCCACACAACTGAGAACGGAATCTGATGTGATTTTGGAATTCGTTGTCAGCCCTTGTCCTATATGACATTCTCTTGACCTTTTCGCAAGAGGTTGCCTGCGTATGGAGAAGAAAATGGAACCTTGTCACTCTGCTCTTTGCTGTCTGTCGGTATGGCACTCTTGTCGACGTGATGCTAAAGGTACAAGGCGGTTTTGGGTTTCCTCACTCAATCATCGTACGTCAAATATTCTTCGCGAGACTGACTTTCTATCGTGTTCTTATGCCTGATCGTAGAGGTACGATCAATAAGTATTTTAACTACCACTCGCTCGCGTCAGACGTGAAGTTGTAAAGCCCAAGCTTACACTCTGTATGTATTCGATGTTCTCATTATGATTGCCATTGCCGGTAAGACAGCTGATCATGATGGCTTTCTGCAGAGCTCACACTCACTTACAGACAAGTTATGAAAGACCTACACTCGACATATTCCCTGCGGTTCAATTCATCTTGCCTTATATCCGGAATTTGGGCGCCGGCCAGGTGAAGGGATAACTCGTTGATCATATTCCCGTTTCAGCCGCTCAGGCGTTCAAACATATCGTCGATGTTATGGACGAGGAGTCTCGTAGAATCTTCATGTTGAAGAAGTGCGCACTTCAGGCTGGTGACAGCAGGTTGGTGAGGGCAAGGACATTATGAGTATATTATGTACGTTTATTTTTTGTTGAGTTTTCGTGGCTGGTTTCTTCTAAGGCACTGTTGGCAGTGAGGGAAAATATGAAGGCCTCTGAGGCGGATCGACTCCCCGACGCTGAACTACTTGGACAAATCTCGTGAACACGCTATACTCAGCAAAAAAAAAAAGTCTCTCTCGATTACGCTGATATCTTTTCCAGCCTCCTCATTTTTGTGGCTACCAATACAACAAGCGCGGCGTTGGCACCTATTTCACAACTTCTGGCGAAACACCAGAATATCCAGAATAAACTGAGGGAAGAGATCATGGATGCCTGCAGTGAGTACGGCGAAGAGGTCCCGTATGATCAGCTGCTCGCTCTTCCTTTCCTGGATGCCGTCTGTCGAGAAGCTCTCCGTGTGTGCATACATGATTCAGTATCCTTCATTCTGATATCTAACATGTTAAGCTTATAGGTTCCCGCCTCTCTCTTCCAAGTCTTAAATTTTGCGCGAAGCTACCTTCATGACAATGAGAGTCGATGTTGGACCGTTCGTCTTGATTGCCATTCATGGATCCAATCTAAACAAGCAAATATAGGGGGACGATGCTAAAGAATGGAAGCCAGAACGGTGGCTTGCTCCTCCCACACCATCGGTGACCGAAGCTCATATTCTTGGTGTCTATTCCCATATGTCAGTGTCTTCTTTCTTCAGATTAAAACCTTGGCATTTGTATTCATTTTCTCTCAGGGATGACTTTCAATGGCGGCCAAGCTTGCATCTACGTGGCATTGTACACGTCGAGTCCCTTTTTTTCGTCAATTTTAAGATCTATCCACTCTAGCAGTTTCAAGTTCTCTCAACTGGAGATGAGTAAGTATTGTGGTGATCTCAACCCCTAGTGAAACTGCCGTGATTATCTCAGAAGTGATACTTTGACTCTTCTGGCATCCTTCCGCTCTACGATGTCTCACAAGGAGCACGACATCATTTGGAATTACGCAGCGATTCGCTATCCAACTGTGGGAAAGCATACCACAATGCCATCTTTCCCCATGTTGATCAACCCCGTCAAGCTCGAATGATAATATGGTGTGTTGTGCACAGCAATTATTGTATATTCCCCTTCTAGGATATTTCGTCTCTCCGTCGTACAGCATCGAAGAATATTGAAAGGTTATGTCAAATCTGTATACAACCCTAAGCTATGGCCAGGAGTAGCGAGTGGGCTGCGTTGCATGCGTTGTAGTTTTCTCACGTTCTCCACTCTTCTCAGTGCATATGAAGCAACGTGTGCGGGGTCCTCATACCTCGTGTGACGCATGAGGTGAACAAGTTGACACACCGCGCTTCTGGCCATATTTAGAGATCGATATTCTAACTGTAACCTTGGAACTCGACGAGCTGGAACCGACTTTTCTTCGATGGCTCACCGTACTAACGTTTAGGATCAAGACATGGCTTTTGACGAAGATGCAGCACGAATCCATGAACCTCATGCTGCGTCAGCGGCACTAGGCATATCTGGGTCTGACTATGCTGCTCGCACTCAATGTTTGATCATGTTGATCACTGACTTACGAGCCCTTGGGTAGGTCGTATTCTAGTTGACTTCACTATACGGCTCACTCATAAAACACAGTGCTCAGGCAGACTTCAATCTACCCCGAATTGCCGTCATAGGCAACCAGAGTGTGGGAAAGGTGAGAGGAAGCATAGATTTCAATTTTTGCAAACATGTAGTATTCATGTTCTGTGCAGAGCTCTTTGGTTGAAGCAATAAGCGGCGTACGTTATGATTTATCTGAGAGATGTTCCAAACTAATTCACTCGGGACGATAGATCACACTTCCACGAGCTAGCGGGACTTGCACGAGGAAAGCCAAGTTTCCACTTTCAGCACCATTCGGAGACTGATTTTGGCTAGGTGTCCAATGGAGTGTCGACTTACCCATTCTGATGGCGACTGGTGATGCCAGGTAAAGCTTCGTTGGGAGTATGATGCCTTCGGGGAGAAAATCAAGACACGTGAAGATCTATTCAGACCACTCTTGACAAACAAATCAGAGCTCGAGGATATGATTCGTCGTGCACAAACTGCCATTCTAAACCCCAGCACTTCACCCCTTTCTTTTTTGGTTGGGGAAATTCCGCAAGATCCTCCAAGGCAGCTTCATTTCTCCTCTAACGTTGTATGCATCGATCTATTAAGCCCGGATGTGACAGATCTTTCCTTCATCGACTTGCCAGGTATGTTCCTCATTGGAATACCTGTACGCGACTGACCACAAGAATCACTTGTTCGTAGGGATTATCTCAAATGTCGCCCCCGGTGAGGACAGGAGCTATATCGCAGTGGTAAAAGAGATGGTTAGGTCGCACATCAAAGGGAACACTCTGATACTTTTGACAATCACCATGCGAGGCTAGTCATTGCTACATGTACACCGGGTACACATCAACCTTACCCTATCTCTAGATGATATAGACAATCAGGGTGCCGCGGATCTCGCTCATACTGAAGATCCGCTTGGAGAGCGTACAATAGGTAACCAGTGATATATTTCATGCCTTAGAAGCTCCTTCACTTTGATGGATAGGCGTCCTAACGAAACCCGACACACTTCAACGTGGTGAGGAGCGTACCTGGATGAAGATCCTGGAGGGAAGTAGTCACCCTCTCAAGCGTAAGTGTTTTGGTTCTTGGTAACTTCATCTCTAGTCCTTATAGATTTCCAGATGGCTACTTCATGATGAAACAAGCTTCTCCAGAGGAGTTAGAGAAGCGAATGTCATTTGAAGATGCCCGTAAGAGTGAGAGAGAATGGTTCCAAACAAATGCTCCTTGGAAGGATATGTCAAACTTCCACAACCGAATGGGAACTCGCAATCTTACGAAGGAACTGAGTAGACTCTTAGGCGCGGTCATAAATCAGGCGTACGTTGATCGTTCCTCCGCCACATTTTTTGAAGAGGTCACCCTTACTGAAGCGCTACATTGACAAACAGGTTACCAAAGCTATGTAAAATGTCCAAAGAGTCTCTTCAGCAAGTGTCGCACGATATTGCTGCTCTTCCACCACCGGTGAGTGATAACCCTACAGCTGAACTACTGTGAATGGTGACGAAGTTCGCTGCCAATGTACAACGGTTGATACAAGGTAGTGAAAACTTTGAAAGTCTCATTCAGCAATGCCGCCCTGCATATCAGAGATTCAGGCATAATATACGGCGTACGTCTCTGAATTTCCAACCATTCGTGGATGCGGAAGATGCAGAAAACAGCTGCGGATCGAGGGGCCTCCACATCAAAGTTGAAGCATACCCAGACGAAGAATCGACGGATGACAACTCGCTTGACGCAGTTCCGCCAGTATATCTCAGAAGTATTAAGGAAAATATTCAAAAGTATGACACCTTCCCCGCAATGTGAAGTCCTTAATTCTAATTCGCACTATTAGATCGATCACGCGGGAGCTACCATTCAACGTCCCATTCCGAGCAAAAGTGGCCCTGGTTGAGCAATTCTATGCAGACTGGCACCGCTATTGCCAGACCTGTTTTGATAGCATATATGGAGCGACGTTGACAGAGCTACAGATGCTCGTGGATCATCACTTCACTCAATTCAATGCAACGGCATTGCTTGATCATGTCAGGTTAATTGTGGAACGGCAAGTTGAAATATCGAGGCAGAGAACCCAGGAAAGAATTAAGTAGATGTTAAAATTAGAGGACCCACCTTTCACGCTGAACGACCATTATTTCGCCACTTACCGAGACAAGTATCTTTCACGATACAAGGAAGCTCGTCAAGTGAAGTATCTCCAGTAATTTTTTTTGTAGCTGTACTTACATCGCAATTATCAGCCGCCAGACTTCATCGATGGTCAAGCGGTCAGGGATGCCCTATCAGCACTCGCAGCCATTGGACTTGATGGCCTGAAGGATGCAGACTTGGCGCGATTGCGGGGTCCTGACCCTTATGAAGAAGAACTGACCGTGATGGCTGAAACCTCCGCATACTTCCATGTGAGCTACAAGGTGTGTTTAAAATCAAGGATATTTCCCTGCAAACCGTGTTGACGCTGATCATGATGTTCGATCAGAGAATCATTGACAACATCCCCAGGATAATTGACCATGACTTTCTCCATTCAATAGGGAAAAAAATTCAAGATATGATGATCCAAGACCTATCATTAGGAGCTGAGGATGCAACAGAGAGAGCAGGTCGATATTTGGCTGAAGATGATCAAGTCAGAGCCCAAAGACAGGTATGGCTGCGAAAGAAGGAGAGGCTCACCATCATACAGAATAAATTGTTTAACTTTGGAGCATGATTATGGTCAGTTTCAGGGTTAATTACTTATGCATGTTTGTTTCACTATGTACGCGGAGGTCTATGCGCAGTGCTACTGTACCCGATTTCATGCATCACGAATACAGGTCTGAATCAAGAATGGTTAGCGCAATGAATTCACGGGAGATGCTCGTTGTAAAGTTCCTATACTTTGTAGCTTATGTTTCATGACCCTGCTCATCCTTCATGCCTAAGGTTAACTTGTGTATCCCCTACCCAGGTGGCTTTGGTCATACATCGAGTCATGCGCTCATCAACGGATGGCATGTGTTATAGTAATAACTTCTGAATCAGATAAATACAGCAATGAATACGAAAATCATGAAGTCAGAATGAGAATGAGAATTACGTAGTATGTTACTCCATGTCGTCAGCTTGAGCAGAAAGGGGGACGACAGTCATGGAAAGTGAGGCTCGATCGGATTGCTTCCCAACCGTTGGGTATCTAACAATAGCCAGATTCCAGACGATGTCGTTGTCAATGTCAGATGGAAAGAATTTGAATGATACCAAAAGCATGGTTATTACCACCTCTGCCGTATGATATCAGCATGTCAGCATGTCCCCACAGCAATATTCTACTCACTCATTTCTGGGAGAGAAAACTTGTATCCACTACTAGAGAGTTTAGCGCATGTACCTCCTATGATCGGCAGTAGTAGGTACTTACACGCAAGACCTAGCCCCACCATTGAATGTCATCCTGAGTACCGTGTGTTACCAGGTCACCAACATCAAAAGGCAATCACAGCGGCTCACATATGCGAGAATACTCCAGGCATACGAGCCTCGGATACGGAAGCTGGCAATGGCTCGATCCAGCGCTCAGGCTTCCACTGTTCTGCATCATCTCCCCAAATGTCCCGGCTGAAGTTAGCTCCACGAACTGCCACGATGATGAAGGTATTCATTGGGACGGAGACTTCTTGCAGAATGGTTCCATCCTTGCCTACAAGAGGCTTCGACGGAGGCAAAACAAGGTCTCTCCTGGCTCTGCACCAACATCAACAGATACGGGGAGTTTGAACCTCATAGGACTCACTGTCGTATCAAATATGGCACAGGCGGGTGTCTGGATGTAGGGTTTGATCATTGATTGTATGGTCTCACAACGAGATGAGAAGACTTATTTACATACAGGCGAAGAGTCTCGCGGCATACAGCGTCCAGAAGAGGCAGCGCCATGAGCTGTTCGTAAGGAATTTCTTCGCCATACTGGTAATGAGCAGCAAGGATCTCCGCTTTGATCCTATCTTGAATATCTTGACACTGCGCGAGCAATTGGAACGCGGTCATCAGAATCGAGGCCGTAGTATCTGTAGCCGCGAAAATGAGGAGTCTGTACAGCATGTGATCAGATTGCCAATCATTTTCCGACGTTTTCAAACTGACAACATCTGACCGAGCAACTCATCTTCACTTAAACGGCTATGCTCTGGGGTTTGTGCGTTGACTTTAGCTGAGAACACCTGTATGAGAATGCGCTAATACATTCCATCGTAGTGATTCACTTACAGAGAATACTCATGATGTCCTTGCCACCGTCCTGCATATGAGATTTACGCTCAGTTTTAGTGGCATAAATATTGCGAGCTTGGGTATCCATGGTATCAATAATCGCCTTGAACCTTTGGACCATGGGGACAGGAATCAAACCGACTAGCCATCTTCTGAAACGAGCGGAACCAACATTTCGGGCATATGGCATTAGCGTCAAAAGCGGCACAAGTTGGGTGAGCAGGGGTCTGTTGTTGACGTGAGCATTCATACGTATGGTGTAACTCATGATACGACCCACATATAAGCTCTCATGGCATTACCGTACGGGTGGGGAGCATTCCCATCCTCCGAAACATTAAGAGAGGCACCGAGACCACCTTGACTGATACGTTCAACACTAGCACGGTTGAACCACCGATGCATATCGACGGTCTTCGATGACCACCCGATTTCCGAACGAAGTCCGTCTCGGAACTGTAATAGCAGAGATCAGAGAAGGGCTTGGTTGTAAATACCACAAGATGCATAGTATCTTACGGGCAATCTGATAAAAGTGCGGCGTCATTTCCTTGATATTACCAACAGAGAAGGCTGGGACAAGCATCTTGCATTATTTCTTATGTTCATGACCTATGACAGAGTAAGGAATTTATCGACAACAGTGAGCAAAATTATACCATATCGGTAACACCTAGTAGGCCTCGGCCAAACGAAAAGCGGATCACTCTGAAGTTGACCACGGTATCAAAGCATGATATGATCGGATCATAAGGCGAAAGACATACTCTAGTTCGAAATCGGATACGTCGCAGATCTCTTGCTCTTTGATGACAACTTGGTTGAGGGCTTTTGGGTCTATAATGTATAACATATCTTGCTGTCATGAATCGAGGTTGATTAGACTTAAAACACTAATAACGAGACACACGCACTCCGAGCAACTCAGAGAGCCTAACGATCCCCTGATATTCTTTATGGAGCATGTCTTGAAATTTCTAACCGTGACGATCAAAAAATTGCGTGAGATGCCCTGCGTAAGCATGCGTCAAAGTGTATTGTGCGAGCACAACAATCGGCATAAAATACCAGATATAAATGAAGGCGAGCTTGGTCCAGGAATGTTGTCCAGAGGCGACTTGCGGGTGAGGATACGGAATAACCACCAGATGGCCCGTGTTGCAACAAGCACAACAAGGGCACGGATGAGTGTAAACTCATCTGCTTGCACAATTGAGTGTTCCATGAGGAACGGAGTGAAATGGTATACAGACCGCCACTACTTTGAAGCCTTATACTGTATATGTTGGCATCACTCAGCTGATCCTCTGCCTGGTTGAGGAAGGTCACGATTTTCGGATAGTATGATTATTCAACGCGTGACGGACATACCTCAGCTTGCAGTGTTTTCCGACTTCCCTGGAAGAAGTCGGTCAGGGAATCAACCAGGGAGCGAGAGCAGATTTGGAGTGCTATGTTTGTGAAAGCGAGACAGCGTACTCGCGTGCTTGGCATGTTAGTCATGTTGTCTAATCCAGCCCGCCGAATTGCAGTGAAGTTGTATTTTGGAAAGCAGACCCTTTGTTTGATATGTAGAACACTATTAAGGATGCGCGGCAAGCGGTGAAAAGCTGTATGTTCCTGGAGATTGCGGTTCGATCGTGTTCAGCCTTCGCAACATGCCATACAGCCCGTCTGACTTCATGATATGGGGCTCTGTCGGTGATGCAGGAACAAACTTAACATGTGTTCCCCGAGTAGATGAGGTACTTGAAACTCAGGCTTACTTAGGCGTCGGGCTAAAGAGAGGATTGACGCGCTGTGAGAATATTCAACAAAAAAAAGCAACTAAACATTGCTTACCAAATGAGACGACGGAGTTCAAGCGATGAAGCAGTACGAAAGTGCTACAGAATGATAATCGACGACGGACACCGAGTCGGAGACCCCGTCAGCACGTGGAATCCGACGATGCACTACCCTGAAGTGCGTGACCTCCACTGAGACCGTCTATTTGGCTTCAATGTTTCCGCTTCTGCTGACTTTGGCGAAGCACTTGACAACAAGGTTGTACATGAATGTGTGCCATGGGCGCCTTTCCATATTTGACTGTATCTCTGCATATAAGGCAACGTCTTGGAGCTGAGTGTCATCCTCACGAGTGAGCAGCGCCCTTCCGCCCTGACAACGTTCTTCAAACATAATGAGGTATCCCGTCGGAGAATATGCTGGACAAATTGGCAACGCCGACTGAGAACATGTTCCGAGACCAGCACTTTCTGTGAAATTTCTCTGATAATGCGTCTTCGACCTGATGCCGGTACCCCAGATCAGGTCATATGGCCACCGTGCGTGCAAGGCGTTGTTGACAACAAAATTGACTGAGGACGCGGGGCATTGAGCTGAAGCTGACAGTATCCGGTTGCGAATTTCGAGATCCCTCAAGGTGCCTCGCGAGTCACTGCCATTCTTTGTAAGTGCCTATCAGGTGTGTCAAATGCATGTTGCTATTGTGAGAAGTTTGAGTAAGTACCTCCATTTAATAAAGGCACCGGTTATTGAAAATAAAACCTTTAAGATTGTTTCTGTGGTAAATTTGCCGTAATTGTGAAGTGTGAAGTACGCTGATCGGTCGTCCATGGATGGCCCCAATTCGCCTGCACAGATTGGGGTTGGCTGGATTGAACTGAAAGGCAAGGACGCAACGTGCTCACCTACTCTCCGTCGATCAGAATCCCTAGTGGCTTCCTATGGATGTCCGTCTCGCTATGCCTGCCAATCGGAAAATCCTCAAAATCAGCGAAGCCGTCAGTTATTGTAATCATAGTATCTCAGAGAAACCCGTAAACGTGCTGCGGATATGATATATGACGTAAAGTGGGCATGGTGCGTACCTTCAAAGGTCCTAGGTGAAGAGCCCTTGTACACATATTAGAGACATCGAAGCGGGGGCGTTCGTAGTGGCCATGTCTGTTGAAAAAGTCATCGCCGCAATATACCGCATAATCGGAAGTATTCCGACATATAATGAGCAAGTATTTCACGTACGAGAGACATCGCTCTGAATTTTGGAATGGGGAAGAGAACATAGTTGTATCCTAGACAGCTATGACGGGTCTGGATGCCTATAGAATCAGCCGTCAATTAGAGAAGGTTTCAAAAAGTTCTGAGGACCACGAATGTTAGTATATCAGTATAGACTTCCAGATAGAACCTCCGAAATGCCTGTGACTGTCAACAAAGCATGCCACCTGAGATGGCGCGGCGCGAGCTCTTTCTAAGGTTTCTGTACTACCGGTTGGTGGTCATTGACTTCAAGAACATTTTCGTGGTAGTACTGGTAACTGTATGGCAGTAACAATGGATCGTCGTGCTCTTACGACTTTCGATGGGAGGCGGCATTTACCGTTCTACTTAGCGCCCCAAAGTTCAACGCACCGACGTCGGCCGCCTGAGGGCTCTTCTTCCTACCTGGTCACTGTCTGTTTTCATTTACATCTACATGTACACCGGAATCCGGAACACATGGCTTTTCGGTGGTGCCTATTGTTGGAAATATTTTCTCACTGGCACTTAACATACTATGCACACTTATGGTGATGAACGATGCAACGTTGAGCCGTCAGTCATGGATGTGAGAGGAACCGAATGGAAGGATATGGCGAGAAGCCAAATCTCTATGGGATAACGCAACTAGAACATTGATCATCTGCGCGTAACGCGGTAAGTTCGCATTGTAGTGAGACGTAGTTGAGCACACTTACAACCTCTTTTCAGCCAAAGTTAGGTATATACTACACTCAGTGCTATTTAGCGATCGTGATCTTATCCATGATTTATAACTAAATATCAGCAAGGCACTCACTCGATGTTAGAAGCGTGATGGTATTTTCGGTCAAGCTGCGTGTTTCTCAGTTCATCGCTTGAGAAACTTACATATAATGGCTTACCTGCGGCAATTACTACATTTGCTCTCGATTCGTTTTGCAGCTCCTCAGCAGCTGTTTTCAGGGTAAATACTTCAGACTTTTGATTCGAGCAAATGTGGGGGGTACTGACTGAATCGTTTAGCTCCTGCAATGACTACGTTCCCTTTGGCCTCGTTAGTCAGTCTTTCAGAAGCTACAACAACTCCGCAATCAGGAACTCGGTGTGTTCAAGGCCAGCTTGGCAACGTACTCAATCGTTTTGCGCCAGCTATCACTACGTTTGCTTTGGCTTCCTCACGTAGCTCTTCGGCACCTGAGTCATTACATGATTAGAAATTGAACTGAAAAGTACCTTAGGCCGCTCACCAAATCGCTTGGCAGCACCAAATACGACGGAAGCTTTAGATTCCTCGGTCAACTCTTCGGCAGCTGTTTCGACTGGATCAGTATACCACTCAGAGTATCGTGGGAAGTGGTATGCTCACTGAACCGCTTGGCACCAGCAATGACGACGTTAGCCTGTGACTCCTTCGTAAGCTCTTGTGCGGCTGTTGGTTTATTGAGTGAGCATGTTCGTCTAGTATACTTGGAACCATATGACTAACTGAATCTTTTGGCTGGGCCAAAGACGATGTCTTCTCTAGCCTCCAGCACTTCAGCACCTGAAACGACAATACTCATTTTCTGAACTGATGTGCAGCATTAGGGAGACTTTCCGTAGCGCTTGACTGCATGAGAAGAGGCCATCGGGCTAGCGAAGGCGACGCCGAGAATAGAGGACACGACGAGCAGAGTGCGACCAAGCATGATGAATTCGGTTTAGCTGCGGAATACTTCCTTCGCGGTTTCTTGCAAGCGAGGTTATATACGGAAAACTCTGTCATGTCAGACTATTGTGACAGGTCATATGGCTTTGGTGAGATAAAATATGGAGGTGATATCTGAAGTGAGGGCCCGCCTGGAAAGCACTCATCCTCATTAGGCTGCATTTTCGGCCACTACTATCGGCATTTTCGCAGCCTTCCAACTGCCATTGTGTAGTGAATCGGGGACTTGATGATCTTTCCATTTTACCCTTGCCATTGTCAAATCACCGCTCTTTGCGATGGCTTTCCCTTGGGCTCCGCGCCCGGCATATATGTAAGTATCTCGTTTCCGAAAGGCGTGGCACTAGGCAGGACTCATCCCGATTAAATTCACTTTTTGTCTTTGGTGAGTCACCGAACCACTGCAATTTCCTTTAGTGCCAAATACCCCCCCGGAAGGCACTTCTTCTCAAGCCATCGCCATCATACCCTCACCCGCTTATAATCATCGCATCAGCCATCGGAGTTGGCGGAAGGTTGGATGCATCGAATGGAATCGATCCTTGAGGAGCCATTGAGGCTATCTTACCAGGAATTGCCTTTTCAGGGAGACGGGGTCTATTATGGCGTATACCGCCGGATGTACCCAATTGTTTTCCCTCCAATGATTCTTGTATCAAATCACGCTGGGGAACTGTTCCCGAAGATGGGAGACAAGCACGCTGGTACGTCGTGGGACGCCCGCAACAATACAGTCTCAGGTGTTCGCACTGTTACTCCGCATGTCAGATTGTATGGAATTCTGCGCTTGTTCCCCTTGACGAAACTGACACGGTAGATTCCTAGCACGCCGTAATCTCGGCCTCCCATAATTGTCTTCTTCCGCTAACAACTTTGGGTTGACTTTCGCTCGCTCGCTAACGGACTCTGCCTCTGGACATGAAGTTCTCCTCTCAGTGTCCATCCGTTCTTACCCTTTTCTTCTCAACGACTGCACTATGCAATGCGGTCGCACTTCTCGCGACCGTCTACAGGGTATTCGGGCCCGGGAAGGAAGTGGTGCATAGTGAGCGGTTCATACATCCTCCAGATGTGCTGTGTCTAACCTTATACAGCCTGGATCGACAGAGATAACCCTTTGGAAATGCCTACCGGACCCATAGACACAGTCGAGATGACATTCCAAGAGTCAATGCGGTATGGCTTCACCGACAACGACACCACTGACAACTGGGAGACCCTTTTCACAAATCAATTTGGAATCGGTTTCGCCCACTTGGGTCCTTTCCATCATCGCTTCATTGGTGCAGCCTACCATTCTCTACACTGTGTCTATTCCATGTCAGAAGATTTCGACAAACCAGATCACGTCGCCAACCCCAGCCACCACTTCATCCATTGTCTTAACTATATGCGGCAGATCTTCCTATGTACCGCCGACATGACCTTGGAGTCTGGAGACTTTATGATGAGGAATCTGACCGTGGATCGGATGGGCGTGACGCGGCAATGCAGGGATTGGGTGCAAGTAGGAGACTGGATCAACCAGAATTTCAAGGAGTGGAGTGATTACAATGGAGTGACTTGGGATTGACGATGAAGTTGGCCGTAATCATTGAAGTGTCCGACATGATGGTCGGACACTTCAATTTCACAGCGCTGTTTCGGGATTATACTACGTATTAGCGACACATAAAAGCCGGTCGATTGGTTTCGATCGTCGATCACCTTTGGATAGCCAGTCAACTAGCCTCAGGATCCGAATACTCACCAATACTATATTTCTCGTCGAAACTTCCACTAGTAACACATACGATATGGACGAGATGGGACCGTTGACGGCTCATATCATGACGCAGTTTTTACGACAACGTGGAGGACACAAGGATTTATTGATCATTCATCCATTGTCAACAGTAGAGTCACTCAAACGTAAGTAGTACATACGCTCATCTCTCCCTCTTTCACCTTCACATACCCACGCGTTCCGAATAAGCGGCTTGATTCCTTTCAGCCTCCGCGTAGATACCCTCCCAATCGTAGCAGAGAGACTCAAACCCGTTGTGAGTGAAGGTGGATCCTTGCGGCTCGTTTCTCATGTCCATATGACAGAGGAATGTCTCCCGAAGGTAGTTCATGCAATGCTGAGTGAGGAGATCTGTGCGATGACTGCCCTCATTATAGTACGCTTGGTGCAAGATGTCTATACACCGGATCTGATGGAACATGGCGACTGTATGAGTGGAGACCGACCCATCGGGGTTACTCAAATGGACTGTGTGTCCGCCGGTGGGTATGATTTTACTCCAGGAGTCGGAACCGAGTTCGTAGTGAGGCGAGGCAGGGATGATACGCATGGTGACATGCTCGGGAGGGGGCACGACAAACGTTAGTGCGCCTCGAGCTAAGAAGGGACATGAACATTGACTCGAACAGGTAGAAAGAAATGGATACGTACAAGTCGACATGTATGCTCTAACGTCCCCCCAAGTGGAGAGCGGGACAGCGAGAAGTAAAACGAGAGTAAAGACGAATGTAACCGATGCCCATTGCATCTTGCGAGGCTGATCAGAGCCATTGGCCCAAGCAGGAGATGGCATGAAAGCGTTCGCCTTGTACATCGTTTGCAGAGCCAGCTAATGGGGTGCCCGACGAGAAACCAGTAAAGCTTGAAAGGTTATCTGGAAGGCGCCTCGTGTCTCACGGAGGGGTTTAGAGGCAGGTGCCACTGTCCCTCCTTCGGTGCGAACAGGACGGAAGTTGATCTTATCATTCACGCCGGAGGAAGAAAATAGGACCCGAAAGGTTGACACAGGCAAGGACAAATGCGGTTCCAATCCTCAGTCACACGGACAAGGCAGATGAGAACACGGCAATCTCTAGAGAAGACAAACTCAAAAATACACTAACCTGACGCTTAGATATCCCGAGAAACTATCCTACCGTACTTCTTCGGCTCAATGCGAGCTGTTCATCAGAAAAGAGAACTGGCTTTCTATCTGCTGGTGCCACGATGGCCATCAGCCTATGCTCGGAACCTACTGTCACCTGAAACTTAACCAACACGTTCAGCCATTAGCATTGGGTGCTGTAGAGGAGTGACATGTGCGCAATATTCAGAAATATAAACGCTATCCGAATGTGAAAAGGTCGGAAGAAGGGGAAGAAAAGGATAAAGGTCTAAACCGAAGAATAGCTTGACTCGGAGCTTAACGGGCCGCGTGGTCCGGCTGGGCGTCTCGCCCGACTTTCTCAATTGCTCAACTGAATCTCTCTTGTTAGCGTACTTATTGCTACCGGACCAAAGATATCTTGATGGGAGGCCCGTAATGTCATTCCTTGCAACTAAATACTATTTCTGTCGGCTGCCTTGATGCGTTTTGCTCTCTAGCCATCATGTCCTTTGACTCACCAACCGAGGAGCGCAAGTCACTGCTATCGCCAACTTCAGCTTCAGACTCTGATGAGCGACTGTACAGAGCTCCCTGTATGTAGAAGGTCCGGAGGCAGTCGAGCTCATACTGACAGAATCACCAGCGAAAGCCAGTGGCCTGTCCAGGTTTACTCTCTTCTCTATCGTAGTGTGCATCATATGCACGGGCATCAATTTACATGCATTCACGTCGTCCTACAAGCCTAGGATTACACACTACCAGGACCTCGCAACTCTCAGACGTCCGAACCAATGGATAGGGCTTGATCGTGTCCAAAGTCCTCCCGAGCATGCACCTCCGATCCTTCTCTATCCTAATCTCCTTGCTCAGATCAACAGCGCTGAGCCTACTCACGTGTACAAGGACGATCCTGTACGTATCGCTAACCTGCGCGCGCTCACACCTCCCGAGGACCGTCCTTTCAAAGTGACACCGCAAGTAAGTTGAAGAACACCGTTACCGATAGTGTCCGTGTCTGACCGATCGGAATCAGTTCTCCACCATTGCAGAGTTCCGTTCCATTGATTATAAGATGGAGAATTGCGAGATCGTTGTCGATCCTGCTCACCGAGGCGCTGCCGCCCATGAGCACAGCAATTTCAATGCGACACTCGGTGGAGGAGAGAATGTAATCGACGTCTGGAGACTCGCTGCACCATATTCTATCGACAGCCGAACGTTGTCTTGGAAGACTAGGCCTTCTCGTGCAGAGAAGGTCGCCACGTTCCAGATGCAATACGGATCGAAGTGGTCACATAAGTTCTCGTGTCCTACAGACACCCTCCACGTCTTCGAGTTCGGTGCGGCGAACGACGAGACATACGTCGAGTGGACTCAAGACCATCGGGAACCGACTCCAGGTGAGTGCACTCGCTTTCACTGTCTTACCAAATCAATGTTTGAGCGGACACGTTGGTCAGGCGTGGTCATGTACCAAAGCTCTTCATTCACGGATTAATCGGGTCCAGCATTGCAGATCATCTTCATATGTGTATTTTGCAATGATCTCTTGTTTTCGATGATTTTTGTGAAGTTTGTGGTGTCCCCCGATAGCTTAGATACATCGGATAGCGTCACCCTGGAAGAATACACTGTTCTTACTCCGAATGTTCATTCTCGAATATCGTCCTTCCCTTGCCCGATGTAGATCCAAAGTGGCTGCCCAGTCGGATTGCTATATATTGCATAACGAAATGCTCGTCTCCTGCAGTCGATATCGTGAAGTTAGCATACACTTCCCCTGCATTCAGCTGGCGTATACACAGGCTGTCCAGCATGACAGTTCTGATCAACTCGAAGACTTATCCCCGCCGTCGTCAGTGAGGGTGAGCTAGTCACTCATTTCCGGAGGTCCGAATTTGTTCTGAATTGTATTATTGAGTTTCTCAGATACCACCGATTCATTACCCCAACTACGCAATGATAGACAATGCAAATCATTATCATCATTCAACCGTCCTTCATTCCAAAGCATCAACCTGCATTGCCTGTCGGTGATCTTGATCTTTTGCTCCCATGGGCCTGCATGACCACAAGGCTCTACTCGCGTGAGCTTCCAAACGTAGCTCTCCTTTCACTCGACCTTAAAGGCCTCCATCTCGTAGGAACTCCGAATGCTTCATTATTGTTGTATACGGTTTTCTTATCTCACCTGTCGTGCGAGCCTGTGGTCGTAAGCACCTATCTAGGTTGTTTTCAACAGTTGCGTATAGCTCCTATATCTGCCAATGATAACGTAACTTTTAAGATTGTGGACTAAGTATCGGAGGCGACACTCAATTGCCGAGAGCTGCACATCTGTCAAGCGTGTGTGCTGAGCCTCGAAGACCTGGCTGGACATGCGAGAAATTGAATGGTTGTACCTCGTGCTCCCTGACCTGAGCGCGCGAACAACTGTATCGCATCTAGATGAGTCCTAGCCTTCGTATTGTTCTCCATCCTTGGACATCCGGGATTTCAGAGTCATAAGCTAACTCTCGGCTATGATGTGTATTTGTAACTTACTAAACAATAAGCCCATGGTATGAGAGCCAGTGGTCTCCCCCTACTTGCTTACCGCGGTCAAGAAGGTTCCGCTTGGGTGAAGAGATTCTGTCGCAGAACCGGTCCTTGAAGCCCGTCAAGGGCGGAAATTAGATGTTCGTGAACCATGACTCTGGACCTTGCCGGACTGTGGAACATTCTAAGCTTGCAACGTCCGGACAGACAGTTCATTTTGAGAAGACCATCGTTGACATTATTCAGATGAGCACTGCAATAAAGCGCCTACAAAGCGCCGTACAGTCTGATCGCCACTAAGTAAAAATGTTAATACGGACACCCTATCCTTGTAGAGTAATGAAACAACGAATGAGTTTGTCCGTTACCTGCCGCAGCCTCATAAGGAGAGATTCTAAGCATCGTAACAGAAATGGACTATCGAACATACAGTACAAACAACGGCATCGAACCTTCTTCAAGAAGTCATCTGTGAACATGGGCTTTATATTCCTATTTTGTCGCGTGCTGCGAGATAAACAGCGCTGCCAAAGACATGCGATCAGCAAACGATGATCACGTCAAAGGCGGATATCGGCTCACCTGGTTCCAACGTCTGCTTATCCTGCCACCACTCGATTCGGGCAGAATCATCCGCAGCGACCAGTGCAAAAGCATGTAGGGAATCGATCGCACACGGGAACTGATGTGTCCATTCCGTGCCGTAGTCCGCGGTCACTGTGCCCACCTTCTCGCCTAGTGCAGGACGGTTCTGATAAGTGAGTTTGTGCTGGCTGATGACAGTGTCGAGGGATGATGAACCAGGGTTGGAGACGAGGCGGTATATGTCGACGTCATTCAAGCCGTTACCCAGGCTTAGTGAAGAGTTGCTTCTAACGAAGCTCTCATCGGAGGGGAGTCGGAGAGTGAGCACGCAGGACTCCATTCCCCAGTCCAACGTGCGGAACTGGACCACAGTGGATATCTATAGGCTGAATGAATAATGTGTGCTTTGAACACAGTGGGTGGAACTGAGGTACTCGCCAATTTCGTCACCTGTATCTGTCGTGCCTCAGGGGGCCGAATATCTCTATCTGTCTTGAGATCCTGACGAGTATTGAGTACAATACTATGTGGACGACTCTGGTCCACCAATCCAACGATGAACGGAAAATTGACGATCGACCGATCTTCTGGTGGAAATGGGCGCTTGACCCTGTCAAGACCGACGAACTGTGTTGGTCGACGGAGGTTGGAGAGGTCTGCTGGATGCAGAGTGCGATACTCTTCAACACGAAGAATGATAAGGTTCGCGAGCGTGCAGAGAACGCAGAAAAGGGTCAAGTAGAAGACCATAGAGCTTTCTGGACTCTTTTCACGCGACAACTTGTCATTCTGAGCCTTATCGTCAGTGGGGGAGTCTTGACTGTCATCGCTACCGTTCGAAAGACGGTCATAGATGTACTTTGGCCGCCGAAAGACTGAGAGGAAGGGCATGATGGTGGCAGGGATCAGGAAGCTCGGGTGCGGAGGGTATATATGACAGACAGAAGTCTCATCAGACTTCGCCCGACAAAAGAGAAGCTCCGAGCCCTCCGCGCTGCCAGTTCTGGGAGAGCGTGCATTGTGACATGAAGTAGACGTCCCCTTGAAAGGCGTGATGTCTCACGCGAGCAGAAGTCCCATTTTGCATCGTTCTGCAACTCGTAAACCGGTTGACACGAAGCAGCCAGGCATGTGAGGAGATCAGGTGCTAGTCACTAGCCAGTCTCCGGGAATGCATAGTCAGATATGCATGTATATCCTTACCAGAAAATTACCAGGGCATAGAGTCTGGATGAACCGCTGTAAGAGAGGATGATTCTAGTACCTATGTCAAAATACCGAAGCAGGAGGAATAGAGTGAAGTTAGTGAACCGACTCTTGGATTGTGGCAACATCGTCTCCTCCGGGTGCTCGGGGTCCCAATGCCTGTCGGGGTCTCGTATTTTAGTCGGCCCTCTTCCTGCCGCACATAAGTACCCCGCGAAGAAAAGAGACATCAAATGGACAGAGTACTGAAGAAAAGGACTATGTCAGGACATCGATAATTGACCCTGAGCTCGTCATGGGTAATACTTTCAACTTACTCACTTACCAAATTTGGACTGTCGGGAAGCTCCGGTTATAACAGCCAAAGTTGAACGTTTGAACATTGAAGGTGAACTCCTCACACTCGACTCGCATCTCCGGCGACGACCCATATGACGGTATCTTGTACTTCATGAGATGTCTATGCCTACTCCGTGCAAATGAAGGTAGTTGACTAGGGGTCATCTATTTGCATACCCAACTTGTATACCAATTGCTGGAAGTTCCTGGTTCCTAAAGACCTCTGTTTCTTGTAAGTTTATGCCCCCGCTGTATAGTCTATGGTTAACATGGTTAGAAGTTGTATAATATAGGCCTCACTCTATGAAGTAGAAATGGACATTTCCATCGGGCAGACTATATTGGCTCCGGCGGTCGCGCTAAGTACGTGCCACAATTATCGATACCTACATTTTAATATCTGGCTAAGACTGTTTGATTTATTCGTGTGGAAAACGCTTCCCTGTGTGTGCGAATCCCATCGTCCGTCTGGGCTTTTCACCACATCATGTCTGAATCCCGCTGAAGACTTCAAATGACAGCGATGTAACAATTGTTGGTCTTGCAATATATTCTGTCTCGCTCCTTCGTTCTCACCGTTAACATCACACTTGGAATAACCTACTATCAGACGTTATTGAGGTTCTAGTCACTTTTGATACACGACTTCAGGAGGCTATTCTCGTATGCTCGTGAATGGTGTGCTTATCAAACAGGGTCCTGACACTGCATCTCCCAAACAACGTCGCTTTTCGTACATCGATCACTTCTTGTCATCCGATACCTGGAAACCACGTTGGTGCACTGTGTAGGTGTTCTCGGCGCGTACATAAAACGGCCGACTATGTCCCCTGCATCGTGCTAAATCTCCTTCGTGGAAGTCTCGAACGGTATCGTTCATCAAGTGTACAAGGTTCTGTCATTCATTCCGTTTGAATACGACATGCTTGAATTCTCTGCTGCATGGTCTCAAGCTGAGATTTTGTTCACTAGTGCGTTTGTCATTCACCAGATTTCTAGGTAACCTGCTTTCTGTCGCTGTCGGTCAACTTTGGTCAGTTACATGTTGCAGCAGGATCCAATATTGTTAGCTTCTCCCGCCAGATGTTTAATGCTGTGACGGTAAGTCTGCGCCTCAGTCTGACGTCGATCAACGTCGATCTCTCAAATTGAGGCAAAGCCAGTGGTCAGTGTGACCACGGCGTCCTGCCTGATATTGATCGTGAGACTATCTACACCAACATGGAGCGCTATTGCGCGCCAGAACTCGAGTTCCTTGTGCCATCTTTCTTTTTTCGACACATTCCATGGATCATGTCCAGTACATTCGACCCAATTTTAGGCCTGTTCTCGGGAACCTCCACATATCAAATTCTATGGAAGCACGATTGTTAACGCGTGTTAATTCCCAGTGCGTCTTTTCCCACCTTACGGATGGACAACCACTTAAGTTCTGTTGTCAGGCCCCAGCTTATAGCTGGTTTAACTCAACGGTTGGACACACAGAGCCTCGCTTCTCGTATCCACGTCCATCTCCTCTTAAGTCGATCCTATCGTCCCCATTTCACTCTCCATATCTTCACATGGCCGATACAAACTCTACTGCGAGCAGTGTCGGCAAGCCATACTACGGCCCAGTTGGCGAGACGCCATCTGAGATACTGCTGGAGAAAACGTTCATGGCAAGTGGGTACTTAACCGGAGTGGGTTTTGGTGCGATGATCTTCACGATCTCGGCCGATCTTTGTTGTTGACAAATAATTTGGAAATAGGTATCCAGCTTGTAATCTATGGGGCATGCATACGAAGTTTGCTTCAGCGCAAACCTCGAACTAGGTTTACATATTTTCTCCTCGTATACACCACCATCCTATGCATAATGAACGCCATTTGGACGGCGACATCGGCGTACGGCCTCCAGCTTACGTATATCGATAATCGTAACTACCCTGATGGAGGGTCTTGGGCGTTCTTGCAAGTTGAATTCTCAGATCCCAGTCAGGTCGTAGCACTGGCATCCTATATCATCGGCAACGTTATGGCCGATGCCCTATTGGTGAGATATACTTTATTCTAGCATTGGGTTTGAGGGTTAAGTACTGACTGCTTTCCACGTTCTAGCTTTGGCGCTGTCGAGTTATCTGGACTGCCTCTCTTGGGCCGAAGGTCGACTATATCATGGTGATCCCATTACTTATGTTGCTAACCTCGTTTGGTTCGTAGTGATTCTATTTCTATCATGTCCTTACTCAATCATTCCTTTCAGCGATGGCAATTCTCTTTGCATACGAAACCTCTTCACCCGCAGGCTTCTTCAGCAAGATCACAACCTCCTTTGCATTACCTTATTTTGCCATCTCCTTATCCCTTAACATCGTTTTGACACTCATGATCGTCGGCCGCATGGCCGCATACCGTAGAAAGGGCCAAGAAATCTTTGGTCGAACCTATGGCAAACATTATGGTTCAATTGCTACAATGTTCATAGAGTCTGCTGCGCTCTATACCATCTGCTCCGTATTACTCTTGGTCACATATGCTATTGGACACCCAATCAATCAAATTTGGCTTGGGCTTAGCCCTGCGGTGCAGGTGAGTTCACAGTTCTTGGCAGACCCATACGTTTTCTAACGGTATCTAATAGATGATTGCAAACTATCTTATTATATATCGAGTTGTTCAAGGTCGAGCATGGAACACCGATACCTTGGGCTCCAAGGCAGTTCACTCTGCTATGGTCTTCGAGACTGGTACTTACCAGAACTCTCGTTCTCGTGTCGGGCGGTTGGCGGACACAAAGACAACCGCTACTATTGACATCCCACTCGGTTCGGTTGATACGAACAAGAGTGGTACTGAGATGATACCCACTCCTGATGAGAATAAGGAGTTGACGCTGAAATGGGCGGAGGAGTCGGCTTGAATTATCTACTTGATGAGGTTATTCAATTGTATGGCTTAATACATCCTTCCGCGTATTGCACTTGGAAATTAGGACGGATGTAGCCTGTAGGACAGCTGTGTACCGGTTGAGACCTTTCGTTATCAATAAACAGTCAGTACTGATTGAACGTTGCTCATTCGCAACTTCAGTATTCAAGACAAGGAATTCTTAGCAGTCAATATTGTTATTGCGGATCTCATTCTCGAGGATGTCTTAAGATGCACAGACGGACGTGAATTGTTACCTACTTATTCACTTTATGTACTCGCGCTGTCTACGTCAGGTCCGATAGCACTCATTGCGTCCGGGTAACGTTTCCGTCCCGATAAGTACACTGGTTGCGCCATTCAGACGCGACTTCTCCCATCCTTTCAGATCCTGCGTGGAAACGTGGCGTACGAGCTTGATGGATTTGTGAAAGATAGCTATACAACGGTACGTAGTCGTCATTACTGTAGTATCTCAATCAGCACCGTCAGTTGCTCGTTCAAAGCCTTTGGACAACAGCCACAAACAAATACCTTTTTGGGACGTGTTACATTCTGCTCAAAGTTTGACATCGAGTACAAATTTGCTTAAACCTACTGATTCACTTCCGCCATGTCTGCTGCCACCTCTATACCTTCGACCTCTTCTTCGAGGCCACCTCCAAACTCTGTTCTCTTTGCAAGAGGTGTGATTGCACAGCTTGCTACTTGGCCTGCTCTCCGAATCGCGGTAGATCAATCATGGGGCGGTCCTGAATCAGCTCAGAAACGGACATGGCTTGCTTCAGTCATCGTAGATGATTTTGAAGAACAAAATGACCCAATACCCGATGTTGAATTCGTCGAGGATCGATTACTTCAGGTTCTGGAGGACGAATTCGACCTAGTCTTGGAAGATGATAGTTCAAAAGGCATCGCAGACGAAATTGTCAAACTTTGGGAAGCCATACAGCTCGGGGGCACTCGAGGCCTTGAGCGAGTGATTGCGCTGGAGGAGAAGGCTGATAAGGTCAAAGGAAAGAAGTTGCAAGTGGAGGAAGGAGCAGCGAACGATAGCGATTGGGAGGATGAGAGTGGAGAAAGCGACGAGGAGGGTGACTTGCGTGCTTCAGCAGATGCTGGCGAGGTTCCGACGCTTCTCGATCATGCACAATGCAGTAAGCCGGAAGCAGAGGTTGACGAAGACGGTTTCACTGTGGTCAAGGGGAAAAGTCGAGCCCACCGATGACAACTTTCCAGCTGCTCCGGTACGTGCTTATTAGTTCATCTTCAAGTTCGACTATCTCGTCAACTATCTTGATTTATGCATTTTGCAGCTTATTGACGAAAACGTTACTCTGCCATCTATCGAATTGTCCAGAGTAACGACCATCCGGCTCCAGCAGTGTCCTGGTTGAGACGGATTTGGCCCCTTGTGCCACTTGATGAAGTTCTCCATATCGAATTTGCATCTAGCATCTTTCGTCGTGAAAGATTGCGCTCGGTGCAAGGCCGTACTGATGCTGTATCGAATGCATCTATGATATCATCTATTCCATCTACTGGCGTTCCACGCCTCGGCCTTGTGCCAGTCAATAAAATATCCTGCTCGGATCGCACGCCTTCCGCTGTTGTTGGCGAAGTGCTGAACCTTATCAGGGCAATTCGTGGATGCTTCGTCGATACCTTGAGATTGTCTGTGTCGTGATTTCCCCTTACCCGCCTGGTCTTACATGCCACCATCCTCGAACACCAACATCGCCATGAATATTGTGTGGACTTCACTACTCGCCAGCCCGTGATTCCCGACCTGTTATTGTCGTAAAAGTTTGCTTCGCAGCTCACGTATCCTCTTTCAAAACTGAGTGATGCAAGTAAACTGAGTGTATAGTATTTCCGGGTACAAGTACAAGCGTTGCGTATATGAGATCGCAATGATGATTAAATATTGTCCTTCTGTGCTTCTTTGGCTTGCTTTTCGCGAAGTTCCCGCCTGTGCTTGACATCCCAATTAAATACACGAGCAGTGTTCACCTCCATGACGGTGACCTGCTCTCGGATGAATTCGAGGTCGTCAATAACGGCATTCAGACTACTCTCTGCACCCTCCAGCTTGGATTGGAGAAGGGCGATTGCGGCAGGGATTTTATATGATAGCATGACATTTGCCTATTGATTGAAAGCGTGAGCTTCACGTGGATACTACACCTGATATGCGAACGTACTCCTAGCCAAAGGAACACGGTGTCTGTGTCCTCGAGTTCTGCCTCTGCGTAGAGAGTATCATTTAACTCGAACGTTGTTTTGAGGGGGGTTTGGGTTGATTCATCGTTATCCTCAAGATCACCCTCGAGGTCATCGTTTTCCGATTTACTTGGGCCCTCCTTCACTCGAATGTCAATGTACGATCCGCGTCTCAAGGACAGAACCTCTCACACGTCTTTCCTGCAGGAACTCCACCATTGCTAATGATTTCTTGATATCGGGTATCTTCTCTTCAAGAGTCCGCCGCCGTGTCGCAAGGTTGCTCTCCATGTACTTATACTTCCTGCAAGAAGTGCGAATTAGATCAAATGATCGGACGCATGTAGTATTACGAACGCAAGTGCAGTCTGAAGATTCTTCAAAGCCTCCTCAACATTAGGACTTGGTCCCAGGAATTCCTCTACACTAGCCTGCATTGTATATGAATGAGTATGAAATAAGAGCAGGTCTATTTGGCAATCATACGTACAATGAAAGGTGCTCTAGGAATCCCTCTCGGATTTTTTTCCTTTACGTCTGAAGGTTCGGAAGAAGACATGTTCAGATGAAGTTTGCAAAACAGGCCAAAGTCACAGTCAAGTAGATGTTCACTGTTCAAACGTTTAGGTTAAGAAATCGCAGCTTATTGCTTGACGTCGATAGCCACAGCGGAGTTGTAAATCCAACATATTCAAGCGGAGCCTAATTCTGTGTGTTATATGCCGCCGCTTTTTCTTACAGCTCGCTCTAACCTTTGCCTCTCGTTGCCTGGCGTTACTTACCTCTCGCTGTCCGATTTACGTTAACGTGTTGCCCTTCTATCACTCTTTACAACTCACGCAGATTGTGCTGTTATTTATTTTTTTGATTCAAACGGGCCAGTGGACTGTATGCGCATCGTAGGTTCTCTGGTTCGCTATATGGGACGTTCAAGCATTGTGCACGCGTCTACGCGTACATTTGGACGCGTACTTGATTATTGAAATAACTGCATGGATGCACGATATTGCGTGCATTCAAAGCCGCTATGGAGCTTCATCTTTTGCATACGCAGCCTTGATATTGTCTGCTGAAGCTATCAGGTGAGCTCTCCGTTTCATTTCTCTTCCTTCCAATTGCTCTTTTCATATGATGACAACTATAAATAGGGACATCAGACTCACTTCGTGAGCATATCGATCCTTCAAGGAAATGCATTGGTAGATCCTGAATCACTTGCGGACCCTATCTTCCTACGCACGTCTAACGTTTGGTCTCTTTAGGCCACCTCACGTACTGCCCTATTTTCTATGATGTACTGAGATTTATGGATTGAGTAATAGGGCAAGACGGTATGTGCACTCTCTATGTAATTCAGACATGTCGTCCGTGCCTATGTAACCTGATAGATGTTTGAAATGGTATGCCTGTTCCTCAGAGTTGTAAGACCATTGGAGATTTTTCAGGCTTTTTACCTCGAGTCCCCATTTCCTGCTGACTCTTTTCCTTCACCTTGAGCTCAGACTCGGACCCAGAGTAGTCGGATGCAAATGAGATCCGATCGAAATATCATGTGACCAGGCGCGTATGTAAGCTTTCTTCCAGGCGTCTCTTTGCGCGGCACCGACCTGACTTGCTGCTACCATACGCACATCTACCTAATCTCCAGCAAGACAATCCCCTCGTCCAGTGCGGGTTGAAACCTGATGAGAACCGCTGTTACTCACCACGCTTTGCCTTTGCGCGAAGTGGAAGACGGCGCTGTGTCGTGCCACTTGCATATCGACGTGCTCTTTGATCTCATACATGCCAAAGCGCAAGAGGAGTGGTCTGGACAAGCAAAGACTGGCAAGAAGAGAGCTGTTTCTCCCACCCCTGAGTCCCCTCGCAAGCGGCTGAAGGCGGACTCTACAGTTGACGCGAACGGAGCTGGCGCGTTGGAAGTTCACGATGATCGATTAACGATGCCAGTGTACAAACACACGTTTATTCTGCAATATAACACCGTTCCAGCCTCGAATGATATAGATGGAGACGTTGACGAAGATTGGCACAAGCAGGAGCATGACTTCAAGCAATGGTTGGATGAACATCGCGCTCGCGACAGTCCGCTTCACCTGGGCAGAGTTGCTGTTCAACGTGGTTTTGGCAACTATGGAAGACTTGAAGTTTGCGCACGTGAATATGGCCCACAACTATTCATGCTACCACAGCTGGACACGCAAGCAGATATGACTGATTACGATATTCGCTCGCTCCTTTTCCGCGACCCCCTCTTCGCGATCAAACGAGCAGGGTGGGACCGATTCTCTATGGACGCACATTTGAAGCTTGAGATGCTCGATCTCAGCAAGATTGATAAAGGAACGCTGCCGTTTCGGTTGCATCTGGAGGTTGTAGTCTCGCTCCTCCTTCCAGGCGCTTGTATGCCCTTTCAATACGGGCGCTATACTACGAAAGGACACTCTGCAGATGAAGAGGAAGCACATCGACGTGTCGTGACTTTCCTTTTTTGCCCAGAACAGCCCTTACCGGAGCAGTTCAATGGCAAGGTGGACATTCCTTTGCTATTCTCTATTCTGGGGCCTGCCCCGGCTCTTTCGTCGCATCAGGCAGATGAGGCCCTCCAGCCTCCTGCACTGGTGCCTACTCTGTTACCCTTCCAGCGTAGAAGTGTAGCATGGCTACTGTCGCGTGAAGGAAAACGAATCACTCCAACGGGGGACATTGTTCCCCTCGAGCAGACTGATGATTCTAACCTTCCTTTATTCTGGCAAGTTGTCACGTCGGAAGCTGGGCACAAGATTTACGTCAATCGTATCAGAGGACAAATCTCGATAACAAGACCTGATGATGATGATCCTTTGGGTGGCATCCTGGCGGAAGAACCCGGTTTGGGCAAGACTTTGGAATGTATCGCACTGATTCTCTTGAATCCAGCCGTCGGTCGGAACCCCACCACAAAGTCTTGGGACCCTGTAGCGAAGATTGATGTAAGAGAAGTACAGGTGCGTTATCTGGTCTATTACCTTTTCGATGTATCCTGACTTCTGCCTGCTCAGACTACTTTGATCGTCACTCCAGCATCCCTGGCACCTCAATGGGCAGATGAGTTGACGAAACACGCGCCGACCCTGAAGGTCCTGATATACGAAGGATGGTCGAAGGTCAAGGTACCCATATCCGAAGCAGACGTTGAAGCAGCGCGTGAACAACGAGCAAAGACAAAGAAGAAATCTAAGGCTCGAGCAGCTAGGGCATATGCTGCCACCAAAGGCAAAACGTTCAAGGGGCCGTCCGGCAGAGGTCAGGCCAAGCAAGCAGACGATGACTCTGATTTCGAGATCGAGGACCCAGAAATCGATCAGGACGAAGAGGACGATATTGTCGACTGGTGTACTTACGTGAGCCGTTATGATGTTTGCATCACGACATACAATGTCTTGCAGCAAGACCTTGGCGTCGCGAGACCTCCTCCTGTCAGACCTCGACGAGCGAACACGACGTACAATAATGTGGAGAGATCAAGAAGTCCACTGATCATGTGCGAATGGTACCGAGTAATAATGGACGAAGTGCAGATGGTTGGGGGAGGCAGAGCTGAGTGAGTACTCCGATTTTTACCCACTTAGCTGTCCTCTGACACTCCATCCGCAGAGAAATGGTCTCTCTCATTCCTAGACTATCCTCTTTTGCCGTGTCTGGAACTCCTGCTCGTGCGCAAATATCCGATCTCATTCATGTTCTTAAGTAAGTGGAAATAACATGCTATTTACTTTCGAGTCGCTTACATCCATTCAATATAGGTTCCTTCGTGTATCGGAAGTCATCAGCTATCCCCGTATTTGGACCCGGTTGTTGAAGCCTGGCTTTGTTCATGAGTTCGTGCAATTGTTCAACAGATATGCAATTAGGTAACTTTCCTCGTATAGTCTTTTTTCTTTCGGATTCTCGTACTAAAGACAATCTGCCCAGAACCATGAAAGCTACGGTGAAAGATGAATTGACAATTCCTAGACAAACCCGATACCTCGTCCCTATAGAATTGGGCCGCGTAGAGCGTCATGTCAGTCCACATACTCTAACAAGGTGATTATGCAACTAACGTTCATCTTTGGCTTTCTAGGTTTATGACCAACATTTCGAAAAGGCGTTGTTAGACCTTGGTTTAGATGCGCGCGGCGTAGCGGTCACCGACGACTGGGAAGCCGATACTGGTGTACTGCGCACATGGCTACGCAAGCTCAGGGGTATCTGTACTCATCCACAAGTTGGTCAACTGTTGTATCAGAATGACAAACTGAGCAGGCCTGGCGTTCTCAAGTCGATCGGCGAAGTTTTGGAGGTATGTACTTCATCTATGTTCGACGTTTGTGTCGTTGACCTCCGCTGTGCAGGGTATGAAAGAGCAGAACTGGCGTAACTACATGGAGGATCGCCGCAACAAGGTAAGCACGCACGGCAGGTGCCTATTGTTTTGTGCTTGCTAACAAGCACCGGATCAGTTACAAACGCACACACTCCTTGTACAACTGAAGCAGCACGACGAGGCCGATTTAAATCGTTATCGAAATGCATTAGACATCTTACTCTTCGCTGAGAAGGAAGCCCACAACCTTATTGCTGACATTCAGGAAGCACTTGAAGAGCATGCTGCCAAGGGAAAAATGCTAAAGACACAGGCACTTGAAGCCCAGACAGCCTTCGGACGAGACGTGGCCAATCCTGATGATTCCGAGGATGATTCTATGGAGGGTAAAGGCAAAAGCAGAGCTAGGGAAAGCACACCTTCCGATATCAGTATGGATTCCGAGGACGCCGATGTTCCAAAGAATGCTGCTGGTGAGGAGCATGCGCACAAACGGCGTGCTTTGCAGCAGCGTCTGAGGGAGTGTCAGATCTCGCTGCATAAGGTATATTTCTTGAAAGGAGATGTCTATCACGTTCTCGGAGCCACATTCTCAGACTCTGAAAATGATGCCTATGCATCTGCGGAGGAACTGCGGCGATTGTTGTTGAAGAGTAAGTCGCCGTTCTCAAACGGGCACGGTCGTATGCTGATGTTGACGTATATTAGGTACTGAGGACGCGGCAAAGCGCGCCATGGCACAGTTGGTTCGCGACGCAGCCAAGAAAGGATTACATGAAGACGAGCTCTTCATCGATGTTCCATACTTCGACAAAGGAGGTATCAGGTCGCATGAGCTAGTCAGTCCCTCCGTAATGTTTACGTATGACTCGACTCATCTCACTCATGAAACTTTCATAACAGATGGAAGAAGCCAATGAAAAGATCGATGAACTCCTTAACGAACAATCTGCGCTACTCTGGAGATGGCGAACACGCCTGATCGGTCTTCTCACGCAATCCCTCACTTCTGGAGATGATGACGCAGACGGTCAGGAGTACAGTCGCAGTTTGGAAACTCAAGGAGAAGCCGAGACCTACTTGCAGGCGTACGCGGCTCTATTGGCTGACCGCCGAGAAGCTTTAACTTCTGAGCGTACCTTGCTGGCTGCTCATGACGTAAAAGAAAAGAAAGCTCGATTGACGAAGGCAGCGAAAAAAGCTGCTGCCGCTGCATTGGAAGATGAAGTACTCATGCAGATCGGTGACATCGATCCTCAGCCTGAGCATCAAGTGCTCCAGCAGCAGTTAAACGAAGAACGGAAACACCTCTTGGAAGACTTCAATTCAAGCAGGGCACTCCGATCAGTAATGGTCGACTTGAATAACGTTGCAGCACGTATTATCAAAGACGAAGACCCAGAGAAAATCATTGCTAAGGATGCTGCTAGCCGGCTTCGACAACTGCTCTTAGAACAAGGCAAGTAATTTTGCTACTCGCTCGTAATGAACAATAAATTAAAACGACTCTGCAGCCAAAATGATGGACAAGCTACAAGCCGATCTCACTTTATTACGCAAGGCATTCAATGAGCGTATATCGTGAGTAATGTTTGCTGAATCGTCCTAACGCTTCCGCTGAATATGATCTAGTTATTTCCGTCAACTGCAGGAACTTTCGGATACCGTTGCCGAAGCCGAGTGGGAAGGCACGTTGGCAGAAGCCATTGCTAGGGCCCAGCTTGAGCGTACAGTACTCGAGGTCAGAATCGTCACTGGTCGTGCTCGACAACGGTATCTCGATAACTTGGCCAAGTCTCAAGAGGAGGGTGCCACCTCGGAGGATGATGAATGCTGCATTCTCTGCAAGTGCGAGTTCTCCAGAGGTTATATCACACAATGGTGAGTGTCATATGAAGATCGTGGGTAGCGACGCTAACATGTCATGAACAGTGCTCATGTCTTCTGCGAGTCGTGTATGAAAGCCTGGCTTGAACGCAAGGAAGGCAAAGCATGCCCTGTTTGTCGTGTAGCCATCCAGCCGGACCAGCTGCAGCGCTTTGCCGTCGCCGGGTCCGGGCCTCAAGCGCAGGCAACAGCACCTGTAAGGATCGTAAACAATGAGCCTGTGCCGAGGTCAAGACGAGAAATCAAGTACAATCTCATCGACTCGGGTTTGTTCGACAGTATTCAGATGATGGAGAGTCATGGAAGTTACGGAAGCAAGATAGAAACTCTTGTACGACATTTGTTGTACGTTCAAGCTGCGGATCCTGGGAGCAAGACCATTGTGTTCTCTGCATGGGCTGATTCTCTTCATAGTACGTGGGCTTCCTGAGCTTGTAATACCATATGCTGACCTTATATGCCGCAGTTATCGAGCATGCCTTGAAGCACAATGGTGAGTACGTCAATCAATATTAGTGAGCTTTGCTGACATGTGCGTGTTCAGACATACCCTGCCTTCGAATCGACCAGAACTCTTCGAAACAGAACGCTGCGAAGAAGTTCCGGACTGACCCCGCAATCCAAGTATTGCTTCTTCATGGGTACGTGATGTATACAATTTGGTGCTGATTTCATGTGCCTGACGTTATAACCTTCTAGTGAGCGAGAGAATGCCGGTCTGAACGTCACCTGCGCTTCCCGAGTAATTCTGGTGGAGAGTGTCGTAAATCATGCATTCGAGCTTCAAGCGATAGCCCGCATTGACCGAATGGGTCAGACCAGACCTACAGAGGGTATGTTATCTACTCCACGCACATGTCTTCCACTGACGTCGCATATAGTCTATTGCTACTATGCCGAGGAGACAGTTGAGAGGAACATCTTAGATTTGGCAGCTCGCCAAGGACTTTCTCTCTATACTGAGGACAAATCTGCTGGTACACTCGACGTCGAACCATTAAAAGCTGCTATGCGACCAATGGATAAGAACGAGGTGGACGCGCCGACGAAGAAGGTTCAGAAGGGTGACTTCGTATTCAAGTACGTCATGAAGCTTCCCATTTACACAAACCTTGACTAAATGACCACTCATTCTAGAACCGACGATATGTTGGCTATCTTTTTCCCGCATCTGTTCGAGGATATTGAGTATCTGATAACGCCTGACGACACTGAGGCACGATCTTCCCGACATACTCGTTTCGATAATGCGGTGGCCGGACCATCGAGGCTCCCCTAACACTGTCATCATGTTTTCGTGGTAGTAGTAACTAGCAAGGCATGTAGTTTATGTTCACAGTCGTGTTTAAAGGACATTTTGCTTCAACCTACGTTTGCATAGAGCGAGTTATAATATGTACATAGTATTTAGGGGTATTGATGCGGGTAATGGCAAGGTTATTGCCTATATTGGGACTTTGTGCTCTTGCCAACGTCTTGAATCCCTTTCTCTCTTGACCACCCACTTTGCTGGCCCACTTGGTATTCCAAGAGTTGGTTTACGCTGCAGGATCACGTCAAGCAGGCGGCTTCCATAACTGACACCAGCTTGACAAGCCTGTTACACCAAGCTCGTTGTAGCGCCTCTTGACGGTGTCTCTTGCCTCGAGCATAACCCGGAGCTCATGCTCGCAGATCTCTGTCATTCTGGACCCTGTTCATAACTTACACGCGGTGGTGTGTAGCGTCTCACTGGACAGCCTTGCAGTGATACAAAGACTCGCGTCCGAAATTGATACCGACAGCCTGCAGCACACAACCAACGTGTTCGCATATCTAGCAATCTTGCTCCTGCTGGGCTTCATATCCGATCTTCCGTTCTCTCGTCACTACAGAACTCTTACCTGCACTTCATAGCCAGTGACGACGACTATTAGCTTTCAGCTCGTCAAGGGACGCCCACCAAAGCTCTTGCATTTGCACTAGATCAGGATTTGCCATCATGGCAAACGCAGAAATTTCCCCTAGCATTAAACTGCCTCCTTCGTCCGCTTTCTCTTTTTCAGCGCCATTTCCTCCCCCACAGTCGTCATTGAATATCCCAAATCCACATAGCTCGAAACAACAACGTCGCGTTTCACTTGCTTTGCCTTCGTCTCCGCGACTGTTTCCTGCATGGAGCTTCCGCGATGATACCAGTGTTGGTGTAAATGTAACTTCGTCAGAGCAGGAGAAGAGGGGGAAGATGAGGAGGGTGGAAAGCGAGGACGGACAAACCTTGGCTCAGGCTTCATCGTCAACTCTCACTCAGATGCAGTCCCAACCAGAGAAGAAGCAGAGGAAGAAGTGGTCGGAGGAGGAGACGCAAATGCTTGTGAGGGGCTGCAACAAGGTAAGGCGGTGACGATATTTGTTTAAATATTCGCTAACATCCTCCTCGTCTATAGTGGGGAGTGGGTAACTGGAAAGCTATCCTCAATGACCCAGAATTGACGTTTGACAATCGCTCTCCGGTAGATCTCAAGGATAGGTACGACAAGTGTACAAATAAGTGATACTGTAATTCTGACTGTGCGAGCATCTAGATTCCGCACGTACTTCCCCGACGCATACCGTCTCCACTATCCAAACGCCAAGACTCATCTCTCGTCCAAGATTCGCTCAGCCCTTCCAGACGGCAGCTCTATCTTCGAAAAGACCCGGTCCAAGAAGCGACGTCCTTTCACCGAAGAGGAGGACCGTGCGCTGAAAGAAGGTTACGACAAACATGGAACAGTTTGGGCGACTATCGTGAAGGAGAACCCTATTTTCCTCGAGCAAGGCCGACGATCGACTGACTTGAGGGACCGCTTCCGCAATGCATTTCCTGAGCTCTACCTCGCTGCTGGGTACAAGCCAAGAACCAGTGTGGCTAAGAAGAAGAAATTGGGTGATTGCGCAACCGATGCTGCCAGTGTTGTTAGCCCGAGTGAAAGATCTAGACCGGTGCGAGCAGCAACAGATGACCAGCTCACCATGGGATCGAAGGGTGCATTGGGTCCCGTACGACGGAAACGGAGGCATACAGCTCAGGGACTTTTTCGGGGTGGGACAAAGAGCGTACCGGAGAGCACGACTAATTCTGAAGACGAGGATAGCGGGTCGGATGACGACAAGGACAAGTCACCTGTCTCCTCGTTGAACATGTCCAACTTGACATCGAACACCAGTGGGTCACTGGCTACCCCGGAAGATCTTTTCGGTGACACCGCTTCGTCCGAAGTTGACATGGACGTGCAAGCACTTGACGCACTCGCTGACCCGCTCGGCCAGTCTATGCATGATTTTATACCAGACTTGACGGACTCATCACACACAACGTCATGGACACTCGACACCTCTTCACACTCATGGACATCAACAAATAACGTTGATGCTAATGTAGCCAATTCCCCGTCTCACGATTACTTCCTCCCTCATTCACCTCCAGCTATGAGCAATGCCATGATCGGCAAGTCAGCTTGGGGGCCTCAAGATTGGCTTTCACCTAATCCGAAGCTGGAGAATAGCTCGGGCGTTAGTGGTGCTGCTTCGACGAGTAGTACTTCGTCGTACCTTGGAGGGAATCCTACATTCTCGCCGTCACCACTTCCACCCTCATCTCCCTCACAGTACTCATCTGCTGCTCATGCTCCATTGTCACTCAGCCATTTGTCTTTAAATTCTCTTGCTCATTCTCACCCATCTCACCTACACAACTTACATCATTCACAATTTCTACAGAACCACTCTCAGGGCATCTTCGATCGTTACGATCTCTTTCCTTCATCATCACAACAGGATCTTGATTTGGACTTCGACTATGTCTCCGAAGGTTTCGGCGCGGGTGACACCAGTGATGCCCAATCCGCGTTTTCTGATCCCAGCATGGGCATGGGTGGCATGGGTATGGGTATGCGAGGCGGATTCACTCATCACTCCAACTACGCTGGAGATTTGATTTTCGGAGCGCGAACTCACCAGCCAAGTGGACATATGCATATGGATTATGGGGCAGGGTTCGGTTTTGGTGGATACAATTCACATGGCGGTGCTTCAGGGAGCGGATTGGGACTGGACGGTGTTCAGGGTCCGTCCAGTCAAAAGAGTGGCCTTCAGCACACACCTGCGCTACCTGGGATTGACGAGATTGAGCTCACGAATATCACGCTAGATGATCGTGATATAGAAGTTGAACCTCAAGATGCGATGGTCATGCCTCTAGAAGAGGCGGTCAATATACCAAAGGACGAGGAAGAGCTACCGAGTAAGGCTGGCGATCGACAACAAGGGTCGTACTCGATGCAAAATGCTCTTCCTCTAGAAGATCTCATAGGCATGCCTTCATCAGACGATGACCAACGAGGTGATCAGGATATGAGTATACATGTCACCCCCCCACATACCCCTCTCTTCAGTGGTAGAACTTCCGGGAGAACGTTAATGTCTGGACGGAGTGCTACCACTGGTATGCACACACCCGTCCATGGGCACAATCACAATCGTTCCGTTTCTGTTCCACCGTCAGAACATCGGTCACCTGTTCCGAAGCCGTCTCTATCGCAGACGCAGACTCCTAACCCCTCAAGACAGTACAAGCCTTTACCAGTGACGAGGATGTCATTCCAACCTTTCCAACTCCCCGCTACTATCGCCCCCTCTCAGATTCAGTCACAGCTACCTCAGCAACAAATGCCGTTTTTACCTCCACCGATGTCAGCATACTCTACACATGCACTAACCCCAGACGTCTACCACGTTCCATATTTGGACCTGCATTACTATAGTTCATCTTCGAATAGCACCGCCGAAGATCTTGCCGCCGACCCTTTCTATGCTGCAAAGTTCCAGGGACACGCACAAGCTTTGGATCTCGCTCAAACCCTTTCGCAGGTCAACGCTAAACCATCTTGCGTTGCTCTGTCGCAGGTGCAGCTTATTCCTCCTCCGGGTATGACCGGGCCTGGTCCAGGAGGCGGACAGAGTATGTCAGCTCCAGATGCCACTATTGGGCGGTCACAGTCACACCTCCGAAGGCAAAGCGCGGCTGCCATCTCTCCTCAAGATTTGCTACTGAGGAAAGGGAATGATAATAAGCGAAAGAGGGCAAGTTGGGATGGTGGTCCTGCTTGAGGGATGAGCAATTGGCGAGTCTAGTTTGTATTGGCGGTGCTCCTGATATTTGGATTCTATTCGGACTTCGTGTTATTTCTCTGTCTTTCTCATTGTCTGCTATACTCACATACCATGAATCTTCCAATGCATGGTCGTTCTGTCTACGTGGATTCCCTCTCATCATCACTATTCCTCTATTAGCTCATGATCTCTCGTCTTAGGCATAATCGTGTACTTACTCCTGCATAACCACATCCTGTTGGTTTCCTGCGTCTTTTGGAGTCGGGCTCATGGCTTTTTTAAGTATCATCGAAAAGTAATCTTGCTGATGTACTCATTACATGCAGAATATGCTGCAAACCTTGAGGTCTCATCCAGTCGATCGAAGGACATATGCTGCAACGAGTGGCCTTTAGCGAATGTCGCATTAATGCAACATGGTGAATCCTGACTTATTTTGACAAACAACGCCCTCTGTCAATTTTTACATATATGAGATATTCCTACACGCACACGTAGGACTCCGTATATTTGATAGCCTGCAAGGCGAGGTTGTAGTGCCTCGTTGAAGACTGAATCCTCAGATAATTTGCCTGATACATTAGTAGCGTAAGAGGGGTACTTTGTCGTCATTTTAAACTTGTCGTAGTCTCAATGTACTTTTTCTACTTAAGTACTTATTCAATGTTTCGAATTTGCAACGAAAGTCATAAGGTGCGAGGACTGCCAAATTAGGGAAGTGTATAGAAGGTTTTGGCCAACAGCGACAAACAACGCCCTCGCGCATACGCGTCGCCGATCATTTGACGCCTCCATACTTTGTCCTCCACTATCACTCATTCCTGCTGTTTACGCCTACGATCTTTATAAGTTTCTCCATTTACATTCTGTAGATATGGCGACGCAGATGGCTATTGACCATCCGACACCGAAACTTGATGTGGAAACATACTTGACGACTGCCTTGTCAGCGACACCTGCTGAACTGCATCCATTCTTCGAGGCATTCCAAGACTTGTATAAGCGAAAGTGTGTATGCATGACCTATTGATGCAGGAATACAAGAGCTAAAACGTGTTTGCTTAAGACTATGGCATCAGCTAACACTCAAGCTCTTCGAATTCTTTGACCACCCGTTGTCAAAACCATATCGCGTGGATGTCTACACGCAGTTCGTTCGTGACTTTGAGACCAAACTGAACCAACTCAGGCTAGTGGAGATGGGTGTGAAAGTCGCCAAGGAAATCGATAGTGCGTAGTACTTCAGCTTGTGATCCTAGACTTTACTCACTATTCTCAGATCCTTCACAGCTCTTGGAATTTTTTACCTCACTGCTGTCAAGACTACCAATAGATAAGGCACCGGACGCTCATGTTCTCCTGCTTGCAACGCTGGCGCATGCGAAGCTACTCTATGGCGACCTCGATGGAACAAAGAAGGATATGGACGAAGCCTGGAAGATCTTAGATGAGCTTGCTAGCGTTGACAACAAAGTCCGAGCTGCATACTACAAGGTTGCTGCGGATTACTATAAAGTGCGTCCTCGTGTACGAAATCCATCGCGCTTCATTCACTCACCGTCACGGACCATTAGGCAAAGGCGGAATACGTTCCCTATTACCGCAACTCCCTTCTTTACCTCGCTTGCATTGAATTGTCGGAAATAGATCCGGAAGAGCGCGTTCTTCGAGCACACGACCTCAGCATTGCTGCACTTCTCGGCGATGCAATCTATAACTTTGGCGAACTCGTGCGTTAAATTGCTTCAAATATGCCGATGGACGTAAACTAATAATTACGTTCAGTTAATGCACCCGATACTGGATGCACTTGACGGAACACCTCACGAATGGATCAAGAAACTGCTGTTCAATTTCAACGAGGGCAATATCGGCAAATTTGAGGGTCTCGCCCCTCTTTTCCCCCGAGAGGTAAGCCGTTCGCCTTACGTGCATGTATGCGTCGTGTTGACAAGGTTGATTGTCGCAGCCGATCCTACATGAGAACTTCCCATTTCTGCGACAGAAGATCTGCCTCATGGCGTTGATTGAGTCGGTGTTCAAGCGGAATGCGTATGACAGAACAATGACGTTCCAGACCATTGCGGAGGAGACGAGGTTACCTATTGATGAGGTCGAACATCTCGTCATGAAGGCATTGAGGTATACTTGTTGCCTCCCCCAAAATTTGACTACGGATACTGATGCAAATTCTTGTTGTAGTCTCAAACTGATCAAAGGCTCGCTGGACCAGGTGGACGAGAAGGCTCAGATCACTTGGGTACAGCCCCGTGTGTTGTCACCAGAGCAGATCGGGCAACTCGCTCAGAGGTTGCAGAAATGGGGTGATCGACTGCACAACGTCGAGGAGAGAATCGCACCAGAGGTTCTTACAACTGCATGATGTACTCAGCTGGACTTTGTCATAGTGTATTTTCCTGATTCCCCGCAAGTGAGTTTCCCTTCTTGTGCTGGGAGTGTCATGCTGCCCTTAGAAGGGGAAGGGATTGTCACAATGGAGGTTATACTCTAACCTACGGAAATCGAACTCCCGGATGAAAGTGAGAAATGACCGTCACACCATCTCCGAATGCTGTTTATGGCCTCCCTTGCTATTCAGTTGAATCAATTTAAACTTTAAGACTCATCACCTATCAGACGTGTCGGCATCGTTGAAGCCAAAAGGCAACATTAAACCAAAGTAATGCTGCACCTAGATAAGTACACAACTAGCCAGCAGAAGTAAATTACACCATACATTAACACGTTCCACACGAATCCCGAAGAGCAAAAAATCCAGTTACAATCATACAGCTTCACCTTCAGCCGCCCACTTCATTGGGGAGTCGCTTTCCTCGCTATGGATATCAACCGTCCTGAGAACCTCGACTCCATTCCGTTTCATGTTATCCTTCGAAGTCATGTAGTGAAGGGGAACATCGATCGTCTTCGACTCATCCGTGTGAGCATTCCGGGTTGTTGAGTCCTGGTTTGCTCGCAGGTTGCGGGTGTCAAAGACCATAGAGGTAAGAGTCGCTTTGCTAGTAAACGTATCTGGCTTCCACGCTCGTCCCTGGATAACACGGTAGATGATGAGGTAATTGCAGATGTTCTGTGGAAGCCTCAGTGATCATTTGTAGTTGCATATAGGAAGAGAGATCACCTGTACCGCAGGTCCAATAGCCAACCAGATCTGATTGATAGGGTGGTTCATGGCATAGGTGATCAAGAGAATGGTCGAGCAGATGGAGTAAATGGCAGCGGACTCGATGAAGATTGACGAGATGGATCCGTAATGATCGCCGTAGGAGCTTCCGAAGACTGCTTGTCCACGTTTTCGACATCTGATCATCTGTCCGACAATCATCGCGGTTAATATGATATTGAGCGAGAGTGAGATGCTGAACCAGGGAATGACGAAAGAGACGGTGGAAGAGCTGAAGAATCCCGCGTCTGGTGATGCCGCTTCGAAGACGAAAAGGATCTGCATCGCTAGGGGCAGGTCACTACAAGCGTTTTCATTCGTTGAATGCGCAACCTACCTAGGGAGGCCAATAACATAAGACCGGGAAAAATCATGAAGTAGATTCCTTTCGGGCCTACGGACGCCTTCCAGATGACCTGACAACGCCAAAGCTAGATGCAATGACTCCAGTTACATCTAATTTCTAAACAGGAAGTGAACACCGCTTACCAGAAGTGCGTCAGCCATGATGTTTGCGATCGTATAACCCACATTCGATAGAACATTGGTAGGTAAAGGCGATTCCACAAGCAAGAACCCGAATGGGCCTCCAGGGTAGTTCCGGTTATCAACATAGGTTATCTGGACACCATACGCGGATGTGCCAGTCCAGATAGCGTTCATCGCGCAGAGCATGGTAGTATGAAACATCAGGAATTTGATGAAGCCCGTATGTGGCTTGCGTTTCCAAAGGCCATGCATGCAGGCTGCATACAGCACAAGCTGGACGCCTACAAGCCATTCTCGTTAGTACTTACTAAGTAGTCAATGTATAGACACACCGAAACCAAACCCGGTTAGATAGCCGGCAGCCACAAAGGTTTTCTCCAGTAGGATCTCATCTGGAGTCTCGCCAACAGGTCCGTAATAAGGCGTGGTGACGTTGGACATTTACCGACCCTGCGTTTATATGCGCCAAGAACACTAGATGAGACGGACCCGGGGAATGAAGAGCTTTGGCAAAGAGTTCCTGAACGCCACTAGCGGCCCCTGGCTCCTCTTATCTAAGTGGAATATGGCGAGCGATTGCGAATAAGGTAATGAATATCCTGTAGAGCACTGGACCTGAAGCAGTTTGGGAGGGCATGAATAGTCCCAGGGCATACGTGAGGAACGATCTGTCACTTGTCCTATGTAGACACTGACACCCTGATTCCGTTGTACCCGGAGAGCCGCTCTAGTATTGCATCCGAGCTTCCTTTGTGGCGCTGTATCATATTGGAATAGCTCCTGTACTTTGAAGTTGACAAGTCAAGAGCAGCCTTCAACCTTACATCCTAAGGGGACGTAAACGTCATTCATTGACACTGATATCATAGAGCGAATGATTGCTTACATCTTTCATCGCAGAGGCTGATCATCTGAGGAGTGAAGCAGAAGAATTGCAGTATGCAATTCTGGCTCTGTGAGAATGATCTAAAAATGCAATCCGCCGATGTCGAGGGAATCCGAAGTGATGCCGCAGCCCATTCGGGCAGGGGAACGGTCATTGAGCAGTCTGCAATTCGCACGTCACCTACGCTACTACAAATATCAGCCTCAGATACCAGGACTTTACGTTGTGCCAGTATCGTATACGCGTATAGCAAGCATTCAGTGAGCGTATTTGGCAAACAGGACCCCCGCTAAACCCTACAGATGTCCGATCCCCAAATTGGCAATATTGGCCTGTTTCGGGCTGGGGGATTTTGGCCATTTTGACCAGTTTCGGGCTGGCTGCATGAAGGATTTTGGAAAACCTTCGACTTTCGGGCCTGCGGCGCATGTATCATCCCGGGCGCTAAGACACCATTGCTGGCGCTTCCATCAGCATCCGGACAAAAATCAATGGAGAGTCCATCGTTTGTGCCCTTTTTCACCCGGGTAAACCTGTCGTACAAGCCATATGAGCCTCCCAGCCAATCGTTACCCGGAATGAGTCTCTAATCTCTACGAACTGGGTTAATTCGGGCAATCGGCATCAAGGAGCCCTCGAATGCCCCCAGTTTCGGGCTGGCATGGCATCGGGGATCGATCCAAATTTGGTGGGATTTTCGGGCTGGCCGCCCTGAGAGATCGCCTCCTACGGACCCAGTTTTCGGGCTGACCGGGATCGGACAAATATAGGAACTAGCGAGGGTCCTTGGCAAACGTTCTCCAAGTTCATGTTTAAGCGCTCCACGAATATCTTCTGAGGCCACAAGCGCCCAGATGCACCTTTCCGATTTCCGGAAAAGCTTCAAGGATCTATACGACATACTATAGTTGTATGCATAGTTGTAAGTAATTCACAAAGGTCGGAATACTTTGAGGGATCTCAATCACTCCAATCCATATCCAGTAAGTTGCACGCTTCAATTCGCAGCATCACGGTTTGTGGAAGACGGACACTTTGAAGCATTCAGGACTATGGGCCAATGTTACCATTCCAAGCACGCTATTTATATACCTTCCGTTTAAGCAGCATACAGACTCTATCAAGACCCCGTGACCTGGAGACATATGACCAGGTGCTTGACAGATCGCTATTCCTGGAAAGTACGTCAACATCAACTCGATATTCCCACTTGTAAAGGCAGTGTGAAGCGCAAGATATCCATGCGAGTCGAACATGTCTAGCATGCCTAGAGAGACACGCGTATGGCGAATTGCGGCGAGTTGCTATGATCAATCGATCACTCCTGGTCCTCCTCCCCCTTTTCGCCCAGTGATATGCAAGCTGGCACCGTTCGAATCACATCGGAACATCTAATCAGAATAGAGCATTCCAACAAAGATGCTTCTCTACAAGCCTCGGCCAGTGGGCTTCAACCATACGTAAGCTCACTGTGATTTTCGTTCTACCACTGTTCTTATATTATCGTCGCTCATTGAAGGATCTTTAGCGTTCGCGTAGCAGATTTTCACACAAAAGTCAGTCAAAGGCATTTGATGCAGAGTTAAATTTGCCGCCGCAAGTACAACAACTACATCTGTCCTTCTTGTTGCATCGCTCTTTCAAGCATCGGCTATGGGTTCAGCTATAAGTCGTCAACGCCGTGCTCCGTTTGGCTCATGGGAATCTGAGATAAGTGCTGAAGAGGCGGCTGGACAGGCAAGTTCAACAATTAGACGCGTAACTTTGGACTCAGCTGAATCATAATTTTCAGGGCCTCGCCGCAGGCATAGAGGAAGTAATACTCGACCCGGTCACTTCCAAGGTATACTATGCTCAGAAACGCCCAAGTGAAGGTCGGCCAATTCGTTATCTCTCGGCAGATTCGTGTTCACTCACTATTGCCGGTCATGATACAGGTGGCAGATCTGCTATCCTCGATGCGTCTGATGGCAAAGAGCTGCTCGATCCCGAATGGGATGTTCGTACCAGGGTCCATGAATATGGTGGTGGAGCCGCGATTGTGTTCGCCGACGTACTCTACTTCTCGAACATCAAGGATAATCGAGTCTACAAGGCGAAGAAAGGCTCCAAGCCTGAACCTATCACACCTGGTGCGTACCTGATTATTCTGAATAGAAAACATGCGACTGACAACTGCACGTCACGTTTCAGTTAATGAGGTTCAACGGTTTGCGGACTTCACCGTGCACCCCGAGCACTCGAACTTTATCATCGCTACTCTCGAGGACCACACTGATCCCCATCCTGCTCGCGTCAAGACGTTTTTGGCGCTTATTGATGCCAACACATCGACTGTCTCCAACATTGTTGAAGGTGCAGATTTCTACTCGTGCGCAAGATTTAGTCCAGACGGAAAGTTCTTATCGTGGCAGCAATGGTCAAGTTCTATGCTTCAAGGTTCCTAAAAAAGGCGCTGACAGATCCATATCTCTCAGGAACTTCCCCGAGCTTCCCTGGCAGAGTGCAGAGATCTACGTCGCTCCCGTGACTTTCTCGTCGGAGGGGAATTTAGAGTTGGGTGCACCCTTTTTCGTCGCAGGCAAGCATGAAGCAATCTCAGCCGTCGATCCAAGTTGGACGTCCAACAACAGTCTGCACTTCACATCCGACGTCAGCGGATTCCAAAATCCTTGGAAGTTCACGTTTCACCCGTCAGATCTTAAGGGGACTGGGAAGGCTTCCCCTATTCTTCCCGAACCCATCGAGTGGGAGTTTGGAATGCCAACATGGTACCTCAGTCGGCACAGTTCTGGTGCCTTGACTGATACCAAAGTCGCATTCATGGCATACCAGGGCACACCTCATTCAAAGCTACTCATTATTGATGTGAACGATGGATCTATCACGGAAGTTCCAACTCCGTACGCGCTTATCCAGTACATGCGTGGAGACGGGAAAGGCAAAGTAGTTGGGCATGGAGAGCCTGCTACGGCAGACGAAGAACTGTTCGAGCTCACACTTGACAAGGATGGAAAGCCTGTCATCCGTAATCTTCTGGCAGAACACGCAAGCAACGCGCCGCCTTCGGACACCTTGTCCACCCCAGAGTATTATGCTCTTACACTTGCTCCCGACAACCGAAAGTGCTATGCAACATTCTATCCACCTCAGAATCCTATGTACGATGCAGGTTTGCGGAACGAGAAGCCCCCTGTCGTTGTGCTCATCCATGGTGGTCCGTTCTCTATGGAGGCACCTGTACTCGACTTGACAAAGCAATTCTGGACCTCTCGCGGCTGGGCTTAGTAGGTTATGTTTGAAACTCATACCGCTGTTTATGACTCATACATATCCAGTGTTGACGTTAACTATGGTGGATCAACCGGATTCGGCCGTGCCTATAGGTTTGTTATTCTCTCCACAATACATTTGCAGGCTTGACTTGCACTTCTAGGGAGACTTTGCATGGAAAATGGGGTATTCTCGACGTCCAGGACGCAAAGGAAACTGTGGTGGAGCTCGGAAAACTTGGACTGGTCGACCCACACCGTGCAGTCATCCGAGGTGGCTCTGCGGGCGGGTACACCACCCTCCAGGCCTCTATCCTTCTTCCAGACTTCTTCGCCGCAGGATCTCCTCAGTACGGTATATCTGAAATGAAGCTTCTCGATGATATTCTTCACAAGTTCGAGTATTACCTTTGCGACCGCCTCATGGGTGGACCGTACGAAGATATACCGGATGTTTGGAAAGAACGGTCTCCGATCTACCACGTCGATAAGATCAAGATGCCGTTGCTCGTGAGTGTTAATACTGTCCCAGGTGTATGCGGAGAGTTGACAGTGCTTTGCAGATCTTGCAAGGTGACGCTGACACCGTTATTCCGGCACCACAAATGGTTGCTATGGTCGAAGCTATCAAGAAACAAGGGGGAAAGGCTGAGTTGGTGCTGTTTGAGGGTGAGGGTCATGGTTGGCGCAAAGCGTCGACGATCAAGACAGTGCTCGAGAAGCAACTTGAGTATTTTGACGACGCTCTGCACTTCGTCAACAAGCCGGACTACTGTTGAACAGTGTAGTCCATGATCTCTCGTAAATCCTTGGGATATCATGAGTACTGTAGCAGTCGTCTACGATCGGATCATTCTCAGTCACAACTTAACCTAAACTTGCATTGTCTCGCAGGTAGTGTTCACGTTGTGGTTGGTAGGCTCAGGTAATCATGAGTGTCAATAAGGAGGAGTCCGTATCTTGAGCATACGGCATGTTGTGAATGCATATGTTACAGTGTGATGTAGCAATTCTCCCGCTATTGCCCTCTACCAGTACCCTCTGTCCTTCCACCCCTCAACACTAGTCCGAATGCGAATACAGCGAAATAAATATGCCAGCAGATACGTTATGAAGTGTTGCCCCCAAAAACCAATCACATGCGTTAAGGATGATTGTAGAAGTAAGACACACGAAGGTGAACGAAGAGTGTTCGTGCGTCGAGCGTAATCGTAGAAATCGTAAATCAGATGGCATTAAGCACATCAATCGAATGAATTGCTCTGTGGTGGTCACCAGTCAGTTCAAAGCTCCGTGACTACAATGGTGGTTCTAGGCTTACCGAGACGAGCAGGGTGGGGCCGTAGCTATCATGCAATAGTGCACTGCTTGCTCACGCCGCCTGAGGTTTCGTAGTCCGTGGGGACTTCGACCTCTGGTTGATCGACGGGGACGATAGTGGCGATGCTGAAGAAGGAGTCCATTGATGCAGAGAATAGCGGCTGGTGTGAGTCAAAGACTTGGGGACTCGCTAGGGAAATGGCTCGCAAAGGACTCTTCTGGCTTTGTCAACCTCGATACGTCCACTATTTATGCTGCACATAAACGCACACGTTCCTGAATGAGGACAATAAGTCTTCCATCCATGCGAAGGGACAATGAGCCCACAGGGCAGCGTATCTGAACGCCGACAGGGATTCGATCGGATAGAATGGGGAAGAGGATTGGACACACAATTGTCTTGAGATACTCCGAGATTGGTGAGCTAGGAACGGGGAGTTCGGGACCTGACAATGTATTTGATTTATTGTCCCCGGCCCAAATATTCTAAAACACCAAAGAGTTGTATTCTGCTTTCATTAACACAAGCATCCGCGGCGGGTAGATCATTCGCCAGAGCAGGATAAATCATCGAAGACGTCCACAAACACAATCTAGGAATCTAACGTTCGACCACTAGAAGCAGATGTGCATGAGAAAAAGTTCAGAGATGATGACGAAAGTCTAGAAACGTGTCGAGGGTATGCTCACCAACATGACCACCGATAGCGCTGATAGCAGGCCGAACGGGTCATTCTCCCTTGACAGCTATAGGCTAACCGTGGCATCCTTTGCTTTTGTCCAAGCACACCGAGAAATCCTCGGAAAGGTTGGGCCTTATTGTTAAGGCAGCCCAAGTCGGCACCGGTAGGCTCAAAGACAAAAGGCTCAAACTGGTAACCAGCTTCCATGTAAACAATTTTTGATCCTAACATGCGCAAATATGGCTCAAATGAGCAAATCAATGTATGTAGTACTAGTATGACTTGTATACCTTAACTTATAGTCAGGCCCATTATTATTTCCGTAAAGACTTTGAGCCAACGGCGACCGACTCCGATGAGCCTTTTTTAAGAGTCTCGACCTGCAGCCTGCAGGAAGGAACTTGAGGCGCTTAATGAGCGCTCTTCTCATTGCCAACTTTGGGTGGTTGTGCGACAACCTTTCCCGCAAAGCTCAGCGTTCTTGTTGGCGTTTTTTACATGATGCGGATGCCCGTCTCTTTTACCCCATACTACTCAATATGTTCTGATAAACAACACAACATGCCCTCAACGTTGTACATATACTTATCCCAAGTAAGTACTCGGGGGGGAGGAGGGTCACAATTTTGTCCTTGAGCCTGAGAACTCATTAACGAAACGATCATTCGGGCAAGGTGAATACCGTCTTTATGGGCATCATTAGGGACACTGCCCTCGTACTTTAGATCCAGGTACGTTTTCGATGTATTGTGTTTCTGTGGACCTTGCTAGAGACAAAAATAATACGGAGTCGCCGAGGAGACCGTGACCAAAAGCCTCGGTGGGCTCTGTCATTGTACGATTACGAATTGGTTAGTTATGTGCGCCATGTAACCAGTGTTGTCAGCCTTGGAACTCATGGTTTCTTGTACAACCGGCCGTCTACACAAAAGCGGATCTTACAAGGAACCACGGATCCTTGTGCCGTACACGATGCACGCCTTTTTGTTCGCGCTAGAGTTGCATGTTCATCGGAGAGCGTCTGTTGAACACTAGTGCGTTCTTCTGTCTCTGTCCTAACCTACACTGACGTAGATGGATGCACATACGGCATGCATATCTGCGGACCGCACCAAAATATCCGAGGGGCTACATAGTATGCGTCGTTTCCATACTATTCCTTCAGGCACATTGGTATGGAACGTACGGGATAATGAATGCCTCTCGATATCGTCGCCTTTTAGCTAAAGTATACAGGGATGCGCTCGAAGTTTTAGAGTGAACAGATCCTGGAAGAGGAGATATTCGGTTTCCAAATTCAACTTAAATCTCATGCGCAAGAGCCTTCCTGCCTTGACTACGCGCTTTTGAATTCACTAGTGCAATTCCTGGCGATGTACTCCAAAATGTCGCGATGACAATTAGCACATCGTCTGCAAGCTCGCGCTTGTTTTAGCCATCATTGTGACGCCATTGATATTTATGCATCTTCACTCACGCTTCGAAATACATGCAGGAACTCCTGTCCAAAACTGCGACGTAATCAAACATGCGAATATCCTTCAATCGACAGCCGGGTGAACTTATGACCTCATATCTTCGTGGGCGGTGTTTATTCATATTATGATCTAAAGTGCTTGCCATATATGGACTGCCCACTGTGTCGGGAAACAAAAAAGCTCAACACGTGCACGCCGGCGAGCATTCACGCATTCACGCACAAGACAATAGCACCCATGCATCCATGCGAGAACGGCTTACGTCTTAACTGATTGCTTAGGTCGTTGACATCGCTCTTATTGTCCTCAATGGGAACATCAGGTTCGTTTCGCTTTCCGATCCCGAGTAAGTAGTTGTTTCTCCCCGTCTTGTCTCAGGTTCCCCCCGTGTTTCCACCCGAGCTCACTTCAATTGTCTTAGACAGGGGATCTGATCTGTGCCTGTTCATATCTTCCCGTTCAATTAAGTCTGTCATGTCAACGGGGCATTCACAATTAGAGAGCAGAAGGTAATCCAATCTCTGTCGCAATGCCTGCCCGGTTTGAAAATAGCGTTTCAATAGGTGGTGTCCGCGCGCCGCCTTTCCACGGAACTAGTCCCGAAGACATTGTAAATGGTTACCCGCCGGCACCTCGAGCATGCATTGGACATGACAACAGCAATCAAGAGCCTTTGCTTTTGTTTCGAATGTATGCGTGTAATTTGTTCTAATATTTTTCTCAGACATATAAGTACTGAACAAAGTCGCTATGCTTTCTTCCTCATCAAGTGTTCGATACCTTTCTCTCCCTTTGCGGCAACTAGCACCATTATCCATCTTCAGCCTTCTACCACGAACTCAGAGATGGACTCTTTCTGGAACCTCGCCGCCATCATCCCCTCTCAGGAGCCTGAAGCTGCTCCTCCTGTAGAGGAAGAGACTTACGGATACGTTAACAAATCCTGCACCATTGCATGAGAGAATGCCCCGCGTTCTCGTAAGTCACTGTCCTGATTTCTAGATCTGAGTTTGTTCTGACTATAGCTGCGCAACTTGTAGCATAGAACTTCATGTTCTACAACCACTTCTCTTCGCGTCATCTCTCATCTCTCTGCACTCATCAAGACCTGCGCCTTCGATTGCATTTTTATCCATCGTCGATATGATTCAACTCGACGTTTCACACATTCCTTGACATCGTCATTTCCTCGTCGTCACCAGTCGCTTCGCATTAAATTATTCGTATTGCCATATCCTTTTTCCTTTCATGTGTACAGCGGATTTTCGCAGCGCGAATGATTTTAGGAAGAATAGGAGGGTCACCGAAGTCGGGCCTAGAGACAGCGGTTCTAGGAGTTGGGTTGAGAATAGGGTGACTTTGTTGGTCGGTTTCCTGAATCTGGACTTTATGCTGGCGAAGCCGGAGGTTACTCTTGATTACTTTTACAGACATTTCTTCACCGCTGATCTCTGTCGCGTTGTTTACACCTTTCCCTCACTTTGGATACTCGTACCGTACCGTATCGCGCTCTCGTCGTCTTGCTATCGCATCGTATCAATTCTATTGGGACATTATATACGTTCCCTACATCTCAATGTCTATGTCTACCTCTTGTGGAGGCGGTATTGAAGGATTCGAAGTGAAGTATACGTGTATCCTTACCACGGAAATTAGTCATATCGAGGCTTTGCCTCTAGGTTCGTAAGGTAACAATAGCGCAAGTATGCCACTACCGATGATCAACGCTCCTGAGACATAGACGGGAACGGCTGTCGCTAGGTCAGCATATAATGCAATAACCGGGGCCTGTAGAAACAACAATGAGCACGAGGCGCTCGCCATGAAGACTGGACTCACAATAATACCGAAGACACGAGTGGCGGTAGCGGTAAGACCATTGCCGGTGCCTCGGTCTTTGGCAGGGAAGATCTCGGAAGAGATAGCGTACAACACACCATACATGATCTGGAGAAAGCCATTCGTTTCAGTGTTGTGACGTTCGTCTAGATCCGGCTTCACTCACATTACTGTGGAAGGCATACCCGCAATTCCAGCCAAGGAGCGCATTCGAGCTCCTTGCTGTGGTACTCGCGAAGAGAAAGACACCAGTGAGCCCTATCTTACGCGAGGGGTCGTTGAATAATGAAACCACATGAGAGGAAAGCTACATGACTCGCCCGCCGAGATTGCCAGAGTACCCTTCCGGCCGATGTAGGGTTGTTCCACAGCCCAGCCTGCGAGGAAGGCTCCGGGAACGCCGATGACGCTTAAGATGACTTGCTGTGGTGGCATTGAACTGGGTTGAGAGCTCGGCACTGGAAAATGTTCAAAAACATACGTTGCGATAACTAATGTAGTATGAGCTGTCTCCAAATTGGGCGCCTCGACTGGCAAGGAGGAAGGGCAAGAAATTATTGTAGAGCGTGGACGCAAGGCCGATGATACCTGATCAGACAGATGTTAATCGCACATTCCATTTATAGGGAATTAGATGCTTACCCCACAGAGAAATCAAGAGCGAAGTAGACCAAGCCATTTTGCGAGTCTCGAACAACGCTTTGACGTGATCCATACTATAACTCGAGCTGTGGCTCAAGATTTTGGGCTTCTCGTTGAGACTCTCAATTCCAGCCTTCTGCTTTGCTTCATCGGCAGCTTTGACTAGCTGATCGACCGTTAATGAACTCGTCTTTCCGTTGTAAGCAGCGATTCAATGAATGACGCCAACAGCAGCTTCATCATGACCACGACCAACGAGGTATCGCGGAGATTCTTCGAGTTTAAACATGAAGAATCGGAGAGCCCAAAGGAAAAGTGTTACGCCGCCCAAAGTGAACAGAAGGTAACGCCAACCCATGTTCTCGCTACGAGTACATGTTCCAGGGGCAGCGGTTTGAGGGCAGGAAAAGTTCGCAATAAGCGGCCAAGCAATCTGTAAATCACTTTGAGGAATAGGACTGTCAGTACGGATTTTCAGAACATACTAGGTTTACGAAGAGTTGTCCAAGAGACCACCATATGGACAGTATGGTCAAGAGGTATTGGTGTGTTCCGGGTACAAAGTCTAAGAAGACTGCAGAGTCAACAGGCATATTACCGCCTACGCCAATGCCCATAACTGCGAGAAGTGATGCAAGGGCAACGAAATTCTGAGCGCCTCCGGCAGCGAGACCAAATGCACCTGCTATGAGAAGCGTAATATTAAATGACCACCTGACAAGTATCCTGTCAGCGGAGGACTAAGCACAATTAGTGAATCGGCCCTTGCCTTCGTCCCCAAATATCACATCCTAAGCCCCAAAAGACAGCTCCGACGAACAGTCCGATGTTGAGGGCAAGTGAAAGGAAGGGACCTTGAAACTGGAATTCAGATACGACTGGAGCAAGTATTAGGCCGCCAAGTAACTGAAAGATCAAAAGTCAGTAATCGGCCTTCGCTCTGAAAAATGCACATCCGCGTACGGGCCAGACGCTGTCGCTGAATATGCAAAACGCTGTCAATGCACAGCGAATGGTAATTGCTTAATAGACGTACGCGAACCACCCAAAACCGGCTACGATGAACAAATACCACTAGAATGCTAATAAGCAGTCCCTACAAAAGGGATTATATGCTCGCGGACGAACCTGATACTTCCTCATCCCGATCTCCTGGATAGCTCGATTCAACACATGAGCCTTCGCTTGATAAACAGGATCTATCGAGCCTTCCTCGTACAGATCCTCTTGCAATGGACTGGAGTCTAAGTTCCGCACAGAGTCAAACTTCTTCGACTCGTCGAATGACCCAGCCTTTATCGTAGATTCGTCAGGATTCATCCTTGTGAAGAGGACTAAGACTAGGGAGAAGACAAATAACGACTCTACTGCGCTCGGTGAAAAGTCACCAGCAGTGCTGACTACACGTAGTACGCAATCATTTTTGTGGGAGTAATGATACTTGATCGGTATCTCCGTCTCACCGTTCGGGAAAGACATTCCCCGTAGGTTCTCACATGCTACCTTCCATAAGTAAATGGGACAGTATTCCATCCCGAGTGTCAGTGACTCAAAGCCAATCAGAGGGGGACGCTTAGAGTTAGAGTGGAAGTTGTTGACTTGTTAAATTCAGACGGGATAACGATTACGGGGGGAAAGCGCTCTATTGACGGGATCGGAGGATACGAAACAATGTTATGGAGAGGAGCAAATGGCTACAATGGTGGGTTCCGAAGAATGAAGTCTACCTATGAAGTAATACGAGATACATAGGAATATGATTAGCAAAGGAGTGGCAGTATAGTTTGGTACGGTAAATGAAGTGGTATAAAGCAGAACACAAAGCAACTGAAAACGGGTAACCGTGATGCTAATGATACAGTCAGGATAACCTGCAAACACGAGAAGGGTGATACTTATACAACAGAGCGAGAAAAAGGGGAAACCCATAGCCTACACCATGTCCACGGAATTGCGTACTGCACTTGGTACGTCCGGCGTATGTCGCTGGACGGACTCGATATCATGTATAGGTTCAGGTGTACGAGGGACCTCGATGATCGGGACTGGAACGTCATGACCCTTCTCCTCTGCAGGAGACCCAAGGTATGTACTTGAGCCTGCTGAGCTGTCGGTGGGCGAGTATGGGGTGCTTCTCGTCGTCGTAGTTGAAGTCGCCCACGGATATTTGAGAAAGACGGTCGGAGAACATGGAGTCGCGCTTGGATTGATTGCGTTGGATGAATGTAGGGATGGTAACACGGCCGAACCCGCTGCTGGTGAACTTCGAACCTTTAGATCTGGAAAAGCAAGTGAATCAGAGAAGTGTACATATTGCGAGACAGGTGAGCAAGAACGTACTGTGTGAAGCCAGTACTGTCTACGGCACCGGTCGAAAGACCAACACGCTTAGCGACGGTAGTGTACGCGGCGCGGTAGTGTTTCCTCGCCTCTTCGGCCATTCCAAAGATAAGGAAAAAGACAAGGGCGCAAGTGATAAATGACCACTGGTTGAATAGGAATGTTGTGCGGAGCCCGGGGAATGCGACACTCCAGAGGTCGAAAGGATATTGGCGAACACGTTCAAAGCCGAAATGGAGATCAGCAAAACCTCGCCATTTGTAGAGGCCGCCCTTGATGTTACTAATGTTCGCGTAGAGAGCAGCGGGGATGGTGCAACAAATCTCAACGACCGCCATTGCCATGAGACGGAAGTAGCGGTTGAAGGTCAGATTGCTGTTCGAAGCGATGAGCTCGCTGAATTGCTTGCGGCGCCTCAAGAAAGCACGCAGCGTCAGGACTAAAGGATTCAACACTTAGTGAACATACGAGAGAACGACGGTTGGTTAACTTACTGGAGTAAGTTGCAGAACCGAGACCGATAAAAATGGGCCACAATCCGTATAAGAACAAGTAAGGAATGGTGTTCGGAGTTGCTACTGTACAACCGACACCTTCGTAGATATCGAAACGGTGACCCTGCACGAAGAAGACTAATGCAAAAGTTCGCAAGTCAAGTTACTAACACAAGAAGATAGCAGACTCACAGATGATAAGTTGCGACAACGGTGGTACAAGGCCAATAGCCAAATCGATCATGATGGCGCGCTGCTTATCCCGCCGAGTGCTTGAGACGGTTGTCCCCGTCGCGATCTTGCAAAGACGACGAGCAATGACAAGCGCTGCTGAGACGACTCCGATACGTGCGATGTAATCAATCCTGACAGCTATTGAAGGGCATGTTAGAAAATGACCGAGTCACGTTAAAAACAGACATCGAGGACTTACAGAGGTCACACCATGCCGGAGCCCAGTTTACCGCATTATCTCTCCAGACGATATCATTGATGAACTGGAACAGACACCCAACGGCCGTCCAGCAGATATAGAGTACGCATCCGACGTTCCATGCTACATAAGAAGTTTGTTGATGAGATCGATCCCGCGCATCCGTGAAAACAAGACGAGAAACGCACCTTCTAAATGCCAGATGAGCGGAACACTAACCAAGACGAAACCGATGAAGTTGAAGGCCGTCGTCACGCCTATCTGAGCTGCCCAAGAAACCATGATGTGAAAAATCGAAGCGAGACTATAGGTCAAAACAGGCGCTTGATCTCAAGAAGCTAGCGTGGTCGCTGGACCGGCGAGCACAGAGGACAGGCAATGGCGTGGACAATTGAGCAGTCGAGAACCCAGTTCGAAGGACAATTGTGCAAAGACAATAAGGAGCCATCCCATGGTTTATGAGGTTGGGAGCGAGTCGCTTGCCTTGTCAACTGATTAGGCTGTTGGTTTGTATTCGGCAGGGAGGACGACGACGGACCAGTGCTTGATGAAGGGCTTTCACACTTTAGGATATCCCATTCACCATACCGAATCCGGACGTACGTTTGTTGATCTTGGCGGCAATTTTCTATATACGGGAGGCTTCCCATATGACTTTCGGCGCTGCGGCCCATAAAGATAGATTGACGCTCGCCTAGTCTAAAGGGAAGTGAAAGGAGCATCCTAAAAGAGAAAAGTCTGCGAAAGCGAACACGCGAAGTTAGAGCATGGATGACTCGTCAGGTGGGAGTTACGGACAAACGTAGGTCGCAAAGTAGAATCACAAGACGGCGCAGACAGGACATTACATGCGCGAACCCGACGAGGAACAAGGCATTGTCGAGTCCACGCAAATAGTGACCGTGCCTGCACCATCGAAGAGACGGGGGGGACAAGAGGCTAAGAGTACAAGACTGTTATGCATTTCCATTAAATGGACCTGCCTAGAGAGCTGTCCAAGAGAAACAAGATCGTTAGGGAGTGTGAGAGAGCGGAGAATAATCAAGGGGTCTGTCGACGCTCACCGAAACAAGGTGAAGCATTGATCCCTATGGATTCATGAAAACGTTCAAACACAGAATGAGACGTTTTGACGTTAACTTTGAAGGATAGACGATGTACATACAAGAAAGCGGTCAAGAAACGAGGACAGCTTGCTGTTCGATGTTCGACATGCAAGCGTCTAATTCTTATTGTCTTCCATAACCGCGGGCGTTCAAACGTTCAAGCTTCGCAACCGTCTCTTCTCGGAATGTCTCCAAGATGCGCATAAATTATCCGTTACAAGGCAGTACTTGCTGCATGCGTAACAATGGTATGCTTGCAGAATCACTCTACCAATTCATGAATGCATTGCTTGCTCTGATGCCATATCATCGGCGCATTCACTGCGCCGGCACTTGCCCCAACCAAAATCAACATAGCATGCACACAAAACTGGATTGAATAAAGCACTACGAGTATCACTTACACGTACGTGTTACAGGTGCCAACAGAGACTATAATCACTTGTGTACTAGGCGAGGATAGTAATTTTGATTTTGATTTGAGATGTCAATGAATAGCTGACCGACTGCTATAGTTGACTGACTCGTGTAGCTTATTCAGGAGAACTATTCATATCGATAGGTGCTTCTCCAATTTTCACTCATGAAGATCAATCGATTGCTAGTGACGTCGTTATCCGATGAACCTCTGAGCCTGTTCATAATGCATGCTAGTCTACGGTCGCGCCTCTCACGCTAACCTAAATGGCTCATTGCGTTATCCCTCAATGTCCGGTAAGTGGTGGACTCGTTGAAGCTTATCGGCAACCTTGAATGTTTGATGACAGTGTCATGGAGAACCTCGCGATCGTCTTTCCTGAGCCTCCGCTCATTAGCGAGTAAGCCTACGCTAAGTGCTTGTTGTTGATCTTGTACCTTGTCCAATGCTGAAGGAAAAACGCGCGAATTCTCTTTGCACGCTACAAGGAATGAGGTCTTAGATGATAACTCCGAAGAGCTTTTGCGATTCGGGGGCTCTGCTAATGATGCTAAGTCTATGAAAGCAGAGGTCGTGAGCGACGATAGTGATGCTCTGGATCAGCAGAATGATCAAGGCTATTGATACATCATATGCCGTACGTCAATTGCCTGCGCCCGTTTTCATCAGAGCCTCTAACAAGATTCAGGTGGTCCGGAACTGAAGGTGTACTTCCACGGTACGTCATCCTGAAACATAACCACAGTTCGCTATGTGAGGCGTATCGCTACTTCGAGTGATGTATCCAGTCTGAGGACCTACAGCACACGCGACTACGAACTGCGTGTCTTCTATCCGAGGCTCCTCAAGAGTGGACCTTACACGTTCACTGCTACGTTCTACCCATGACACAATTTCGCCGTGTCTTCCAGCACCAGCACCACAGCAATAGCACTTCATACTTCTGCTGATTACAGTCTTACCATAGCCACAGGCTTATTCAAAGTTTTTCAATATTGCAAAAGCTGAGTTCAATGGAGCCGTCAAAGTAGATCCATCTTTCATGTATCCCGCAAGATTACAACTACATTCTAGGGCAACGACCAAGCCGATGACGTCACAGAAAGGATGTGGGTCAATTTTGTTTCACTCCAATTATGCTCAGCTGAATTTGCGATTAGGGCCAGCATATATGCGCATCTTTTGATGGGCTACGACTCTATATTGGATCGCTTTTCTCGATAGTCAGGACCGCCATATATTGATAAGTCTTAGACTGACATTTACGCCAATTCGTTCAGGAATTGATCGAAAGGAAACGCAAGACCATCGACGAAGCGAATCGACAACACGAGAAAGGTCAAGCCTAAGGCTTGGTAATGTCCAAGAAAGCTGTTCAAGGCAGATCTGCTCTTCCATTTATTGGTTTCCCTTTAACATTCGATATCTCAGATTGCAATCGACTCATCCGCTCCTTCAACCCCTCCGCCTGATGTTCTGTATCCTGTGTACTACTGGCTGTCCGCGTTGTTCTCATATTCCTACTGTAAGTATTCCTATTTGAGTTGCCATCAGACCTTACTGACATCAGCCATTCATTCGTACCTCAAATATGACGATACCACGTTGACCTTCCCAACCCTTTCGATCTTCATCGCGACTGTCAATTGACGCTCATGAGTTTGTTCACGTCTTATGTTCATGTCACATTCGCATTCATCATTTGAGATCGTTCGAGCCACCTTCCTTGGCGCATTTTTTTTTAGTTGCTTCTTTTCTCCTGATTGCACGATCACCATCGTGCTTTCGGACGGAAGGAAATCTGATGGAAGTTAGATCCCTAAGCGTGCTGGCTGCACAACAGTCGAAGATCAGATCCCCCTTCGAATGGCGCCGAACTGAATCGCGACCCGAAGAGACCGTCTTGCCTTCATACTTTCGGGTTGTTTCTCTAAGTTGTCGCGCTGCTTGTACTGTATATGGAGTGAGTAAAACTTGTTTCCCCTCAAAGTTTCAGATTGGTTAACCGCTGCCTTCCAACGTACAATTGTCATGCCACGAAATTTTTCCCTGTCCTTCTCGAATTTGTAAAGGCCATCTCATGTGACTGCGACTTAGAAAATCAGAGCGTAGTGTACGTATGGTTCTACTGTGTGCCTCAGTCGCTCGCCTATCGCCGACTGAGATGTGCACCGGTGTTTCTACCCGGACGGGCACTAATCCATCATGCCTGTCAACCATGTCACTTGTACAAGATTTGACGGGCATCACAGTGATGGCAATCCGACTATGTACATGGTTAACATGGCTCACATTTAATCCTCCGTAGTCCATACTGATGGAGGTCAACGTGTACGTATTTTATCTCTCATTGCTTATGACACCTTCTAATCATTTACCCACTACGTATTGTAGGACAACTGTCGTATTGTTTCTGCGGAAATGAAGATCAACGTAATCATGGAAGGTTTCCCGTGATGGACGCGATGGGAGATGAGGCCGCATCTTGAGCGATTGACACGCGCTAACGGTATATAATAGGCTTAGGCATGGTCAATGTTCGAAAGGCACTTCGTATTTGTCTTACATTTTTCAGACCTCTTAAAGCTCCAAGTCTCTCAGGCATTGACGAAGTAAAATGCTCTTTAACTTGATCTCGGTCGTAATCCTTGTCGCGACCTTCGATGGCCTTGTATATGCTTCGAAGACTCTCGAGTCTCTTGAAGCCAAGGCGAATAGCATCGCCGTGCCAGCTCCACCCCCGCTCGAGTTTCTGTTCGCAGCAAACGTAACACTCGGACAGTTTGACTCCTTCGAGGGACCCCTTGGAACTCGTCTGAACGTTCCAATTGTTAGGTACGTATCATATGCCTTTAAGCTATCACACATGCGCGCGCCGAACACTGACCTTGAGCTGATCACTCGTGCAGCGCCAACTTTTCTGATGCGAACGGAGATATCGTCGCTCGACTCATTCCGGGAAACACTGTTGAGCATGGCTACGTCACCGCATCTGGTATTCTCTTCACGGATATCGTTTGGAGTCTTCGTTGGGAGGTAGATGGGAAATTGGCCTATCTACGCGCACTGGGTATAGGGTGAGACTTCCGTAATCTTATTCGAAATGTTCGGTACTGATCAATATGTTTGTGTTTGGCGTGATAGCAAGTTGCCCGTTCAAAACTTGAACTATGTGCAACTCGAAACCGACTCAGAGGTCTATGGAGATCTCAATCGCCGGTTTATAGTAGCAAATATTACGTTTGCTCCTCCCCATATCAGTTTCTTCGCTGCTCCGAGCGCGTTCTGATCTCTACTAGAGGAGGCTGCTTATTTATTTAGGTTAAGCAGTTATACTCTGACTCTATGCGCCACATGGTGGGTTATCATAGTATCCTTTCGCCTTGTAGCATGTATTAGAAGTCTGTAACTTCGTTCTGAGCTCCTTGCTGTCTTCTCTCTTGTATCGCCTCTCAGCGCCTATCAGTTACTTTGGTGTCTGCCGTCCACATTCGACTTGCGTGCTGCAGTATTGCTCTCATTATACCCTCCATCTCGTTCGAGTGCCTTGGGCGACACCTCATCACCACGCATGTAATTTATTCACTGATGCGGAATGATGAATCTGCATAGTGGAGATGGACCGATGGTTCTGTACTGTACTAATCGATGCAAACAACATGTTTAATGGTACCACCTTCATATATGCGCCCGATTATCTAGTTGAACAACATACAACTGAGGTTGTATGCCTGTCGTATGAACTGTATGAAGTTGAACTATTACACTTGCCTAATACAGAAGTTCCATCTATTGGGTAATATATTAGAGGTCGCGCGACAGAGTCCAGGGATTCACGTTTCCTCCTCGTTTTCAACCTCTTTGTCGTCTTTCTGCCACCCATGTACCCTGTGCTTCGATAGCAGTTTCTCAAATTCTTTCCCCAAACGTGGTGTTTGCACCCTAATCTCAAAGTCAATAGTACTATGGAACATAATGCACGCGCCGGTCCCTCATCGGATTCCTCGGTGTCGCTAGACTCGTCTGGCAGCCAAATTCACGAAGATGCGTTCTCTGACGAAGAAGATATGAATGCTGCTGGCTCGGGCTATGAGGCGGAAACTGATGCGGAGGAGAATGCAAATGGCGGGTATGAGGAGCTGCACGCGGAGCTGAATGGAAGTGCTCGCGAGGATAAAGGAAAGGGAGTTGCGCGTTCGCAGGAATCATCTATCAAAGATCACAGCGTCCCGAAGACACCGAAACCGAAGTCGGGCTCTTGGTCTGAACTCGATTTGTCGTTGGTCGTAGCCTTGGTTTCGCCCATCGGAAATTGGCTCACTGGAAGTGACCATATCAAGAACTTATTGCTAATCGCCTTCTTGATATTCTACTTGCATCAACTTATTGAGGGTGAGCGTTCAAACGTCGTATACGAATGCCGAGGCTGATACGGCTGAAGTCCCATGGCAGTTATATCACGCCTCTCGACCACGCAGGTCACCTCGACGTGCACGAACCGCTTCAGGCTCTTCAGACACGTCTAATGCCTCGAATCAGGCCATTGAGCTCGCCGCATCTGAGCTTCATACCCAAGAGCTGTTCTACTTGTCGCTTACCGTCATATCTCCACTCTTGGGCGCTTACCTCATCCGGTACATCCTCACCACCCTCGAAGGGGTTGACAATCTTTCGTGGTTCAGTACAACACTGTTTGTCCTAGCAACAGGTATTCGACCCTGGTCGCATCTTATTGCGCGTCTCCGTCATCGTACCCAAGCGTTACATGACGCTGTTCATTATCCTTCTGAGGATTCTGCCGTTCGTCACCAGGCTCATGTCGACAAGAAGCTTCACAGCATTCTCCAACGTCTTGAAACAATTAGTGAAGCCGTTTCTGATTTACAAGTCAAGACGGCTAAGCTCGAGCCTCTCCGAGAGGTCTGCGACGACCTGAGCGAAGGATTGGGTGACGTGGAGCGTAGTTTGTTGCGTCACGATCGTAAAGTGGAGTCTGTGAGAGTTTCGCAGGATATGCGGCTTTCGGCTCTCGAGACGAGCCTGGTGCATTTGGAAGAACGTCGACGTCATGGTCGTGAGATCCTGGCGGACCGCTCTGCGTTATTTCCTTATGGCCATGAAATCGGTTTCTACCTCTATGGCCTCCTCTCTCCTCTCTGGAAGTTTATTGGAATACTTGGAAGTTTCATTCTGCCGTATATACCTTTCCTCGAGAACACTTCGAAGGGTACCACCCAAATCCACACCAACCTAGCTAACGGACCCGATGCGCGAAAGGGCATAAAGTCTCCCGTCTTATTCACGTCTCGATTGGAGACTATTCCCGAGGCGGAAAATTCTGATTCCGAAGGAACGTACGTCTCTGGCGATGAACCCCAACAGTCCATGTCACCTCCACCGAAGGCGTTGAAGACCACTATCAAACGTAGTCGCAGCGGAAGCCGTCCGGGCTTACGCCGTCAACAATCCTATGGGGCGAAAGCCTTTGCTTTCGCGTATAATGCCGTTGCCTGGCCTTACCGTTCTGCCGTCGGCGTCCTCAAAATGTTCGTGTCTCCCGTGCAGAAGTTGGTACTCTAGTTTTTTTATGTCTTTGGTGCCTCGTCATGGTTTATTCCCTTCATTCTTCTGGTGTGTTCTATCCTTGTAGTATGTTTCATTGGCCAGGGTTTCGAGTTTCGTCTCAGTTTCAATCTCGGTGTCAGTGTCGGTCTCTGGACGATATATCCTGCTGGACTCAATCATTCGCCTATTCTCTCCTGCATGCATGTATATTATTCTGGCCTCCATTTGCAGCTTGTGTCTTGATCATCGAAGTTAATCATGAATTTCTATCAATCTTGCCTTGACATGTTGGTTCACACTGCCTGACGTTCCACTTACCGCACTTCTTCTCGGAGGTGAGACTTGAGCATCTGTTATATTGCAACATATGTCCTCACCAATATCTTTGTTGGCTAGAAAGATTTCCCTTCTCTCCATAATCAGATTTCAGGCATCATATATATGTAGTGAGTTCTGTTATTCAGATCTGATAACTTGAGACAGTTTGCAATAGCAAAAGCACAAAGCACTTACTTTATCAGTACTAACTGTTAATAGATTATTTGCTATGCTTAGCCCAGATATTATTCACGCTATTCATAATAAAACTTTATATAGAGATATAGCACATCTATAGCATACTAATAGCCCACATTGTATAAATAGAATGTTTTGTATTATTTTTATAACAAACTGCACCTAATCTTCTAAGTTGACTAAGTATAAAAATCATATCTATTCTGCTTATAAAAATTCTTTAGATTTCACCTGTCATATCTATCTCACAAATGTGATAATACTTATTTCCAATATATAAGATGTCTTTCTCTGTTAGTCTAGAAAATAGTTCAAACTAGTCAATATCACTATCATCTTTATTCTTATCTGCATAAGACAGGCTGACAAGTTTGAGACTAGCATTATTCATAGCCAATAAGCTTAATTCAAGCTATTGATATTTATCTTTATTACTAGGTAGTCTGTGAAGATCTATAGTTATAGGCATCTTTGAATGTATAGATAAAAGTGATGCTAATACAAATTGAAGCCTCTCTTTATCTGCTGATAGACTTAGATATTGCAAGCATATATTATGCTAGAAGTCAATAGCTATCAAAGTAGTCAGAATAAAATTAAAGAATAGAGATATGGTATAATTTTCACCTTCAGCATTCTTAGGCAATGCAATATGGCATTTTGATAATAATAATCCAGAGCTTGACAAAACTTGATTGATCACTGACATGTGCTCAGTTTTGAATTTTTTATGATTATCTAACAAGATATAAAAACATTCAAGACTAGAGATATAGCCACTATCAAATAACCACTGCAATAGTAATAGATCTACAAATTCTAGTTGCAGTGATTTCAAGCCAGCTTTGAGCTTCTTTTTGCTGCAACAGTTGTGGCAATGCTTGGAATTGTGGAAGATATAATGATGCTACTAAGTGTTAGATGCTGTAATTTAGAACAAGATTGTAGCACTCTTTGAAGCTGCTTAATTGAAAGAGTGGCATGTTGTAGCTTTAAAGTATGTATTGGCAGAAGTGCCAGGCCTCTGAAGAAGTCTAGATGAACTCTAGCAAGATCAAGGCTGTATATACTATGATGAGTGAGATTATTAAGCCTGATAGAAAACAGTGATATGGACCAGCCTCTTTGATCAGGTTCTCCAGTTTTGAACATTGAAAAATCAACAGTAAGGCTCTTCAAATAGGCAGAGTATTTTCTATGATAATGTGCATATATTGTCCATAGCTGACTAGCTTGTTGATCCCTCATGGCACTCAGTGTAATATGCCTGTAGAGAAAGGGTAATGCATGTGAATGCCAGGCATGACAAGTGAGACAACATGCAGCTAATGTCCTCTCCTGTATAAGCAGAAAGCATGTCAAAACTTAGCATCTTCAATATTAGGAATATATGTTCCACTCACTCTATCTAATGTACCCCACTTCATAAGACTAATTGCATGCACCCAGTATATGATATCAACCTGTGTCTCCAAGGGCAACAATAGAAGCTGCCATTCTTTTCTACTTTTCACTGACATCATTCAAGTTTCTCAAAAAGGTGGCTCAGAATAGTGAGATGAAGTGGATTGGTTGAAGGAAAGGTATGCACAAGTAATGGACACTGCCCCTCTTTATATATACCTCATTGACCATCCTAGGATGCTAGTGATACATTCAGCTCACATGCCATTCATAGCCCTAAAGCGAAACAGTTACAGATGCAGGTATTAATATTAAGTCAAGCACGGAAAGCCATTCAAGAAGTGGCCAGGAAGAAGTGCACGAGGAAGCAAGATGCTGGTGAAGATGCAACACAAAGCAAACCTAAAGAGCAAGGTTGATTGGGGGTACTGGTAGTTGACTTAGGGAGAGCGGTCTTGGACATCTATGGTCCTCACCGGTGAGACTGAGAGTGAGAATAGTTCATATTATTTATTCTCTTGCTGTCCTCTCCAATCTGGAGCTTGGAGAGCATGGCAGCACACTACATCTAGATGGTCGAAGCCAGCGTGCCATCTTCATGTAGGAGAAGGTGTAGTCGAGATGCTGATGAACCAGTATTCAGGCCGATCAGATTCATGAGTAGAAGATGCAGCCATATTTTGTGCAAAAGAACATAAGTACAGAGCATCGAGTCCATCAAGAGATATCGATAATGCAGTGGCCGAGAGGAAGAGACAGTGAGGGCAATAATAATGATGTATTAATATACCAGCAGGCTAGGATCCTCTGCTTATCATCAAAGCTGAATTCCAACTCCATGAACCCCATCTATTCAGCCTACCACACATTTCTGTATCGCCTACATACCATTTATAAGCCGAGGGGAATGGCAAAGCCATGGTGAATTGCATGGCTGCAGATGACAGCTTTGATGATTGGCAGAAGGGAAGGATGAGTGACTGGTCATAGGAAGAGCAGAACGTGGAAATGAGGTGAAGGCATCATTTGGGAGAGGCGCAGAGAAGATGGAAGATATGAATTGTCAAGTCAGAGCCATCACTGCTAATCCACGTCTCTCACCAAAAAATGTCAAAGACCATCGAGATGCTTCATCCATGAGGCCTTGTCAATTGCAGGTACTGACGAGGTCGATACAGTAAAGCCAGCCTCTTTAGATATCAAGCCCTCGGATGTATTGAGATAAGAACCAGTGGAAGAATGGCGATAGACAGGAGCATGGTGTAATCATGAATGGAGAGAAAGAGAAAGCATTATGGGGGATATATACATATGGTATTACTTGTTGGTATTTAAAGTCAATAGTGATGCTCAGATACTAGTCAGCTTGTGGAAGAAGGGAGGACTCACCTGGCCCCATGCAAAATCACCCTGGCTAGATGTGTAGACTACACCTCGAATGCGAGACTCGAATCGTCCCTAGGTAAGCTGTTTGAACCTCTTTTGGTCATGCCCAGGTGAGTACAAGATCCAGGATGATGCATTGATGTTGTAGATCGTGGAGGCTGAAGAGAAACAGACCAGTCGAGAAGATCCAGAAAGACAATGCTAAGCAGCAGTGTTGAAGTCGACAGACAAGTGCATGGAGGCAGGAGACAGAAGAGGTCATGGCTAGCCAACAAATCTAGCAAACAACTGACCAATCACTGTCTCTTGTCAAGGCTGTTCAATAGTCATCTGTTCTCAGTCTTCATCAACTATACATGATCGCCAACCAATATAAAGTCAACTATTTCTTTTCTGATGCAACCCATTTTTTTGTCGCTATATATGGGTATCAACCACCACTTTCTTCCCTTTCGCAGGACACGAATCTGGACTCCATTTCATGAAATATCTCCTAGTGGCATCGAAAACTGAGAATATGGGCTCCGAATGTGCACTTAGAAGATTTCTCTCCTTCGCTATCATTTTCTCTGCTGCATAAACCTTACCTGTATCAACAGCTACCCTTTGATTCAATATTCCTTGGAGAAACTCTTCCATAGTCCGTTGTATCTGATGAGACTCCATACTTCAAGACTCTGGCCAAACTCGATGAACGGATGGATAAAGATTGCCTGAGGCTGATTGCTGTTCTATTGTATTATGCCAGCAGTTTTGTTGAAGGAATGGAGAGCCGGGAGAAAAGGGAAGCTATCGGTGCATTCTTGATGGCTGCTTTGAGGCTCATTCACACATTGGGGATGGTGTTCACCACGGGTCTGCCAGGTGCCACTTGTTGTGCTACTGGCTCGCAACGAATGTGGCTAACATGCAGTTCAGTGTGGATATGCCGATAAACTCGATGCTCCAGCATATACCTCTAAATTCCAGTCATATTGCAACACATTTGTACAGTGAATTGTATATTATTCACCATGCACCCAGCATATACTCAGTAAGTGTTCAGTTTCGCGCATTATAGAGCCTCGGTAGCTCCTGCCGGCGGCACATAAACCAGGAGTGAAGATACTATGAACACTGTACATTTCGATTTCTTTGGCCTTTCACTCTCTATTCTGATCTTTTGTATACAATCTTTGAACATGCCGAAGGAGAATCAGACACTCCTCATATTTTAGTGTCCCCTGCATGAAAGCACTTAAATGTCAAACCTCCTACTCAATAGGTCCCTTATTCCTTCCTCTCTTGTCACATCACGCTCATGCCCTCATTTCCCTCATGCGCTGAAGGAGGTCTGATGTATATCTTCTGGCCTTCAAAATAGCTCTATGCAGCAGTATTGAATGAACTCGAGCTCTAGCAGCTTGAATCGCAATCTTGCAGCAAGAGCTGGAACGGCAAGCTGATATACACTGTCATTGTCGCTAGACAGCTCAGATGGCAAGGTAGACTCAATGGCTTCTACTTATCTTTCTTCCGATTTCTGCTTTCTTTCAGAACTACACTGTAAGCTGGACTAAATTACATTCTTCGCTAACAGCTCTTATTGGTGGCTGCACAGTATTTCTTCAGTATAGACCCTGTTCATATCACGAGCTCCTCATCGAAAGCTGCATCTACCCAGCATCGTTGCTTGAGATCAGTGCTAACATCGCAGGAATTTAGCCGTTATTGAGCCATTCAGCACATCAATCTGGAGTACTTCATGACCTTCAGTACAGGATGGACCTGAAAAAGTGAGCAGGCCAATCCAAAATGGTCTTGAGAAGTATGCTGTGCTTATGAATGCATGCTGTGGATTCATTCCCATGACGCAGATGATGTTGTGATGGTTCCAGAGTCTGCTGAGGACCAATGGAACTAGCGGAACTTCTTGCTCATTTTAACGATCTTCTCTAAACACCTCACCCAATCCGGCTAAGCTCACGTTCTTCCTTGTTCTCACCTGATATAGGACATTCATAGCTGGCTCATGCGCGAAGGCCTTGGAGATGCAGGAATAGTTGGACGGATGTCGATAAGAGCTTCTCACTCAATGCTCTTCTATGGTCTAGGCCAAAGTTACCTTGAGAGTATAGTGAGCGCGAGACGATACCTCCATGAGCACAATCCATCTTGGACCTAGAGGATGCATGTATTAGGGGCAACTCACTGCGCATCTCAATTTGAAGATACGTTCTTTCACTCTTTCTAATTACCTATCCAGTCTACCTGAATTGCAGCCCACAAGATCCATGAAAATACATCTCATCTACAATGTGGATGCACACCAGTCTGCTGAGTTGGACATTAGTCTCAGACCTTGATGGAATTATCTGCAGAATTGACTAGTGGCTGAACTGAGCTCTCTGTTTGGTTTCAATTTGAAGCTAGTGTTTATATAGATATTCTCTCAGCTGTAGGTCTTGTTATTTGGCTCTGCACAAGATGATTCTATTGAATCATCCAATGTGTCTGTCTCTTTTATGCTATGTTAGTTTTCTTCACATTAATTATAAACCACAATATTTTCTATACTATATAGTTATAGTACAATCTACAAATAACCAGCATCTTAGAAATGGAATATTTATTATTACCTTTATAATGTACTGCATATAATCTTCTTAGAATATTGAGACTGATATTAAGAACATATCTATTCTATTTATAAGATTTCATCTAACTTTCACCTAGTTGATCTATTATATAAGTGTAATAATGCATATCTCCAATATATAAGATGTCTTTCTCTGCTAGCCTAGAAAAGTATTCAGACCAGTTGACATCTCTATCTCTTTCTTTATCCTCATTCTCACTCTCATTTACAGCTTTATCTTTTTCTTCATATTTATCTTTATCTTTATCTTTATCTTTGCCTTCATCTTCATCTTTGCCTGTATATGTAAAAGACAAGCTGACAAGTTTGAGACCAGCTGCATTTATAGCCAATAAGCTTGATTCAAGCTATTGACAGACTTCTTTATTACTAGTTGGCTGATTAAGATTTATACTCATTGGCATCTTTGAATGCACAGTTGAAAGTGATGCTAGTGCAAATGAAAGCATTTCTTTCTCTACATCAAGACTTAGATGTTGTAAACATAGATTATGCTGAAAATCTACAGCTATCAAAGTTGTTAAAATAAAATAAGAGAATCAAAATGCAGTATAATTCTCACCTTCAGCATTTTTAGGCAATCTGATAGTGCATTTTGACAATGATAATCCAGAGCTTACCAATATTTGATTGATTGCTGACACATGCTCAGTGCTGAATTTATAACTTTTATTACACCAGATGTTAAGAAATTCAAGGCTGGAGATATAGCCACAATCAAATAACCACTGTAATAGTGATGGATCTAAGCGTGTGAGTTGCAGTGATTTTAGGATAGTTCTGGGCTGCCTTTTGCCTATAGCAGTAATAGCAATGCTTGGAATTGCAGAAGATATGTGAACATCTATAAGTGCTAGATGCTGTAATTTAGAATATGACTGTAACAATCTTTGAAATTGTTTCATTGAGAATGTGGCAAATTCTATCCACAAAGTATGTATAGGTAGAAGAGCCAGACCTCTGAAGAAGTCTATATGAACCCAGGCAAGGTCAATGCAAGATAAACTCAGATGAGTGATATTATTGTGCCTAGTAGGAAAGAATGGTATGGACCAGCCTTCTTGATCAGAATCATTCTTTTTCCCATTGAAAAATGAAATCAAAAGACTCTTCAAATATGCAGAGTATTTTTTATGATGTGCATATGTCCTCCATAGTAGATGAGCTTGTTGAGGCTGCTCAGCATGCAGTGACATGTGCCTATAGAGAAAGGGCAATATATGTAAATACCAGGCATGACAAGTGAGAGAACATGCAGCTAAAGTTCTCTGCTATATATGCAAAAAGCATGTCAAAACTTAGCATTTTCAATATCAGAGATAGAACTTCAACTCACTCTCTCTCTTTGAACCCACTCCATATGACCAACTGCATGCACCCAATATATGACATCAGGATGTATCTCCAAGGACAGCAGTGGAAGCTGCTGTTTCTCTCTACTTTTCACTGACATGATCAAAGTTTCACAGAACGCAGCTCAGAACAATGAGGTGAAGTGAGGTGGTTGAAGAAGAAAGTGTGCGTGGGCGATTGACCCCACCCCTCTGCATATATGCCTTATCGACGATCCTAGGACGCTCGCGATACGTCTCACATCCATGGCTGTACATTCACAGCCCTGGAGCGATACAATCATAGATGCAGCGTATTAGGGTTCAGTCAGGTGGATCCAAGAAGCGGAAGCGAGAAGTGCACGAGGAAACGACATGCCAACAAAGATGCGGGAGAAGGCAGACAGAAACTCGAAGTTGATTGAACGTATTGGCAGTCAATCTCAGCTGCGGTGACACCTACGGTCATCGACGGCGAGATTGATAGTGGGAATAATAAATGTAGTGTATTCTCTCGCCGTCCTCTCCAATCTGCAGCTCGGAGAGCAGGCGAGTGAAGCCAGCGTCTTGATAACAGCGCGTGCCATCCTCATGCAGGAGAAGGCGTAGCCAAGGCGCTAATGAACCAATACGAAAGCCTATCGGATCCGTAGCAGATGGGGCCATATCCTATGCAAGAGAACCCAAGTACACAGAATCAAGGATATTGCTAAGCTAGGGACTGACGGGATGAGAAGGCGAGTGCGAGAATAACTGCGCATAGACGTACCAGCAACCTAAGGTCCTCCACCTATCGTCACAGCTGAGTCCTCACCTCCCCACTACTTCAACCGCGTCTGTCCAGCCCTACAGCACATGTCCCTATCGACTACCTGGCCCCTCGTTTGATTATAAGCCGGGGTATTTGGTGAGGGCATGCTGAAATGGATGGCCGTAGATGAACGCTTTGATGATCACCACGAAGGGAAGAGCGGTCGAGTAGGAATGGAAACATAGCGCGTCGGAGTAAGAGCAGGAGCGAAGCGAGGACCCTTGTTGTGGAAAACACAGAGAAGTACGGAGACATGAATTGTTGAGGGAGAGTCACCTGAAAACGTCGAACGGAGAGTACTGGACAAGTGTCACTAACAGATAGCCGTCGATAGCGAATATCATCGAAGCGTTGAACCTTATAAGGCTCTTGACATGTAGAGCCCCCGGATGTATATGGACACGAACAAGACAGCGGCGATAGATGGGAGGACCATCACGAATCCGCAGGAAGAGAAAAGAAAAAGCCACACGTGAGATAAGCGGGCAAAATAATCCTGGAAGGCACCTATAGAGGCGACAACAGTTCTTGGATACACAGTATGAAAGAAGGAAACACTCACCAAGTCGCATCCAGAAACACGTAAGTAGTCCAAGCTTTTTCGATTATGCCCAGGCGAGTAGACCGATGGTGCATGCCCTTGAAAGGTGTCACATCGTGTAACTTGAAGCTTTGAAGGCCGAGGAAGAATGGACGGGTCGAGAAGATCCAGAAGGACGACGCTCGCGTTGGAGGTGTGCACCAGAGGCCAGGACAGAAGAAGTGGTCGGCAGTCAATGGGAATCCACCAAACAACCGACCGATCGCCGATCACTCCCCGCACCGTCAGTCGCCCTTGGTCTTCGTCAATCATGCCAGTCGACTGGTCGGCAACCAACGTAAACTAGACCAGTTCCTCCAACGACCATCACTTCTTTGTCTCTCTACCTGGCTCCTGCCGCACTTTCTTCCTTTTTTCATCATGAGAATCTTGCCATAAAGACATCTAGTATCGTCGAAAACTCTGAATACATGCTCTGAACACGCATTCGGGAGACTCGTTTCCTTGGTTATGTTTGACATATCGCAACCCGTACATCCTCTACAACAGTTCTACCTCAACAATCAGGATGCTTTTCGTCAAAAGAATAGGACCGTTTCCTGGGCGCTTAGCTTATTGTCTCTATTGTCTTTGCCCATCACTGCTGGATCTTTGAATACTCCAGCTAAAAGCTCGACGAGAATGAGGATATACATTGCACTCTCACCTTCCTCTCGTCACCTCCTACATCCAGAAGACAGTGTCTTATAGCTTCAACTCGCTCAAATTATCCATACCCAACGAGATGCTGCCTGTAGAGTTGGTACTCACGCTATTTGCGACACTTGCTAGTGAGCCCCTCTCACCTATGGTCGTTGCATTCCGCTAAACATAGTATACTTTTTATTTAGCGGTACAGTGCATGGCGAGCAAGCCAGCCTTTCACTACGCCATCGAACTACAATCTTGCGAGTCTACTCCCAGTATGAACGCAACCGTCACCGATTCTGTATGGTTCACGTTTCCAGGACGTGTATTCGAATTTACTGACCTCGTCTTAGTGTGTCGCTCTCTGTCAGCCAGTCCAGGATGCACGACAATTGTGCAATGGTGCTCCAGACTGTACATGCGACAAGGCACCGCCGCAGAGTGTCCAGACGTGCTTGCAGTGTCATATAGATGCCAGGCCAGACCTCATGTCTCGACGGGAAGCCATTCTGGATATTCCATCTCGGGTCGCGAGTACGTTACCGCCATTGTTTAACTTTCCGTATCTTTACTCACCTTCTGCGTTTCTTAGGATATTCATTTGTATGCAACGCACTTTCACCTTCCGAGTCCCCCACCAATGCGCCACCGCTATCATCAACATCCGACCATCCCGCTGTTCAAGTGTCCGAGCTGGATGAGCTGTGCGTGTATGGGTTGCCTGATATCGTTATACCCCAACCGTCCACATTTGGTACCGCCGTCTTTGAAAAATTGCGGAATCCATGGCTCACGCTCATCTTCGTCGCGATGATTATTATCTTTCTTGCCCAGTCTTATGAGAAGTTTTCATGAATGCATTCACTCGTTTCGGTATAGTTTCTAGCATGCTCCTCACTCTCACTTTCATTCTGCCTCTGTAGCTTTTAGAACACTGTACGGATAATTACTGTTAACTTTACCTTAATCGTTTTTCCATTTAAGTCATCCACCGACACGCACCTATGAACCTCACGAAGAATGTCTTCAAACTTCGATCGACCATATCAAGGATGCGTTCCTTACGATCGGTCGCCTAGGCGTCATTTCGCTGCCTCACATTGCGTCCGTCCCGCCGTTCACTATTGTCCAAATCTAAAACGCTTTAGGATTCATATTGAAGGTCAAACATGTCGGTGACAGTGTATATGCTTCTCTACACTGATCATGCTTTCCGCCGACTCTGGGGCTTTTCTCCAACATGTATTTGTATAAATCTCGTTGACGCCATTCTCTCCATCGTATAAACCTCACCTGAAGCAAGTCGACATGTCTTTAACTGAGAGCTTTTAACCATACTTCCTTGGTATACGACGATGCCGACCAACTCAGCACTTCAAGACCCTGGCCGAACTCGATGCATGGATGGAGAGCAGTCGCCCGAGATTGGATGCTATTCTACCCTATCACCCCAGGAGTCCTGTTGACGGAATTATGAGAGTAAAGGGAAGCTATTGATGCGTATTCTGCCAGATCCTCGAAAGCCCATCCGCGCGTTGAGAACGCTAGTGTTTGCAACAGGTATGCCATGTGCCGTTCATTGCACTCTTCGCTCACAACGGATGGGCTTAGCAGACCGTTGAGGGCGGATTCACCAAGAAACCTGATGCTCGAAGTTGTATGTTCAATTTCTGATGATACTCAGATACGTTCGTATAGTGAGTCATGTCACCGTTCACCCTGCAGGACGCATATACTCACCAATCGTTCCATTTCGAGCATCGTATATTCTCGCTACCTCATCCAGGATGAATTACGGCGGCACGTAGACAAGCAGTCAAGATACTAGGAACAATGTACGTTTTCATCACAGTCACCTCTCGTGTGCTAGTCCTATCTTTTACATAGGATCTTTAAACACGCCGAGGAAGAATCGGACGCTCTTTGTCTTTTAGTAGGTCGTCGCCCGCATAGAGAACTTGTTTGGTAATGGTAATGATTTCCGTGTTCTTGGTTACAGAACTAGGAGAGTTGATAACCATTAAAGTACGACAACTCATTGTAATTTACCTTTTTGACTTCCATCTTCTGCTTTCCTCGCAAACTGCACTTGTGAGTTGGATATCTTATATTTCAGTATGGACTTCACTAACGACACTTATCAGTGTCCCGCACGGTACTCCCTCAGTATAGATCCTACTTGTCTCCCGAACCCCGCCCGATGCTGCCCAACGAGATCTCCGTTGACATCGACCTGTCGGATCGGGACTCTCACGGCGGGAGCGGGTTTGCAGTTGCAAAGCCGTTCAGCACATCGCTCCGTAGTGCCTAGGTTTCAGCGTTGCTTTCTTTGGTCCAGGATGGTCTTGGGACGTATGGTGAGCTTATGGAAGCGCACTATGGATTGATCCCGAGGACGCAAACGCCGTTGTGACGGTTCCAGAACCTCCTGAAGGCCAACGGATCCATCCTCACGAGAGCTATTTGCTCACTTTAACGTTCTTCCCTGACAACCCCCATCCAATCCGGCTAATCTCACTGTCTTTGCTTCCTTCTCGCCAGTAGTGGGACGTTCATGGTTCGTTAAGGCGTGAAGGCCTTGGAGATGCAGATCGGTGGGGCGGATGTCGCCAAGAGCTCCTCAGTCGGCGATCTTTTACGGCCCCGCTGAAGCTATCTTGGGAGCGTGATGAGCGCGAGGAGATACCTCCATGACATAATCCATTTTGGACGTGGAGGACGTGTAGATTGGGAGAAATTCATTGCGTATTTCGATATCAGTCCAAGGTTCCGACGCCGAGGATGCGTTCTTCCGTTGTCTCTGATTACCTATCCAGTCCATTACCATCACGCCCCACAAGACCTATGAAATGCACCTCGTCTATAATGTGGACACACGGCAGTCCGCTGAGTTGGACGTTGGCTTCAGATCTCGTTGGAATCATCTACAGAGCTGGCCGGTGGTCGGACTAGGCTTCCCTATTCGATTTCAATTCGAGACCGAAGTTCATGCGGATGTTCCGTCAGTTGCAGGTCTTGTTATCGGCTTCGCACAAGATGATCTTATCGAACGGTCCAATGTGTCTATCTCTTTGAGTGTATATCTCGCACGTCCATCTCATTTTCTATCCATTCCGTGGCTTATACTGCCATGGGCACGCTTTTTGAAGAATGATTACACTATACATGTAAGGCTTCGATCTTTCATTGCAGGCTTTCTTCTCATGTCCTTCCTTTCAGCCGACCCAACGTTGTGCCATCATTACTCTTGATCATGCGCTTCTAGGATGTCAGCTTTGGCAGTGCGCTGCGTTACCCATGTAACCTTTCTCTAACTGCTACGCAACTCCAGGCATCTCAGAAGCCATCGGTAATGATTCTGGCAGGGCCATACTCGAGTACTTACAATGAGTGGGTACGTTAAAGCTTATATTTTCCAAACTACAGCCTTTCTTTGGCGCGTTGCTTGAACGTTTATCCATCCATGTGATTTGAAAGAATCCGGGAGCTCGGCTGCGGTCAGACCTGTACACATGGCGAACATGAACGTGTCTGCCTTCTAGACAGAGTCCATGCAGACAGGACGACATCTTGGCAATATGTCAATGTATCTGTCTGACAACAGATTTAAACTGTGTAGAGTGAGTTGACCAATCAGCACCCAGAAACGTAAGCAACCATCAAAAGTCTGCCTGGGGGACAGACAATGAAGACATGTTGCCAAGATGTTCGCCACTCTGCATCGCATCTGTGCTAACTACGGATGTGTTCTTGCGTGCCGTGACAGGATTTGAAGCAGTGCTGGTTTCCCAGGATCTTGCGTATATCATCTGCGCGCTACCTTCACCATACCTTCATCATCTGATATGAGAGGAGTATTTTCTGAACTATCCGCTCCCCGGAAGAGCCCCTTGGCCAATGACTCGGACGATAAGAATACTAGCCCATTCGTTAATGTTTTGAACAGGTAGCTAACTGCCGTCCTTTCATGTGCGATTTCCTGACGATGATCGCATATAGCAGAGAATCTACAGGCGGCGAGCAGGGCCCTTCCGATCCAAACGGACACATTGTAGAGCTCAATCACGACGTTTTATGCTGCGTTATGGCCTCGATGGGATCGAAGGATTTTGCAACAAGGGATCTGCTCTCCATGATGCTTACCTGTCGCTTATTGTATGGAAGCGGCATCCTTGTTTTGCTTCGACGTCCTGTCTACCTCGATCAATACAACATCGTGTCCTTCTGCGACTATATGCTGAAGGACATCGACTTCCGTGGTCCCCTCCTTCGTCATGTCTTCCTTCGACACTCTGCCTCCCATTTGACACATGAGGCTGATTTGGAGCGGCTTTCAACCATTCTCAAACAAACACGCAATCTGAAAACATTTAGCGCATCGGATAGCGAGAAACTCGTTAAACGAGTACCTGACATGGTCGATACTCTCGACATGCTGCCTCATTTGACGGAACTGGAATTATGGTCCGCAGGCAATTGCGCGATCCAACTGCTCAAACAACTCTCGCGGAAGCTCGTTATTCTATCCGCGTCACTTGTGAATAGCACACCAATTGACATCCCCTATTTGACCCTTCCACGACTGGAACAACTAACTCTACATTCCATCGGCCTCCAGGACTGGGAGGGAAGTTTCCCTTCACTTCGTAGGCTTGTCTTGGAAGTGGATGCTGTGTACGATTGCACGCTATCCAATCTTGCTCATCTCTTCCCTCGTCTGCAGAACCTGGTGCTACACCGACATCATACGGTTCACAATCTGAACCAGGTCCAACTGTGGCGTCAGGAGAACGAACGCCAGCATGCTTCCATATCGCAATTATGGTCTGAGTTGGACGAAGTTGAAGGCGATCTCGCTAATATCTTCGCTCTTGCGATCCCTTGTCCCATCAGAAAACTTCGTCTTTCGGAATGCATTCTAGATCACCCGCAAAGCTTCATTTGGTTGACCACCCTTATAGCTGACTGCCAACCAAACTGCCTGTCTTTCGACATCAAAACTGACCGCCTTGATCTCAATATTTTCGCACAGTGTGATGGCCTTGTCGCAGCGGCTCCTCACTTGAACTCCTTCCAGATGATCATTCGATTTTGCAACAACTTTGACGAGGTATTGGATATCAACGCCTTTCTCGTGGGTTCCATGTATGTCCCATATGGCGGAAATGAACTAACATACGTCCGTATATATAGGACGTTATGCTGCACTTCATCAGATGTTCATCCCTGAACTCTATCGAATTGCATCTATTAGCAGACCCTGTGATGCATGTAGGCCATCCGACTGTGAAGGCTCTCCGACATCTCTCCTCCACGACCTTGGCAGGAAGAGTACGCGACGCAGTTGCATCAGATTCACTTCGTCGCATATTTCTCGCGATCATTGGGAGAGGAAGAACGCGCTGGGAGGTATCCAGCAAACGCGAGCTAGTTCGTTGCGTTTGGTGATATTGTGGGCTGGGGTTACGGGATACTTCGAAGGCAAGTCTATTCGGAGGATGATGTAAGTCACCATTGTACTGACGGTATGGTATCTATCGAAGATCGAGGTCATTGTTCCTATTTTATGCATATATTTCAATTCCTGTAAGATCTTCCGGGATTGCCAACCCGTCATTTTATCACCCAGATCGAACATCAAGCACACTCTCTTCATCGTTTCCAACAATCCGATTCCATATGTCTATCTGTCACTCAATACATCAAGGATTTCAACCAGGCTATGCGGATACGTGAGGGGATGAATTCCATCATCACCATTTTGACGATTATAAATGGAAGCAATCTGGCGCGACCACGAAGGATTCACGAGGATTCGGCATCAATCATACTTGATTATCAAGATGTCAAAGGCGTATAGCCTGCATATGCCCCAAGCTAACAATAAGCTCCCCTTAACCCATCACTGTCAGCCAGCGTAAGACGAAGCCTGATCAACCTCTCCAGACCGTCCCATCACGCAAGCTTGCTACAACGTACATGTACGAAGACCACGGTATCTCATCTTGGTCACGTATGCACACTGACTCTCCCAATAGCCAAGTTAGGTACGTTATGCCCGTTGCGAATTCTCCATGTCTTCATTTAAGTACTTGCATAGAGACAACATAGTCGGGGCGAATGATGCTATCGACGAGATCCAACCATGCACGAGCGTCGAGCTCAACTACGACATTTTGCTCTGCGTTATGGCTCGCATGGACGCGAAGGACTACAGAGTAAAAGACTTGCTCGCAATGATGTTTACCTGCCGGTCATTTTACAAGAGTGGACTTCCTATCCTGCTCCGACGTCCAGTCTACGTTGACCCCTCTAATATCGCATCTTTCTGCAACTACATGTTCAAGGACCTCGACTGGCATGGATCTCTCCTTCGTCATCTGTACCTTCGGCACTCCGCCTCTTATAGGGCGGTATCATGGCATCTGAAACGCCTTTCACTAATAGTCAAGCACGCCTCCAAATTGAAAACCTTCAGCGCATCCACTAGCGAAAGGATCTTTAAATATGCTCCCGACATGGTCGAAACCCTGATCACGCTGCCCAACCTGAATGAGCTCGAACTATGGTCTATGGGACACAGGGCTATCACACTGCTCAGAGGATCGTCAAGGAAACTCATCCAACTATCCCTTTCGCTTCTCGACGGTGCTCAGTTTCATATCCCGCAACTGACCCTGCCAAGGTTGGAAGAACTCACTCTACATGATGTTAGCTTTCGGACCTTCCAGGCAAGATGTCCGTCGGTCAAGAGACTAGCATTGGGCATTACTGGCATCGATGATTGGTCACTATCAGACCTTGTTAGTTTATTCCCGAATTTGCGGGAATTGGTGTTGCGTAGGCACCATACAATTCGTGACTTAGGGCGAGTGCAGTTCTTGCATGAGGTCAATAAACGGGATCGGGGCTCGATACCACACCCTTGGATTGGGCTAGAAGAGGTCGAGGGTGATCTTGCCAACATCTTCGCGCTCGCAATTCCTTGCAGTGTCAAAACCCTTCGACTGTCCGAAACACTTTTGGACCAACGCACCTTCAACTGGTTACCTACACTACTCACTGGCTGCCAGCCAAAATTTCTTTCCCTTGACATCGAAACCAGCCACCTTGATTTGGTATCTTTCGCGAATTGCAATCGACTCGCTGTTACAGCCCCACAATTAAGCTCGTTCCAGATAGTGATTCGTATCTGCAATAACTTCGACCAAGTGTTAAACCTCCATTCCTTCCTCGTGAGTCAGTTCGCTGTTTATGCTAAAATTTTTACCGACGTTCATATTGCAGGATATCGTGCTGCGCTTTATATCCTGCCCCTCCCTGATTACTATTGAAATACATCTCCATGCCGATTCTACCATCAGGTATACAGGCCATCCGGCGTTGGAGGCTCTTAGAGACCTCGGCTCTTACAACTTTGCCAAGAGGGTACTGAAAGCTGTTGGTTCAAAATCACTTCGACACATATGTCTTGCGATAACAGGGAGGGGAAGCTCTCACTGGATAGTGTCCAGGAACGGAGAGCTCATTCGTGGTGGACGGTAATGCTTTATGCTACCACAGTGAGCGTTCCAACATGCTTAATGATATAATTTTCTTATCGATGACACGCACAGGCATGCACGCCCTTTCTTTCACTTCTGTCTGGGAAAGGGTTGAGGCAAATTTCTGCATGGAAGAATGATGTCCTCCCCACTGAAGCACCCGTCTATTCAGAATGCAAAAGTGACCTTTCCTCTGTAAGTAAATAACGCGCATGATATTCTGAATGAGGACACCTGGGGAGATATAAATACTTATTCCCTGCATACATTCAAGAAACACATGTCGAAATACGTAGAAGCACCATGTATCCTCCCCAAGACTCTTTTCCTACGCCAAAATTCCGCGAATTCCACCCGATTCTCGCTTTTATAATTGAGATTTTCAGTTCAAAGTAAAAAATTTTTGTTCACAACTTGAGGTTGCGAATGAGAACGAATATAAGATAGACCCAAACCATCCACTACTACTATCACGTGAGCCACGTCTGTCACGCTTACACCTGTTTGGGTGAGTGATAATGCCAAATAAATGACTTGCCTCGGTACATTGAGATTTAAAAAAAAATGCGACTTATAAGTTGAGGATGGAGGAGCTGCCGAATTTTTATAAGTCGCAGAATCAGCAAAATGACTTTCGTTGATGAGCCTTTAGGAAGCCGAAGCAGTTCATACAATTTGAAATGACAAGTTCAGTATTCTAAGGTACACAGCCCGAAGCTACGATATTCGCTCAAACCGACTGCAACAATTAAATCATGCCTCCACTGAAGCGTAAGGCTCGAGTGGGTCTCATTAACCTGGGAAAATATGCCGTTAAAAAGATAAAGACTGTTCATGGTGTGCTGAGCAGTTTACAGTCACAGAACGAGAGAGAGCCTGAGGCTCAATCTGCAACTGTGAGTGCAAGTTATGACAACAGAATGCATAAACTTACAGCACAATATCAGGAGCTTGAAGGACCAGAGGTATTCTCTCAGGAACGAGAGAACTTCCCTAGGACTCCCCGCAGCATCCGCCAGCGCATTGGACAAACGTTCGCACAGGTCATCCAACCGGCTTCAACATGGTTCCATGGTTCCGACCAAGGCAGCAGTCCATCACCTATACCTCAAAATGCGAATCATTCAGAATCCCTATCCGAGGAACTGGAACCTTTTTACTCCTTCCGTGAGGCTCTCGCGCGAGAGGACATCACACTCCCAGGCAGTCATCTGAGTCCATCAGATCATGTCAGCGGACTTGGTTCTGAATGCACCGGCGGCGAGACTCCAAGTCATTCAGAATCCTTGGAGCTGAACATGCCTGCTGATATGTCATCTGTCAATGAAGCGGGCTCAGCTTGCCCATCATGCCTCTCACCTACCGCAGACAGTGTTGAGAAAGAGCGCACGTATTGTCCTCCTCCATCAATCAATATCGCAGACTTGGCTTATCGGGACCTTTCTGACCTTCTTCGCCCGCATCGGCCTAAAGGCAAGCCAGGTTACAAGGACTGTGCATTGGGAGATGTCCTGCAGCGGAAAATGAGAGAAATGCAGTCGCTCCTGGCAATCTATGTTAATGGAAAGAATGAGTTGGGATGGATAGATGCCTCTCTTCAGGCGGCAATTGCAACGGGGCACTCAACTTCATATGGACGCACCATCCGTGAGCGAACACGATCATTTATTAATGATCGACACTGTCTTCCGTATACCCCAATGGCAACATGGAACAAATCTAGCCTTGAGTTACACGGACTAAAGGAGGGACTTGTACTACACCTTCAGAGTCTTGGAAAATACATTCGTGCACTTGACATCGTGGAATTCTGTGCCGAGCCGAGTGTCCAAAAGAAGTATGGTCTTGAGAAGACCATATGTTTATCCACTGCGCAGAACTGGATGCATGTGCTTGAGTATCGGTGGAGTAAGGAACCAACGGGCCAGTTTGTTGATGGCCATGAGAGAGCAGATGTCGTTGACTATCGACAACAGACCTTTCTTCCTCGAATGGAAAAGTTGGATGAAGGGACTCGCCGATGGGATAGGAGTAGCTGGGAAGAAGTAGCCGAGCCTCGTCCTCGAGATATACCCAGGCGGAAGACTGTCTACTGGTACCATGATGAGTCAACCTTTTACGCACATGATCGACGAAAGAAGCGATGGGTCCACAAGTCGGAGAAAGCAGTCCCACAACCAAAAGGCGAGGGTGTTTCCCTAATGGTATCGGACTTCGTCTCAGCCGATTATGGTTGGCTCCATTCGCCCGATGGTATCAAGTCTGCTAGGGTGTATTTCCATGCAGGAAAGAACCGGGAAGGGTACTTCACCAATGAGGATATCTGTACACAGACGGAGGAAGCCATGGCGATCGTGAAGGAATGCTACCCAAATGAAGACCATGTCTTCATCTTCGATAATGCAACAACTCACCTTGCACGTGCACCGGATGCACTCTCCGCTCGTCATATGTCACAAAAGACAACTCTAGCCCATAATCCCATGTTCGGTGTTGAAGTCCGGGACCTTGATTCGAATGGCAAGCCGCAGTATGACCGTTCGGGTGAAGTTCTCAAAAAGAAGATCAAAATGGGTCCTGCAACCTATGCCGATGGCTCCCCTCAATGCCTTTATTATCCCCCTGATCACACTGACCCAAACAAAGCTGGAAGATTCAAAGGAATGGCTGTCCTGCTCGAGGAACGAGGCTATAAAGACATGATGAAACTGCGTGCACAATGCAAGGGTTTTAAATGTCCTCCCACTCGCTTCGATCGCAGCTCACCTTGCTGTTGCCGCCGTCTTCTCTACAATGAGCCAGATTTTGTTAGTGTTGAGAGCATTCTCGAGACTCTACTCAGAACTGGTGGGTACCAAGCTGTCTTTCTTCCCAAGTTCCACTGTGAACTCAACTTCATCGAACAATGCTGGGGTGCATCAAAACGGGAATATCGAAAATATCCTATGTCGTCCTCACTAGAGGACCTGGATCGGAATGTAGCCACAGCACTTGAGACGGTATCTGTGAAAACAATGCGCCGGTGAGTAAATCTTCAGTTGGCTCTCGCAACTCTATAATAATTTTAATAATCAGATTTTATACTCGGTCCCATCGATTCATGGATGCCTACCGTAAGGGTCTTACTGGTAAGCAAGCCGCTTGGGCGACGAAACAGTATCATGGACATCGAGTACTCCCTAACTCCATTCTTGATGAGCTTGAACTCAAAGGCATAGAGCCGTAGATTATTGGTTTATCACTTCACTAAACTATACACACGCCCTGCTCACATTCTACCATATATCCTATGCTCACATGCTAGTGTAGTACTGTAAATAGTTCTCCTCCTAGACCTACTATTCCGCCCCTGTCTAATCCTCACTTATCCGCTAATAACTCCAGTTTATCTTCTTGCACGTGCTCGTCACAGTGTGACCAACCGGCGCTGAGAGTAGTAGTGAATGGTTTGGGTCTATCTTAGTACAGTGCGAAACGTCGAAAGCTGAAGTTTCCATCTGGTTACCAAAATAGGGACGTAACGATACAAATTAGGAATAAATAATACCAAATCGGGGTATCAATGAGGGTTCCTAGCGATACAGAGGTGGAGAACGGAATCTAGAAGGAAATAGAGACCCCTCAAATGAGCAAATACACTAAGAGATGAGGAAGAGAAGAATCGCTCACCTGAAATAACAGTGGAATGAACCTGTCGGGGAGGAAACAGAAAACAGTGTCAATCGAAGCAAAGGCATGTTCGCTGTGGGTCGCGGGTGGTCAATGTTTCGGCCAATCACGTATTATCCATAGAGCCACTCACAGAATAAGGTCTCAAAGAATGTCCAGAACGTTGTCGAGACTGTTACGCGATGATGCAGTATGCAGCAGGAGTACCAGGATGGTCGCAGTTGACCGGATTGGGGGAAAGCGTGCCAGAAGCAAAACTTGCCTCAAAGGCAGGAGGGGAAGACGAGAAGTCGTCAAGTTGCTCGTCACAAAAAATGCTGGTGTCGAAGTTGTCCATTGGTTACGAGGTAAGATGATGTATGCGTGAGGATGTACGTTGAACGGCTCCTGAGAGGATTCAAGTTCGACTGGAAGTGCGAGAAAAATGGTGGAGTGGCATGCATCCTCTCGATTAATATTTTATACCTCCACAGCGGGCTGTAGCTGCACGTTGCAAATATTTGTATGCCGTGTACGTGTGCACGAACAATGGGCCACTCGGTAATAAGATCCCTTTGTTCTTGCATTAGCGGGGTTCTAATTTAACTCCGATGTGGTTGCCGAGCCGAGCCGAGAAGCACACAGAAAGCGTGTAAAGCTCGGCTGCCTATCCGTTTCAAACAGAGTTTCTACCCAAAACACTTCACAACGGGCAGGAACATATTTCATGACACCCTAGTGGCTATTGTTCGACTTGGTCTATCTCGAGATCTCCCACCAATTTTTTTGGAGCTCAGGAACCCGTCCTACACCTTCCGCTTGAGTATGAGAATGCAGTGAAAAAAAAAGAACGGAATTATTCCTTCATACAATAGAGTATCAGTTTGTTTCAGGTGCATCGGAATCAATGGTACGGCTACAGACATTATTATACAATAGCAATCGAAACGGAGAATGACAGATATGCTACATATGCTACAGAGTATTTACGAGGGCTCAGAGAATGACGATGAGAAAATAGCAAGTTGAAACCAGTTCAGACGATGGCCGACGCATCAGAAAACCGAGAAGAAAGTTTAGGGGGATTGGTGGTAAGGAGTGCGGCGGGAGCGGGTGAAGCAATAGTAGAAGATAGAGGAATCTGAGAAGAGATTGAACCCCGAAGCGTATAGTCGGAATCAGTAGGCGAAGACATATATTCCGGGACATGTGACTGTCGGTGAGCGTAGTAAGATAAGACGGAGTCCTGTGGAGATTGCGTGTCTTTGGCGAGGGTTGTGTCGATGAATTCGGTCAAGGTTGTAGCAGTTGTGACTGAGTTCTCTGACTTTGAGATATCGGACTTAAAAGTGTCCAAATGTGGCGGAGGGCTGTAGACGGGCAGTTCGTCGCTGCGAAAGGTGCATGAGAACGAGAATCATATGTAGCTGAAAGTAAAACTTACTTCAGACTCGACTTTTCTGAGGTACGTCTATAAGGAATTAGCTTGCGGAAGGGACGAGCAAGGTATTGGAACCATGATCGATATTCCTTCATGGCATCCTGGCCGAAGGCGAAGAACAACACGAAAATGTAAGTGGAAATCGGAAGTGTCCACCATACGAAGTAAGTCCATTTGAGGGACGCTTGGGGGATAATAGCAGTAGGGTAGCGGTCGATGCGAGAGAAGTTGAAATGAACGTCATCCCAGTTTGTCCAAGGACGCATACCCGTTCGGTAGTTGAACCAGCAAGTGATACCGACAACAATGAGTGACCAGAACATCTCAACGACAGACATCGACATGAGGCGGAGGTATCGACTGGGATTAAGGCCGCTCGAGGAAGCGAGGTGTCTTGCAAACGAAGCTCGCCTACGGAAGAAGTGCATGAAAGACAGACCTGATGGGGGGCGACACGCAGGTGAAATTTGATGCTGATGAGAGAAGGAAGGTTACTGACCTGCGAATACAAAAGTTCCAAGGGCAAGAAAAATGGGTGGCAGCCAGACGAGACAGAACTGAGGCACGGATACATAGTCCTCGCCCCTGCAACCAAAGTTTTCTACAATGTCGAAACGATGGCCTTGTACGATGTACCCTAAAAACATTTAGGCATAAACAGGGGTATGGAAAGCGCAGAGATAGAACTCACATAGTCCCATGTACACGAACGGCATACCCCAGCAAATGAGAAGGTCAATAATCATACGTCGACGCTTGTCTTCTGCGGTAATCTGAACCATGCGGATGGACGCCACACGTTCAAGATGCATGCATAAACAGAAACAGGCAGCAGGAAGCGCCACATTCCCTCCGAGCTCGACCCTAATGACTGCAGCAGGTCGTAAGCCCAAGCTCTCCTCGACACCCTGAAACGTACCAATGTCACACCAGACGAGGAGCTTCAAGTCAACATTATGAGCCCAAGCAATCGTGTTGACGGCATGGGCAACATTAATGACGAATAGCCAAGCAATTATTGAGATGGTGGGAACGTTACGCGCACGCCAGTGACCAGGCAGTGGGAGAAGGACCAGTAGAGCTGCAAGGATCGAGCCAATGGGCATTGCGATGGACATGATGAACGAAACAGGTTGGCGTATGCCAGCTGGGAAAAATACCGTCCGGGTTGCGCCTCGACATCCTGTATAAGTTGAATTAGCAGCGCCCGTACAGTGGTGCGAAACAAAAGGTCTTTGCAAGAGAATATTGGTGGCTCAGCTATTGTCTTACGTAAGGCAGCAAGCACTCCGATCAAAGTTTCATCGAGATCTATTTATGGAAGGCATCGTGTTGAGTTACTTGCTGGCATGCGCACGTCCGCCTTCTAATATTGAAAAGCATCTAGGTTAACAACGTTGGTTAAGTACAAACCCAATAATGTCTTGAAAAATACATCTCCGTTTGACATAGAAATTCTGATCTATTCGAGGTGGGAGACAAGATAGGCCCGTAGATGTAATAGTTAAGTTAGCTGACCTTCCAGTCATTCAAGTTGACGCATAGCATAAAGGTTTGACTCCTGCAAGGTCGGAGAAGACGTTCATTCGCCGATGTTTACTTTGAAGATGTTAAGATTTTTGAACGTGAAACCACATCAACCCAGGTTGCACCTTACAGAACATAGGAACACATTTAAACTTCAAAAAATGAACATGTACTTATACCATGCGCCGACGCAGAAAACGCAAATATGAAGCCAATGTTTCTTTCAGCTGGCCCGACATAGTGCAGGCTGATGGATAGGAAAGACGTTCAAGCAAGTTCAAGATTAAACGTCGAACACGGTTAAGTGTAGATTAGTAACTATCCGTAATCATCTTGCTTCTCATCACAGCGTTCAAGTACAGGTGGGAAGAAACAAAGATGTAATTCACGTAGACACCGATGCAAACAACATCCAATACGAGCGGATCGGCCAAGTTAAATATGCATAATTTATTAACTACGTGTCGGGGTATCGGCGAGTCAACTGGTAGCGGCGTGGCAATCAGGATGAAGGGATAAACAGAATCAAAGTGAATGGGGAAATAAAATGGAGAAACAGGCGAATAAGTATTGAAGCTCGGGTAGTCTGCTTGCAGACGTCTGGAAATCACATAAATAGACCCTGTGTACAACCTTGAGCAATGATTGAAACAAAACATGAAGCGTACTCACCATATCTTGGGTAGTAAAAGATAGGTGAATGATCCCCTCCAACCGGCTGAATAAACCGTGAAAGGATCCTCGGAATCAGGCGATAACGCAGTAGAAGCGACCAGTGTCTCCACTGTGCTCCAAATCGAGGGGTAAGAGATCGTATAAGTCGTCTCCTGAAGAAGATTGTGCCTGAGAGGGCATTGTTGGAGTGGTTTGGTCGGGAGAACCGACAAATGCGGAATGCGTGTCGAAAGAGGAAAAGAGATCCATTGTGAGGCGACGTAGTGAGGCAGATGATTGCGTCTCGCAAGAGGTGCAACAGTGTATGTCTGTCTAGCAAAAGGTGCGGGAAGATATTTTGAGGGGAGTGGCGAGAGTCGGCCACTTATAAACGATCGCAAGCGATGCGTGCTGTGTTCAGACAATGGGGTTTGAGCTCGAATGTGGTTGTTTGTAACTGATTGTCCGGCCGCCGTATAAAGTCGTGTATGAGACTAAGCATATCTTGGATTGTTATGAACTGAAAAGAATACAAGGGACGTGAGGAAGGCGACTTCGAGTGGAAAAACCCACAAGGAGCCGACGAGAAAGAAACACAAAGCGCCCAAACATAATTCCTTTGTCCTTTGACGCCGGTGCATACAACCATTCTACCCCCAATTTGGCCTTGAAGCTTTGAAGATCACATACACATCGTGGCATCTCTCACATTGGGCCACTCAACCACCATTGTTCCAAGCATCCGTTCTGTCGATAAAGAAACATGGCAGACAAGCCTCTTCCGCGTTCGATCTTCCCGTTGCCCCAAGAATGTCTGACCCCACGTATCCCGCCTTTCCAATCCTGACTTTCTTTGCTGCTGTACTCGTCCTCATTCCACTACCATGGCATCTCCAATCTCTGAACGCAGGGACATGCCTCTTCATGATTTGGACCGCCATAGCCTGTATCAACTTGGGTATCAATTCGATTATCTGGCATTCCAACGCAATTGACTGGGCCCCGGTATGGTGTGACATATGTAAGCCCATTGCCCCGGTTTTCGTGCTCTCAATTTCTGATATATATTTTAAGCGTCACGTATCATAGTGGCGGTAGCCGTTGCGATACCTGCAGCTTCTTTCTGTATCAACCGCAGACTATATATGATTGCGACTATTCAAACTGTCAGCATTACACGGGCGGAGGCATGTTGGACTTAGTGTCTTCGCATCTACTTTACTGAACTCGTAAACTCTTTAGAGACATCGCGCGGTTATTATTGACCTGCTCATCGGAATTGGTATTCCGCTACTTCAGGTCGTCATGCGTGAGTACTCAAATGGTCACAGATTCATCAGATATTAAGATGTTTTGTCACCAGAATATGTCGTTTCTGGACATAGATATGATATCTTTGAGGATATTGGCTGTTATCCTTTCACATATAATGTCACGCTAGCATACCCTCTTTCAGTGGTTTGGCCTATCGTTATTGGCCTTGCTTCGGCCGTGTACTGTGGTACGCTACATGTCTTCCCCAGTATAGCTTTTGAACTCACAAACCTTGTCTAGTTCTCACCCTGCGCGCCTTCTCCAAACGTCGAGCTCAATTCAGCGAGTTCCTTTCTTCGAAGACTTCCCTGAGCCCTAACCGTTATTTTCGTCTAATGGCCCTCGCCACTACCGAACTCCTGTGTACTACACCGATATCTCTCTACGGCATGATCCTCAACCTAACTGCTTCTCACGTTCATCCTTGGATCAGTTGGGAGGATACCCATTCCAATTACTCCAAGGTTGCGCAATATCCTGCGCTTCTGTGGCGTATGGACCGGTCATCTGTCATTGGTTTCGAGATGACTCGTTGGGCCCCATTTGCCTGTGCCTTAGTTTTCTTCGCATTCTTTGGTTTTGCCGATGAAGCGAGACGGAACTATCGCCAAGCATTGTCAGCGATTGCAAAGCTTCTCCGTATCCGTACATTCTATTCATGGCGGTCCGCGCCATCCAAAGTGTGAGTACCTGCTATTCTCAATTGAAATTTACGATCTTGATAATTGTACTCTTACAGGGAAAGCCTTCCTTCATTCGTCGCTTCGCCTCTACCCCCGTATACTCCGTCACCGTCAAAAAGTAGATTTCGTCTGCTCATGTCATCGTCATCATACTCATCCACTACCAAGACAGACTCCTACAATCCGAGTCTGGAATTGCCTGTATTCGAAATCTGCAAGTCAGATTTGTCTGCTCAAGAAAGCATTCCCGAAACTCCTTCGACATCATCTTCTCACACTTTTATATTATCACCGCATAACGACCAAATTTCACCGATGCCTAGTGGCGATCATCGACCCTCAATAAGTCTAGGAAATCTTCCTGCAGAAGCACGATAGGAATTATCATTTTTTCTTCTCTTCATCTCGCATATTCGTTTCGTTCGTCGCACCATTTTAAGCCTTATTCATATGTCGTACAATTATTGGCTTGTTCTGTACTTTTCTTCATCTATTTCAGTCAACATTCAATCGAACGCTAGACCCCGTCGTGTACCTGCCGTTGCGAATACTTGCATACCAAATTTGTCATCCTTCGACCGCAAGTATCATGCCTTGCACTGACGAACAGGTGAATGAAAAATTCCAGAAACAAATATCTCACTTGTCTGTGTCTTCGTGCAGCGGTTTGAAACCCGATAGTCTTGTAACAAATTAGGATGGGATTTTGCTGCACCAAGGTGAAATAGTCGATTAGCGATTCTCACTCAGGCGTAGGCGAAGAGTTGAAGCATGTCCCGCTAACAGCGATGATTGGTTGAGAATGTAGAAGAATGCTGAACTTGACCCAGAGGTTACCGCGGTTTGCACCGTCTCCGAAAGTCTGATGATGCAGCAGACGGTGGAAGCTCACATACACATCAACTTCAATCACGATCGATCGATTTTGAGCTGATGTAAAAGATGAGGATAGGGTCATTCAAAGTTCAGATTTTTTACGCCTTTTTTCCTCACTTTGTCCGTGATCACCCAATGAAATGATACAAAAGGAAGGAAAGAGGTGCAAAAAATGAACATGTTTGAGCAACCCTAACGATAACAGTTTGCAGCACGAGGGCGGCGGGAGGCTACTTTCTTGCGTAGCATAGCGTTGTAGACGAAAAAGCAAATGTATCTCACGCGGGTCGACGTGGGAAAGGGAAACTATTACTATCGCTACAGATGTGTCGCAGTCGTTGGAAGTATAAATACAAGACCGGGAGAATAAATCAAGTAGACAATACAATGTCAAGCGCAGCTCTACGTAAAAGCAAAGGGTGGGGGTTGCGCACGAAATCGGAATAGAGTTAATGAATAAATAGGGGAGAGGACGAAAGACCTTGTTGGTCAAGGAATAAAAATGGGTGGCACAGAAAAATGAACCGACGTTCCGAACTCTGTTACGCAAGTTCTGACAATCCATATAACGTGGTTATGCAGTTCTAAGCAAAGTTGTACTGCGAGACGAAGCATTAGTCACAGTACAAGGGTAAGCTAGAAAGAGATGCCTACCTCCGCGCTAGGATACGATGCAGTAATTCTGATACTGCCAGAAACTATCAGAGTCGACGAGGACCGAAAGATCATCAATGTCTTGGGTGGTGGGAAGTGATGGTTTGGAGGACAAAGGGTCTTCGCTAAAGAGCGATAGTGAGTCGAAGGTATCCATCGGGAATAGCGTGGGCGATTTCGTAGGGTGGAGCAGCGATGAGGATACAGTTGAGCGTTGACGGTGAAATGCAGAGTGCGGTATGTCCAATAGTGGGTGCTTTCGAATGCCGCCACGCTTTATATTTCTCGTGTAGTATAAAGCGTTACTGATCATACCACACGAAAAAGAGACACAATCAACTTGTGTTTCTGATATTCAGAACTTGATGTGGCACAATAGAATCCCAATCGAGCCCGTTGAGCCATTCAATTGTTGTGCCTGGTCTACGTAAGCATGATCCCAAGTTGTATACAGCCAAAATAGACGTAATACGGTCACGATGTTTCAAAGAGTAGGATAACATGTCCTGTGAGCTGACAGTCGTTGCCGGTGTGGTAGTAAGGGCTTCGGCGAAGTGTGGTGGAAGTTCCTCAACCGAGGTCCCAACAACGACAAACAACACATACCGCGACGCGTAGGCGCCCAACAGATCCTATTGTCCTGGCAAGTCCCCTTGTCCTCTTCGCCTCGCGGTCTAATATCAACCTAACGCGACGAGAATGTATTTTCAGAGTCCATCCCTCTTTGTTTTGCTTGATTCTTGCTACGGATATGGCTGACCCAACCTACCCACTTTTCTCTGTCTTCGCGTTCTTGGGGTTCTTCTTAGTTCTCGTTCCTCTACCATGGCATTTACAAGCTTGGAATTCAGCCACTTGTTATTTCATCATCTGGACAGCTCTGGCGTGTCTGAACCAATTTGCGAACTCCGTTGTCTGGGCCGGCAATGCTCTCAATAATGCTCCTGTATGGTGTGATATATGTGAGTATCATGTATTTCGTTCTTTTGCCTGTGCAAGTCCAGACTGACGAGTACGCTCAGCCACACGTATCACAATTGCAGCATCCGTTGGTATACCTGCTGCTTCGCTCTGTATTAATCGTCGCCTCTACGTGATTGCAAGTGTGCAAACTGCTAGGGTGACTCGCGCAGACGTGAGACTTCTTCATTTTACAAGTCATTTAATTCCTGACTTGGGTATAGAAACGCAGAGATATCTTAATCGACACTTTGATCTGTGTACTGTTTCCTCTAGTTGTATTAATCCTCGGTGAGCGGAAGACTTCCCTTCCCGATAACCAGCTATCTTATCACTCTTGCAGCGTATGTTGTGCAGGGTCACCGATTCAACGTCATGGAGGACATTGGATGCGTTCAAGCGACGTACAATACATTACTTGCCTACTTCCTAGTGACATGGTGGCCTCTCGTGTTGGGTGTTGTCTCGGCAATCTATTGCAGTACGTCTCCGTTCTCAACGCCCTCCGAACTCTCCGCTAAAGTTTACTTTAGTCCTCTCCTTGACTGCTTTTGCGAAACGCCGTGCTCAATTCAATGCACTTCTCGCGTCCAAAAACTCTTCCCTCACTTTTGGACGTTACTTCCGACTCATGGCTCTAGCTACCACTGAACTCATGCTCACAATCCCTCTTTCTTCCTACATTATCTATCTGAATGCTACTGCTGCACCACTAGGGCCTTGGATTAGCTGGTCAAACACTCATTACGCGTTTTCCCGCGTGGATCAAATTCCTGCCTTACTTTGGCGTCAGAATCATCAACTTGTTATCGCTGAAGAACTCGGTCGCTGGATCGATCCCGCCTGCGCCTTCATCTTCTTTGCATACTTTGGATTTGCAGGTGAAGCGAGAAGGCATTACAAGGAAGCCATATGGTTTGTTGCCTCTCGTTTAGGTTTCTCTCGGCCCTGGGGATCCACCGGAATGCAGTCGCTGCCGACAACGTGAGTAGCATCCTCTTTCTGTGATGTGGCGGTGGACATTGACCTCGTCATTTAGGATACCTTCTACACCAAAATCCCCGTTGTCGGACTCTTTGCCCGGCTACACAGCTCCCACGTTACCACCCGTCTCGCGTCTTCACCCTCGTCCAGGCTCGCTCACCCTTGCTATCCTCCAAGAGAAACCTCAATACATTATCATGCCCTCATCGGATTCGAAATCCGACTTCGACCACAAAGAACCACTTTCTTCTTCTCCTGCCGTTTCATTGCGTTCCTCATCTCCTCGTAGGCCTCCATCTCTTCAACACTCTGCGTCACCTCCATCCCCGTCACGTTTGTCTTCACATTCTTCACACTCCAATATCGACGTCCCCTCGTCGACGCTGTCACCTCGTTCGACATCCTCGCCTGCTTATTCATCGTTTAGCGGAAGTGCATATGATCCGTCAATCACTGTCTCTGAGATCGAGGCGATGTATCACGCGAGGATGCCTTCGCCTTTCTATACGGACTCAGAACCATCTCAAACCCCCTATCAACATAATTTTGCGGTATGAGCGTGCAAGTGAAACGTCCTATGTGTATTCTAGATAATCTATTCGCCTTCGATTTTCTCTGTGTTCTTTTATAAGTCGGTTGTAGCCATAGTCGTTTGCATCAGAATAACATGTTGCTCTGTGATCCAACGAATGTGTTCGATGTTTAGAATTTGCGATGTATAGGCGGAACGCCATCTTTTAGTGCCAACTAACATGCATGTACCGTACAGACAGCTGAAGCTGATGACATGCACGAGATAAGTCCTCAACCCGATCGCGGACAAGAGTCGACACTCGAGTGTATAACGTAGCTTCGTCAGAGTTCAGAACGTTTCGAAAAATTTGGAGTATAGTACACGCCTCGCTATGGCTACAAATACGGAACGCTAATTATGACCGTTAAAGATAGAGAAACCGAGAAGTCGACATTTGGAAAAATAATAATAATAAGCAGTGTGGTGTGAACACTGGTAACAAATCAAGCAAGTAAAGAAGATTGGAAGAAGACTTAGAGGAATTATGTACTTATGTGTAGACGAAGAATGCAGGGCTACTGTCTTGCTACGACGCATTATAATACGGAGACGGAGGTCCCATGAATGCCGTGCGAGATCCCGAGTCAGAGGGCGAAGAAGGAATTGTGAGGTCGATAACGTGAGAAAGTGGACGCGACGGAGAGGACAGCTGAGAAAGCCGTATTGGGTACTCGTATGAATCATCGTCCTTCTCGCTTGGCACGAACACCTCTTTGTCTTTGCCCGCAGATCTTTCGACGTCAATGACAGAAGAGTCTTTCGGAGTGTAGGCCGGTAATGACTCTCCAGTTGACGAACCGAATCTTGGAAGGACGGCGCTCCTAATCACAAGGGTCAGATAGGCTCAGGTACGACAGGGTACAACGGTGAATGACGTACTGGAAATACGGTCCCTGGTCCGACTTGCGAGAGGGTCGTCGGAAACCAAGACATTTCGCGACGGCCCAGAATGCCAACTTATAATTCCTCCTCGCTTCATCGGCGAACCCGAAAAGCGCGAAGAATATGAAAGCGCAACAAGGATATAACCAACGGCTCATCTCAACAGAAATGAGATACGAATGGCTGCTCCTCCAGATGACAGCAGGGATCATTTCGACGTGGGAGAAGTTGAAATGAGTATCAGCCCAGGAGATCCATGGACTGAGAGTAAGACCGGCGGTGTTGACGTAGATGCTATATGAGCTGATGGGGATGGTGAGAGCCATTTCAAGGCAGGAGAGAAGCATCAGTCTAAAGTAACGATTGACGGAGAGGGATGTCGTGGAGGAAAGAAGTTCTTGGAATTGGATGCGGCGGCGCCAGAAGGCTCGCAACGTGAGTGCTATCAAGGAAGTATGAAGTCAATATTTCGATTACAACGAGAAGGTGAAAGAACTCACATGCATACACGAACGATATGCAGCCCAGGAGAACGGGCCACATAAAAACAAGAGGGTACGCCGGAGGGGTATTGAAGATCTCGGGTAAACAGCCTACTTCTTCAAGGATATTAAAACGATGACCCTGTACGATGTAGTCTGGAGTGAACGTCAGCATGAAATGGAGACCGAGGTCCAAGAATACGATACGCACGCAGAGCCATCACCACGATGGGCAAACCGACAGAAATGGCGATGTCAATATAGATTGCTCGTCGTCTCTGATAAATAAATGTCAATGGCTGTTGTGAAAACGTTCTAGGAAACGCACTTCTTGACGAGTGACGGTGACTGCCCGGACGGATGCAATGTTATACAAGCGTCGGTTGATGCAGAGCGAAGCGGCAGGGATGCCAACTCCTGCACCAATAATAAACTTCGTTGCTGCAATAATTTTCTCAGACGAGTCTCTACCGGAAGGATATGACAACCACTTACAGATATCGCACCAGATGGGTGCAACATTTTGGAGGCTGTCGTGCCAGATTATAGAGTCCACGAACTGTATCAGGCTAGCCAGCGACGCCCATAGCATGTAGATGCACGTCCCTGCGTTCCAAGCTTGGAAATGCCATGGAAGAGGAATCAACGCGACAATGAATCCGCAGAATGCGAAGATGGGAAAGAGAGGATACGTTGGATCTGGCATGACAGACAGAAGCGATTCGGCGCAAAGGTAAGTCTGTTAGTGCGTTCATGTTGTTCGAAGATATAAAGTCCCTAATCTGCAGCGTGTTAGACAAGCGGAGGCAATGTGGCCGCGAGAAGAGGAGCGAACAAAGGAAAGCTTTGTGGGCCACAATAGGCAGATGTGTCACGTGGTCGTTTTGTCCAAATATTTGCTTAGGCGTGCCGTGGCCTGCCGTCCCTCGCCTCCTCGCCTTTTCATAATACTTGTGCTGCACTTCGACGTTGGGATTTTCATATGAACCGCTGGGAACACAGCGACAATGGGTTTGGGGCCCTTCCCGAATTTCTTTGTCCATTGTGCCACTCTTTTTAAAAGTGTGTGATAAAGTGATCCCTCCGTCCCCATTTTCGACCCCATAACCTGCGAGACCGAACTCAGACTCCACGCCGCTCAGCGTCCATACCCTCAGTCTCTTTTGCAATGGACGAATTCGCCTACTCTGACGTTACACTCTTCTCTGTTGTCCCCTCGGATGATCCTAACTCGTTCTCTGCTCCCATTGACATGGAGCACATTAGCAATACGCAGTCATATTCGTACTGTGTGATTGCTTGAAGCACACACATTGTTAGTCTTACTGGTCTCTAACAGGTCATCGAACCCCTGACGCTGATATTCATTCAGACACTCTTGTTCATTCTGGCGTCACTTGACAGTGTTCGCATGATACCGCCACCTTTTTCATATTGTGCGTGTACAGCGTCTCCTTCGTATTTTCCCCCAGCAAACTTATGTTGAACTTTATAGATTTGCTCTCGACCATATCTCTCGATGAGCCATTAATTTATTCATCAGTTGAATCGGTGGTCTTTCCACCTCTCTTTGGATTTCAGGATTCACCCTTGTATCGATATGTCGTAGATAACTTTATTCTATTAACTTATTTCTCATAGTGTGATGACTTTTATTCTACGTGCTTTCTGTTTCAATGAATTTCTCTCCCTTAGTATATGAGCGGCGAGTGGGACATCTTACAACACTTCACAGGATGTGGCGAGTGGCCACAGATATAATGGAGAAAGAAGATTGACAATTCAATCCTGCTTCTCGGCCTGCTTCTCCGACTAGTTAAGTTTCAGCCTAGAGGAGAACAAACACTGCCGAGGGCAGGCAGCTCTTCTTCGAGTTGAAGCCCGGACCTGAATGTCAGAGAACAGCGCTCAGGCTTTCCGATCTTCAAGTCTGCGAATGTCGCGCCGCAGACAAGCCTTGAAGGAAAAGAAAAGATAATTCAACTTATATCTTTGTGAATTGACGTGCAAGTAAAAGTAGCGAAGCAGTCCTCATGTACGTATGTATCTCTTCAGTGTTTGCAAAGAGTGCAAACCTCGCGAACCACCTTCTAAATGTGTCCGATCGAGACCGCAACCATCGGCGCTTATTCGATCAGTGGGACTTCTGTTTTCGGACATCAATAGTTCTAACCGCGTTCCCTATTGTCCTTTGAACAATGGCCACCTATGCACCCGGTATAAGTATACAAGTGGCTCAAATGCATCAGGTTACTTTTCCCAACTACCCGCGTTTGCTATGTTCTCTGCTGCGTTCCCCGCGGGGACAATCCTCGCTGCTATCCTAGTCCTGATCCCACTCCCTTCGCACTGGCGGGCACGAAATGTGGCAACACTCTCACTTATTGGCTGGCTTTTCGTCATGAATTTAATTTATGCTGTAAATTCGTTTGTGTGGTCGGACAACTCACAACCGCGACTCTTGGTTTGGTGCGATATCAGTGAGTAGACTGTGTTCCTTATGTGATTCGCCAGTTACTCATCTTTGTGCTATTTAGCAACCAAACTCATGATCGGTGCTTCTTCAGCTATCCCTGCTGCTGCGTTGTGTATCTGCAAGTACCTTGAACTCGTTGCTTCAGGTCGAGTTGTACGCTTGATGCACGACGATCACCGCCGCCGCCGTATATTCGAGCTTGCCATGTGCATTCTCGTTCCTGTGGTTCTCATGGCTCTACGTACGTTCTTTCATTGTTCCCTTTCCGTCCATTAGCCTTATGACGTACTTTTAGATTATGTTGTGCAGGGGCATCGCTTTGACATTGTTGAAGCAATTGGTTGTCAGCCGGCGACTTACTATTCCGTACCTGCCGTATTCATCGTATGGTTCCCACCCCTTTTACTTTCCACAATTACCTTTGTATATGCAGGTATGTTGTCTGCAGTTGCTCACAATTGCCCATGCGTATGGACTGACTTCGGACTTACTATAGCTCTCGCCTTGTACCACTTCTTTCGTCAACGTATCACCTTTGCGGCCGCCCTCAGTAGCTCCGGGTCTTCCCTCAACACCAGCAGATACCTTCGCCTCATGGCGATGTCTATCACCGAAATGGCATGGGGAACTTCACTTACTGCCGTCACTATGTACGACAACATTGCCCCAGGTCTTCGCCCATGGACAAACTGGGCCGACGTTCATTCAAACTTTGGTCGCATCGCCACTTTCAGACTATTCATGATTCCTCCTGGCTACCTCAGGCAGATTTTTGTCATGTGGTGGGCAATGCCTGTGTCCGCTTATATCTTCTTCTTGTTCTTCGCATTCGGTGAAGAGAGTGTTCGGGATTATAAGCGCGTCTATACTTGGGTGAAGACTAAGGTCCTCAGGCGACCTGTGATTTTCAAAAGGGCACAGTTCGGCTCTCTTTCAGGCTCAAATAGGTATGTGGTATTTTTCTGCTTGATGTCTTCAGGAATATATTCTCATCGACTCTTCCTTCGTAGCCTTCCGTCACAACTTATCGTCCATAAACAATCCACAATAGACGTCCGAGGCGATTCAGATGACGATAACACTCTACCATCGTATACTCCACAACTTGCTCATGGTGCACCCTTCATCACTCCCACATCATCCAAGTTCCCCTCGTCGACAGACACAAAGTACATGGATCGCGACCTCGAAAAGAATATGGACTTTATCACTGTCAAGCTGCACAGTGACGACGAGGACGAGGATACAGCAGTCGGAACTCCTCATACTCTTCGTAGCCCTCACAGCCCTCATACTCCCCATACTCCCTACTCTTGCTACTCCATCACATCACATGTCTCCACCTCCTCGACAGATCATCGAATATCCATATCCGACGAGTTCCCTGCTTCACGACCACCTACACCATTGTTCCCTATTCCGACGAGGGAATCAAGGCAGCAGGAGTGGTATGCTACTATGCCTGCTTCGCCACCTTACCATCGACCTTTCACTCCTCCGACTGTCGTGCAAAGATCTTCTGAGGATGGAGCTTCGGTTGTGCCTAGTATCGATGTCTCGATACACCGTAATACCCCAATAGACCGCACCGTCTGATCCACCTCTGTCAAAGCCTAAACCGACACTGACTTCTCTTGATTTTCTACGTACACATAATGCCCTATTTATTATCTATTCCTATACCTCGCTCAAAACACCCACATACCCCTCACTTTCTTGCTTTGACTCGCGCATTCTATTCTCCATCCATTGATATCATGTTCTTCCTCGTGTTTTCGTTTCCACTGTATCCAGTAGCTGCCCAGATTACCTTCACACTTCTCTGGATCTGTCGTGACCTACCCGCGAGCTCGGGTTGTATAACAGTACCCTAGAGTTGATCAGATCGCAATGATTACTTGCGCCCCCTAATCCTTTCACCTCGATGCTGTGTGAGATGATGCCTCTCTTTGAAGTCACCTGGAAGCTTCGCGAGATAACGTAAGGTCGTCGAGGAAGAGGCGCTAATTATGAGGATATCCTATCCTTGAGGATAGCAAGAACTGTCGAAGTGACCAGTTTGCTAGGCCAAGAGATCGTCGAGGAACTCCTCCATGTTCTCCTTGGCAGACCTTTCTGGCTCTGGTCCATCGGTCGGAAGAGCTGGAGCGTTAACATAGTCCTTATCTTCAGTGAACGGGGGTAAGTATCTAACTTGATAAACGAGCAAAAGGAGACCCTACCTCGATGAGTCGGTCGAGTGGACGTCTTCGTCGCAGAACCTCGGGCTCGTTGATTCGCCGTTCGAGCTCGGAATCGCTCTTTCAATTCTATAACAGAATATATCAGTATATCATTCGTTCAGAATTGGATGACAAATGTACCTCTAGTAGCGTCTGCAGTAGCCTTCTCCCTGCTTAGGATCTCCAACGATTCATCCCACTCGATCTGTTGCACTTTGCCTTTCCTTTGGTTGGCAATCACTTGAGCACGTACACCATGATGCGCGAGACTAATGTCAATGTCATCCTGGTCCTCGTTCGGCGCTACAACTGTAAGTTGTTCGTCCCCCGAGAGTCGTTGTCGTTCGAGGAAGGACGACAAGTCAACTTCGGGTTCCACGATTTGTTCCCCTGAATCATACGTCATATATAATCAACTCAAAAGACAATAACAAACTGGTTGCTTACCTTCAGAATCGAGCTCCGGCTCAGGTTCCACATATCTATCGACATTAGAACCCAGCTGCCTCCTAGCAAATTTCTGTTCAAATTCTTTCGCTTCTTCTTCATCAAGCTCTATCTCCTGTTCATCTTCCAATACAAGACGCTCCCGAAACTCTGCTGGGCGTCCTCGTCCTCGTCCACGCCCTCTTGCACGGAGATATTTACCTAAGCCACCTCGCGACTTGCCTCTCCCTCTCCCTCTTGAGCTGGCAGTGGGACCAGTTTCCGCTGTTTCAGACATATTCTAGAATAGAAGCAATCTATATTGGAACCACACCACTGGGAAAGAAAGTAAGCAGCTCACTTGTAAATTGTGAACACTTGAACAAGATGCAAGCTTGAAACTGCGCAAGCGCTTGTCGCGTCTAGAGATCGATCGATTGGTTGTCGGTGGTTTGCGGCGATGTCAAGTTCGGATTTCCGCTTGGAATGCCAACGTCTTCAAGTAGCAATTTGAGCAACGGTCAAAACATCAACAGACCTCTTCATCGGTGTCCTCCGTCTACAGCCGTCCCGCTCGAGCAGGTGGAAGATGGCATGCAGAGCAGGATGGCGCACCCAACCATCTGATGATTGGTTCCCTAACACAATTATGTGAATGTCAGTAACCTACAATGCAAGAAGATGAATGGATATGCAACTCACCATCGAAGAATTCCCAACTTGAACACCGCTTCCGCACATATACTCGTGTGCTTCTCATGCTATAGATAATCGAGACTAGGCCACTGAGAACGCGCTGGCGTGCTCCGAAAGCCTTCCTGTGTGCTCATTTTACTAAGTCTCCTTGGCGGTCAGTTGTGATGCTCTACAGCTGCCCACGATCAGTCTTGTTCAGTACGCCAGACGTTGGTCATTGTACTGCATCGCGTGCGTTTCTACCTTTGGATGGATTAGGCTCAGCTAGGTTCTTATCTTTCGATTTGATTAAGCTGACGGCGGCTGATACGGGTTTAAATCTCAAGTTATCCTCGCCTAAATAGACTGCCAGGGTTATATACCAGGAGCATGAAATCCTGTGCGTCCCGTCATCCTTTTATCTATGCATCCTATAGTTAATTGCCTTCCGTATGTGGCTGGATGGGCTACTTTGTGGCTTCCAGGCATCACGTCCTCGTTGACCCGCGTGCCCGAAGAATGATGTAGGAGGTCCGACCTCATATAGAACAGAAGATGGGCGCGCGCGCTGTTATACAAACCATGAAGATCCAAAGGCCTTCATCTTTGTTTTCTCAATAAAGTCTACCTTGTTTTTCAGAGACGTGTGACCGATGCCCAGGCAACGTGGAATCGGCCACGACAGTTCAGTTCGTGACAGGACCTAATTGTCGCAGCCAAGACGACAAGATCATCCTTAGATCCCGAATAATGGATCATTCAGTCATTCATCGAGGTTATCGACTGCACCTTCGTCCGTCTTGTCCATCCTACCGACGAACTCGTACCCTCAATTCATAAAGTGTACATGACTTTTCATGATCAAATGCCCTGCACGAAGACTCTAGGCTCCTCCAACACGCAGTATTTGACGTATTCTGGCCCGATGGTTTACAAGGAGAAGAAAATCCGTAATATAAAGGTGCATCGCCACATTCTACGTTTATTTACCGGTTACTTGAGCGCATTGAGCGCATTGACTGTTGATATCATCTGTGATGCGTATGATACTGACTTAAGCGAACTTTTCTTCTTTTCGACTTTGATTTTGTCTCTATAAGGGCTGTGTTCTTCTTTGCGGAAGACGTAGGCCCCGACGCACAGTGCGTTGACCCATACATATAGGCCCCATGGAAAATTGCATCAAGCACGTTCGATTGAGGACGTTCTCAAAGTGCAAGCAGGCATACGTACCTTCTTACGTTCTAAGAATGCCATCCTTGAATCCAGAATCGTGGCCTATCCATCAGCGCTTCCTGACAGCGCTCTCCTTTATTACATTCTTTTTGGTAGCGATCACGCTCCCTTGGTTTATAAAATGTACGTTGAACTTCACATCAACTCAAGGCCTTATGTTGAGAAAAGCTGTTTCAGCGCGAAACATTGGATGCATCTTGTACATCTTCTGGGTCGGCTTGCAATGCCTCGGGCATTTTATCAACGACATAATCTGGAGCGACAATACTGCGTACCATGCTCCAATCTGGTGCGAGATCTGTGAGCGTTTTGGGACTTGACCTATTATTGTTTTTCATTGACACCATGAGACTAGGGATTAGATTCGAGTTCGCATCTAGCATGGGGGTAGTTTGTGCCGGTCTTGTGATTGCGAGACGAATATCCAACGTCGTGACAGTGACCACCGCGACGTTACCAAAGGAGGATCGCCGGCGACAAATGTATACAGATTTGGCTATTGGGCTGGTTCCACCTTCTACACAACTTATAGCGTGTAAGTCGCATTATCCATCCCGAAGCTTGACACTCACTATGAGGATCGGACAGTCTACTTCATACAAGGGCACCGATACAATATATTCGAAGGCTTAGGCTGTTCGCTGGCGACACCCTCATCAATCCTGTACATCTCCTTGACTTCGATTTGGGGTGTCATAATTGGCCTCATCTCTGCTTTCTATTGTTGTACGTTCACTCGTGCAGACATTAAATCACCCTAAAGCCCCAGACAGGCTGACATGAATTTAGGTAGAACACTCTATGCACTGTACAAGCGACACCGACAAATCAAACAGGTTCTGCTTGCTTCGAACGTGGACATGCAACACTTTTACCGCCTCATTGCCATGGCTGTCATCGAGATGTGTAGTACTGTCCCGCTGTGTTTATGGAGCCTGGTAACTTGTGTGGAGTCCTATTACCCCTGGAACGGATTTGCCGACCTTCATCTCGACTTTGACCGTATCGAGCGTTATCCAGCTCTACTTTGGATCACCATCGGCGAGTACTCGACACTTGAAGACCAGTGGTTTTCCGTTGGCTGTGGCCTCATCTTCTTTGGTATATTCGGCTTCACACAGGAAGCGCGTAACAAATACAGGCAACTTCTAGGGCTCCCTGCTACGAAGATCCCTGCCCCAATTTTCACCCCAGAAGGATCTCAACCTCAGCAAGGGAGAGTGCTCACCGTATGGCCGTACTGGTGGAAGATGAGGAGGACAGAGGACCATGCTCGCACAACTTTGGAGTTTCATATAGAAACATCTCAGACGAGGCTCTCCTCACAAACTGTTGCACAACAAACCAACACAGACAGCATCGTTTAGCTTCATTGGTATCTCATTGGTACCGTTGTATTTTCCGTCAGTTCAAGACACCCAGTCACCTTACCCATCGTCTTCCTCCACTCATTTTTGTTTTGACCACCTTCCCCACCTTACCTCAATCGAAAACGATCGTATTTACACACTAGCCATTTAAACTGAACAGTAATGACAAACGATTGTAGTAGTACAGTAGTGACTAGTAGCAGATGTAGGCTTGTCACTGACGTTATCACATTTGATATGGCATGCTTATAACTAATATAAGCAATCATAATCCCACGCTTACAACAGTATTCCCACGCCTGTTGTAACTTGTGCATTGACCTGTCGGTATTCCAGGACGACAATCTCGTCCTGGTCGTTCACCTCGACGCAACGACCCATCTTTATCTTTTACTTACTGTTCATTCCGATGACCTGATACGCCTGTTCTTGCTTAAAAGATGCAGACCGCACCTGCTTACTACCCGCAACCTCTGATGGCGAAGCAAACGTCAGGGGACAATCTGCGGGCTTCAGTCGGACATCTGCTTTCAAGAGCATATATGCTGCCATGTTCTGCAGCAGCACAGGCATTCACTCAGCTGGTTCAACCTACGTCGCGTTTTCAGCTGGCTCTTGAAATGTTATTTCCTCTCCTGGATTCCCCTGTAGATGTGAGTCAGCTGCTTCGAGTGATTCTACCGCCAAGCTAATATACGATGCTTCGAAATGAATGAAGCTTCAGAAACGTATTCTCGTGTCTTATATTTTATACTCACTATATGCGCCGCACCCAATCGCTATGAACCCATTCAAGTCAGCCCTCGTCTATACATTCACCAAAGAGAAGGATATAGCTGTGAAAGTCGCATCTTCCGGTGGAGTTAGCGAGAATGAACAGCTAGTCTGGGTATTATGGAAGATCTTAAGAGGCGACGGGAGTGATGTACGTGCTATCCCCCCTATTCACTTAAATTAGCGAGCTAAAAGATCGCTGATTTGCGCCCAGATTGGGCCCTTCACTCCCAGTAATTTAGCGACTTCACCGGTTCCTCCCAGGTTGAGAGCGTCCAATCTCAGTTTGGAGGGTGATATTCCAGATCGACCGAAGTTTGATCCGTGAGTTGTCCTGCGTTTGTGACACCACCCCGATCCCATGTACCTGTGAATCAGATTTGGACAAGCTGCCTCTGCGGATAACGTCAATGCACAAGAAGGGGCGGAAGAACGAAGCAGCAGCGCGTCTGAGCTCCTCGCTACCGAGTCTAGGGTTTCTTCTGAGAATGATAAGGAGGTCAGCAAGTTTTCGGAGGGGATGTCCTTGCTCCTTGCCGCGCGGGAGCGTGTACTTACTCTCTCCGAACAACGTGTGAGTCCTCACAATTTCCCTGATCTGTCTCTGGAGAATTTATTGTATTGGCAGACTCTGGTACCCCTGGTTCCACAGTTAACAGATTCTTCAGCAATCACATCCGTAGATTTGGCACCTATTATATCGACCAACCCCGCGATAGCTCAGCCTCTTCTAAGTGCTTTGCTCTCGCGGGCTTCGTCGGATTCACTTGGTGTAGCGCTTTACCTCGAAGTTTTGCGACATCTTCCACCTACTTTGCCTTCGTTTGACCTACTTGGTCGTCTGCTACGGGATCCTACTGCCCTTACGGACCCTGCTACAGGAGGACGAACCACTATCGCGGATCTTGTGCGGACGGAAGCTCTTGGCTGGTTCATTCATGAGGCCATTGCTTGGCTTGACCACGCTGAACAAGAAGAGAAGGCTGGCAACATCAGTGACGATCGCTTTGCCCAAGGGCTTCAGAACGTCAGTCTCTCCCGGCTATATGCGTTCAATTTCTTACTCACACCTTCTTGACAGCTCTGCCGCTTCTTCAACTCACTCATTAAATTGGGTATAATGGACCCAGCCTCCGACGCCGACTCTGCTGAAATGCTCCACTTCACGCTTCGTAATTCTCGATTTGAAGATGCAAACGTGCTTTATCGCGTTCTTGCCATGGGTAAATTGTGAAAGTCAATGTAAATTATTCCTTCCAACCCTTCATGTTAGGACTCACTGTAGCGGATATACTTACTCATCATTTCTTCTGTGACGATGTTTTGCAGATGTCACTTAGCGTACTTCACCCTACTGTAACTCATATACTCATACCTCGTTTAAATTATACTTTATATGTGGCAAGCCGATGGTTGTATTATGTCTCATAACTGGTCCCGTTTATGCCTACCATGTATATGCCCTCTACTAGACGTTCGTATGAATATTATGTGGTCTTCATTTTCACGCCTAGCCATAAACTGGAAGCAAACTCGACTGTATGGGGTGCCACCTGGATACACGCCTCTTTGGACGTTGAAGGGAACAAGCAGTATTCTCGGATGAGGGATGAGTCTTCCAGTGACTTCTAGTCGCGACCGAATGGAAGATTCGCCAAAGATTCGCAGGATGTATGCGAGCCTATTGTGGCGTTCTTCATTCCATCAGTCGGCGCATCATAAGGGGAAACCTGGAAACTGCAGGCACCTAGCAGACAGATGTCAAATCCTGTCATTAACATGAGTTTACCTGCAGCTACAACGACATCAGAGTTGAGAGTGGTCACCAGGACTGTGGGCTATGCCGACAGAGCAACCAGCGGAATGGCGGGTTCCCTGAGCTCTGCGAGCCTACACTAGAGTGTTCAACTCCTATTGTCGCTGGTGATTATTTAACCATGACACGGAGCCTTTTGAAACGGGAGCTGTTTGAATCAGGTAGTCAAGTTAGCTTCAGATCAAGCAAAGCGAATGTACTCGCATATACCCAATTGCAAGCTTTAGTATTTTGAATACGAGATGATTGGGGATTCCAAAGGCATGTAGGCCACCAAATAGCATTATGAATCGCCTAGATACAGAGGAGTTTCACTTTCGACGTTGTTGTCAAGACGGAAGCAGCTGATCGCCGCATTTGGTTGCTTCAGCGCCGGCTAAACCGACTTGCACTCCTTCACCGTCGACAACGACGACGACGAAGGCCAAATCGGCCTCCACTCTCACCTACATCCCGTCGCTCTCTTCGTTACGACTTTCGAGTGTTTCCCATTGTCCCGCTGTCCAATCTCAGGCCATCAGTGGTTTCCAACTCCATCTCCTGACCTCGGCCGCTAGGCAACCATCTACACGTAGACTTCTTCACTCTTATGGCTAGTTATCAAGTGTCTACAATGTCTTTAACACCCACTAGACCAGCCCCCGCGGCGCCCTTGCGGAAGGGTTCTGACATTCAGAATGTCCTATCAAGTTCTGGTTATGGCTCATCCTTTTCAGTAGGGACCTCATCCATTTCTGGTTCATCATCCTCCTTGTATTCTGGTATTGGAGGCTCACCAGACCGGATGTCTGATGGCCTGATGGGCACTCGCATCGTACGGCACGGCACCGTCAGTGTAAAGGAGGACGGTTTAGTCAGCTGGCTCTGGAGACCGAAGTATCTGGTGTTGAAGGAGCAGACACTGTCAATACATAAGAATGAGGTGCGCTCGAACTATCTTAGGTATTAGGGTCATACTCAAGCACTTCCAGAGTGCCCCCACCCAAACCCTCATCAACCTATCCGATATCGCGAACATCGAGCGCACGGATCTAAAACCGTACTGCCTCCTGCTCGAGACCAAAGACAAGCGAATGTTCTTTTCGCTCAAGAGTGACGAAGAGCTCTACGGGTGGCAAGATGATATCTATTCGCGTAGCCCGCTCATGGGTGTCAGTAACCCGACCAACTTTGTGCACAAAGTGCACGTGGGCTTTGATCCCATCTCAGGCGCATTCACTGTGAGTACTCCCTCGCCGTCACATACGTAACTGTACCTATGTTACCTGTCAGGGCTTGCCGGATGCATGGAGCAAACTGCTCACCAAGTCTGCTATAACCCGTGAAGACTACCAAAAGGATCCACAGGCGGTCCTTGATGTGCTTGAGTTCTACACCGATCACCAGAAGCGAGAGATGGAAGAACTTGGTTTCGGTTCTTCCCTCGGGGGTCGATCAGGTGCTGGGTCTCTGTCGCCTTACTCTGAAACTGCGAGCGCGCCACGATTCAACGCCGGGACGGGACTTGGTGGCGCAAAGGTTTCCCTCGACGGCCGACCAGGCATTAAACGGCAAGACTCTGCACCAGCTGGTCTCAACGGAGTCGACACTAATGGTGCACCATTGTCGTCGAGTGCCGGTCTCGCTCGCGCAGCAGAACTTGTGAACGGTTCACACGCAGCCCAATTGCAAGCCAACACTATTTCGGCTACACAAGCAGGTTCACCTATTCGTGGCCCCATTCCTGGTTCCCTCCAACCCTCACGACCTGCACCTCCTCGACCTCTGCTCACCGCCAACCGACCTGCACCTTCAGCCCCACATGGCGCGTTGCCCAAGCCCCCACTACCTGAACATACTCCCTCGTCCGCCGACCTCCTCATGCGGGCAAAGGCTCAGGGACCGCCTACGGAGACGAGAACAACTAAGCCTTCTGGTCTGGCTGAAGATCGCGTCCCTAAGAGAACAGACTCGCTCACGCCAGAGAGGCAAGGCGCGACCGCGAATCGACCAAACATGGCACCAGCCAAGTCCTCTCCCGCCACATCACAACCTAGTTCGCAGCCAGCTCCCGGGGCCGCGGGTGCGACTGTAGGTCCTCCACCTGTCAAGCCTCTCCAACCTGCAAAGAAACCTCCTCCTGCGGTGACTGTAACTGCCCCTGAGGATAAAGGTGGCGTTGCGGCTGCTGCTGCCGCTTTGGAGAAGCCCAAGGAGAAGGAGAAGCGTATCAGCACAATGAACGAAGCTCAGATCATGGAGAAGCTTCGTACTGTGGTAAACCCCACCGATCCAAAGGCGCTCTATAGCAAAATTCGGAAGGTTGGACAGGGGTAAGCATTCAGCGTGTCTGCTTATGCCCAAAGATGCTAATGTCGAGTCTGTCAGTGCATCCGGTCACGTCTATGTCGCTAAGACCCTTGCGACCGGCAAGAAGGTTGCTATCAAAGAGATGGACCTTTCGAATCAGCCGAGGAAGGAATTGATCGTCAATGAGATCCTTGTCATGAAGGAGTCGCAACATCCTAACATAGTTAATTTCCTCGATTCGTACTTGGTGAGGAGTAACGAACTCTGGGTCGTCATGGAGTACATGGAGGGTGGTGCCCTCACCGATATCATCGAGAACAACACCCTAGAAGAGGATCAGATTTCCAGTATCTGTCTCGAGGTGAGCGAAATGACAACCGACGATATCCGTTTCTGGCTGACGTTGGCATTTGATAGACATGCAAGGGCCTTGGTCACCTACATTCTCAGAGTATCATCCATCGTGATATCAAATCCGATAATGTTCTCTTGGACGCACAAGGGCACGTTAAGATTAGTACGTATCTCCATTCTCCGCCATTATCTACGACACTGAGCTTGTCATTTAACAGCCGATTTCGGTTTCTGTGCCAAGCTTACCGATCAGAAGTCGAAGCGTGCAACGATGGTGGGTACACCATACTGGATGGCACCAGAAGTCGTCAAGCAGAAAGAATATGGGGCCAAGGTCGACATCTGGTCATTGGGTATCATGGCTATTGAAATGATAGAGAACGAACCGCCTTACCTTGATGAGGAGCCACTGAAGGCTTTGTATTTGATCGCGACCAACGGAACGCCCACGCTGAAGAAGCCGGAGGCTCTGAGTCGAGAGTTGAAAGGCTTCCTGAGTGTGTGTCTATGCGTCGATGTGAAGAGCAGGGCGACTGCGGCAGAGCTCTTGGATGTAAGACTCATTTCATTTTTTCGTGTATCTTCGCGAGGTTAACTTGGGGATTGCGATAGCACGATTTCTTGAAGAAGGCTTGTGCGCTTTCTGGTCTCGCACCCCTTCTCCGATTCAAGACCAAGCAAGGCTCATAATCGCGTTCGAGATTGGTCCATGAACTCTATTTTCATTCGTTTCTGGGACACTCTGGTTGTCTATACGCCTTCACCCTGCTAATGATTCACATTCCAATGTCACGTTTCTGCTTACACTGTCCTTTCGTTCGCTTGTTCACTATTCTACCTTGTCTCCATGTCGAATTCACCATACCTCCAGTAGTCGGTCATTCCTCCACCGTTTATTTTCTTTCCACCACCATCTATCATATAGCATGCATATCCGCAAGCTGCCATATCCCTTTTCCTTTTGTCTCCATGATTTCTCTTTCCTCCCTTGTTTCTTGTCTGTCTAGGCCTCTCTTCATGTCTTGGAAAAATGTAGTGTACTTGTGAAGTTTGCTAGACGAAGGATACGAAGGTTTCTGTTTACTGTATATGAGCCTGGTATCTCTCAGTCTATCTATTCGATACAGCTGTAATCCAAAGGTGCGAAAGGAAGAAACTAAAGTGTTAGGTGCTACTCGATACAGTCGTATTTGTATTCACCACCGGAGAAGTTATTTCTATACCTGTGATGCTGACATGTTTGTATGGCACTCTTCGAAGACGAGACTATCTACGGCAGGCTGCTTGGTACGTCCCCGGGAGTGACGCTTATGAGGAAGGATGACCTTCGCAACGAAACTGAAGGCATGGCGGTAACGATTGCGAGCTTCTGCAGAGAAGCCAAACAACACGAAGAAGATGAAGGCGCAACCGATCTGGTACCACTGGCTTCGAATATGGCCGAGATCTGTTGCCCAAAGTTCATAGGGATACTGGCCCACTCGGTCAAAATTGGAATGCAGGTCCTGGAATCCTCTCCACGGGTAGTATATTTGAGACAGGTCGACCAAATCGAAGACACTGAGGGGTGTGGTGCAACACATCTCGACAGTGGCCATGGCGAGCAGTCGGTAGTATTGGTGTAGGCTGACTTCGGAGACGGCTGAGAATAAGTCTTTGATCTGCTGATGACGTTTGATAACGGCATATAGGGTCCTGGCTGTCGACATATATCAGAACCGTTCTTTCGTACTGAGTAGGTGCCAAAAGATTCATCATGTACTCACCACAGTATACTGCAGAGATGAGACCAATGATAATGAACCATATTTCCGTCAAGCAGATGAGCAGAATCGAGATGGGAGTAGCAGCGTAGCAGCCAAGACCCTCAAAAATGTCGAACCGATGTCCTTGGACGAAATAAACTGAAACGTTATTATTCAAATTGAGCAGCATTATATAACACTCTGTCATAAATTCGTACTCACAGATGATGAGCTGTGCTACTGGGGGAGACATCCCGATGAGACAATCAATACACCACTCCCGGCGTTTGCTATCCACTGCCAGGCTTGTAGTCGTCGCAATAATAGAAATACGACGAGCGATGACCAAGCCGGCGGACAGCATTCCCATACTACCCATGGCTTGGAACCTTACCCCTACACAGATAAGATTCAACTTAGGTGATTGCGCACAAATACAGAAAGGGCTCCAGCTTACAGATATCGCACCACACTGGTGCAAGATTCCTCGCATTGTCCCTCCAGAGAACATCGTTCACGAATGTGAACAGGCATAACAACCCGACCCAGAAAATGTATAGTACACAGCCAATATTCCTAGCTGAACATATCAAATGTTATATGAATAAAGACTAAGAAGTGACTAGACCTCATACCTTTAATGAACAAGGGCAGGGGAATCATTACGAGGATAAACCCCAAAAGTGAAAGCCCAGTCAAAAATCCTTGATGAATCTCCCAACTTTTCGGAATTGACATGTTGGCTGTCAAGAACCTGTTGGACTGTTGGACGTCAATGACCACGAACGAAAGCTTAAGAACCTGTCGTGCCAAGGACCAGTGATGTACCCTGATATGACGATCACCAGCAATTACCTCCGAACAGATGATCTGTCATGATGCAGATGAGAAGATCACCGTTCAGGTGCTTCTGAGGCATACGGCATGATCAATTGACCATACTTATGTATCAAGCAAGCAAGGGTCTCGTATCGAGATCACACCACCCACATGGATGTTGGAGCCTGAGGGAATGATTGAGAATGCCGTATTGGCGGGACGTCAACAGAGGGACAAGGACTGGAGTGAAGGTTAAACGCAGGCAGGCCGCTGATTGTAATAGACAATGAAGTAAATTTGTGAGAACGAGCAGACTGGGTTATCAGTATCGGGTGTGCTGAATGAATGCCGGCGTAAAATCAGTCAAGAATTGATGCATGTGGCCTACGTAGATAACTGACGAAGATAAGGCTACTCACGGAAACGTAGCACTCAGTCATAAGAGATCTGGCGGGTAGTAAGCAGGTCTCAACTTACAGACTTTGAGCGGGGTATGCAGCCATATCAACGCCATTTTGAGCTCAAAAGGGGTGAATTGCGATCAAGTTATAGATATACGGACATGTTAAAGGCCTCCGATGGGACCCCTCACTCCTCGTCCCCTCCTCGGGAAGGAGGGAAGGGACGTTATAGACTTGAGCAGGGTATATGCAGCTGTCAGCGTCTTGAGTCTAGAAGGAAAACCTATTATGTATTGCGGTAAGATCATAGAGATATGGACATGTTGAAGTCCCGAGTAGTTTCCCGCGTTTTCCGAGCATCATGGCCAGAGAGCTTTAATGGGAAGGTGGTAAAAGGATTTGACGTCATCGACAACTAGGGAACGGATAGTGAGGCTCTGTCAGATGTAAAAACTCAACTGAACGTGTCAATACTGTCAGTTACGGAGAAGCACATGTTCGATACTCACTGCACTTAGAAATCGGACACCTTCCCCTTATAACTCCAATCACCCTCATACCCCCACTTCTTCACAGGCTCTCTCATCGGTCCCCCTCTTTCACCAGTGACAGGATTAACGTCACCTTCGAACTCTGGTGTAACTGGAGGTCGAGCATCCGGGTGCACAGCATTAACATCTGCACCACCACCGTTGGCGAGCGGTGTCTGTGCTTTTCGGACTAGTTCTTCAAACTCTCATTGCTGGGTGCGGGGAAGAGGAGGGCGGGAGGGATGATTCAGAGGGTCAGGCGGCGATGACGATGACATAGACCTTGCCGATCGAGAGGGCAGCCCATTTTGTAGCAACGTAGAGAGTGTCATGTTTCTGCAGGCGAGTGCGGACATGGTGTAATTATTTTGGTAGAAACAGACCCGAGCAATTTCATAAAGAAATAACACTAGCTCAGGACCCCGCCGCTCTGAGAGGGAGTATTTGTACATGTTAGGATGTAAAGCAATAGCCATATTAGGCACTTTCACTTCAAATGTGGCTGAATGTCTTCTATTCACATGGGCGCAAAAGCATGACAAGCAATATTCAATCAATATTTCAAACCGGAGATAACAAGTTTGAAGTAATTATAGTCACCCTTCCCTCACCATCAAACTCAAAACAATCTGCACCTATCTCAGCCATATGCAACACTTTTGCAATGTCCTACCACAACCGACGAAACCAGAATGCCCCAATAATAGTAGTGACAAGATATGCTAGCATGTAGTGCATATAGTTCAGTTAGCATACTGTATGTACAACATGAAAGAGGATTTGGCGTGGCATCTGGAAGAAGGTCAAAGGGGGTGGAGATGATGAAGGAGCTGTCTTTCGAAATGATCATTGTAGTTTAACACCACAAAGCAAAGCCGATCGGCTACATACAGGGTTTCATGAGCTCAAGCAATAGTGCACTGGGTAGAATCATTCCGTCTTGCCTCCTCCTCTTCCTGTAATTGGTAGGAACCTGAATAGAAATCTCCACTGCAGGAGTGATAGCAGCGTGGTGGAGAAATTTTTATAAATGAAAGTGCGAAGATGAAATGAGTGTCAAATGTGAAGGAAGGAACTTCAATGAAGATGAGTGAATCAACTTCGGAGGCCCTAGAGCTTGTTCGAACCAATATTTATATAGCGGAGAGCATCTGGTGCTTCTAACTCTTGACTCCATCTGATCTGACCTTGACAATAGAGAAGAAAATTGGGGTTCTCTGTCTGAGACAGGAATAGTAGAATATCGCAGAATTCTTGTTCAATGAGAAGAAGATGAGCTGCTCAGTGTCTGAAAGTGAGCGAGCAAATGGACACACTCACTATTGTCTGCTACACATATGTCATGTTTGACAGAAGGGTTAAATAGATGAACATGTGCAGTGATCCATATCAACCATAAGCTCACAACAGATTCACTTCGCACACTATTGAGGTCCTGCAGACGTACGCACCAAGACTATAGAAATAACAGTTATAGTATATTCTATCAGTCCTCGAAGCTATTTGGAGGTGAAAAGGGACACTCGTGGCTTGGTAGGTGGAGAAGAGTGATGAGTAGGTGAAGGAGAAGTGTAAAGTATGACCAACCTAGATTGGCCCAAAGACACCAAATTCATTGAGGGATGATGCACCTTGGGGCTAAAGTTGACAGGATAACTCAGTGATGGTTATTATTTAAGGGCATCATCACTGAACAACTGGAGAAACATTGACTGGAGAAAGAGGGAAAGCATTAGTCACGAAGCTAAGAGGAAGATTTACTCAGACTCATTCATAACGGATGACCTGTTTGGATCTAAGAATGTGGAGGCAATTTAAACCAGAGGTTCACCAATAGACAAGGTGAGAAAACATCATCCAGAGGAGTAATGTGTAATGTGAATGTACCTAAACCTGATTGAGACACTCATCCTAAAATCATACAAAATAATTCAAAGATGTTCCCTGTAAACCTGCAAGTGAGACTCTATGTTTGCAGCTTACATTGCCATCTGAAAGATTGCAAGTCTCGAGAAAATGCACATCCATCTGTACTCATATGAGGGTTCTATACCTAAGATAACAAGAATTTGTCAATTATGAGAAATGCTATTTCTGATGGAGGCAATGAGAGCTGCAGAGCTGTGAGTGCTGGACAGATGTCGACTAAAGTATGTAAAGGGAGAAATGATGGAGAACACAGATGACTGCACGAAACATGACCTGGCTATTCCAGTAGATGACTTAAACAACTGAGAGAATCAGAAAAGAAAGGTCAGTAAATGCAACATAGAGCACATGAGCACACTAATCAATGCATTGACTCTGACCACAAACCTTCGAACTGCAGGACTTGGTAGAATATCAATCCACGATGCAACATCAGGACCAGGGAGAAGGGAGTGTCACAAAGATGTGGTAATAATCCTTGGGTGAAATTGGATACCATTGGCTGGTGACTACGATTGACAAAGATCAAGAAATACTTAGTTGGCAGAGTGAGCAAGAGCCTAGAGGAATGCGAGTAATCAGTGATCGGTTGGTTGCCATTGGCTGGCGACCAGCTCTTCTCTCCTTCATGCACTTGTCTGTCCACTCTAACTCTGCTGCAGAGCCATGTCCTTCTGGAACTTCCCGGCCTATTCATGTCTCCCTTATTAAGGCTTGCATGATCTGACAGATTGTTCTGCTCATCTGGGAATAATTGAGGAAGCTTGGATGAATTCCTACTTACTCTAGGGAGGATACGAACCTCGCATTTGATTACCTTACACATCTACACAGGGTGGTTCTAGAGACAACTAGGTGAGTGTTTTCATCTTCTACACTGACTATCTAGGCTCTCTTGTTAGTTCCACAGGTCCCTTGTCAGGATATTCTGCATACTTGTACAGTGACTTACAAAACCCTTTCAATGTTTGTCAAATTTTGCTTTCATGGGCAATATCTTCTCACTGAGAAAGAATATCAAAGTGCCATTATATAGTCTGAAAGAGTAGTATCTTGGCTCCAACTATTACCCTGGATCATGTGATTTAATCCAGAATTGGCAGAGATACTTGAATTGCAAAGGGCACTACTCATTGAAAGGGTTTTGTTGTGCACTATTCTACCAAATGAAAACTTGAAATTTGAGTACTTATTAGAGTTTTGTCTTGATTGAAATTAGTGTGTAGACCTACCAAGGGATGCTCCAAATTGAATGAGAACAAGCCTTCTTTGATACAATCTCTTATTTCTTCTGCATTCTCTTCTATCACTTTGATATCTCTTTTGACAATATTCTCAGTTCTCCAAGCTTTCTTCTCAAATGGTTCTAAGAACTGTTAATGAGATTGATTTCAGAGAACTGAATTGAGTATAGAGAAGCCTCAAACTCATAATTTTTCAGTCAGTTCTTAGCATTTTTTAGGATATTTGTTTTACTGAAAGTTAATACTCTTGAAATGTTTCTATAATATCTCAGATACTCTCAAAGTTTATCATTGAGTGCATGTGTGTATAGATTGGCATTGGCAGTGTTTTCATAATTTATTATATATCTCACTTTCATTTATTGTCTACACCCCCTACACAAACTCTTTAATTATGGCTATACTTTGTAAGAACTCATTGTTTACATTCTTTGTCTCCTTTTTTCATATTGACTTTCAATCTTTTAATCTCAGATAACTAATACTGATCTTATATATATGAAGAAACTATCTCTAGTAATTTTGGCTTCCCTTCTGATACTTCATGACAGAGTTTAGCATATTCAGCATAGTATAGTTAGAATTGAAGAGTGTGTGTAGGAAGTGTAGACAATAAATGAAAGTGAGATATATAATAAATTATGAAAACACTGCCAATGCCAATCTATACACACATGCACTCAATGATAAACTTTGAGAGTATCTGAGATATTATAGAAACATTTCAAGAGTATTAACTTTCAGTAAAACAAATATCCTAAAAAATGCTAAGAACTGACTGAAAAATTATGAGTTTGAGGCTTCTCTATACTCAATTCAGTTCTCTGAAATCAATCTCATTAACAGTTCTTAGAACCATTTGAG